TTGGAAATAATTATATTTTATAATAGTAAATTCATAGTAATATTATAACTCATTATATAGTTTTAAAAATGCCGCGGACACGAAAATAATAGAAAAGACACCATATACACAGGGAGGACGTCCTTTATAGCGGGAGGACGTCCTTAAACCACAAAGGACGTCCTTCGGCCTATATTCCCGTCCTTCGTCCCCATGTCCGTCCTTTCTCTTTACATTTATATAGTCAAACTTCCCAAAAGTGGGCATTTTTTAAACTAAAACTAAATACAGTGAAAAGGGTCTATTTGTCGAGATCTTATCACAAAAAATAATTTATTTGTCGGATTTGAAAGAATTTTTCAGAAAGTTCGTTTTAATATAGATTTTTATTTTTAAGTAAAAATTTGGTTTAAATTCAACAAAAGGTACAAATTCGAGAACAAAAAATTTAATTGTCGTACACCCAAATGATTGGCCAGTTGTGCGATAAATAGACTCGTTCGACAAATAAGATTGCGACAAATAGACCCTTTTCACTGTATATAATTCTCAAACTATAGTTCTAAAACTATAAAGCAGTATATTATGTTTTATTGGCTTAAAAAGCCCGTTCTTGAGAGGTTTTATTGAACTAAGTTAAATGGTTTTGGTTAATAGTTATAATACTAATAGTATATTAGATTCAACAAGAATTATTTTTAACCTTAGGAAGGAGGAACTGGAAAAAATAATAAAAATTATAGGATTTGAATTTACATCCACTTTTTTAATTATGAAAAAAACAGATGTTGAATAAATATAATTAACATAAAAATTAACTATTTAAAATAATTATATTTTATCAATAATATAATATAATAATTTTTGGCAAAAAAACAAAAATAACCCAACTAACTAACCCAAATTGATAAGATTAATAAAGGATTCCGACTTTAATAAAAAACACGTCTTTGAACACTCAGAATGATAATTAAAAAACACTTGTCTCAACAATTGTTTTTTATTGTTGAGACATCAACAATAAGAAAAAGCACCAACATGAAATAAAGGATTTGATGTTGGTGCTGTTATGAACACTTCCGCGCATAATGTATCAATTGAAAAGAAAAAAATAAGTATGGTTTTTATTATTTGTTGATTTGATTTTTTGTATAAAAAAATAATAAATAGTATTTTCCAGTTGGTCCCAAACGGAGGGGATAGAAAATAAGTGGATTTGAATCAGCGTTCTAAGGTTAATAAAGAAAGGCATTAAATAGTTCAATTTTTAATAGTATTATTCTTGTATTTAACTCTATAATTTACCATTTCAATCAAACTTGTTATATAATAGTAGAATACTAATAAAAGAATAAGAAACATAAACCCCAACCCAAAAGTGTTTATAAACGTAGCTTAGGCTTAAGCGGAGAGAGGGAAATCAAAGGCGACTTCGTTTCCGGTGATGACCTTGTAGACTGAGGAGTAAACGTTTAATCTTGCCTTAACGGTGTTTTTCAAAGCGAGGTCATCGACGCCCAAGGAGACTGTTTTTCTTCCTTCAGGGACATTAGAGTGCATTGAGACACGAATTCGTTGAGCGATGATTTGGACTGGATACAACATTTCGTTCATATAAGCCTCATGGACGGCCTTTCTGGTTCTTGAAATTGGCTTGTACTCCGACTTATCAGCTTGTCCTGGTCTAGCGGCATGAGCAACGATTCTCTTTCCGATGATGAAGACCGGTTGGTTCATTTTCTTTTCAAGAGCGTCGACCAATTTGGCTTGAATGGGGCGAATCTTTCTCATCATTCTCAATGGGACAAATACAACGGTGGCAAATTTGTCCTTCGATGTTGGGATTTTACGTGCAGAGTGGACTTTGACTAATTTCATCTCGGGAATCGATTTCTCCATGGTGCCTACCATCTCACGAATGAGTCTCGAATATGGCTCCATACCTGGTTTGAGTTCGGTGACTGGTGCCTCTACTTTGGCAGCCGACTTCGCTGCAGTCATTTTTCCTGTTGCCGCTGACATCTCACCTTGGACGAGTAACTAAGAAGTTCAGGGTTTAACATTTGCTCTAAGGGTTTTTTCAATAGTTTATTATAGATTCAACGTATCTAGTTCTTTTTGGTTCAATTATAGTTTTATTTTTAGTTTGTATAGTGGTCGCTCAATCTGTGTTATTCATTGTTTAAGTGTCGAGAAGAGAAGACGCACAATTTTAACGCAAAGAAGGGACGAACATTATATAGTTGAAATAAGGTTTTAACTATATTGGTATTGCTTATTTTAATATCAGAAATATACAAAACACAATGGCCAAACAAAACACTCACAAGATGAATGTTATTTGAAAAGTTGTTTCGGTCACTTTGTAACGACACCCTACAGCATTTGAACGCCAAAGAATGTGTTTTTTTAAAACACATTTTTATTATAATTATATTATTTGGAAACTATTAACTTGTTACAATTTTTCAATGCGAATAACTTAAAAATATGAAATAAACAGTATGTCACTCTACCTTATGTAGAACTATGCCTTATGCAAGACCTTTATTTATAAATATTAGTTAATTAGAACTTTTAAAATAAATTAAAACTGAAATGGATTTTGGTGTTTTGGGTTGGAAATTATTAAATTATACAGTTGTTTATTTAAATTAAAAATTATTTATAAAATTTTTTACATAAGGCAAAGTAATTATACTGGAATTAATTTTTTGTTAGTGCCTTTATCCCCTCTTTCCTCAATTATTTCTAATGGATTTTTTGTTCTATTGTATTCTAAACTATACAATTATAGTACCAAAACGAAATATTTATTATCTCTAACTATTTTTTTTACACAAATTATATTTTTTTACCAAATTAGTCTATTTCCTAATTATTTACCAATAGTTTTAAAATGGTACATTAATAGTAATAATGACTGGTTTGGGAAGATAAATGGATCCCGACTTTTTCCATTAAAAATGTCCACTGATGAATTCTCAATTAACACAAAGAGGTCTTTAAGAGGAGCTAATTTAATAGGGAAATAGCGGGAAACTAAAGAACATAGTAAAAGAAACGATTTTAAAATTAGATGAAACTCTTAAATTAATGACTCATATAAGTGCGAAGATCACGATATTAGAAGCGAAGAATACGGTCTCGGTCAAGAACGAAGGTGTTGAGTCGTACTTCAAGATTAAGGCAAATTTCATGCCAGTTGCGCTGAAGACCCGAGTAGCCGAGAAGACGCCGACGCCGAAGTATAACGAGACTTTCACGATAGAGATTCCCGACATCCAGAAAAAGGGTGTCTCGCGTACGATGCAATTGCAGTGCTACAAACCAAAGAGGTTTTCGGATCGACTTCTCGGGGAGGTAGAAATCAACTTGTCGACAAACGACGACATCGACGCGTGGTTTGAAATGAAAAAGAAGAAAGCCGACAAAAAGCCGATGGTAGGGGTTCATGTCATAGTTAAGTTTGCAGGGAAGAAAGAAGAGAAGAAAGAGGAGGTCATTCAATCCTTCCCCGATAAGGCTGAATTTGATAAGAAGTATACTAAAGAGAATGAAATTGGACAAGGGGCATTCTCTGTTGTCTACAAAGGTATTAGAAAGGAAGATGGCCTTGTAGTAGCTATTAAACAAGTTAATAAAACTTCACAAAGCACTGACCAACTCAAGTTACTCCGACGAGAAATCGACGTGATGAAGAAATTGTCAAACCATCCCAATGTCGTCAAATTGTATGACGTCTTCGAGGACGACAAAACGATTTTAATGGTCATCGAGTTCATGTCAGGGGGAGAACTCTACGACCAAATCATTCAAAGAGGAAGTTTTACAGAAGCAGATGCAAGCGATATCGTCTACCAAATTTTGTCCGCGTTGTGCTACATTCACTCAAATGGGATCGGACATCGTGACTTGAAGCCCGAGAATTTGTTGTGTTCAACACCAAAAGGTTTGTTTTTAACGAATTGGTATGTACTAGTTGTAGAATAGTATATCTACTATAATTTAATAATAAGACTATATAATAGTATATTATACTATATTTAATAATAAAATAATTTATAGGTGACATTGTCAAAATTGCCGACTTTGGGCTTAGTAAAGATAACTCGGACGGCAACACTGCGATGACAACGTGTTGCGGATCGCCAAGTTATGTTGCTCCAGAAGTCTTAGAAGGGTCATCATATGACCCCGAATGTGATATTTGGAGTTTGGGAGTGATCACCTACGTCTTGTTGTCTGGGTATCTTCCATTCTTTGGAGAAACACAAGACGAATTGTTCCAAAAGATCTTGTCTGGGGATTACACATTCAATTATTCGTGTTTCAAGGGGATCACTGAAGAAGCAAAGGACTTCATTAATAAATGTTTAGTTGTGAACCCACAGGACCGCGCGACTGCTGACTCGTTGATGAAACATCCGTGGGTCCATCCTGAAAGTCGAAATCTTGCGACTTTGAGAGGAGCCGCTTTACACCCGACAGCGTCGATGAGTGAGTTAAGAAGTGGGTTCAACCCAAAGAATAGACAAAACCCCGTTGCGTAACTTCGATATTTTTTCATCTTCCTTCTTATGGCATTTATTAGTAAGAAATTATAATTTAACTGATAAATATAGAAAAAAGGGAATGGATTGGAAAAGTGAATTAACTCAACAAAGTGGCACTAAAAGTGGGGAGATGTTAAGAGCCATGATAACATCTCTATAATTGGGTAACACTTCAAGAACACGGGGAAGTTGAAGAACATCGAATTCTTCGAGTTTGATCCAAGTCTTCATTTTAACGATGTACTCGTTCTGCGTTTCAGTAAGAAGAGCCTCCCAATCACACTGGAAGGACTGGGGAATAGTACCGACTTGTTTGAATCCTGCCGATAAGAGTAAACCGAAGAGGAAGTACATTCCACAAGCAGCTGTCCCACGAGTTAATGGCATGAAGTTGAACCACAAGTAACAGTAACGTAACACGGCATCGAGGACTTTGTCTTTGTCTTTAGAATCAATGACAGTATAAAATTTGTCTAAAGCGCTTTTAAGCTCTTTGTCGAATGAATTGAAACGCTTTGGAAGGCATGGAGTCTTAATGGAGAACATACTACCCAATTCACTCTTCTCGATTAATAACCAGGTTCCTTCTAATTTGTCACCGGCTTCATTGCGACAGATTGTGGTCATGTAGTAATTATCACGATTAATGATCTTACGAACTTCATCGACATCATCAGTGGCATTCACTCGCTCTTTCTTATCGGCTGGGAAGTTGGTTTGCTCAGTAAACAATTTCTTGAACAGTGCAAAGGTCCTTGGGAACATTGGCCAATAGCGAGCAACACGAGTCTGCGCAGTCTTCAATGTCGTGTTCGACCCAAAGCCATCTTCAAATTGTTGTTTGGTCAACTTGTTGATCCAAATTGCGCCATCTGCGGGCTCTGCAATTTGTCTAAACTTCACGACTATCTCTGCCAAGTCTCTCCATTCGGGGCGCTCCCCACTTTTCAATAATTGTGCGTAGTAGATCGAAGCTAACCCACAACACAAGTACTGTCTCCCATTCTTCCCAAACCCTATTTCGTTGTATTGCATCTTCTCTCCGATCTTCACTGCAGGACTTAACAATTTCATGACCAAATCTTGCTTGATAGAATCTTTAGCCTCAATATCTGGTGTTGTAATAGGTTGTAATTTGGTTCCCGTAGGATACTTAGTGACATTAGTGTTTGGAAGTCTCTTTGCGAAATTGACTTTCCATTGTGATGGGAACCACTCGATGTCGTACTCAAGGAACTTCTTATCTAACATCATGGCAGAGTATTTGGCCAACTCCCCGTAATACCACGAGGCATTGTCTTTCGCTTCACTCCCAAGTTTCGACATCTGAAGACACAACCTATTCTGCCCTAATGCCAAATAAGCTGCGGCGCACATACGAACAATTTCCCCACAATTGTCTTTCGGACACAACTCAATCGACTTTTGAAGGAATGGGAGCGCTTCTCGATGTCTACCCGACGAGACTAAGACATTGCCCAACACATAATACGATAAGTGATTAGTCGGAGCAAGTTTCATCGCCTTTTCTAACATTTGTTTTGATCGAATGTAACACCCCATATCTCTATATAACTGTCCTAAATGGATATAAGGATCCGCATAATTCTCTTTAGCATTAATCGCTCGCGTGTACGCATTAATAGCTTCGTCGACTAATCCCATCCCATTGAAGCATAACGCTAACTCGTTAATAACTTGGGCATCCCCCGGAGCGTATTTCAATGACTTCTTTAAATCGTCGGAAGCCTTGTCGAACACGCCAAGAGAATGAAACAGTGACCCTCTTTGTCGGTATGAATCCGCTTCTTCGGGACTCAATTTAATCGCTTGCGTGAAGTCATCTAAAGCTCCGTTGACGTTCCCAAGCGCCGCTTTGACCTGTCCACGTCGTTTATACGCGTCCGCACATTTCGCGTTGATCTTGACGGCTTTGTCGAAGTCGGTCAACGCCCTTTTCAAGTCCCCGCTCATCGCGCGTGCACTTCCACGTCCTAAATACCCCGCGATTAATTCCGGGTGTGCTTTAAGGAGTTGGTCGAAGTGTTTAATTGCGTCTTGCATCTTGCCCGTGTTCACATACAAATAGCCTTTGGCGATCTGTTTGTCGAGTTCTAAGTCATTGGTCCCATTAGTTAACATCCCTCGTTCCGCCACGAAATTGACTCGTTCTTCCTCTTCTTCTTCATTTAACTCCTCCTCGTGACGCTCTTGTGGCGTTTCTTTATTCTCCATCTCAATCTTCTTCTCACTTTTCTGTTGAACTTTGGCTTTGGCAGGCTTTTTAGTATCTCGCGGAATGGGATGGACTTTTTTCAACTTTTTGCCGGGTTGTTCCGACCCGTTGTCATTTTGATGGTCCGTTTTAGTTTCCACTAAATCTTGTCCTACCTCAAGATTTTGCTCGGGAAGAATTTGTGGGGATTCCTCATCCATGTCATTTTCTTTGTCATTTTCAACAACGTCTGCAATCTTCTCTCCTTCAAGTTTTGGTGCTTCTTTTTCTTTCACAAATTGCGTGTCCTTTTCCTCCATTTTGTGTGGTTTCTTAATATTTTCTTCGGGTTGGACGACTTCGACTTCTTGTGGCTGTTTTTCTTTTTTTTCGTTCTTTTCTTGTTTAATTTCATTTTTAGTTTCTTTTGACGGTTTTTCTTGGACGTTCTGTGTTTTGTTCCCGGCTTTGTGGTGGTGCTTGTGGTGTTTTTTGGTGGTGTAATTTGTACACAAACCCTTCAAACACTTCTCATCAGATACATTAACAACACCATAATTCTCAATCTCAAGAATTAATACTCCTTTGCGGCGTTTCAATACACAGGGAACTCCTTGTTTCGGAACACCCTCCATTTACTATTGTATTTGGAGTTCCCTTCCATTCTTCTTCTTTGGAGTTATGACTCAAAGATGCTTGTACGAAGGGTTTTTTACTATTTTTTATAATACATATATTATAAATGTATTATACGAATAATTCATTTTTTTAATTTGACACTACACAACGAGTAAATTATGAAAAAATCGAAAAAAAATTAGAAAAGAAATGATGTTAGAGCGGTGTATATATCTAAAAAAGTTGTCATTTTGTAGATTGAAAGTTGGAGGAACGAAAAAACAAATAAGCAACAAAAAAAATGAGAAGAAAGACTTAGGCGCACTGTTTGCATACGATCTTACCATCTTTGAGCATGTACTGGCCATCAATTGGTTTGCCACATTCAGTGCACTTGAAGCACTCCTTGTGCATGTTCTGTCCATTGACAATGCAATATTGTCCACACAACGACTTTCCACAAACTGCACATTTTGGTGAGTACAAGTCGGTGTAGCAAATGCTGCAAATTGGATTGCCATCCTTCTCCATCAGCTTCCTATCTCCACTGAAGTCTTTTCCACACTCTACACAAACAAAGCATTCTCTAAAATGTTAATTCTCATAAAACGTCATAACATTAATATAACAAACTTGTGCCATATTCTATCAAGTGCCTTGTATCCACCAGCAACCGGCTTTCCACACTTACCACAATTATCCAAATCACCGGTTTTTGTCACAGGTCCTTTCTTTCCATCAGCTGGAGCTTCTTCTTTCTTTTCCTCCTCGACTTTCTTTTCATTCTTAGGCTCCTCTTTTTTTGGTTCCTCCTTCTTTAACTCTTCTTTTTTGGGTTCGACTTTTTTTGGTTCTTCTTTCTTGGTCTCCACTTTCTTTGCTTCTGGTTTGGGTTCTTCCTTTTTAGGTTCGACTTTTTTTTCTTCTTTTTTCGGCTCGGGCTTCTTTTCCTCTTTCTTGGGTTCCACGACTTTTGGTTCTTCTTTTTTTGGTTCTTCGGTTGTGGTTTCTGGTTTTGGTGGTTCGGCAAGCTTGGTACCCTTTTTAATAGGTCTTCCCATGAGCTGTATAAATGACGCCTTTGAGTTAACACAATCGTTTACTGCTGCAGCAAATGAAGGCTTGTCTGAGACGATGATGCCGTTATAAAACAGCAAAAGTGGTTCTCCATATTTCTTTTCGATCTCTTCACAAAGAATATCATACATGTTCGGGTCGGTTCTTTCGATGTTAAAGATCTTGTTAGCCTTGTTGTATTCAACTTTTACTTTAAGAAGTGGCATCTACTGAATTTTGTGTTCGAGATCTGTCCAAAAGAACTCTTCTTTCGATTGAGGTCTTTTTTTATCCTTTTTTCAATTTCAAGTTCTAAAAAGTTTTTTAGTCATAAGGACTTTTTCCTATTTTTTTATATGTTTTAAGCTTGTTGTTTTTTTATTGTTTTTGTATATTTTTGATGTTTTGTTCTTATTGTTGACGCGATTTTTAGGTAATTTAAAAATAGTGATTGCATTTAATCATTTTTATAGTTCTTTTTAATTGATTAATGGTTTAAGTTTGATTTATACTAATATTTATAATAAAAAAATTATAATTTACTATTAATCAATTATATTATTAAATCGAATTTCAAAAATTTTAGTTCGTTATTAATTTACATTGGTCTAATAGTATAATAAATAATATAATAATATATATTATCTCAAACAAAGTATATAAAAAATAACTCAAAAAAATAATTTCAATTGTGTTTTAGCTTCTGTCGATTTTATACCTATAAGTTATAAAAAAAATATTAAAGCAGTAAACAATAAAACTATAGTAAACAAAATAAGATAAATAGTTTATGGTATTATAAAAAAAAGAACGAAAAATCATAATGTTATTTGTTCTTTTGTTTGTGTGTCTTTCGTTTGCTCAACTTCAATCTGAACAACTCTCGAAGTTGGACAAACTTGAGCAGAAATTAATAAAACAAGTCAAAGATGGTGTTGAAATGGGCAAAGTTTTAGCCGAACTTAGACAATTTAGAAACCAACAAAAAATTACTAAATCACAACTTAAAGAAACAAAACTGAAACTTGACACCGCCGCGATGGAAACGTCAAAGAAGATTTCGAAAAAGATTCAAAAAGAGAGAGATGAGTTGAGAAGATTGCGAATCCAGAGTGCTTTAACAGAACTTAAAAAGGATATGATGTGTGTGAAACAGATCGACTACGAAAACAGTCTAGAGTCGGACAAAGACGCTCTAAACCTTGCTCTGAGAACATCTCCCAAAAACAAAATTTTCTTAGAAAAGTCGATGAAGAAAGCTTGGGAAATCAAAAGACAAAAACTTGGACTTCCAAAGAATAACAAAAAATAAATGTCAGTTTTTAGAAAATGTTTTATGTTTTTTAATTTTTTTTATTCAATCGAATAACATTTAATATAAAATGTTTTTTAAATTTATTATTTAATTTACTATAATTAATTAAAAATGTTCAGAAATACATAATCGACACACTGCTTGAAAAGCTATTAAGCGTGGTGCATGTAAATATCATCATAACAATCTTGACAAGATATAATTAATCAACTATGAAATATTAAAATACAATAAAAATTTTATTATTATGGGATTTTTTAAATTAATTTTATAGTTTATTAGAACCAGAATGGTATTAATAATAAACTATAAATACAACTCATAACAACTTGGTGGAATGACAAACGCTTCAAACGAACCACTCCTCAGGAAAACATTTTTAGGTAAAGAAGAACAAGAAAAAATAGAACAATTTCTTAACAAAGACGTCAACATTGAAGACGAAAACGAGTCTGATTTCGAGGAAGCGACGGAGGCTGTCAAGAAGAGGAGGGAACTCAAAAAGAAAGCGGACGAAAAAAAGAAAAATTTTACATCTGCGGCTCCTGTGAAAAATGTTACTCGAGAAAAATAATTTTTTTTTTTTTTTTTTGTTTGTATTTTTATAGTTTTTTATTATTAATTTAACTACAAACTAAAATTTTTCAAGTATTTTCATTACTTGAAAAACCGATTCGTTTAATTTTGAGAACTTCCAATTTTATAGCATAAAAATCAAGTTAAATAACGTATATAACTTTATTCTATATAAATAACTTATATTTATTAAGTGTGTTAAAACGAATAATCCCGAGGCCATGTGTAAAAAATGAATCACAGAATTTGTCTTCTTTTCTCGTATCACAATTTTAGATAATGAGTGATAACTTGAATTATAAAAGGAATGGGCAACTCAATACCATTTTCAATTGGAAATGTTCAACTCGACAAGAAGTTAGGTGATGGGGGGTTTAGTCAAGTCTATCTTGGTAAAGTTCCCAATGGTTCTTTAGTTGCAGTCAAAATCATGGGATACTCTTCCGATGAAAACATGCGACGAATTCAGCGTGAGATCGAAGTCCACAAATTGTCAAGTGCATGTCCATACGTTGCCCGACTAGTCGAGTTCGTTTCTCTTCTCTTTTACTATAAATTAATAGTATATAACTATAAAAGAATAGCATATCTATTCTTTGATATTATTTATATTATAAATGTAGTAAATTTAATACAATACTATATTTATATATATTTATAGTATGATTATAGTAAATATAGAATATATATAGAACTAACTCATTAGTTCGACTGTTATCAATTTAAATTCACAAACGTCGATTGCGATGGCGTTAGAGTATTGCGATAGCAATTTAGTGACGCAGATGGAAAATGCATATCCATATCACATATCAGATGACGAGATAAGACAAATCATGATATGCCTCTCGACATCTTTGAAATACATTCATTCGATTGGGTACTGCCATAGAGATATAAAAATAGAAAATGTTTTAATAACACGCGGGAAGTATAAGTTGGCCGACTTTGGAAGTGCTATTGAAGCTGATAACTACCTCCATCGGAATCAAGGAGACGCTGGAAGTATCGAAGAGGATATTGAAAAGCATACGACACCGGAATATCGATCACCGGAGATGGTTAAAGTGTTTGATTATTTACCAATAGGAACTCAAGCCGATATTTGGGCATTAGGATGTTTGCTTTATAAAGTCCTTTTCTTTGTGACGCCGTTTGAAGGAAGTCCGATGAAAATCATGAGAGGAGTGTTCGACTATCCAAAGAACATTTTAGATGTCCAAAAGGGGTGGATTAATATGATGTTAGTCGTCAACCAAAACGACAGATGTACTGCAGCGGAAATTGAAAGTTGTGTACTGAATAACACTTACACACAAGTCAACAAAAGTCCTGTAGTCGAACAACATAGTGTCGAAAAGACTTATGAAAAGGCTGAAGGATTGAAAGTAACTCCTCCAAGTTCTACTACAACAGCAACTAACACAATTGTCACTAATCAACAACTCCGTCCACGTGGATATACTCAGAAACTTGATATCTTCGTGAACACATCGAAAGACCGACGCGATGCATCTCCAAGAGAACCCGAGATGAAAATCACACACCAACGAAGTTCTTCAAACTCTTTATTCACACAAAAGGAACAACAAAAACAACAAACTCTTTTAGACTTAACCGATCAAAAAGTCATTCAAAAGAATGAAATCCTTAAAAACATTTACTCGTTGTATGACAAATCATCGTCTCCTTCAATGAAACCTATTCAACCATCTCCTTCCCCTTCTATTCCTCTCGACTACTCGTCTTATTCGTTCTATCAAACTACTCCACAAAACACGTTTGGATTCAACGACAGCGCTTTTGCTCAACAACAAACTCAACACGTGCGAGATAAAAACGTGTTCAATCCACCACCCCCTTCACCACGAGTTATCGATAGAAGTGAGCAAAAGCTCGATAAGTTGGACAGCGACATATTCGCGCAATTGGACACAAAAAAGAGAGGCAACAGAACAAGTCCGTTCTCCTTCGACTCGTCCGCCTTTTGAATTTCACTTTGTATTGCTTCGGGTTTATTATAGTTCTTTATATAGCACTTTTACTATTAATTGTAGTTTTGCCCCGTAACAAACAAAAAACAATCAATGACCCTCAAGAAGCTGCTCTGCATTGTCGAGAAGGTATGTAAAGAACGCATTGACATTCTTCGCTTTTGTTATTGCCTCCACATTTGTAACTTCACTCCAGTAGATGCACGGACCTAACATAATTCCCAAATTGGAACTCGACATTTTATTCTCGTCTACGTGACTTCCTATCACTCGACACAGGATCACTAAGTTGTAGAGCAATATCCGGTTGACATCTGGTAGCAGCTGAAGCACTGGTTTCAGTTGTATATTGTCGATATTTTCACTTCCATTAGCTAGAGGTGACTAATAATAATAATAATAATAATAATAAATTATTATTATAATTTAATATTCAAATAATTTAAATATGGTTAATTAACTATAATATTATAGTAAAAACAAACCGAACATATTTGATATTGTCTCTCCAATCTTGTATGTCAGAAGAGGCTCTGGGAGCATTCGTAAGTATGTTTTGAGGACTGAGCAGACGATATGAGTATCCTCATCTTCATTAAATCTGACGAACATCCCACAGTTGAAGTCTTTAATAATTTGGTCGATTTTCATTTTTGAACCAGTTAATCTGAATATTCCCTCCACTGAGATAGTTTCAACGCGTGAAGAGAAGTACATGATGGCACATTCGATAACAAGAGGCACTTCAGACAACCCTCTGAAAGGATGCGCAACGACTTCCGTCAATGGAATTCCAAAGATGGGATGGTCGAGACATATAGTATCTAGTATAGTCTTTGGGAGACTAACTGAGCCAACGGGGACTTCCTTATAAAAATCGTATATATCCTTGACAATGCAGAGCTTCTGCAAGTCATCTTTAGCCAAGTACTTTTGTTGTTTAAGTTGGAGGTTTGTTGGGATGAACGCGTAAATTTTGAATAAGTGATTTTTGTAGTCTAAAGGGAGTAGAGTATATAACATCGCAAATACGCCATAAGGGAGAGGGAGGGCTTCATTGATGTAAACTACCACAAAATCGGTTTTAAATATCTTCGAGAAGAATTTCAAGACGAACAAATAGAATCGTCTTGGGAATTCAGGGGTGTTCTCTATAAGGAATTGTTGATTGAAGACGACGACTTGTCTTCTCGATCGATCATACCCCGCTAGTGTAAATACTTTAGTGTTAAATTCCTCAAAAGTGGTGTTAAGTGCCGTCTCAACATCTTTTTGAAATTGCGTTTGACAGTCTTCGGAGATATTAAAGTCGTCGTCGGTATATAACGGCGTCATGCAATCTTCAAATTCTAGTTCAAATATAGTTTTCTTCGTCTTTTTAAAAAATTCAAAGACTTTCCGTTTTGGCGTTAAAATCTCTTCATCTAAAAATACAGGAGGAGAAATTGAGTGAATGATTGATTCCTTATTATCTCTCTTTTTCTCGGAAACTTCAGACGGTGATGTCACTATTACAGTATCATTTGTTTTCACAAACGTGTATGTCGCAACTTTGGAATCGCCATCTTCATATAAAAGTAACGGCTTCGGTTGTTTTGCGTGAGGGATGGTGATCTCCTCGAAATCAGCAAATTCCCCAGTGAGAGGTGGAGATTGCGTGCGTTCCACCACTTTTTGATCTTCTAGTTTTGTGAAGGTTGGGGAATAGTTCGAAAATACTTTCGTTGGTTTTGTAGTAAAAAATTGCTCAAAGTCGTTGTTCTGATCTTCAGTGGTCATACCTTTTGTGTTTTTTAAGTCAAATTATATTTTTTTTTTCGTTTTTTTTATCGGTTATTAATTCATGTTATCACAATAATTCTATTCTATTAAATGAAAAATCTATTTGTATTAATTAAGCCAACCAAAAAGAAAAACCGAAAGTAATAAACTTCTAAGTTCCCGAAATTTTCTTGCAATAAACCTTTAAGTGTTTAAAGAATAATTTTACTTAATAAAATAATTAACAATAATAATAAAATAATAATAAAAGACTAATATAATAATACTCCTTTAATTAATAAAATATTATTTAATTAATAAAATAAATTGACTTTTATTTAACAAATTAATACTTACTAATAAAATATACTAAACAATCAATCAAAGAAATTAGCAGAAGTGATAATTTTTCCTCATAAACGCCAAAATGAGTTCCAAGAACTCGTCAAGAGTCATAGTGACTGATCTTCTTTGGTCCATCCCCATTTCCCTTAAAATCTCGAGCATTTCATTTTTGACATCTTTGTCCTTATCGAATTCGAGTTTTCTCATCTTACACACTGCTTCCAAATTCCGTTTCATAGTTTCAACGACTGAAGTGATTGTGAAAAGACTTTTCAGAGTTTTATGTTTCCTCAAGAAGCAGATTCTCAAAAACCCGTCGAATTCGACCAAATTGATTTGAGGTGCTGGTTTAACGGGGACCATTCTGACGACGGATGATTCGACTTTAGGGGGTGGTTTAAAGTTGTTTCTTCCGACTTTCATGACGTGATAGATGTCAGCCAGGAGATGTGTGTTAACGGTGAGTCGACAATAAAGTGGGTCTTCCGGTGTTGCGACAAGTCGAAGAGCAAATTCTCGTTGGAACATGAGAACGGCGGATCGGAATTGTGGGCGATGGTTCAATAATTTAAAGACAAGAGGACTTGAGATGGAATATGGCGTGTTCGAGACACAGACATCAAAGTAAGGCAAGTCGACCTTTAAAAAGTCTCCCGTGATGATTTCTATCTTCTTCACGTAAGGAGTGATCGACACTCGTTTCTTTAATTCAGCAGCCATACGCGGATCTATCTCTATAGCTATCAACTTTTTGCACTGCGGCAAGATTTTCATGGTTAAGTTCCCCGTCCCCGGCCCAATTTCTAAGACCACGTCTGTACGTCTGATCTCAGCTGCATCGACTATTTGCTGTGCAATCATCGGGTTCTTTAATATGTGCTGCCCTTCCGATTTGTGAAATTGGAAGATGTTCGTTCCGACTGAGTCACTCATCTCTTACTTTTGAATTTTTCGGATGGTGAAAAAAAGAAGTGAAAAAGGAGGGTTTCTCTCTCGTTCACTATAGTATTTTTTACTATAATCGTACTTTCAAAATAGTATTTATTTTATGAAAAGATTGATGCGGTGGAATGAAATGAGAGATAAAGATGAAAAAACAAAAGGAACGATCAGTTACTTCTTTCCGGTCTTCTTAGCGACTTTCTTGGTGGCTTTCTTGTCAGCGGTCTTCTTCTCAACTTTTGGCTTAGCGGATCCTGGTTTGTTTTGGGTGAACACCTTTTCGGTATCAGCGAATGAAACGACCTTGACGCCATGAGCCTTCAACAAGGTATATCTCTTCAAGATAGCGTTGTATCTCTTTTTCTCGGCGCTCATGAGTCTTCTGTGTTCAGCCTTTAATCTCAACATCCTAGCCTTTCTTTGGATTCTTTGTGGTGTAACGAGTCTTTGGATCTTTGGAGCCTTTGATCTGATTTTGCTCTTTCCTTCCTTTGGATGCTTTTTGACGACGTCTCTTCTAATGACAAACTTTCTGACGTCTTCCTCCTTTGACAAGTTGAAGAGCTTTCTGATGTTCGAAGCTCTCTTTGGTCCAAATCTGAGTGGGAGTGGGTTGTTGGTGACTCCGTCCAACTCGGCGTCTCCTTTCTTGATAAGGACGGTGTTCACAACAGCGATGTCTTGAGCAATGATGTCACCTCTGACGGTCTTTCTCTTTCTGTCACCTTTACGGAGTGGCTTGTAGCATCCAGTTGTTCCGTCCAAAAGAAGTCTAACTCTGTTGTTAGTCGCAACACCAGTCATCATTGGGAATCCGTCTTTGTCAGAACCACCAGTGACCTTCAAGATGTATCCCTTGAACTCGTCTCCAAGACCAGAGGCGTCGACCTCTTGACCAATTCTCTTGTCGAGGAACCCTCTGAATTGTTTCTCTTCTTCAAAATCGAACTTCTTCACACGACCAGTCACTGGGTTAGCAATGTTGATCTACAAGTCAGTCTTTTTCCTATGTTATATATACGGGTGTTGTACCTCCACAAACCTTCATTCCTTTACTTCACGAAGCAACCTACCAAGTTCTTAGGGTTCTCTTCCCAGCCTTTTTAGTTCTTTATAACTCTTTTTACTACCGTTTTTTACACTCTGTTATTAATTATTTTACTATAAATTTACTATATCATTTTCGTCTTTTTGTATATCAAGTTAATCGGAAAGCAATTAATTGGAACATGGGTTCTCAACCAATTTAATTTCCTATATCTTTGTGTAGAAACTTTAAAACAGAATAAATCTTTCATTTAATGTATTTGAAATGATGTGAATAAAACTGATACAATCAATCAAGGCTTGCTGCTGTCCTCCTCCGCCATCTTGACGGGAATAACATTATCACCCAACACACTCTCAACTTTCTTCTTCAATGGCGACGTCATCTCCATCAACTTTTTGACTTCTTTTTCGTCAGCCATTCTTTTGATTGGAGTGATTGGCGGTAATGGTGGCAACAACATTTTGTCGTCTTTTTTCTCTTCGAATATCGGTACTAAGCTCATTCGGTCTTTATAAATATCAAGTACTTGAAGTGCTACGGGTTGCGTCATTCCACCCAACCCATCGAGTTCCTTTTTAATGATTTCAATGAAGCCCGCGTCGACGAGCGTTGTGTTATACTCAATATTACCACATTCAACAATGATATCTCGTAGTGACCGTAAGACGTTTCCTCTCTTCTGGTTGTTTCCACATTCCAATTCTTTTAACAACATGAGTAAGACACCAGACGATTTGATGTACGTCTTCACTGCGTCATCTTTGAGCATTGCCAATCGAGTAATAAACTTACAGAAGTGGGAGACGTACTCCTCTCTCTTTTTGAGTTCGCATTTCTCATCATTTTTTGATTGTGTGCTTTCGACGACACTTCCCTCATTTTTTTCGTCTTTAATGATGCTTCTTTCCTCCATTTTAATCTCACTTTTCTCATCACTTCTCACCGCGTCTTTTGGCTCCAAACTCATTGCTCTCCCTTCGTTGTGCTCTTGACTTTTCATCTCACCTTTCAAATCTTCATGACTCACATCAGTGAGATTTTTGAGTTGGGATTGAAAAGGGCCGATCAATATATTCACAACATACGGAACAACATGAGACACCATCACCTTCTCATACTCGACACCATTCTCCCCCACAAACATGGCTTGCTGCAACACTTGGAACGCACCATATAAAAACGACCCGCTCGACAAGATCGCCGTTTTAGAGATTTCCTCCAACACACCTTTCTCAATGACTGAGACCGCCACTACACTCCCTGATTCTAACAGAATACTAACAACGTCAAGGCAATACCCTTTGTTCTCATCATTCAACCCGTATTTGATCACTTCAGTTATCCCCGCTGTTATAAGTTGCTTCGCGCGTTCTTCTCGGGCACTTGGGGGAAATAATCCCAAGTACCCACAAAGGCGTTTTGTGGCGATACAGATGCCACGCTTTGTGGTGGTGTTCGAAAACTCATATTTTGACACAAAGCCTTCGATCACCTTAGAGGAAACAGCCTCATCGAATATTTGCGTGTTAATTTTATCAAGACGGCTGTTGATCGCAGCGACAATCGTTTCGTCTGCGAATCGCGCAATAACAACGTCACGTAAGTAAACGAGGGCAAAGGCGTGTTTGATGAGCTTTGCCATTTTCTCTGTTTTGCCAAAGATTTCAACCATCTGTTTCATTCGCGTTTTAAAGTCATCGTAGAAATTGATGAAGTTGTTTGGTGGTATTTGCTGGTCATATGACAAGATGACAAACATTGCCTTGACCATTTGAAGGTTATACAATTCGTCGAACAGCGCTTCGTCGGGGATGAATAAAAGTGCTTTAACGAATAGGAAAAGGCGTGACACAAACTCCTTTTTGGTCACTGCAAGGCTTTTTGCTGTTTCAACGACACCTTCGATGACATCACTCAAACAAATTTTCGTTGTTAATTCTTTTAAGTTGCGTGAGGACATCGCCTTTAAAGCAGCGTCTCGCAACGTTTGCATGTTCTCTTCGCAGAAATCTAAAGGTCATTCAATGCTTTAAAATGTGTTGGTTAGTGACAAACCCAAAGTTTCGTCGTCTTTGATCTGTCGCACACCAAGTTTATCAAAGGCTGCGCACAATGTGGCGCAAAGTTTTTGATCGATGAACGACAGCGCATACTCATCTTGAAAAGCTTTTCCTTGTATTTGTACGACCCTCTCATTTTGTTTTTCAAACGCGTCTCCCTTTATCATCACGACGGCTAATATGTTTTTGATGTCATTTTTAATCGAAATGGTGATCTCCGTGTCGTTTGCAGTAAACTCGATGTTCCCAGTCCCCGCGTCCTTCCAGTCGTTGTCTTTCAGCAAAAACACTTTGACAAGCTGTTTTTTGTTCTGTTGGGTCATTTGCATTCTTTGTTTTCTTTAGTTTTTCATTCCTCAATTCTTTCTATTTCAATTTTTTGAAATTATTTTTCTCATTTCTCTTTAAAGTTCCGCCAATGATTTTCTCTCCCGATTTCATTTGTTGGTATCTGCCGTTTTTCTGGTCTATTTATTTCGTCAATTCATTTCCATTGTATTAGTAGTTTTAATACATTTTATTATAAAGAGTATTAGTCATTTTAAATAAAAATGATTAATAAAAAAAATGAGAAAAACTGGTAAACTATTTTTTTAAATACATAAACTATAATATAGTTACCATAAATGTAAATGCAAATGAATTACTTTGGGAAAGATAAGTAAGACGGTTTACACTTTTTTTCTCCTTCCAACCCATTGATATAATGCAAACGCAACTTTGGCCCGTTTCCTTGAGACAAATAGGTACGTGCCGATAAGGTCGCTTGTCCAAAATCATCAGTGAAGTACCCCTCATCGAAGCAACTATCACACACAATTCGACTCTTCTTGTCGAGTGGATTAAGGGTGTAGATACCAATCTTTGTTCTCGAACACTTCAAACAAGGCATTACCATTGTGCTTGGAAGAGAGTACGGGCAAGAAGCGTTAGTACACCCGACACATGTCTCCGGTTTTCTCATAAATTTGTTTTGAGTTGAATAGCACTTTGGGCAAAACGTTTCAGTTGTTGTTTTGTTCTTGACTTGTACCAATCCGAAATGACAGAGTGGACAGGTGGTTGGTTGTTCTAATATTTTGATCTTCCCAAGGGGAAGCTTATAGTCTTTACGGCAAGTGTTGCAAGTGATTTTTCCTTTTTTGGGGTCGACAACCATTTTATTACCACAAAGACCACAAACTGAGGCATAGAATAAATTCATCAAACGATCAAAATGGGCGTTGAATTTGTTTACAAATTGTTCTTTCTGTTTTACTAAAGTGTTAAATTGATCGAGATAGAAATCGAGTACCTTCTGCTTTGTCTCTTTCTTATCTTTGAGTTGTGTGAGCAAGTTGTTGTAAGTCGACTTGTCTGAGAGTTTCGGGGTGCTTTCTTTAATTGCTTCACAGAGTGCTTTGCCAAGTTGAGTTAATTTGATTTTGTACCCGCCGTTGATTCTTCTTAATAAGTCTCGCTCAATTAGTTTCTCAATGTATTTGATCAAATTATTCCCATTTCCAAGCTTTTTGTTTTCTAAATTGTTTAAAATATCAAATTCACTGATTCCAGAGATGTTCTCTTTATTAATTTTTTGCACTACAAATGTTTGGAGATATTGTTTTGTTGTGTCGAATGTGGTGTACCGTCTCTTCTCTTCTACAACATTTTCTAACCAACTGTTCGTATTTTTTAGTTCATACTTCTTGCAGTCAAAAGTGACGTCTTGGACTGTAATGGAATAAGAGTGAACAGTAACATTTGCATCTCGATGAACTGCAGTACTAAACTCTCGAATTACTTTAAGCATTTGTCTTTGCTTAAAATCCATGCGTCTGTCATGTGAAATTTCTTCATCAATTATTTCAATACTTTCGTCTCTGTTTTGTATGTATCTATTTTCAAATAAGGCTCTGTATGTTTTTGAAGCCACAGAGTAACTAGTATTGTAAAACTCTGCATAGTATTTGATTGAAGTGTTATCACTCTCCAAAATGTTATTCCAATTAACAACAATTTGTTGCGTTTCATGTGTTGGAGTGACTTGTACTTGGTGGAAATTCTCAATAAATTTCTTTGCTTCATTTTTCGTCATTTGTGGAGACTTAAAAATCATACCATTATGAACTATTTGAAGCACAGTACTTGTTGCGTCATTTGTGAAATCTTTATAACACGAAAACAAAACTGGAAATTGGCACGGCCCATAACTAAGAATGCATTTTTGTTTGAAAAGTGTTGAAAATTGTGTGGTGAGTAAACTTGTCGAGAGCCGAGTAAATGCAAATCCAACGCGTAAGTCGATTTCTCGTTTTGATTCTCCAAAAGAACTGATTTCTTTATTGGGAATTCTTTTGATTTTGTAATCACTTTCAATTGAACTTAAGTTATACCCATTAGGTTCGACAATGTAAACTTTGGCATACTTTTTGAACTCATCTTGAAATTTAAAAATTTCATTTTCTTCTTCAGGCCCTGGGACTGTCCAGAACAGTACTTCATTCACATTATTCTCTATAATAAATCTTTTGATTTTTCGGGTATTGTTTATAGTTTGTAATTCTGAGTCAAAAACATTTCGAGCACTTTCAATTGTCCACTCAACTTTTTCTGTTGTTGTTGTTTCATATAAATTTTCTTTTTCAAATGTGACATAAATATTTTTGGTTTTCAAGATATTGAGCTTCTTGTTACTCTTGTTGACATGAAAAAAGTAACGATCAGTTTCAACAAAAGCATCGTCTTCTTTTAAGGACAAGGTGTGTAGCAAACTCATCGTTTGCTTTTGGGTGTGTGTAATAATCAATGTCATGGAATGATTTATATAAAAATTCAACTTGTTTATATCTAAAAATTTTTTAGTTACAACCAATTAAATGATTTTTCACATGGTTAAAAATCAAGTTTTTCATTAAAGTCGCAACGATTCATTCCAATCTCTTTTTATTAATTACAATTTTGTGTTATAATATATTTGTTTCATATACAGTTTTGCGTTATATAATACAGATTATAAAAAACAATCGCAAACTGAAAATTTTATTTTGATTTTGTACAGTTCAACTTTTTTTTTATTAATTTGAATTATTATTTATTTATTAAAAATTTTTTTAAATTATTCAATGAAATTGATATTATCAAATGTTTGTAATATAATAATAATTATAATAATATTTTTTTTGAAAGCAAATAATATAACAGTCCTTTTTATATAATCAAAAAAAAATTATGTTAAAAAAATTTAAGTAAATTATAACTTTACAATTTATTTTTTTATATTAAAAAAAAATATTTTTCTTTTATATGTTAAAACCAAAAGTCAAATATTTGATCATTGTTTTCAATATTTGTCTTTTGAATACAAAGGCAAATCAATGATATAATTTGTCTGATAACAAAAGAGGTCATATGTTAACTTCATTGACGAGAGAATCGTTGTTTGATATTTAAACAACACGAGTTCATCACAGTTCATTCAATGAAATTCATTTTGTTACTTTCTTGTTTAATCTTCTCTTTAGGTGAAAACTGTTATCAAGTTGACCAAGAAAACCAATGTATTAAAGATGGTCAAACTCCATGTTCAGGTGATGTTACTGTTCTTGAACCTACCATTAATGCTATTTGTGAAAATGGGTTCAAAGACAACACACAAATAACCAGTATCACCATCCAAGATAATGACCAATTTTCTTTTCGAGCTTCTGCATTCGAAGGAGCCACTAAATTACAAAGAGTAGCTTCGATTAGAAATATCATCAATGTTGGAGTTAAATCGTTCAAAGGATGTACTTCATTGACAACAATTGATTTGAGTTCAATCAAAGTGGTACCAGAAAGTTGTTTTGAAGGATGCACTGCACTTTCAGAAGTTTCATCCACATTTGGTCAAGTTGTAACATTTGAAAACTTTGCATTTGCAGACAGTGGCATTTCTGAAATTAACTTTGCAACAGATCTTGTGAAAATAGGAGAAGGTGTCTTTAGAAATACAAAATTCACTTCTATAACACTTCCATCAAAAACACCTTCAGCTGGATTTGGTGCACACGTCTTTGAAGGATGCAAAGAATTACAAACAGTAGATGTTGGAGAAACATTTATTATACCAGACTTCACTTTTAAGGGATGTAGTAAATTAATAACATTCAATGGGTTTGAAAAAATCAATTCATTTGGGATTGAATCCTTTTCTGAAACTCCATTGACGGCCATTACTTTTAATGAAACTGTAACAAAATTTGGAAACAAAGCATTTAAATCCACAAATTTGGTTACTATTGTCTTACCTCAAAAAATTGAAGAGTTTGGAACAAACGTGTTTGACTCATCAAATTCACTTACCACTGTTACAATTACCTCAAACATTGCAATTCCAGATGGTACTTTTGTCAATTGTACTATATTATCCACAGTCACTGGTTTTGAAATGATTACCTCATTCGGAGACTTTTCTTTCTCTTCTACTAAACTCACAACAATCACCTTTGGAAATGCAGTGACCAGATTATCAAACAAGACCTTTGTAAACACAAATTTAGTCAGTGTAACATTTGGAGAAACAGAAATTCAAAAATTTGAAACAGGTACTTTCAAAGGAATAACTTCTTTGACTACTGTGAATTTTAAAGGACAAAGTTCAATTCCAGACTTTACATTCCAGGGGTGCAACAAATTATTAACACTCACAGATACAAATGATGTCAACTCGTTTGGAAGGTCAGCATTTGAAGGTACTATATTCACGACATTCCCATTGGGTCAGACCATCAAATTAATGGATGACAACGCTTTCAAGAGATCACAGTTGACTCAAATTGTTTTACCAGAAACCCCTATCACGATCTTTGGAAATGGTGTATTTGAAAGCTCGGTTAATCTTAGAATGGTTGATTTGGGTGGAAATACAAACATTCCAGATTTCACATTCAAGGGGTGTACACCATTAAACGACTTAAGAAATTCTGCCAAAGTTATTTCTTTTGGTGCTTCGTCGTTTGAAAACACTCAAATATCGAATCTAGAATTTTCACCAAGTCTCAAGAAAATTGGAAGTGGTGCTTTTAGGAATACACAAATGACGGCTGTAATATTTCCAAACCACCAAATTGAGGAAATTGGAGAAGGTGCATTTGAAGATGTGTACAACCTCCAGTCTGTTGTGATTGGCGGAGTAACAAAATTACCCAACTTTATATTTAGAAATGATTTATTACTTAACTCAGTCAACGGACTTGAAAAGATCACATCCTTTGGTGAAAGCTGTTTTGAAGGTACAAAGATCACCAACTTCATTTTTAATAACAACGTTGAGAGGATTGGAACTCGAGCGTTTGGTTCGACAAAGATAAGTAACATAAAACTCCCAGAGAATCCAATTAAAGAACTTGGAACGAATATATTCGAACAATGTTGGGACCTTGCAATTATCGATTTTGGAGGAAGTACACGTATACCACAATTCACATTTTTAAGTTGTGGCAGTCTTTCACTTCTTACTGGAACAGAAAAGGTTGTTACTGTTGAGGCAAATGCATTTGAAAACACACCATCACTTGAGTCAATTAATTTGTATGCACCACTTACTTCTTTACAAGACACTCTCCTTTCCCAGAAGAATTTGTTCTTCCATGGAAATCAACAACCAAAGGCACTCACAAAAATAAAACAAGGGTTGAGGATTTTCGTCACTAACAATTACACCAGCACTAAGTTTGGAGAAAATGAAGTCACAAAACTCAATTGCTCAACACTTCAGTTCATAGACTTGACTGCCCAACCACCAGTTTGCAAAGACTGTGAAGATAAAAAGGCGACTTTGGACGGAGACAACTACATGTGCGATATCGACATGACGCAGTGCTTAGCAACACACGAGAAATGTCAAATTTGTATTGGTGATAAGTGCACAAAGTGTGAAGAGAAATTGTTTGTTGATACGGTGAAGGATGAGTGTGTCGCGGAATGTCCAAAAGGATACTACGACGGTGATATAATCTGTGAGAAGTGTAAAGAACATTACGATAAGCCTTGCAAAGACGCAGAGTGCGAGAAGTGTACTGGTGGTGTTATTGGTGTTCTTGTTGCTTGTCTTGCTGTTGCTCTTTTCTTCGTGTTTTAACAAATTTGCTGGTTTTCTTTTTAGTTTTGGTTTTGATTAAATATACTATCTTTTCTTATAATTGTTTATAGCATAAAAAATAATCAAACTAAATAACATTTTTTGTAAAAACTTATGAAAGAGAATAAATATATTTGTTTTTAAGGAAATTGAACAATTTAACTGAGAATGCCATTTACGATTTGAAAAACGCGTGTTTGAATCATGACTGTACAATCAAAAATTTTAAATTATGTATACATCAATAACTAATACTGTTATTAATTTTATATCGATATACGTTATAAACAGTTGCCATTCGTCTCTTAAATTTCATTTAAATAAATGAATAATTAATTAATTTTATGTTTTTGAGTGTGAGAATCATTATCTTCGAACAACAAAAAATATATTAATACAATTAATTAAAAACAACATAAACATGTCTGGATTTGGACATACGATTCACTCTAATTTACAAACTAACGTGTTATTTTTAATTTAAAATATTGTAAAAAATTAAAATAATATGCGATAAAATTCATTATTGTATTGCGATAAAAAGTGTTAATTATTATTGTATAATATTTTTAATATAACTTTAAAAGTTTAAATAACACATAAAAACATTCTGCCAATTGTTTACATTTATTCATTTGATAAAATTCAACAACTTTGTTTAAGATTGTTTTTTTTTGAAATAATAATTAAAATATAATTATTAAATTTGTTTAATTGTTTTATTCAACAAATAATGAGCCGATTTAAAATTAATAAATAGTGTTTATTAAGTATTACAATTGTAATTAATGGATATAATATTGATATTAAATCTACATAAACATTTTTTTAATAATTGTGTTGCTAAAAAAACAAGTGATATTTTTGTATTAAAATAACGTGCTTTATGATAAAAACACGTTGTATTGTTTTTATTTTATGAAATTGATTATCAAACGTTGTCATTATTAACAATTAAATGTCTAAATTAACATCATGAACAACACGAATGTTTAAATGTCACTTTAATTTTATTTAATCTTTTATTGTTATTTTAATTCAATTTTGATTGTATTTATTACTACAATTGCCGTAATTATTTTTATAAATAAAAATTCAGTTTCCATATTTATATTTTATTTATAATTAATATTTATTGCGCTTCAATTATTTTTACTTGTGGCGTTATTATTTTTGTTAATTTATTTAGTTATTATATATAATAATTAAATTAAAATGTATGGTTTTTATTATTTTAATTTAATAAAATCAAAAAAATAATTAAAGTAACAACTTTTATATAAACAGTTGTTTTACAAAAAAAATGATGAATAATAAAAATTATATTAATTAATTAAAAACTTGCCATCACATTTGTATTTTAGATGAATGAATTTGAAATTTGAACAACAAAGATGGAACAAACCAAACCTATAATTATAAAAAAATATTTTTGAAAATACATTCTTAATTCTACAATCAACTTGACTAATAATTTTAAGTGTTTTATTATAAAAATTTAATAGATAAAACTGTACTATTAAAAATTATAAATAATTTATTTAAATTACAAAGCTTTTTTATTATTATATGGATTTTTATATTGCAACAAAAATAATAACAATTGAACTAATTTAAAAATAGTTTTAACAAAAAAATATAATGCGAAAAAAAAACACAATGATTATTTTTGTAAAACATTTCGCAGAACTAATAAACAGTTTCTGGCTTGTATGTCAAATAAAAAGTTTATGAAAACAACCTTGTAATTTATTATCGCGATAATTAATTACTAATTCTGAATGATAGATATTAATAAATATAATACTTTTATTAATAATTAATAAGATCAAAACTATTTTTTACAAATTACATATTTAATGAAGCCGAAAAAGTTGCGACAGCGAACACTAATTAATAAACAGAGTGATGTCGCTGTTGTTCTTGTCGGCATTATCTCGCAATACTCAAATTTTTACATAACAAAACCACAAAAGAAAACATCTATTACTCGCTCCCTTTTTCGCATCCACAAAATCGACTTCGGCCAGGACGACATCATTGATGTCCTAGAGTTTGTCCGTCGGCGCGAAACAGAACTAATCGCCGAAGAAGTCCGTAAGGGTCTCAATGAGTTCACTGCAAAACGAAGAATGCAAGAATCAAAAAGATGGGAAATAGTTCATTTGCTGATGGACATTGGCCATCGGTTTGGTTGGGATGTCGAAACAACACGAGAGGAAAATTGTGGGTTCTCGGGTGACACGTATTTGGTGCAAAATGTGAGAGGAAAGCGGATCGAAATTGATAAAATCACACAAATTGCTGACAACATTAGAACTTACGTTTACCAGAAATTGGGAGGTGATAAAGAAGTGATTATAGAGAGGGGAGAGTTGGAGAAGTTTGTGAATGTTTTAGAGTGAACAAGAAAATATTTATTAAAACCAACGCGTTCTAGTTATGTACTACTTTTTAATTTTAAATGTTTACACATAAGGTATGTTTTGTGTGTTTTCAATGAGTTGTTAAGTTAGATTGATGATACAAATAAAAAATAAGGTGTTTTCTCGTCCTGTGAGTGAGAGTATAATTGAATGTTATAATTGTGTTGTTATATTAAACCCATATAGCAATAATCAATTTGTATGTTTTGGGGGTATTATATTTATTTTTTTGTAACATACTATAAAACGTTTAAATTTCTGTTAACTTGTAACACATTTTATTATAATGATATCTTAAATTTTTGAACATTCGTTGTGATTAATATTATAAAAACAAAATGTATTTTTGGGGTGTTTTTTTAATGACTGTACTCATTGTTAAGAAAATGTAATCACATATTCAAACATATTGTGTTAAATAAAAAATTCACGTTGAATAAATAAAAAAGGTATATCTTGGATTAAGTGTATTGAAAAATATCATCTTTTGATGAACCACAAATCGTTATTGTTTAGAATTAATATAAATGCTTTACAATACATAAGTGAATAATACAAAATACAAGAGAATAGCTTTTCTGTGATCAATAAAAAATGTATAAAATTGGTATTACATTTTTTTATTTGATAAAAACATCATCCAACTGCCAACTAATTGTGTTTTAGTTTGATCAAACTTATTTTTTTATTATTGTTGATTGTAATTTTAACATCCGCCAAAAAATATAGTCTATATCATTGAAAATATTTTTTTCTATTGTCATTTTTATAAAACAAAAAAAACAATTTTCTTATTATAATGTCAAAACGTGGCAATTTTGAATGTTTATAATTAAATAAATTAAAATGAATTCCATGGAAATTTATCTATTTTTTGTTTGATTCGTAACTTCGATTTAGTTACCTTATTACTGTATCTTGGTTTGAATTCCAAGTTTTGGTGTAACAAAGTGATAACATGTAACACTAACACCAATAATATTTTGGACTTGATCTCAATAACACCATCTTTAAAAATGTTTAAAAGCAGAGTTTTATATTTCTAATTAAGTTTTCTTGTTCTCGATTTTCCCCCAATTTTTCCAGTTTGAAATCCATACAAAAAAACTTTCAAATTAATTGTTTTCAATTTCCAAAAAGACAATTTTTATTTTATTTATTAAAACTATATGTATGACAAAACTAACCAGAGTTAATAGTATCTTTTTGTCGCATTAAATGCGAAAACTAATATAAATTTAAAAAATTAAAAATACTTAAACCTTGTTTTATTGTTTTTCAAAAGTGTATATTTTATTTAAAATTGGTTTTCTTTCAATATATTTACACTAAATAGTCCCGTTTTTAAATTTGCATTCAGTTTTGGTCTTTTTTTTTCAACTCCAATCAATTTAATATTGTTGTTATTAACTTGTTAGTAACAGAACACTTTAAATCAAAATATAACGTTAAAAACCGTTATGTGTTTTTATAAATAGTTGCAATTTATGTACACCCTTTTTCGTCCTATTTTAAAACTATTATTGTCAGTTAAACTATAAAATATAGTACAGTATTTCTTTGTTCAACGAGACCATACAAATACAATACAACAATCATTTAAATTGTATCTACAGATTAATTCGCAAACGTCGCTTCATTAAGACTATCAGAGGAGTCCGAAGATTGGTTGCTCTCAAACCCATATGCGTCGTTCCCCTCTTCAAGGACGTTCATGTTCTTCTCCGCAAGCCTGTTCACATCAACACAGTCAAATCCCCCAAACCCCGTCGAGTTCTCTCCGAGTGTTGGTGAGACTTCTTTAGTGTCTCTAGAAAAGTAACCCGTGTCGTCGTCTCCCGTCAGACTTGGCACAAATATATCCTCTCGACTTTCATTCAATAATGAGTTCCATCGAATCCCATCAAAGAAAGTGTGGCTCTTCACTTCCTCAACCCCTCGCGCACTCAACCGCTTTTTCTCGTTCGGATTTAAAAGCCTATTTACTATATCGCACGCACTTTCGCTAATTTCAAATTCGTCGTGACTCGGCCAGTGATAGTCATTCGTCCGAATGCGTTTAAAAATGGCCTCCACAGTCTTGTCGTTGAAGGGGGGTATCCCTACCAGCATTTCATATATCATACACCCAAGACTGAAAAAGTCACTTGCGCTCGAGTACATCCTTTCTATGATAACTTCCGGCGCTACATAATCTGGTGTACACAAGATTCGACTATCCAAAAACCCATTTTGCTCGTTCTTACTCCCAACTACACTCAACCCAAAATCTGTCAACTTCAAGTGTCCATTCACATCAATCAAGATATTGTCCGGCTTGATATCTCGATGAATGATACCCATCGAGTGGATACACTCAAGTGCTAATACAATCTCTGCACTATATATCTTCACAGTACTCTCAGGCAAGATTTCTATTTCTCGAAGTAAACACGCCAAATCCCCACCCGGGCAGAACTCCATAACAAGAAACAAGCTACACGCATCTTGAAAAGCATAATACAGCTTAACGACACTTTGATTGACCGACTGCTGCAGAATTTGTTTCTCCGCAAGAACACCATCAACTACATTCTTCCGCACCATATCCGCTTTCCGAGATACTTTCATCGCATAGATATCTTTGGTGGTGTTTTTACGAACAAGATAAAGGCGCGAATAGGCGCCTTGACTGAACTTCTTGATCGCGGTAAAATCCTTCAAAGAAACGGGACAAGTCCCATCAACTTGCATATCCCCGTCCCACAGTGACAGGTACTTCCAGATGTCCGAGCTATTCTTCGTCAAGTAATTTTGGATCAGCAGCATTCGCCGATTAATCAACGTCGATATGGTCCCCGCAAATACTGAAAGACAGACATCACACGAATTCATGGTGACTTCATCTAACATATTGACTGCGTCCCGCATCTGTTCGACCGTTTTCTCATTGACTTCGTTGATGTTCCCAATTGTTTCTATCAGTTCGACGACTCCGTCGTAATTCAGTCCGCCTTGTTGGATTTGCTTTTGCTTAATAAGTTGGTCCTCCAGATTTTTCAGTCTCTTCTTACACGACGGCTCGTTCATCGAGATCTCCAAACACATTTTACAGTAGAACGTGTGTTTGGCCAACACATCCAGTTGTACCTCTCTCTCGCAAAGTCGACAGTAAGTTGTTCTTAGTATGTTCTTCTCGAGTTTTGGTGAGGACGAGTGTGTCAGTGGTGACGAAGGTAAAGAGGCTTGAATCCGTGTACCCCTATTCATGGACGATTGTCGACTTCGTTGTGGCAGAATTGGTATCTCCGCGACTTCCAAGAACTTTTTGACGACTGGAGCCAATGAAATGAATTCCTCGAACAATTGGTAGTAGTGGAATATTAATGTGTCGCTGAGGTTGTTCATAACACAGTCTTTCAGTTTCTGTAAGTATTGGTTCATGAATGTTTTCGAGTTGATGTCATCGATATTCAACAGTTCCAATTGTCGAAATAACGTGAACGTGTTCATTTGGTCCAACGTTTTGTCCACCATCATTTCATACACCAACGATATGCGTCGCGCCTCTTCTTTGATCGCAGTGAATTTGCTCAACACGTGTTTGTCCTCCGAATCGTCGAGTTTCGAAAATTCAAGTCTCCCTTTTGTGGAAAGACTTTGTTCGTACTCACTATACTTCCGTTGTTTCTTTTTGAGCACAGAACAATAATTCAGTGCTAATACCCACTCATTAACAAACTCTTTGTCTACTTTGAAATTGTAAATCGACCCATTTAAGAGCTTCACAGAGATCTCCCCGTCTCTCTCCTCTATTACACTCCCCCGCAAATCTAACACATCACTCGGCGCTTCAAGTCGTTGGACGCTTCTCTCGCTCGCAAAATACACCAAAACGTTTTCTTTGATAACAACGTATTTAGTCGCCCACGTTGAGAAGATGTACGACTGTTTAAGAACATTCCCACAGACTCGCGGGTGTCGAAGCGACATGAATGGCGTGCTCTGTTTCTTTTCCACAAACCATTCATACACATACACGTTATCCATTGCTCCTTCAAGCGCTATAACTTCAGATAAGTACTGTTTCAAAGCTACATCTCTCAACGGATACACTACTTTCCTCGAAGGAAGTTGTGGTAAGTTCTTCTCCCATTCATTCCTTTCATGGATAATTCGGTCCAATGAGTCGAGTGGTGGTGTCACTGCCTTTGCGACTTCATCATCGCCAAACCCTTTGTTTTCACATTTCAAAAATTGTGAGATGTTCGACTGACTGGTGAACATCGACGTCTGCTTCAACTTCGATTTGTTCTGTAAATTCAAAAAAGGCGATGTATACGTCTTTTCCTTCAAGACTATCGGCTGACTCTTTGTCACATTTTCTTTCACGACCCTTGGGATTTGTTGAATGGGCGTTCCACTGATAGTGACTGGTCTTCGTGGGGTTTGCGCGATGTTTTTTGGAGGCGTGAGTGATATTGGGGAAGTGAGGAGAGACCCGGACTTAAACATCGACTTACTGCCAAAAGGCTTATTTTCTGGTGATGAGAAAGGGAGTGGTGGGGTCATTGCGGGTTTATTAGGAGGCGTGCAGTGTGACTTTTTAGACGGCGGAGTTTCTGTTTTAGTGAAGCGATAGTCCAGTAAGATCAGTTGGTCTTTCTTCTCTTTCTTTTGTAATCTCGCGTTTCGCGACGGGTCCGAAAATGCGTGCAAATAGATGTCCAACTCGTGGACGTCCGTCGGCTTCTTAAACAGAAATTTTGTTTGTAAATCTAATTGCATGGTGATGATATGAACAACAACACACTTAAAAGTCGTCAAGTCAATTTGAAGCTCCGACTTGACATCTTTGACTTTGATTTGTGTTGGTTCGGTTTGAGGCGTCGGGGTACCAGAAAATAACAGGGAGTCTCGTGGGGTGACTTCGAGTGAGGCGTTGTCGCTCTTTAAACTGTTTAAAAGCCCAATTTGTGTAGGACGGAATGTCATAGTCCGTGCGGTTGAACTACATGGCTTCATGTTCAGATAATCTAGTTTCTTTGGTAGTTTTTTTATTAAAATATATTTCTATTCGAGTTCTATTTTGATTTATTGGTCGAGGCGTTCATCCTGGTGTTTTTTTGTTTAAAATAATTTACTATACATTATGGTTTTATTTACTATGAAATTACTTGAAATAATTGTTTTAAATCTGATTGAGAATAAGTGGAAAAATCTGCCAAGAAGTATTTTGGTCGTATTTAGTATTTTTCCTACAACTTGATTTCCTTTTATGGAAAACACTTTGAAACAAAATGAAAAAAATAAGTATTATAGACGTTAATTAATTTGTTATAATTTTTACTTACTATAAACTGTTTTGAAACACCTTCAAAAATTGAAAGCATAAAAAAAAGAAAAGTTTTGTAATTCAAAGCGTAAATTCCTTTTCAAAAACAAAAAACAGATTTCTTGACTTCACTTAAAAATGTTTTTAAAAACCGAAGAAATAAACTTCATTTTAATCTTTCTTATTCTCTGATTTATGTTAGTTTATAATAATAAAAACAACTATTATTATAGCTATGCCGTCATAGATTTGGGATGTGTTACTTTTCTACTATCTTCCGAAAACTTCTTTGGAAATGGTATAAAAAATGTTATTTACTTTTTTTGTGTTTCACTTGTTATATGAAGTAAAAATGGTTTTTCTCTAGTTTTTTAATCATTCTTTTAGTATCATCTGGAAAAACAAAACTCAGAGTTCAGAACGAACGGATTTTTAAAAATCAACACTACAACACCAAGTAATTAGAAATAGTAAATAAACAATTAATGTATGGAATATCCAGAGTGGCGAAAATATAGCTGATTGGACAGTTTGAGAATAGAACAGCATTTAAGGATTGAAAAAAAAGAAAAATAAAACACTCTTATGAGCAGGTTCACAGCATTTGACGCTTTTTTGGACGACGACAATACCCCGTATATTGGGATAAACACATTGCTCGAGATGGATGTGACCGGGGAGGAGGAGACCCCAACAGAAACAGTTTGTGACACTTTTTGCATTTACTGCAGTGACGGCCTTTGACTTGCTACCCACTCTCAAAAAGACCAAGCAAGCACATGCTCTTGTGAAACGTTCACAAAGCGCTGTGCTGTTGTTGGTGTCCATGGACATAATAGAAGTGGGTCGAGCAATGAGGCGGTCAGGTGTTCTCAAAATAAAGCTTACATTTTTATAAACACATAACTTTAACATTATTACACCCGTTTATAATCTATTTAAAAAAGACCAATCAACTAGGGAAATTCAGGCGATTTGTTTACAAAGTTTTCAAACTCACAATCGTCTTCAGACGATGCTGAAGACGAGAAGCAAGACGAGGAAGTAGCACTCTTTACGCCGAGTGGAAGATTCACACCTGAAATTACCGAAAAGCCTTTCGCGTTGAAAAGAGAGACGCCCTCTGTCGATTTTGTGAGAATGAAAAAATCACCAAGTCTTAGCATCCAGAAAAGAGGCCCACAAAACTCTTTCACTTCTTCGATGCCGAATTTCCCATATGTCGCGCCGTACTTTTTCATGTCCCCGATTAGTCACAACTTGAGCGTAGAAAGTCAGACCGAACACCAACAGAAACAGGTCAAATATGGAACAAAACCATGCATTTTCTTTATGCAGAACGGCTATTGTAAGAAAGGAGATAACTGCACGTTTTCGCATGACGTGTCGACAACACACAGCACAAACACTTCGCCACAAAAACAGTTTGTTTCGGTCGATAAACTGTACAGGACAAAGCCGTGCAAATACTTTTTCGAGACAGGCACGTGTAGAAAGGGTGAGCACTGCAACTTTTCACATGATTTGAGCCTTCGAGATGAATATTTGAAAGGGAACTACTAGAGCCCCTTTTATGACTGATTGTTTTCATTCATTTTCATTCACTTCAGGTTTGTGTGTGTTTTATCCTCTCTTGTTTCGTTTTTTGGATTATTTCTATGTCCTTTGGGTTGAAAGAAAAACGAATATTATATATAATAGTTTTTATATCATTAATAATAAATTTGTTGAAAACTAATTTATATGATATAATTATAATTATTAATATTTTTATTAAAATATTTTAAATTAAAAATTAATAATTTTATTTTAAATAAATTAAATAGTTTTATATATAATAAAATATTATAAATAAATTTATTAATTTTTTTTTAATCAAAATGAGTAATTATTTTTAATAATAATAATTTCAAAGTGTAGTTAAGAAGTTTAATAATAATTTTTATTATTAATAAATTGAACTATATTAATATTAACCATATTCAAATAATAAAATGCTTTTGTATGAGAACTTAAAAAGAAGTAATAGTAGAAAAAGAACACCAATAATCAATACAAATTGCGCCGCCAATCAGGCAGTAATCCCAAAATGTATTTAAGAAAAAAAGATAAAAAGTGAAAGGTAAAAAACAACTAATTAAATAGAAAACGGTATGAAACCAAAAGCACGACGAAATAAGGGACAAAAAATCGAGACGGGAATGATCGGGTACACTCCAGATACTCCACAACGCACACAAGACTATCGCCAAAATGACCGCCAACCCCCACAAGAAGAAGCTCAACAACAAGACCGTCAGGGATACCAAGACCGTCCACGACAACAACCGTATCAGAAGAGGACAAATCATTCGGACCATCGCGAGAAGTTTGCGAAGTTTGATCAAAAGGAACGCCCTGGTGACCGACAAGACAAGAAATATCCCAATCGTTATGGGATCACTCAAGAGAAGAGAGAAGAGATCAAAAAAGTCAACGAAGAGTTGAGAAAGAAACATCCGACACTCTTGCCGACGGGGTTAGCTCACGAATTCTTTATAGACTCTCCGCAATGCAACCCGCCCCATCCAAAGTACATGACCGACCAAGAAGTCAAGAACACCATATACTCGGCTTTTGAGAACATCCGATCGTTCTTTGCTTATAAAGAACAGTACTACGAAATCTCTTATAAAATGTCGCACGGTGCAGAACAGGAGGGGAGTATCGTGTCCTTCTTTTCGCATTTACATAAGTCGTTGGATGACTGTGTGAACAGGTATTACCCACATTCACATCGATACCCAATCGAGTTGGTCTCTGTGAGCACGTCTAAAACGACTTCGATGAGTCAGTTGCAGTTGTCTAATGGGAGCGAGAGTGACTTCATGTTTAAAGGCGCATTACCACAGTTCGACTCTGCATTCAGACTTGAGGAGATGTTATTGAACGCAGTCTTATTTAATGATATCAGACAATTGGAAATGGTTAATAAGGACAATGCACAATATATGAGTCCCGAAGTGTCGCAAGTCTTAACGACAAAGAAGACCAAATTGAGTAAAGCTGTTGCGGAGATGATGATCAATAATATGGTGGAAGTCTTTAGGAGAGAAAAGGGACTTCGGTTTGTGAAGAGAATTTTCAGCTTACTCCCAGACGATTTAAAGGCACAAGTGGCTGGTACGGTAGTTGGCCAACTTGCAGTGTTGTTCCAAATGGATAATACGTATCCTAAAGAGCGTTTGGATGTCTTCACAGAGATTGGGACATACATCTCTGAAGTCAATGATGTCATACAAGTCTCCGAGTATATTGGGAACTTGTTAGAAATGTTCGGGGAGTGTGGGAAACAGTTGCTTGGAGAAGACTATTTCGAGATCATCAAAGGCATTCTACAGAACCAAACACTCAAAAATGAAGAACCGGATTTGTACCAGGAGTTCTTAGAAGGATGTTGTGGAGTGTTGGAGGAGCACACGGGCGAACTTTCGAAGGCCGTTGTAGACTTTATTGAGAAGATGAAAGTTTAATGTTGTTTGGGTAACAAATTCTACAAATATAGTAATTTTTATTATAAAATAGAGTAAGTTGAATTGCTACTATACTATAGTTTAGTAATAGTAATATTATACTAATGATACAAATAGAACAGATCACATATTACTTAATTTCCACATTCACCCATTCAGACTCTGAGAGCTTTTGAAGTTTCACATAGAGAATGCCTTCATTATAAAAGGCTTTTATTCCATCTTTACTTGCATCGATTGGAACAGGAACTTCTCTTCTAAACTGTCCATAGAGTATTTCTGTGAAGCAAAAATCTCCTTCTTGCTTTGGCATCTCTTTGTTACCAGCGACTGTGATCCAGTTGTTATTGAATTGGAGAGATAAAGTTTTCTTGTCGATACCAGGTATTTCGAATTTGAGTAAATAGGTCTTGCCCGAGTCTAAAAGTTCACAGGGAGGCTCCCAAGTCATTGAGTTGAAATGACCGACACCATTTGGATCGATGAAAACTTTGTTGTTTGATGTGGAAGACAAGTATTTGTAAAGATGGAACCACTTTGGCTGTGGCTTCATTATCTGTTGCGATGATTCTGTAGCGTATGGCTGAGGACTTGGTGTGTTGCTTGATGACATGTAATGAATTAATCAATTTGCAGAGTATTTCTTTGGAGCCCATGTGTCAGTGACTCAGCAATACGACCTCTGCTCTATTTTTGGAATACATTATTAATTAAGTTTTAGTTAAAATTATTATATACTTCTAGTTTAATTTAAATTGTTTTTTCATGATAGTAAAATGGTGCCACGTTTATACTATTAAGATAAAACTAAACAAATATGTGGAATATGTCATATCCTTGTTATATTTTATTCTAATTATAATAGTAGATTTATAATATAAAATTATTTAAAATATTAATAGATATTTTATAATATTTTATAATATAATTATATTTTTATTTGGATTAATTATAATAGTAAAAATTATTATTGTTTTATTATATCATTAAACTATATATTTATTATATTTATTAAATAAACATGAAAGACTTTTACCTAATTTAATAAAATGTAATGTAAATAAATAAAACAAAACGAAAATAAAATTTGTTCACTGTTACGACATTAAATTTTTTTCAACTTTACAAAATGATAAAAAAAATAAAACTCATTTTGGTTTTCGAATGTTATTTATATTATTAATAATATAAATAACAATTAATAAGTTTAGATTATGTATAATTACTTATTGTTTTATATTACCACTGAAATTCTTTAAAATATAAATCTTGAAACCTTGAAATTATTTAGATTTTGCAAAAAAAAGAATCCAACAAAACCAATACCAAGTAAGGGAAGTTTTTTGAATGAACATTTAAAAAAATTTTGTAATTCAATAAATCCCAAATCTATTGGTAGTATTCAGGAAATACGATTTGAGGGTTGTGATCATTTATTGTTTTGGGTTTTTAACTTTCTTTGGTGGAAATATAGGTAAATACAAGAATTCGGCATTTACCATAAATTGCTTTGTTTTGCATAAAATAATTTTTTAGAGGTAAAGTGGAAAAAAATTACGTTGTGTTGTTTAATGTGGTTTATGAACCAACAAAACACATATGTTTTTTTATATTTTCCCGTTATGATTAGGTAAACGTTATCTGTTATTACATAATATAATATCGCAAAATCTTATTCAGCCAAACATATTCTAGACTCGTTTTTTATATTAGATTCTTAATCTTTAAAAATACAATAAATCTGCAAACGGTGATAACTTTATGTTTGTTTTTTATAAAACTTTTACTTAATTTTAAAACCAAATATAAATTAAAAATAGTCCAATTGTTGTAGCAAATTATTAATTAAAACCTTTTTTTTTACTCAATAACCAATTCCCATTCTTTTTGGTGTCAAATAGTATCAATATTACAATTGTTATTTATTAAATACAATAAATAATACAATTTAAAAATGTACAAATTCGGGTTATAAGGTATGGTAAAAAAGAAGAAAAATTTGTTATACATTTTGTATCAATTTATGGATTAGGATTTATACCCGTATTATTAAATGTATAAATTGCCTATATATAACCAAAACCACAATTACAGAAATTTCAATTTTGTGTTTCTAATATTCTTTATATAGAATTGGTAATAACAAACGAATAACAGAAGAATCAACAAAACTTTAAAAAAGGGCCAATTAATAATTAAAGATTCAAAAAGCAATTCCTCATGATTTAATTAATCGATATTTATCGCAGTAACTTGCACAAATTTCTTGTTTAATTAAAGTTGTTGTTACTGCACGTAACGCATATTTATTGTTTTGGTATATTTTCTTTGAAAATAATATGGATTGTTGTAACCATAATACAAGTTTGTCTCTTTCGTTGCCAGGGACAAAACATTGAAGGATTCAATAACTTAGAAATACTAAAATGCCATTTACAAAATGAAAAATCCTGAATTTTTGCGGCGATTCTTTATAAAAATAACAATGAAAAGTCGCTAAATTCATTCGTTGAATTATATAAAGTAAACAAGGTATTTTTTAAACATACCTTTCCCAACAAAATTAAAAAAATGAGGTATGTGTAATTCCCGTGTTTTCGCGTTTATTTTGTCCAAAAAATGGAAGATGATAACTACTGAACCCCACCGATTGAATAACTTCTATGATATTTTAAGAGCCATAATATTATCCAATAAAATACAAGAAATCTCTTGTTACTTTCAACAACCCAAAAAAAATAATACCATGCTATTATTAAAAAACCGTTTTGATAAACCTTTTCCCATGTTTTAAGACCCACTTCCACTCACTTTTTGTACTACAAAAGAAGTTTGTCCAAAATGGTTTTCTTGGCAACCAATAACAAACGCCCAAATCCCGGAAAGTTGCCAACAGCTCTAGGAATAGCTGGAAAGTGAAATTGTGCGTGATGAACTTAAAGCAGAAATATAAATTAATTGAGGAAAAAAGGTGTTTATTATCAAACTTTGCTGCAAAAGGATGTGACTAATCGGGTTATTTACATTAGAAAATCAAATCCAACCACCTGGGTGTTCTGTGTTTTCTTAGGCTAAACAATTAAATTGTGAGCCGAAAAAATAGAACAGTTGGAATAAAGGGGGGAACTTTGATATCACACCACATAGATGAACAAGTGTTTTTCTTTCGACTCTGCCACAACAGTTTTTGGGTCTCCAGCTTCTTCTCCATTCAATGCGCCACAAGAAACCTTTTCATACCACTCCACTCCTAAAAAATCACACGACCGACCTCATCGAATTTCAAAATTCAATTTCAGCTCTATCTCTGGACAAATCGTTCTCCCAACAACACCACGAGACACTATTCCACAAGTAAACAATGTATTACTTTCATCAGAAAAATCACATGTTGGGGTCAATTCAATCACTGTGAATACCTTCAAGAATGCAGTTGAGCACAACGACAATATAATCGTAGTGGATTGTAGGTATCCGTTTGAGTTTGCAATGGGTCACATCTCTTCTGCTATTAATGTATGGAACGAGAAGTTGTTAAAAGACGTCTTCCCCGTCTATCAAGGGGCTGTCCCCATTCATAATATCGTCATTTTTTACTGTGAATATTCGGGAATGCGTGCTCCGTCTCTTGCCAATAAATTGCACCAACTCGATGTCAGTAGTGGAAATCTCTACTTGACATACCCAGAGATCTACGTCATCAAAAACGGCGCTTTCGACGTCTTCAACAAAGCCAAAAAACTATTCGTCGGAAGTTATGTCGCAATGAATGACAAGAGGTACTCTAAGGAGTGCGCTGACGCACGAGCTATCGCCATTTCTCTTCGTCAAAAGAGAAGGTGCTCCACGCAATCCTTCACTCGTGAGTCTTTCTCCTGTGATGTATATTGAAACATTGTATTATTTATAACTAAAAAATTCATGTCAAAAATTTAGGGTTATCTTTGCAATTTTTTGTTTGTATCGATTGAGGTTTTAATTTTAAGTTCTATTTTGAGATTTCAAAAAGCGAAAACTATTTTAAATAAAATGTTATATGAAATGTTCTTTGATAATGTTATTAAAATGTTATAGAAACTCTAATACCAAATTGATGGAATGGCGAATTAAACGATATGAAGAGTTAACTCTCGACGAGTTATATGAAATATGTCACAAGCGGATAGAAGTGTTTGTTTGCGAACAGCATTTTTTGTGCCAAGAACTTGATTTGTTTGACAAAACTTGTTTTCACGTTTTTGCACTTTTTCATGGCAAAATGATAGCGTATTGCCGAGTTTTTCAAAACGAAAAAGGTGAATGGTTTATTGGTCGTGTTTTAGTAGTCCAGCCGAATCGTAAGACAGGGTTAGGGTTACTTCTCATGCAAAAGGCGGTCGCCCACGTTCGTTCACAAAACGAAAACAAATCCATCTATCTTCATTCTCAGTGTCAAGCCCGACCTTTTTACGAGAAGTGTGGTTTTCATGCCATCGGTGATATTTTTGATGAAGAAGGCTGTCCCCATATTCTAATGGTTAATTAATCTATTTATTATAACTGAATTGATTGAAATTAAAAATAATTAAATAAATACTATTCTTAATAGTTTGGAAAGGAATAGTAACTGAAACAATAAAAGAAACCAAAAAACGCAAAGAACAAAATTGAATTCGTGGAGGACTTAACTGTGTTTCCAGAACATAGCGACGAAAATACCAGCCGCCATAACAACAATAGAGGACAGTTCGAGCCAAAATCCTACATAAGGGTTGGGGGAGGATTGTGCAAGCCACTCGGAAATGTTATTTGCAAAGAAGAGAGCGAGCCACAAGATCATCCCGACAATATTAATAGCAAGTCCTATAATACTGAATATCAGTAAGATCCAAGTACGTCTTCCAACATTCAATTTCATAGCTTTCAAGCACTTTTGAGTTGGAGCACAAGCGTGGAGCAAGTAGTAGAGGCACGTGAAAGCAGTGATGACAATGGATACTATAAGAAGAACCATCGCAACTATCCCAGACGCTTTTAATTTTTCAAATTCGTATGTGTCCGCATACCCAAAATGTCTCAGAGAAGTCGTTTCATTTCCATTGTCGTCCAAAGCAAAACAACCGTCATTCGTCCAATGTAACAGATAAAATTGGTATTGTCTTGGTATTAATATATGTTAATAACTTATAATATATAAATGATAACTATATTGAATTAAATATATATTATTAAATATATAATTATATATTAACAAACTGCTTCGTTGTTTGAACATTTGCTTTTGCCCAAGAGATGGGCAGAGAAGCAATGGTAAGACCAATACTCACAACAAATAAGATGCCGGCAATGAACGGCAAGACAACAAATTTTCCCATTTGATTTATAAGTTCACCGCCTGCTTTTCTTTTGCGAGTTATATTTTCGTGCTATTATTGCGTCTAGTTTTTTAAACTAGTTGTTTTAGGTGGCGAACTTTTGATACGAACTTGGAATTAACATGAACGACGTGGTCATGTCAAGCCTTTCTTTTTTTTCATCTTCATCTGCTTAAAATTCCTTATAATTCTTTAAAGTGTTTTTATCGAAAATATCTTAGGCATATTTATTCTATTTAAGGTGTAACATTGCTGTGTGCTATTTATAATATGCAGGTATAGGTTGACTTACTATACAAAACAAGAAGACGCGGCAAAAACATTGTTTTGGTTCAACGAATTTGCATTCCACAAAATAGTTACATTCAACCAAATGCTTCTATATTTAATAGCTCTTTTACTAAGTATTGAATGGTTTTTCTCATTTCAACACAAAATGAAACCAAAAAACGACTTGAAACATGGAAAAAAACTAGTCTTTGTGGTTTTCAAAACTATACAAACCAGTTTCTTTTTTGTTTTTTTGTCCATTTTTTCATCAAAACTTTTTTTCGACAATACGTCAAATTTTTTATTTCCCAAAAATTAATACCACTCAAATGTTATTATTATATATAGTTATTTGTACTATTAACTTACAAACACAGTTTTTTGGTTGCAATGTTTGGGAAACATTATAACAAAAAAAAAACGATTATTATTTTATAACTTTTATTACTACATTTCGGGATTATAACGGAGACTCGATGAAATCTAATTATGGTCGAAAACGTGTTAGGGTACGCTCATTATGCCAATTTAGCAAACAGATTATTTGATTTATTTTGTCTTTTGTTTTTTTATCTTTTTCGAAAAAAGAAAAAGCGAATTTTCGACTTTTAGAACTCCATCTTGAAACACCTTCTTTTACTCATATCTTTCGTTATATTTTTAAACAATATCAATAATTTGTTTTTGTGCTTAATAAATATTAAATATAATATAGTTTATTATATTATACAATTAATTACATACTCTCTAAAAATAATATAGTATTAATTATAATATATAGTTGAGTTTGTTTATATAGCTTAGAATACGATACTTGTATAGTACAACAAATATAGAACAAAAACTATACAAAATAAGTTAAAGAGCTATTCGATTTTTTGCGATCTTTTTTCTTTCACTTTCCTTTCGAGTAGGCGAGAAGCAAGGGATGGACACCCCATATGCGATAAAGTCAAAAAGATCTTTAATTCCTTTATGTCGATATATTGAAAGCGTCGCCCACCCACATGTCTTGAGTTGTTGTGCCAAATTACAAATTTCAGTGTCTGTGACGACACTTTGCTTCACATCTTTCAAGTCTGCTTTGAGACCAACTAAGACACACCGCCCATCAGAGACTTCTGTGACTTCATTAAACCACTTTGTCTTGATGTCTTCAAACGACTTTCTATCGTTCATCGCAAAACAGAGGAGAAAGCAATCAGTTTGGTTGAACACCCTTTTGCGCTCAATCGGACTTTCACACATCTGCATGTCGTGGATGTCTAAATCGACAATTCGCCCCTTCACCGTGATGGAAACTTCATAGTCCGACGTCTCCGTAATAACAACAGAATCACTGATCGAATTCCGCGTAAATTTGGAGACAAACGACGTCTTCCCTATACCTTGACTGCCAACAATACACACCTTCATCTGCTTTCCTTGTTCTTTTTCTCGTTCATCGATTTGTTGGCATTTGCACGTTCTTATTACCACTTCTTTCTTTATTAATAGATGCTATCGATTTAATGTATAGAATAGACTTGTAGAAATAGTAAAATATATTTCATTATTAAATTGTATTATTAGTTAACCATATGTATAATATGCCAAACACTGTATGAAAAAAAAATCTATTGTATTTTTGTCATTATCGAGCGGAATTAATTTAATTTTAGTACTATCATTGTTTAATTATTTCGTATTATTTAAAAATATTATTATTATTAATTATTTTTATCAATGATTTTATTATTTCCAAGAATTTTTTGTTTTAATTATTTAAAATTGAAACTATTAAAGAATAAAAACTCATTTTAAATTCAACTAACTTTTAAAAACCAACTTTTCCTTAAACTTTTCAATAGATTATTTTTTTCAAAAAAAAAACAACTGAAATTATAATTTTAATTATATTTTTTTTACTATTACCAAAATTATTGGAAAAGGAAAAAAGGCACACCAAACAATGTTATCTGTTTGATCATCATCCTGACTTACTCGTATGTGACCATCGTTTGAAACAACTTCAACTCCTCGAGTGTTTTGTCTGCCATCTCATTGAGCGGCTGGTTGTACGCTCTTTGTTTCAGCTTACCACAGTACATTGGTTTGCCACTTTTGGTGATTTCGAACTTGATATGTGCAATAAGATCGTGTACGGTTGTTGTCACATCGCCTTTGAATACAATATTCCCATATTTATACCTGATCTTAACAACTTTTTTTGAGTCTTTCGCATATATATACTCCTTTGGCTCTATTTCGTCTGGTTTATCCTCAACCTCCCCCTTTTCGCTTTTTAGTGTATGTCCTTTGCCCCACGTATTCGTTTTATCTTCTTCATTTTCTTCGTTCTGGCTCTTTTTTAATTTCATTAGCATGTACATCATTTTGAACTGCGCCTTCTGTTCGTCGGTCATTTCCTTTGTGAGAAACTCAAGCTCTTCTTCTTCTTTCTTCCCGTATATTTCGTCTTTTCCCTTGCTTTTTTTCCACCCTTCTGTGTTGCCGTTCCTCCAATCGTAATCTCGATTCGTTTGATTACTTCTCACATTTTCACGACTCTTAGGGTTTTCTAATTTTGGGCTTCCTTCTCCTTCAAAACACACATTGGGTTGTTGTGGGTTGTTCGTCACTGGACTATCTTTTTCTCTCACTTCCTCACTTTTCTTTTGTGTGATTGTTTCAATCTCAGGCGTTGCCGGAATGACGTCAGCTTTAGGTGCTTCTTTTGGTTCTATTTTCTCGACCTTTTCAATTTTCTTTGGTGAGAAATCTTCGCTTCTCTCGTCCACTGTTTGTGTAGTTACACTTTCTGTTTTCTCAGTTTCAACGACTTCCACATCCTTCGCGCATTCCCACACAATTTCCTCTTTAAGTCTTTTCATCAAATTCTCCTTCTCTGCGTCGTACAATGTATTAACGTTACACTTAATATCTGTGTCATCATCCTCCTCTTCACCGTCTTCATCGTCAATAAGTCCAAATAGACGAAGAAATGTGCTAGCAGCACCTTTGTGTTTCAGTGTTAATGACGACCAACATTTCAAAAAATCGATATATTGTTCCTCAATAGGTTTGATAGCAAGGGCATAAATCTTTTCCATGAACGGATTTCTTCTATTCAAATTCTCATATCCTTCCGGTCGACTCTGTCCATGAAAGTAGTTCTTATTCACGTCTTATCATTAGTTTGTCTGTATTAGTATTATTACTATTATCTATACTAGTTATATTATTAGTAATATCAATTAAAACAAACTATTCACAGCCGACAGATTGACAAAGGCTTTAAAAGCCCCTAAAAAGAAACGAGGCAAATACGCCAACTCAAGATGTGCTCTATCGCTAGCATTCCGAATGCTGACAACAAAATTGGAGTCCACTGACATCCCAACAAGAACGTCATTCACAACAAAAGCAAAATCACAGAGGACTCCATTCACTTTGTGCTTAAAGCCACAAGGGCATATACCTTTCTTCGTCACAACAGAATCGGAAATACGCGCGTCTTCGCAATTAAATACAAATTTGGACTCATCGACTCGAATTGGCACGTCTGTGCTTAATACGTTACCAAAGGCGACGACTAAATCTTCGACAGTCTTTTTGTATTCTTCAAAATCACTCGAAACTGCACTACTAAAATTGCTTTGATACACAAAGACGTACGGACATGTATGCTCGGGAAAGAGCTCTCCTTGTCGCTGAATGAAACTTCCAGCATATGGAAAATTCTTTTGACCAACATATAAGAAGATGTGTTGCAAAGTAGCTTCTTCTCCTACAAGAATAAACGACTTTTCACTCATTGAAATGGTGTAGAGACGACTATTGCCAGACGTTGTTTGGTGAACACACCGGCCACATGGACATGAGTTTTGGATTAAACTTGTAAACATGATTTTTTAGTTAAACCAAAGTTATTTAGTTTAGTGTATAAAATTCAAATACTTTTATTTCTTTTGAGGGATAATAATAGTATTCAGTATAGTTGTTTTTTTAATTACATTAAACCATTTTTTTTTCAAATGAGGTTTGTGTGTATTTCATTGTTATTTTTTTCCAATCGAATTATCAATTTGAAATTAAATTAATTAATTTATTTGCTAAAATTTGTTGAGTTTTTTCGAGTTCGATTTAAAAAATAATTGATAAAAATGTGCAAATTTAAGTCTTTGTGATTTTATTGAAATGGTTGAATACTTGAGAGTCAATGATATAGTTATGTTTATGTCAATATACAGCAGTTTCATAACAAATTATCAATAAAATACATTATAAACTTTTATTGACAAATAGTAACAACATTTAACAAAAGATTGAATTTTCATTATATTTTGAATTGACAAACAATTAAAAAACACATCTTTATTTTTAACAACTCAAAGAAACAAAATATTGTTTAAACACAAAATAATATTGATCTCAACATCTAATAAATTTAATAAACATAAAATAAAGTGATTCAATTTACCATTAAATTAAACAAATCATCTTCAATAACATTTTTATATATATAGTCTAAAAAACTAGATGTACTTAATGTAATTAATTTTATTATTATTATGAATTATAAATAATTTATTTTACATTAACTTACGTTATTTTTGGAATAAAAAACTCGTTCAAAGAAAATTTTACAGTTTTTTAAATATAATTAGAATTATGTCTTTTTAAAAAAAGACCCCCTTTTTAAAAAAAATGTTAACAAAATAAAACCATGTCTCAAAAAACCAAATCAATATGTTATTTACGTTTGTTCGTTAACTAATCATAAAAATCTTTGTCACTATTCATTTTTTCGTACAAAATCATTCAAATGTAATTATATGTTATTAATAATTAAACAATTTTTTGATCCAAGTTATAAAACAAACAAACTCAAAATGTTAATAAAACAATGTTTAATAATTCTGAATAAAATTAATAATCGAAAATGTTACTACAACAAGAATGATTATGCAATAAGTTATATTTTTTTGAAAATAAATATTTTGGTTATTGGATTTGTTCTATTACTTTCTGTAAAAAACGGTATAATTTTTTAACAATGATATTTCCACAAAAAAATATAATTACAGCCCTCACCTACTAATTTATAAAATAACAATCACCAAGCAAACGTTTTAATCAACTAGTTCAACAAACTAAAATGCTGAACTCCTTTTATATTTTCATTTTGTTTGGATATTCAATCTTTTATTCTCTATTGTCGTGTAAAATTATCTATGTGTTATTTCTAATTTCCTTCTGAAAAAGGGGGTTTGAATAAATTATAAAGATACCTTTTTTAAATATTATTTGCCTTGTTTATTATTTTTAATGTCGAAGTACATTATTTAATTAAAACCAACTAAACATACGAAACAATTTGTTCGACATTTATCATCATTATTAATTGTTGATTTACTCAAAATGACAATTTCGTGATAGTCGTTGATTTCTAAAACACATAACAATAATTTGTTAATATTTTGCAATATTGACAAATTGTATATTTTTTAGAATTAAGGTTGTTGTGTTGATACTGTTCAAAAACACTAAAGTGTTGAATAATAAAACAAAATAACAATCAAAATACTATCTCATCCTCGAGTAGTCTTCGCAATTTTTCCTCCCCTTTTCTTAACACGTATGATCTAAGACCTCCTTTAAAACATGTGATCAGATATTTATTGATTGATTCTCCTCTTTTCATGATTTCCATTTTCTCAATTACTCTTGATCCAACTATTATTTTATCAACATATTCCACTATCATCGCGTCGTTCTTTCCTCTTGTCTGTTTAGTCTCAAACCTTACACCTCTCTCTAATAATATATCTCCTAACAGAATTACAGTTGCAGGTATTCGACACTTCTTGACTCTTCGTTCAGCTGTCTCCTCAGATATTCCTTTTCGAATATCATCATCTTTTCGCTCTTCTAATCGTCTGTCAATTAATTCGACAACATTGATTTCGTCGTCTTCGTTGAAAATGACTTGTTTGACTGGAATAAACGGAAGTGCGACCAACGTTTTCCCATTTGGCGGAAGAAGGATGATATCCTCTGTTCTGTTAAGTAATGCAATAAAGAGGGCTTCAGTGCACATTTGTCCGTCACGAATCACTTTGTAGCTATACAACTCCGTTTTCTTTTCTTTTTGGCACAGTCTTGGTGTTTTAAACGTTCGTGGCATAGCTCTATAACAAGAAAAAGCAGTTTGTTTTATTATCGAGGATGTTACCATATGATTTGTTTTGTTTCAAAACGTCCGCATTTTTTTGCTCTTCAATTGTTTTGCTCAAAAGTATTATCACATTTATATAACTGGGTTATGTCCCGTTACTTACGTTGAAGTTACAAAGTTTTTACAATTACTTTTTGTTAAAGGCGTTTTCGATTATTTTTCACAGAGTTAGGGCTAAATATACTTTTTTTCTTTTTTTCTTTTTTTTCCTCTTCCATGTTTAACTCAAATCAACCGCTTAAAAAAGTGTCAAAATCAGACTTTTTTCAAGTTCATTCTCCTTTCTTCTATTTTAATAAAGTGTAAAAAAATAACTTGGTCTTGTAGTTTTATCGAACAACGGCATTTTTATTATGGTGGTATATAACTATCTATTATTTTAATATATTTCTAGTAATTTATTTATATTATCATATTTTTTGGTAATGATATAACACTATTGCATGTATCGGCCCACAAGTAGATTGTATTATTCATTTCGTATGGTAATTATTCCTATTGATATAATATAACTAATTTATTAACATTTATATTATAAAAATACTATACATTCTAAGTTTGTAATGCATTTTTTTTGATTTGAAAAGATTTTAAATGGTTTTCACTTTTTTTATATAACTGTTATTTTATCACCTATTTATCATGAAAATGTCGAGATAAAAATAATAAAAAAACTTGATGGTAGTGCAAAAATAGTTGTTTGTTCTGAATAGAACTTACAATTTTCTGCAAAATTTCGGGTAATTGAAAAATCCTTCTATTTCTATTTTTAAGTCTATTTGTTGAAAGTTTCCCACTTTAGTGCACAAACACTGCCAAATTTATTATAACTAAATATATTTTTATTGGATAAAAAAACAACCGAAAAGAATTTTTTTATTCATGACAAATAAATACAATCAAACTACAAATTATTATCGTTTAGCTTCTAAATGTTTTAAAATTTTATTCAATTAAAACTATTTTTGTCTTTTTTTTACGATTTTTCTTTTTATGTTATTTGAACGATTTTTTGTATTATATTGTATTGGTATTAGTTACTATTTGTAATAGTTTAAACCGATTTATTGACTTTTACGCCACATAATTTTATTATAATAATAAAAATATTTGGAATATCATTTCCAAAAGTTACTTTGTAAAAACGAAGCAAAAGTAATGTTTTAAATTCGTTTTTTTTTCTTCATTTCTGAATTCATTTAAAACTACAATAAAACCATACATAATAGTTTTTCATATTTTCCACCCGCACACAAAAAAACGCCGAGATTTTTGCTTTTTTTAGAATGTGCAAATTTTGCAAACAATTATAAATTACTTGCCAACTAATTGTGTCGCCCATTGCAACTGTAAAAAATGTGCACTTCAATTATTGGAGGAGTCTTACTGACAACACATTTGTAGAATTTTTGATCGTTCGGTTGTCCAACTTACACGCACTGAGTGCCTCGTCGAGTTTCATATATTGCACTTGACACCTTCCATCAACAATTTTTATCGTGTTATTGACTTGACCGATCTTTTTAAAAAGTGTGATAACAAAGTCGGTGTTAGCGTTTGGAGGGATATTATTGACTTCGACCCAAAACCCGTCAATGTGTTTAGGAGTCTCTTTGATGACCATCTTGTTAATAGTCTTCTCTATATCACCCATTAAAATAAGACTATTTTCCGTCTTTAAGATCTTTTCCGTTTGAAGGTTGTGCATTATCTTCGGTTTGACGTTGTGAAATACTTGAAGGGCGACACTGTCGATTTCTTCTTTGTCTCGCAGGATCTTTTCTAAGAACTTTTCAGAGACTCGCAGCTATTTGTCATCATTTGAATTACCTAATTAATTACTAACTTAATAATAATATAGAATACATTAAATAATACATCAAATACGTGTACCTTATAACAAGAAAAAGAATCTCTTATATACAATCATTGTTCGTCTCTACTGTTGTGTAATTCGATATCTTCAAATGTATCAAGACTGTGTAGTACATTATAAAAAAACAAACTCTTCTATCCCCATCATAACTCAGTGCACTTGTCAAACACAAGACAAGCCTCAAAAGTAGACCAACATCAAATTTGAGGTGTTCCAATTTGTCTTCATGTCCTTCGAATATTCCAGTGATCCGTCGTTGTGAATTGATGTGGACGGCTTGAATCAAATGCCCACGTATTGATATCTCCTTTTCCCACTCGTCCAACGCCTCCGATAACACTTTTTGCGAGTCTAGCAAATTAGGATATTCCTCCGTGTATTTAGTGATGTATGAGTCGGTGATTGGTTTGAATAAGGTATACGACTTATTAAATTCATCAAACGCATTTTCCGTTTGTGTTGTGTCCGTCAAATTTTTGAGTTCGATGAGGGGGCGGACCGCCTCCTCATATTTTGTGATTTCGTTTTCGATGTGTTCTTGAAACGCTTTAACATTCTCTTGTGCTTTTTGAGTGATCAGGACCTTTTGCGTTTCAACTTTTTGCTTCGACGAAGACACTAATATGTCGCGATAATGATCGACAACTGGTTGAAATGTGAACTTCGGAATCGTCACTGTTTTAACTCTCGAGTCAAGTGTCGCCAACAACACGTCTAAATTTTTTAAGACACTCTTCGTCTTCTCTCCAAATGTCGTCCCTTGTTTAGTATCTTCAAATCCAAAAATATCACTCCGCTCCTTTTTGTTTAACACAGTCGCTGTCCACCCAGGAGGTACTAATCGATTTTTCTCAGCCCAAGACTGCCGGTTGACTGTTTCATTCATTTGATACAGTGAAGTGTTTTATAAGTCTCTGTCTTGTGGTTTATCAAAAACATTTTAAAAACATTTTATTAAAACAAACAATGTTATATATAGTTATATATAGTTATATATAGTTATATATAGTTATATATAGTTATATATAGTTATATATAGTTATATATAGTTATAGATACTAATAACTACTCATACACATCAATCAATAACACATATCAGTAAATGCTCGATATTCTCAACGATTTGTTGCGGAACATCTTTTGGCCGTTCTATCTGATCAAGTGTGATATCAAGTGTACACCTGTGTGACGTTTCTCCATTACCTGGAAGTTGTAAACGAATGACTCCACAAGTTAACTCCGAAGTTGATGATATGATAGAAGTCTTAGACGAGTTAGTGAAAGTGTTATTTTTTGTGAAAATTTTTCCATTGATTTCAAATAAGATAGTAGTTTGATAGTATTTGTTGTCTGTGGAACCTACAAATGTCGAGTTTTCTTCCTTTTGGAAAATCGAAGCCTTTTCGTCGTGTGAGAGCACACACGCCACAAACCCGTTGTTCTCAAGAAAGAAACAAAGTAATTGCATCTCATGTGACGTCATGATATGAAATAAAATTTCTGCTGACGGTGGAATAATAGATGAGTCGTATATCGTTTTTGAAAAGAGTTGAAGCGCTTCGACCGATATTGATCTGTTTTGACTTCCTTCATAACTTGGCGGTTTGGCTGGTAAATTCCCCATCAAGTTTTTTAGTCTATAGTTTAGTAACTATATTTATGATATATTTTATTATATTTAAACTATATATATTATTATATTATTATATTAAAATGAAATATACTTACTAATAATTATAATTATATAGTAAATTACTAAAACCAATAGTATCTAACACTAACACAATCAAACATATCAATCAGAACTATCGATTTCCATAATAACTGTTTCTTTTATTTCACCTTCAGGTCGTTCACATATAACAACATCGTCTGAGTGGGACTCATCGTCTTGAATTTCCATTTCCTGCTTCTCGCAAATCAAGTCAAGATTTTCGATTTGTTGTTCCGTCAGTCTTTTTGGTGAATCGTCGTCGAGGAACATTTCGAAATTACTTCCGACCAAAATTGGGTTGTTATTAAACAAATAGTCATACAAGTCATATTCATTTTCCAGTTTAGTGAAATCGGTCATCTCCAGAACTTTCATAAAGATGACTCTAAACACCATTTTAGCGTATTTGATCTCCACCTGATACTTCTTTGCTCTTAATTTCACTTCAATTGGGTTCACCAATTCTTTAATGTCTTTTGCATACATCTCAGCCATTGTAGTGTCATCTACCATTTCAATCTTTTCGTTCAACACAAAGCCACACTTCTCATAACTCGTTCTCACCATTTGCTCGTTCTGAAGGATCTTTTTGATCATCGGGAAATTCTCGGGGGTGAAATGACTCCGCTTCAATACAACCCCTTTCCGCACTAAAACGCCTGTTATTTCCTTGATCATTAAATCCTCAAACCTCCTCACCGGCTCACAGAAATACGCTATCTCCTCTTTCACATAGACAACCTCAACGTTCTCACTTTTTAACATGACGTTCAACGCTTCCAACCATTTTTTAAAAAACTCGTTAATGAGGATCACAGCAACGCCCTCGTATTGCCTTTCACTCCGTTGTGTGTTGATGAAATTCAAAATCTCCGTGTTAAAATACGCACTGAACTCTTCTTCGAGAATGGTCCCATAGTTGTTCGAATAGATTCCATCACAGCTATTTAACTCCTTTTTGTAATACAACGCCATCTTCATTTTCGCGGTGTCGAACTTGACATACGGTTTGGCGCTCCTCCCATCCCCCGATATACACACCATGACTTGATTCTGTATAAACGAAATGGTATTCTCAATAGGCAATTCATTTTCTCTCACCGCCGCATTCCTCAACTCGTCGAACTTCTCTGTCTTTGCATTTGTCTTATAAAAATTGAGTGTATTTAATTGCTGGAGGTGGACATCTAAAACTCCAAAATTGAAGATGAAGTGTTGGGGAATGTCTTTCAAATGATTTTGAATGTCACGTTTCATTTCTAATAAACTTGCCTTCTCCCCAATCTTGCGATATTCCTCGGGATAAACTAAAGTCGGCGCCACCACTCGGTGGATCCCTAAAAACTTCAACTCCTCTGGAATTAATGAGAATATGCCAAACTTGTATAATATCGTTGTGATCTGCGAGATCGAAAAGACTCCATGCTTGGATTCCTCACGTTTCAATTCTTTCTTTGTGTCCAAAGTCTTCACACTACTTTTAAAAAGAAACGAATCTTTCACAAACCCTATCCGATTCCCATATAAATCACTCAACGCATCTTCCTTCTGTTTGAAGTTCAACCACATATATACAAATTGCTCAAAGTAATTGCCAATCTCTTTGAATGCCTCACTCCCCCTCAACACTTTCACATCTTTCACTAATTGCGGACTCGCACACCGAAAATTGCGAAGGCGTTCCTGTTCGCCATAATTCTTTTTATAAAATCGGTATAATCGACGCATCTCCCCATTCAATCCAATGTAATATGAATATAACAATTCGTTGGTTGGAGGAAGTGTATCCAAATAACTCTCATCAAAATTCTCAAGAAACACCGATTTTGGTTTTGAATGTGTTTTGCACAATGTCTCACTATTTTCTAGTAAACTTGCAGATCCACCATCATGTACAGGTGGTTCTAAATAACATTCTTCTTCGCAGTTCACTCTTTCAGTTTCATAGTTTAGACTTTTAGTGTTGTTTGTCTTCTTCGATTTTTTAGTTGACTTCTTTTTTAATAAAGAATGGGAGGTCCCCAATACAGAAGACGTCTTTTGAACCTTCTCAATCAGTTCTTTTGTCTTCTCTGATGTCGTCTTTTCAAGGCGATCTGTAAACCCCAATTTCGAGCAAATTTGTTCCATCACGCCTTTCCCGATAGTTTCGAAAGGCATTTCAAACTCATTCAATGCTACTGTAAGTGGATTGAATTTCTTCGACTCGTCATGGGACATATAAATGATTTCAAGTGTGTTATTCTCAAGACTCGTCTCATGTCCTAAGAACGCTTCTGAATAGAACCCATCCATTAAGAAGACGACCGACCCATAATATTTCTTTGCTTCACACATCTTTGATATTTCGGGAATGATAACAGTATCCCACCAATTCGTTAATTCAGTCATCGTGTAGTACTCTTCGTGGTGTGCTTTCAACACGGGCAATCGGTCACCGTTCACGTTGCAGATGTACACTCGATTCGACAGTTTCGACTCCCTTCCTAATTCAAAATTCTCCGCGTAGGACACTATCGAACTCCTCAGAACTACACTAATCTTCGTGTCTCGATACTTTTGATACCCATACTCCTCTAACATAAAGATATACTCGACAGGGACCTTCTCAAATTGGTCTTGGAGTAACCTCTCTAACTCTTCCGTGTTCGTAAGATTTGCTCCAAACTTGGAGTTGACTACACGTCGCCCATAAAAGAACCCGGTGCTTTGGAAGTTGATTGTCTTTGAAATCCCTTGGCTCTCTAAAAATAGATTGACTGTGTTCTTCGTCGTAGCAACTTTTTTGTTTTGGACTGCGTACAGAAAGTTGGATAATTCAAGAACGCGAGAGATGGATGACGGCGGATTCCCTTTCATCTGTTTCACACACAGTTGTGCGATTTCTTAGTGGTATTTTATTATCTTTCCATTTTTTAATTGTTTAATAGTTTCATAATAGTTTATTTTAATTGGAAGGAAATGGTTCATTATTTGGTTGTTTAATTAGTTATGTATAGGTGTTTATATTGTTAGTATATACTATTTAAGATATTATAAATATAATTACTTTGAATATGTATTACTACCAATATATATTATAAAAATGATTTAAAAAGAGATATTGAAAAACAGAAGTATTATAATATAATTATATTATTATTATAAATTGTTTTTGAAAAAAATGAGAAGCTTGGGATTTTTTTTCAGAAAGAACTGAAATAAAAGGGATGACAATGGAAATTGAGAACAACACGTCGAACAACTCGCAGAAGATTAAGGATTGCTTTAACTTCTACGATCGCGACTACGACGGAAAAATAAACGTAAAGCAGCTTGGGACCTTGATCAGATCATTGGGATGCGCACCAACCGAAGAAGAAGTTTTGGGATACATCAAAGAATTCAACATAGAAGGAGAGGCTTTCCAGCTCGAACAATTTGAGCTTATTATGGACAGAGAACAGAGTAAGCCAGACACAAGAGAAATTAAATTAAAAAAGGCGTTTGAGGTTTTCGACCAAGACCACGACGGCAAAATCAAGGCAGCAGATCTCGCACACAACTTGATGACTGTCGGAGATAAAATGACAAAAGAAGAAGTTGATAAGGTCTTTGCTATTCTCGGTATCACTATGGAGTCCGAAATCGACTTACCGACTTTCCTTAAGCTTGTTGCTCTTTAATTGATTTATTGAAAGGTTTTTCTCTCTTTTTGCTTGATGTACTTTTTACTAAAGATGTTCTTTTCAAAATAGTATTACTTTCTATTAAACTAAAAAGTCGAAATGATCTTCAATATAACTGATATAAACATCAAAGTTTTTTTGTTCTTCTTCTTCATCATTAATTATTATTATAACTATAACTTTTAGTAAAAAAAATAACTATTGTATATAGCAAACTGTACTATATTAAATAAAATAAAAAAATGTACTATTATAATAAGTTAATAAACTAAAAACAGTGAATATTTGAATTAAACAAGAGAAACCTGAACTTTGACGTTTTCGATGAAAACCCTTTTCGCCTTTGAATAGAAAACTTAAAAACAGCGTTAGCGCAATGAAAGGAAAAAGTGTGATTTACACTGAGTTGTTTCTTCAAGATGCGACCCGTTTGATGCAACCGGAGCAGGTCTTGCATTTTGTCAATTTCAAATATTCGTTTCGTTCCGCCAATCAAACGATTCCGATTGAAATGGGGATTTCAACGCATCTAATTTCTGACTGGAAGGAAATTGGATCCTTTCATCGACTTATTTCAGTCGACACATCAAAAATTCCAAAAGACTCGAAGATAGAAGAACACCATGGGATCCAATTTGATGACCCCCGCCTCTGCACCGATCACAATCAAATTGTTGAGGACTTTAATAACTACATCGTCTCTTTTAAAGCACCAATTATTTTTGTTGTTAAAAGAAAAGAAACGCATAACCCTAATGTCGAATGTCTCATGTTCTTATTAAGTCAAAGCCATGTACAACTACCTGAATACTACTTCATTCGAGAAAACATGCTCATTGCTTTCATCGCAAAACATTTTGATATTACACTCCCCCTTGGCCCTTACTCCTTTTTAATGTCTATTTCAAACAAAATTGGGTCCGTTCAGAGGTGCGATTTACACAAAGAAATGGAAGGTAAAAGTTGCGCTATTGACGTGGCTAGGGTTGGCGCACTCTCGTTTTATATCATTTTGGCACATATGAACGTCATTCTAACAAACAAAGAAGGGTTGCCAAAAATCGAACTCCGCGAAAATCAAAAAATCAAAACAAAAAACGAGCAAAAAGAAGACCTCAAAAAAGACGAAGAAAGAGTCAAAAAATCAAAAGACGAAATTTTGAAAGATCGAGAAGATCGAAAACGAAAAAAAGAGGAAGAACGAAAACAAAAAGCTAAACTCGAAATTTTACAAGAAAAAAATGAAAAAATCGACAAAACCGAAAAAAACGAAAAATCAGTAAAAGTCGAAATTGAAAAACCCGAAATTTTGAAAGATTCCCGCGTCGCAGAAATTCTTGCAAAAGTCGATCTCAAAAAAGAAGTTCTTCACTTTTTCGATTTTGAGTTCTCAGATGGAGAAACGAGCGTAGTGCCCGTTGAGCTTGGAATCTCATCTTATAGAATAACCGAGAACAAGGAAATAAATTACTTTCACTGTCTTCTTTCGCCACCATCTCTCTGTGAAAACATGGATCGAGCGGTCACCTGTCATGGTATAGATTATACTAGTTTGTTATTAGAAAAGAACTATAAAAAGATCATAGAGAGATTTGAGGAGTATTTCTCTCAATTTCATCAAGATTATATCATTTTAGTTTTGAAGGACGAAACGATAGGGGGTGACTTTGTATGTTTTGAAAAAATCTTTGAGTGGGCTGGCGAAACGATGAACGCCAACTTTGTATTTTTGACGCATGAGATGTTATTAAGGGAGATTGGAATGCTTGAGGGATGGAAAAGTACCGTTGTGAAGGAATACGATACTCTCATGAATGAAGTATATAAGCAATTACACGTTGTGGAAAGGTGTCAATATCATAAATGTGTCGCCGATAAATATCACTGCGGACTTGAGGACGCTCGACATACAGCACTGACCGTCCTCATCGCCCTTAACGATTTGAATTTCCCTGTTACTGGAAAAGAAAATCTGCCACATTGCATCGTTCATAAAAGGGAAGTTAAGAACTTGGATAACTGGAGAGTACTCATAACAACATGTGCATCGACGGGAAATCGAATGATAGTCGAGGTCGGGTTCACTGAATTTTTCTTTCAACCTCAAGGCGAAATGGTGACCGGAAACTCACTGTTTTATCGGTTTCAGCAAACGGAACGCATCTTAAAAAAGAAGGACGAGCCTTCCGATATAATCGAAAAGTTCAACGCCTTCATTTCTCAGAGCGACAACACTATGATTGTTCTGGTTTGTTTGATCTCATTCACTCTTTTTATTAATACCATAAATTAACAATAATAATACTAATAGTAAATTAAACAATAGACATCTCTTGGGATGATGAAAAAGCTTGAGTTTTTGAAGCTTCGCCAATTTCCTGTTCTTGAGATGTCTGAGTTCATGCAACTTTTTGTGAGTCGAATATCTCCATTCAAAAAGTCTCACGGACTCCTTTCCAAGGCAAAGAAACAGGTAATTAAGACTTTGAAAGTTGGGAAGTGCGCTTTACACCCTAGTGGTATCGAAGAATGCCCTTTCACAACAAACACTATTGTTGGGTATACTCTCAATTTTTTGAATGCATCGCTTTTGAAAGAAAAAGAAGAGGTACTCGAGGTGTGACAAATGCTAAATTAATTGTTTTATTATTAGTTATTTATGGTTTCTCATATCTCTATAATTATACTATTTAATTTTAGATTTTCATGTATTTTTTTATTCTAAAAAAATAATAGTTCTATTTGTTATGTTTTTTAGATTCTCATTTCTGTATCTTCATGATACAAATCCATAATAGATTTAAATAAAAATAATAAAAGATATTATATTTTTATTAGTAAAACAGATATATCATGATCATTTGAGATTGAAAATGGTTCGAATAGTGATATATAAAAAGGATCTAAAAAAATCAAATGGTTTGTTTGTTATAGCATTTTTCATATCTCTGACGCCCAGCTTTTTTACTCGTTTTTCAAAACGTTGATTGGTAAAGAAGTTACCGTCGAATTAAAAAACGACGCGATCATTACGGGTAAGCTCCTTGCTGTTGACCAACTTTTGAACGTCAAGATGGATACCTTGAAAAGCGACAACGCTCTCTTCCCGCAATTCGTTTGTTACTCAGATCATGTTTAAAGTTGTTTCTAACAAACAGCAAACCCTCACGAACTGTTTCATTCGTGGAAACACTATTCGTTACATCTCGATGTCTGAGTCTCTTATTGACATACAACTCCTCCACGACGCGACGTTACTCGAATTGAATGAAGTCAAAGATAAGTGATTTTTATGTTTACAATGGCGGTGATGAGAAGCTCTGAGTCAGACATCATCTTTACGCATCAGGTGCTACGACAATGTTGACAAAAAGGCGAATCTGAGCCAACCACTTATTTCTTTAATATTTATTAGTTATAATTCTATATCTTATAGTTGTACTTGTTCGAATTAATAACTTTAGGATAAATAACTATACTTGTGAATGGAATAATTATGGTAATATAATATAATATCTATCTCGAGTGAAACTATATAGTAATTATACAAATATACTATACAAATGAGTTATGATTATTGGAGTTCTCATCGTCGCTGATTGTTATGAAATTGATGTGTGGTGGTTGTTTAGGTGCAGTCAGTTTCAGGTATTCACTTGATAACTTCATCAAAGGAAATGCGAGAGGACAATTCAAAGAAGAGCACACTTGAGGAGAAAGACATTGACACGACATACACTGGTTTTTCATCCACACTATCTTCTCCTCTATCTGTCGTAAATTGTTTTGTTGACATACAAGTGAAAGTGCATTGCTTTTGTTACATTTGTCACATAATAGATTCTCGTTATGCGTCATCTTGTTGCAAAGAAGACACCGTTTGCTTGATGTCACACATATAGTATATTAATAATTAAAATACTATTAACGTATAGTTTTGAATATAATCTCGAAGAGAACAAACAACCCAAAGAAGTCCTCAAGTCTTGCTTTAGAAGTGCTATTAGTTTCAGAATAATTAACCCAATGTTTAGTTCTCCAACTGTTGATATCTTTGAATTAATATATTTACTATAATTTACTATAATTTACTATATTGTTTTGTAAATAATACTGTATTATAATACTATCTATTATTACTAATACAACATACAAACAAACCAATTCCACAAGTTTGTAAGATCCTCCCAATTGAACTATTGATATGTTTCTCGATATAATAGTCTACGTCGACTTCAAGACGGTTTTTAGCGGCGAATTGAGGGGATATGGATTTTTCACAAATTTTCTTAGAATTTGACTTTACTATGACATAACTGATTCTTTGCCAGTCTTGACAATGGAAGGTCTCATCATTGCTCTTCTCTTTTAATGCGACTTGTGCGCCTACAGTCATTCCTCTTGTACTCCACACATTATAATGAATAGGTCGGCTGATTACAAAGTCGAGTAAATTGTATTCACCCTTTTCAATCAATTTCCAGTTCTTTTGTAAATAGAGTTGTAGCGCGTCGACATCCTTTCCCATCAAATATTTGATGCACCCCATCATGATGTGTTTTGTTGCTCGACAACTGTCTCTTCGCACTGCTTCAAGGCCTTTAATCTCCAAAAATGGCTTTGATTCTTCACTTCTGTAATTCATTCCAAAGTATCGTTTTTTAGTCACTAAAACACTTGGAAAATACACTTTTTCTAATTGGAGTTCCATCGGGCGAGGAAGGCTTTTCGTGACATTTGCAGCTATTTCCTTCCCAAGAACAAAAGCGTCGTGCAATGTTGTATGTGGCATTTCGACAAACAAGCTGTCGGTGTCAGAGTAAATGACATTGAAATGGTAAACACTCCTAACATACTCAATCGCACGTTCTAGAGTCTGTCGAGCAGTTTCTATTGTAGCATCTGCAATTGCAGAACAAGGCATCCGCCCAGTAAATCCCGCTCCTGTATACCCATACACCACATTACATAACAATTTGAGTGCTAATTGCTGTGTATTAATTTGTTTATTGCGGTCACTTCCCCTCTCACATGTTTTTAATTCGTCTTTCACATGTTGTCGCGTCGATAAGATCTCTTCAAGCATTAAAGGGAGAACCCCCTTTTGAAGTATCGCATCGACAAAGATAACTCCATTTGCCGCAACGTGAATGTTATTTTCTAATCCAGAAAGTGTCGTTCGAGCGAAATCACTCCAAAACGGCCCAATGTGGCGATGAGTGTCAAAATCATCCAAATAGCCTAAACACGTCGAGTAACACATGTTATAAGCTATCATCGTTGTTGGATACATCGACAAGAAGTCTAACACTACAACTGGATTCTCATGAAATCCACACACTGGTTCCATCACTAGAGGTACACATGTCGTCGGGCGACTTCCTTCCAAGTCTTCTGGTGTCGGGGAGAACAATTCAAAGTCTTCAGAAACACGTTTCAAACAGCATTCAACACGGTATTGTGTGCCTCTTTCTATTTCCTCTTCAAGTGGACACGAATGAAATGTCGCAAATTCCTTCAATCGCTCGAAGTAGCCAAATTTTGCGACTAAATAAATACTACAATGGAACAGAAGAAAATTGGTGACGACATTAGCAAGTGGTGAGAATTGTGTATGACTCACTTGTGGTAGGAATACATGTAATTCTTTGTGTGCAATGTACTGAATGTCAAACATGGAGTAATTCCCACACTTCTTATAGATGTACCAAAAACTTAAAAGTACACGTCCTTCACTCCCCAAACTTCCAATTAAGCGACTGATCGTCTCTTGTGGCTTCGTTGTGGACATTTTCCATCTGATAGAAATAAAGTCCATGGAGAATGAGATGTCTTCTGAAACAATTATGTCGCTGTCGGTGTTGATCTCTGTGAGTATCGTTTCGATAACAGAAAGCTCGGAATCCACAACACAATCTTTTGTATGGATATCATGACAATTTCGGTGAAATTCATTGATTGTGTCTTGTGATGTATGGACAAAAATGAAACAATTCTCACTTTTCGATGACCTGTATAACATCGCACCTTCGATCTTATCGTGGTTTGGTGTTGGATTATCCCCAATAAAGCCGTCAATTCGACGAAATAGTAGTTTAAAAAAGAGAACATTAAAATGGGAGGATTTATATGGAATATCAAGATTAGTTATTGTCTGAGAGTAAAAGAGTTCAAGCTCGTAAGGGTGGTTAGCGTAATAAAGTGGTTCGTACTTTGTTTCATTACGAATGATTTCAGACAACGAAGGTGGCGGTTTGAGGTATTTATACACTTTCATTTCTCCTCTTTTCTTTATCGTAGAAGAAACGGTAAGCCCCTCGTGTGTTACTTTAACATTGTTTGTCTTGAAGTCATTGATCACCTCTTCAAATGTTGGTGGTGCATTGCAAGTCACAATTTCGTTGTTTTTTATCGCAACATCATTTTTATTTGACATTGCGACAAAATTTTCAGTTTTATTTTGAAAATTCACATTTTCAAAATTTTGGCTTTTTGTAAATAGAAGACGTTGTGTTCCAAAAATATGCGAATCGTTTAGAACGCTTGGTGAAGAATGTTCTTGTGATACTGCAACGCTATCACAGTCAACTAATTGTAACATTGAAGGTTGACTTTCCTTTTTTCGAACACATGGAATTGAAAATTCTTGTTCTTCCTCAGAACTTATTTGTTGATTGAATACTATACTACTTTTCTCTTCCTCAATCCCTAAAGAGTTCTCGAATTTGTCAACTATTTCAGATACTACATTGTGTTCAGACTCTTCCTCGCACCTTTCTTGATTGAACATGACATCAACATTTCTCTCTTGATTGAATGTAACAGCGTTTTCGTTGTTCTGAATATCAATTTGTGTTATCTCAATTTCTTCATTATGGACATCACTACCAATACCATTGGTTTCATCGTGTTTTCTAATTTCAGTTGTTTCTTCTTTTATCACAACTTCCTCCTTTTCTAATTTATCAACTTCATCTTCGCTACTCATGCTTTGTGTTTCAAGTTTGTTCCTGTATTCAATTTCATCGTCTTTATCAAATTTGGGCAACACTTTGTAATTCAGAAAATGCGACTCTTTCACGAGTCTCTTGTGGTTTGCATTGTACTTTTCTACAAACAGATTTATCGTATTTATATTGACTGACACTTCATCAGTACCACGTTCGACCTTTTCCTTCATTTTACATAACCACAACTTCACGTTTTCATCATCTTTTGCATGAAATGAAGGTGTTTTCAACCCTCCTTGGACATGGTTTGTATACTCATCACTTCCCCAATAGATTTTCAAATTATTATTCTTCATGTCTTGTGTTTGTGTTGTGAACATCTCTCGCTTGAGATCTTTACAACTCACTACGATTTCATGGGTACAGGTACTCTCTTTGCTTGAACTCTCAACCCCCTCAAACTTCAAAAGTGTCATTGTTCGCATTCCGTAGTCGTTCAAGAACACAATATCACTCTTCAGATGAGCTTCAAATACAACAAACCCTAACGCCCCCAATACCTTTCGAAGTTTTCCACAGTCTTTAAAATTCCTCATAAAGATGCGGCTAAAAATATGACGAGTGTTATAGCCAGCTATTGACCTTTTATGAAATACTGTTATATACTCTATAATATGATACCTCTTTTTCTTAGCTTTTTTCTCGTTGATGGTGTCATTGGCTGTTTCAATACCATCAAATAACTTCTCGCATATCTCTTGTTCAGTTGCATGTGGAATTGATTGTGTTAAGTCAATGTCAATGTGCATTTTCCAGTCAGTAAAAACAACACAACAACTCTCTCCTGTGCTGGTGTGACCAAACCCATACACCTTTTGAATCACTTGACATTCTTTTAGTGTTGGTGTGACTTCACATGAGAAGTGCAAATTCTCCAAAGTGGTTTCCATTCTTTGAGCTTTAAAGTTGGCTTTTTCTTTAACACAATTTTTAATTCCTTAATTATCTTAGGCAAATTATTTTTATTTACCTGTTTATTGAAATTATTTCATTAAGATTTTCAAATTCCAGTAATACTATAAATTAACGAGTTAAATAAATTGCAAACAATTAACGTTGTATTGAGGAGATTATAAAGCAATACAACTTATGCATTTTAAAACTATTTTAAATTATTAATGTGTTATTAAAAAAATATTATAAGTAAATAGTAAACAATCTAATCACAAAAGCATTCAAACTTCAAAATATGATCCATATAATTAATTTTGAGTTTTCATGTCCACATTCAACTGGAACACAATAGAGTCCGACCCAGGAATATTTACGGAAATGGTAGAGAAGTTGGGATGTCCAAATATTCAATTTAAAGAACTTTATTCGCTCGATGATATTGAGACACTCGACCGGATTAAACCAATAGAAGGCATAGTGTTACTGTTTGAATATGACAAAAGAGCGTTGACTTATTTCCAAAGTGAATTTTGTGGTATTGACACCAAGGAATACCCAGACCTCTTCTTTGCAAAGCAAGTTGTGAACAACGCGTGTGCGACTCAAGCCATACTTTCCGTTTTACTCAATTTGAAAACGATAGACGTGGGATCGACTCTGCAACAGTTTAAAGAATCGGCAATGAAGCTCTCTCCGTATGACAGAGGTGTTGCAATTGGCAAATCAGATATCATCCGAAAAACACATAACGAGTTTGCTCAACCATCGCAAGCTCTTCAAGAGAGAATATCAAATAAGTTTTCTGGAGTGACTGGCAAGGCACATCATTTCATAGGAATCATTCCATATAATGGTATTTTATTAATGTTAGATGGGTTAAGTGAAGACCCTATAGTAATCGGTGGTGCTGAAGATGATTGGGTGACTACTGGCGTTAAACCTTTTTTTGAAGGGTTGTGTAAAGCGTTAAGTGGGAGTTTAGACTTTACTATATTAGCCGTTGTCCACAATCAAGTGAACAAATACAAAGAAGTTTGTCTTCAATACTAATACTAGTAATTTACTATACAATACATTATAGATATACTATTAATAATATATAATAGTAATATTATAGTAATATAGTAAATACTGATCAACAGTTATATGAAAGAGCTGTAGAGGAAAAAAGTGACATGGCGACGACGTACAAAAGTATGTTCGAGGAAGAGATTCAAAAACGAAAGAAAGAAAGGGAAGAAAACACAAGGAGAAAACACGATTATATGCCATTAGCATTGCATGTGTTATTATTGATGGGAAAATACGGGAAATTAGAACAACAAGTGACTCGAGCGGAGGAAGAAGCGCAGAAGAGTTGAAGAATTGAGTAATTTGACGTCTTTTCATTCTTTTAAACAAACAATAGACTTTTAAGAAAAGAAAGAACTCAAAAGAAAGAGGAAATGTCAACACGAAATAGTGAACACACTGGCACAACTTCTAATAAAAATAAAAAGGAAAGTTATAAGCCAAAGAATGGTATAACAACTAAGAGAATAACTATATGTCCCAATCTTGGAGGGTCATATAAAATAATAGGTGGCCATCGAATACACATTCCAGCATATTTAAAAACCGTGGAGAAGAGAAAAACCGTTAAAAAAGTTTCTGAGAACAAGCAGAAACCAATGAAAAATGAATCAAAAAGTGAACAAAGAAAAAGTGTGAAGAAACTGAAGCATGACGACATCGTTAGAGTCTTTCCTTTGACTAAAGAAAACGCTCAGAGAAACACCGTCGTCATCACAAGACGTTCGACAGTTACTACTATTCAACCCATTCATTTCAATCACCCGGACCCTAAGCCAAATATTCTTTAATGTTACACACAGAGTCGTTTTTGTATAACAGACTGTGTTGGATTGATTGTTCAATTGACTTCCATTCTTTAGACTCCATTGGCACTCGACAAAAATAAGAACTATATTGAAACTATAAATATATTAAAAAAAAAGTATTTATGAAAAAGTCCCGTCTTAGGAATTATAGAGGTTTTCTATGAAACCCTTTTTGAACGAAATGGCCAAACCCTGAACTGTGAAGTGACTTGTTGAAGGCATGGCCGTTGCAGTAGAGAAGAAAGTAGAGAAAAACGAGACACCAATTGCCGAACGCAAGCCAGGTATGGAGCCATACTCCGTGATGATGCGTGAGACTGTTGCTGCTATGGAGAAATCGATTCCCGAGATGAAATTAGTCAAAGTCCACTCTGCACGTAAAATCCCAACATCGAAGGACAAATTTGCCACCGTTGTATTTGTCCCATTGAGAATGATGAGAAAGATTCGCCCCATTCAAGCCAAATTGGTCGACGCTCTTGAAAAGAAAATGAACCAACCGGTCTTCATCATCGGAAAGAGAATCGTTGCTCATGCCGCTAGACCAGGACAAGCTGATAAGTCGGAGTACAAGCCAATTTCAAGAACCAGAAAGGCCGTCCATGAGGCTTATATGAACGAAATGTTGTATCCAGTCCAAATCATCGCTCAACGAATTCGTGTCTCAATGCACTCTAATGTCCCTGAAGGAAGAAAAACAGTCTCCTTGGGCGTCGATGACCTCGCTTTGAAAAACACCGTTAAGGCAAGATTAAACGTTTACTCCTCAGTCTACAAGGTCATCACCGGAAACGAAGTCGCCTTTGATTTCCCTCTCTCCGCTTAAGCCTAAGCTACGTTTATAAACACTTTTGGGTTGGGGTTTATGTTTCTTATTCTTTTATTAGTATTCTACTATTGAACTATTAATAATACTATCTGAATGATATAATATAGTATTACATGGTATAACTGAGTATTAAAAAATATCTTAGGTATCACCATTCTCACATGAAATCTATTAAGAATAAGATATTAAAGTTAGTGAATTAATCACGAGGCTCAATGAAAGAGAAGTATGTAGTGTTGATGTCGAGAGCGTCAATAAACGTTTTGGCGTTGTCGACTTGTGTGACAACAAGAATTCCTTTTTCCTTTGCGACATCGAGTGCGACTCTTTTTTCAAAAACGTCACAGACGTCATTCTTCTTGCCAGTTATTTCACAATCGACCTCTCCAGACCTTCTTAAGTGAACAACGCCATTCGACACTATGAGCACTATTTGTTCTTTAGTGTCCGTGTAAGTGATTTTGAAGCTCATTTCCGGTTCAACGATTTTCTTTGGATTGATACAGACGGACATCATATCTGCAAAAGCGAAGAGTGGAAGGTCATGGAATGCTGCAGCTCGACTAAGGGGTTTCTTCACGTTCAAATTTCTTAATTCGAAGGCGGCAGTCGAGTAATTGTTACTCCAAGAGCCGCACTCGGATTGATAAGCTAATTGGTCGTACGTCTTTGCAAGAAGTAGTCTAGCCTCTGTATTTGTTTTGTCGGAGAAGACAAGATGATTCAAAACAGTTGCAGCCCACCTATACTCTCCATTTGTATAAGCAGTTTGCCCAAGTTGAAGTGTCTTTTCGGGACCACCAAAGCCAGCGACGTATTTCTTTGCTAATTCGACATCAGGGAGTTCATTTAAGTGTGCGGGGTTGTTATCATACCACCCAAGATACAATTGGAATTGAGATTTGATGTTATGGATTAAGCTTCCATACAATCCACGACAACATTGAGTCTCTCAAGGCTTTTTGGCAGTTTGAGGAATTCAGCAATTTCAGTTGAGTTGTATCCCTTGTTCGCAAAGCGTAACGTTTGGTCGTGGATGTATTTGTATAAGTCCCGTTTGGTCTTCAAAAATGTTGTGATCTTTTCTTTCCCCACAAGATGCCAATCATGTCCACCAAATTGGTATTGGACATCATCACCATATCGAACAAGTATTTCGTCTAAATACCCGCTCCAAGTTTTTCCACTTCTCACTTTAGTTCCTCTTAAACTTCCTTTTTAGTAAGTTATGGTTCTATATATAATATAATAATATAATATAATAATATAATTATAAACAAACCAAGATTGTGTTGGAAATGCATCGCATTATCTGCAGTACTCAATACGTGGTATTTTGGAATATATTGAACCATATCAGAAGGTGCCTCTGCGCCTGGAGTTGGCAAGAATTCTATATTGACTCCATCTATTTCCAAAGTACACCATTCCTTAATGAAAGTAGTGTTTTTAGAAATAGGAAAGCTAGTCCGTTTTTCAGTCTGTGAGCTCTCATGTTCAGTAACTAGATGTGTGATGCCATTAATGTAACAGCCATACATATAATCAGACCTTCGTGTCATTGCGTCACCAGCTATAATTGTCTCATCGAAACACATCTCTTTAAATAAAGCTGGGAGGTATAAAGGAGTCACTAAAGTCCCAACCCCTCCATATCCCAAATAATGGTCGCCGTGGGAATGAGTGATTATAATGGCCGACACATCAACATCTTCAACTGTCTTTTTAATAAGCTCAAAAGCAAATTTAGATGCTTTGTTAGTCGACATACAGTCGATTATGATCCACCCCGTCTTCCCTCTAACAACAGTCATATTCGCAAAGTCCATTGACCGTATTCTGACTTGATATATTTCATTCGGAATGATCTCAAAGACTCCTTGGAGTTTATCAAAAAACGTAGATCGATAGTAACTCGGGTTCACTGTCTCTGGACAACTCTCGTTAATCTCTGACATGGTCTTAAAGTCGTTGTAAAGCTCGTCTTGGGTCTTCGTGTTTTTATTACCGTGAATGTCAGCGTAGAATCCAACAAATGTGTCTTTGTAATCACTTTCTTGTGATAAAAAAGCATTACTACAACAAGCTTTGTTCACTTCCTTTGTGTACTCTGTTGCCATATTGTGGTTATCAGAGTTTCCATTCATTGCATGTTGTTTTATTAAGTAAATTGAATAGTAAATTTATAATAAATTATAGTTGAAACAACCATAGCTGATTTTAGAAACAGTTGGGGCGGAAAAAATAATATGAGTGACAGTTTGATATTTTTTTTTCGATTTAAAATGCATTTTAGTCAACTTGTTAAATTTCAAGATATTTTTATTAAAATTTGGTTGCTTACAGAAATAATTGCGTATCTTTTCTTGAAAAATAAACAACAAAAGAGCAAACTTTGTTAAACTTCATGCAGAAAAAATAATTATAAGAGTCCAAAACATTTTGTTAAATTGGGAAAAAATTAAAAAAAATATTTGTTTGGTTTTACAAATAAAAAATTAATATCAATGTGTAATAATAGTTTTAATTACATTATAATAATTATAATTATATAATTCAATTAGTAGATACATAAATAGGTAAATTATTAAAAGTTTTGTAGTCAAAATATTATTAAAAAAATTGTTTGGAAACTTGGTTAGACAAATAATTCATAAAAGCTATTATCTATAGTAAAAATTATGTTAAAAAAATAATTAAATAATTTTTTTGTCAACCATACTTAAAAATAAAAATGAAAATGTTGGAGATTTTTTATACAGTAGGGGAATGAGGGGCTTGACCAATACTTTTAATGGTTTATTTACTATATTTAAATAAAAACTATTTTTAATGTTCTATTAAAAAACACAACCTTGACTTATAAGTTATAGTTTATAAACCATAACAGTATTGGTTCATCCTTAGCATAAAGTCAGAACTTGAAATTATATTAAAAACGACTTTAGTGTTTGTTAGTTGTTTCTCAATAAAGTCATCCGTAGGCGTCAGTCTTCTTATTTGATATGGCTCTTGTTGTTGGTTCAGCTCTTGGATATTGGAAGGCAACCTTTCCTCTTCGGATTTGACCAAATATATTGGTATAGGCGAAAGAACAAACAATTCCAAGTGTTCTCTGGTATAAACACTGTTGTCTTCTTGGAACAACCTGGAAGCCTCTTCGATAAAATGAACATTCTCTTGATCTTTACAGTATTGACTCCAACAACACAAGAACGGTTATATGATGCAGCAATGATGTTTTTTGCTTGGCTCTCTAATGCTCCCAATACTTTTTTGGTATGACGATCAATGGAAACATAAATATGCTCTTTCGGCTCCCCTTGTTCTCTTAGAACCTGTCGTGATCTGCCATCACTATCACTATGTTTTCTCATCCAAAAATCAATTCAATTTGAACCTCGCTGTCTTCAGTTACTGTAAAATTGGCGTCAATTGATCTTTAATTGTCAGAGTATTCAGTAAGTTGGTTTTTAAACAACTCCAAATACACAAGCCAAATGATGAGACAAATTGGCTTGTGTGAGGAACAACTTGTCTATTATTGCTAAAGGAAATCCTTTGTAGAAAGAAGTTGTATTTGTGTTGTTGTAGAAACATAAATAATTGAAGCTTTGTGAATTAATTCTTGGTTATTTCAAACAATGAAAATTAGCCGTTCAATTTTCTTCATAACATAGAAGGTTGTTAACCTTTTCTTTTCAAAAAAACTTTTAATTTCATTTTGATAATCTAAGAATCTTTTTCTTTGACATTTTATTATAAATTATTTATAGTTTTTGTTATTTTATAAATAGAACCGGGAAAACTCTGTATAGTAAAAAAGGATAATAAAACAATAGGTCAAGCCCCTCACTCCCCCTACTGTAATTATATTTTTAATTTAATTTTATTAAAAGATTAACTCTATTATTTTTCCAAACACAAAGACTATTAAAATAATAAATTAATTAATAACAATTAATTAAAAAATTTAAAAACTTTGCTTTTTTGCAGAGGTTTCCAAAATAATTATTGCCGAAAATGTGGTATTATAACGTACGAATTTATAAGAGAAAATGATCATTTTGGTTATGAAATGGTGACATGGGTAATTAGGATTGTGTTTTTGGAAACCTCTGCTTTTTTGAACCTCTGATATTATTTAATAGTTATCTTCTAGTTTCTTTTTAGCTAAATAAAAAAAAATATTCTCAATTTATTTTCATTTTTTTTCAACTTTCATTTTATTTTTGGATGTTGTTGAAAAACAAAATAAATAACATTTATTTATAAACTCAAATACCCTTGTAATTCAAATGTCGTTTCAAAAAATCGTGTAAAACAAAAAACAATAAATCATTATGCCATCCATTATAATTATGTGAATGGATAATTTGTTTTGTATATCTTTTATATACAACATTCTTAAACAGTTTGCACCATTTACAACCAATTTTGCTGATAACACAAAGCCAAAACATATTGAAATAGAAAGTATTTGTTTTAAATAAATATCCAGGATATCAAGCATTCCTCTACGACGAGTTCCCCCTCAAGATTTGAAACCTGAAATGGCTACTGTGTTTTGCAATTACTTCTCTGCACTCATTCGAACTGGACTCCTTTTAATAAGTGCACTGAGTTCTACTCAAATTCTTGAAACAGTCAAAAACATGAAGGACAAAGTCAAGTTCAAGAAACTGTCGTCCTTCCAATTTGTGATGACTGCACCCGCTCTTGAAACATGTCAATACGAGGCAGTCGGTAAACTTTTGGCGTCAGTCTGTTTGCGTATTCCCTCAATGCTTAGGGATTTGTTTGAAGCGGCTTCTGGTAAGCCAATTCAAGTCTGTCGGAACATCCATTACATCTCCGTTTGGGACACTTTCTCAAAGTATTGTATTTCACAGAACAAGACGTGTCAAAAGTTTGTCGAAGGTATTAATGGCGTCGATAACAAGTGGACATTACACTTCTCTGCTAAACTTCCATTAGCTTATTTCTTCTATTGTGAGTATACCACTCACTTGTTGAAGTACTTCGATCATAAATCAGACCAATTCAGTTTGATCCCAGGCTTCTCTGCATTAAGTGGGTTAGTTGAAAAGATATCGCATGGCAAAACGTCAAAAGTTTCAAGTGAAATGCACTATGAAGTCCAAGCACTCTTGTGTACTACTGAATACCCAACAACCCTCAACAAGATATTGGACGACAGAATGAGCCATACTAATGCTAATTCTATCGACAATTTGTCAAATTTTGTGTATTCAATACAATACGTTTTTAAGTTGATGAACAAGAGGAAGTATGTCATTGACTCCGTCGACACACAACGAATAGTTAAAGTGTTAGATGCTATTGTTTTGTCTGATTCATACTATGGTTTGTTTTATTATAGTTAATAGGTAAATTATACTATATTAATGAATTTATTAATTATATATTAAAAAATACTAATAATAATATTATTATTATTCTATAAGTATAATAACACAAAGCGATGACTGTCATGTTCTCATTCTTATACGAGTTATGTCCTTGCTTGAACAAAACAAAACGGCACGTTGTGATCGATTTTGTTTTGAAAAACTTCAACCACTTCTTTGTCCATTGGTATTACCAATCAAGGTTGGATACATATCGTTTCGCCGATTGTGAGTTTTTTATTTGAGTTGACCTTCTTGTGTTATTTAATAATATATTTACTAGTAATAATAAATTAAATTGTATCGTTTTTTTATGGTGGAAAGTTTTTTTAATTTACAAAGAAATTGTTTTCATAAGAAATTTGATAATGCGTTTTACTTTCAATAGATAAAGTAAAACTATTTTATATTATTTAATTAATTATTGATATTGAATTATAAAAATACATATAATTAGTTATAGTTAATTTTTAATAAACAAATAATTAATATAATTAAATAATAGTTTTATTGTTACTGTAAAAAATAAATTGTAAATGATTTTTATAATATTATATAATAATTAATAAATAGTAAAACTGATTTATTAATCATTTGTGAAATAAACATCATTTGATAATGGTTTAAAAAGAAAAAATTTTCAATGATAACAACGAAATGAAGACGACACATATCAACAATGACATTCAAGAACTCTCTTGCGACATAAACTCTTTGCTTGATTCAATAAAAAAGAAACAAGCAAGTTATGTAAAGAAGTATACAATTCAACTGTTTGGTCGGAAAACAAATGAAGACGTTGATGAGGCAATCACAAGAGTGGAAGGCCTTTATGACCAAATTACCGAAGTTGAAACCCGTAGAAAAGAGCTAGTTGAGTTAGGTGAAGCACTCAGTTCTATTTGTTTTGAAATAACAGAAGTGACTAAAAAACTAGTTTCTGGGTTGAAAAAGGACAAGCAAGTGCTTGATACAACAACAAACAGTCTCGTTGAAAACATGCTTAAATTGGAAGAGGAAAAATACAATCAAATTGTAAGTAGCAAACAACACAGCCTTGCGCTTGTCACCGCACAACATAACAAGAAGAAAACTCAAATTGAAAGTCAAAAAATTCGAATTCAACCAACTACAACCCAAAAGGTTCCTGAAATTGTCTACAAGTGGATTGGGTGCGAACATATGAAGGCTATTTTTGACTCGGAAGTAGATGGGTGGAATAACAAGCAACGCTCTATAAAACACATTTGCAAAAACAGAGGAAATTTGGTCTTCATCGTTACTGGAAAAAATGGAAATCAAGTCGGAGCGGCTTTATCATATACACCAATCGATGAATATGATCATTGCGAAAGGGTGCGGTTAAGGGATAAATATGGGATATACACTGGAATTAAATTTATCCTCCATATTAAAGGTCGCTTAAATTATTATGCATCCCACGATAGGGAAATGTACTTTGTTCAGTTTGATGAGTACTCCTTCCGAATCGGACATAATCAAGCTGTCAGTTGTGACAAAAATAGCTGTAGGTTTCGTTATGAATCTGATAGTAAACTTAAACTTGATGAAGAAACGTTTGATGTTGCTCGGGTCGTTATTTATCAGGCAAATTTTGTTTCTCCATGGACAGACAGAGGTCCGCTGCTTCCTTTGAGCAAATAATTTAATTCATTTTTAAGTGATATTTATAGAAATATATCCTACACAAATAATACCGCAAGTATAGTATGAAGAATTAACTACCTGACGTGAATGAGCCACCTTATGGTTTTTTATATAGTTTTATTTTAAATTTGTTTTTTATTTTAAGAACAAAAAAATTAAATAACAAAAACTGTTAATAACAAAATGTCGAAAAAAATGACCGAAAAAAGAAAAGCTTTAAGTCTTCAAGAAATCAGAAGAAACGCTTTGGCTCCGCGTATTAACACTCCAATGGAAAGGGAAAAAGTTAACAAACTACTTGAAACAATAAAAAATCGGAATCATTAAAACAATCTTTATTGGAGTCTTTAACAATGACAGGGCAAATCGAATTACTTTCAAATAATACTGATTTTTCTTTAACAATCATGAGTAGATTATTCAGCATCACTCCTCAAACACTTTCTGATCATTTAAAAAACCCAAAACTGTTGATCCAGATTGGCATTTTCGTAAAATAACCAAAAGAATGGATGAATATATTTAAAAAACTCATACTATCACGTTCAAAAAAGAAAATTGCATTAACTAATTCGCTTATAATAAATGTCTGTGAAAAAAATGATCCTTTCTTCGAAATATCACATAGTGGTTTAAGAAGACACGTGGAACATTTTCACGATTGTGTGAAAATCAAAGCAGTGCCGGATGAATTGAAACGAGTACAACTTGATTTCATCCATATTTACGACAATTACAAATCATTGAAATTGTTAAATGGAACACCGGCAACACTTTTTTAAAGCAGATGAAGTCTGTTTCTCTGATTGGATGGATAAACATAACATGTTTGTTTATGTTACCAAAGGGAAGTACGAAAAACTTAAGGATTCAGAAGAACCCAAACTTGGAGTGTCTCACTCATGCAAACGTAGCACGTGTATAGCTTGTATTTCTCTTGATGGTTCTTTTGTAACTCCAGCAATTGTTCTTCCGAACAAGAAATATTATTTTGATATTGAAGCGGATTTTCCTGGTTGGTCATTTTATTATACAAAAACGGGGTTTGTCAGTGGAACAATTTTTCAATTGTGGTTAGTTAACCATCTCATACCACACATTGAAAAAACAAGAAAACTGTTGAATTTTGAAAACGAAACAGCGGTCGTAGCAATGGACAATTTCACAGGTCATATTAGTAGTGAAATGACCCAGTTTGCAAGTCACCACAATGTCGTTTTTCATTACTTCGTACCTCATTCGAGCCATCTTGTCCAACCACCAGATTTGTGCTTTTTGGTGTTACCAAGCAAGCCATGAATACAAGAGGTTCAACAACAATTGAGGAAAGGTCACTTCCTTCAATCCCGACTAGCATGGTTGAACAAGAGGATGAGTTCCAGAAAGGTTTAAGTGATTGGATCCGAGAATTGAGCGATAAAGACGGAAGACTCCACAATTCGTTGAGAACGTCTGATACATTAAGAGAACCAACTGGTATGCCAATAACATATCACGCAAAGAAAGTGTTGGAAGTAATGGAATTAAAGGCGACGAAAAAGATAATAGTAGTTCGTTCAAAAGGTCCGGTGTTGTTGGTGTTAATTTGGGTCGAGTGAAGCGAATGTTTGTTTCGTTAAAGGAGGCAAGTCGTTTACTCCATGAAGCCGGTAATGTTTTTACTTCAGAAATGATTGAGTACTTCACTGTACCAGAAGTTGATCGCTTCTTGGTCACAATCCAAATGGAAACTTTGCCTTGGGTTGTCCCAAGACAGGTGATACAAGCTGAAACGGATGTTATTCCAGCACAACGATCACAACAGATAACAGCTGATCGCAGCATGAATTCAATTACTGATAATGAAAATGTACTTTCGACTCAAAGAGGACAAACCTGCGTTCATTTAAATTCGATTTCAAGTTCAGAATTCTTGCTCAGAATGAATAACTACATTTATTGTATTTAACTATTAAAAATACTATCAGTTTTCGTTTATTTTTAGTTTTTTCAGTTTAATGAATAGTAAAACAATGATTTAAATATTATAACACAAATACTATCAGGTCATTAATTCACGTCAGGTGGCTCATTCTCTGTACTGTATAATTACAATAATACGTAACATTTTGTTTTTATTATTTCATTGTTTGAATAAAATAATTATTTGGCACGATAAAGCAAAATATGTTATTCGTTTGTCATTTGTGACAAATGAATAAATAGACAAATTAAGTCAAATCATTAACTGTAAACGGGTTTTTTATGAATTTGATTATGCCAAATTTTAGCATACTAACAATACCAAGTATTTTGCAATTACAATATCATAAAGGAGCGAACATCATTCTTTTATTTTTACAGATATTATGACAAAAAAATCAAATTGACACTGAATAGAATAAACAACCCATAGTATAAAAAAGAAAAACCTTGACACAAAATATGTACTCGAGAAAGTTATTCTTTGTTGATGGTAATTTTCAAAAATATGAAAATGTTATAAGTTTTATGTAAAATGAAAGTATAAAAATTTATTTAAAACAAATACTTTCTATTTCAATATGTTTTGGCTTTGTGTTATCAGCAAAATTGGTTGTAAATGGTGCAAACTGTTTAAGAATGTTGTATATAAAAGATATATAAAACAAATTATCCATTCACATAATTATAATGGATGGCATAATGATTTTTGCGATGGATACTGATTTATTGCAAAAGTTGTTTAAGTTTCCATTCAGTCCTGACTGCGACAAAAAACTAATCCTCAATAAATATAAAAGGGAAACGTCGAGGATTTGAAAATGTTTTTTAAAGATATTTAATTTAAAACATCATTTGTTGTTTTAATTTTATCACATTATTCTCCATAAAAACTGGTTTTGATTAAAAATGGCTCTTTTAATGTAAAGTGTTTGAATAATTTGTTATTATAATAATAAATAATAATAATAGACAAATTTTTTATGGAAACTAAAATTGTAAAAATAATTTAATTCTTAATAATAATAAAATAGTTCTTTTGTCCAACAACATTGTTATGGAATAAACGGTTGGTGAGGAAAAAAGAGCCAAAATCAATAGATAACATTTAAATTGTTATTTTCTTTACATCTGTAAATTATTAATGTCGTTGAAAATGCGTCTTGCCAAATTCAAACTCTCTCTGGCTAAAAAATTTGCAAAGATTTTTAGATAAAGAAGAAAGCTCCTTTTAATCTAGTGTTATTTGAGTATTTTCAATAGAGTATGATGTACATCTTTTCAGTAATATAGAAGGTAGTTCTTGTTAAAAAATGTATTTGAATTTTAAAATTTATACATACAAATAAATTTGACAATAAGACCATTATTACTTTTAAATTAATTTAATTGGATATTATTAGGGAGGAATTATTAATACTAAAAAACCTGAATTTTTACATTTTGACTATTTAAATATTATTATTTTTTTGTGTTAATATAATATAGTAAATAAGTAATTTAATTAGTAATTCCAAAAACTAAATTAAGTTTATAAATCTTTAATTACAATTTGAATAATATTTATCATTTTATGTAATAAAAAATCTATTAAAATGTTTCTTTAAAAAATTATATAAAATAAACAATTATTATGTCTCAATTGAAAGACCTAATGATTATAGAAAAAAATTAGGTTTTTTGCCACGTATAGTTTCACATAAATAAAGAAAAACAATTGTTTGTTTTACCAATTTGTTGAAAAAATGTAAATGTTAAAAAAAACAATTAAATTACTAATCACAAAAGAAGCCTAAATATGGGAAAATATATTAAAAAAATACAAAACGACATTTTTTATGGCATAATAGAGTTCATTCAAAACGAGAGTTAATGGTATATTATTTTTATAATTAAATATATGATGAAACTTTTATTATTTTTATTAATGAATTTTGTTAACGCACTGTTTTTGTTTTTTTGTTTACCACTTATTATTATAAATCAAAAACGAAAGAAATTGTATTAAGTTCATTACATATTCCAGGTTTTTTATATTAATAATTTCGGTGTTCAACGTTTATACAAAAATTAAAAGAATGCTTCATACCATCAAAAAAAATAATTTGTAGATGTTTTGATTTTTCCTTTTTTTTGTTCTCCAACCAATTTGCCTTAATTATGATGTACAAAAAGAGAATAATAAACTCTCGTTATGCAATCCTTTTGACTTTTTTGGGTAATAAGAAAAAAATACTTTTTTGTTTTTATCCTGTTTTTTGACGTACATTATCCAGTAATGAGTTCCCTTAAAAAATGCGAAGAAAAAAGAGAAATGCGAAAACCACTTTCGAGATTTATTTTTCAGATGAAACCATTTTGAATCCCGTTACTGTACGTGAAAATACCGCAACACAATATTAGATGAAATTTTTTTGCTAATACATATTAAAAAAAAAACATTTTCCCTCGATAAAACCCCTTAAAATTCCCGTTTTATAGCCAAAAATAACCAAAATATTCAAAATTGCGGCGTAATTGTTTTTTACCAACCACCACATTCAAGTCCACCAAATATACTATTACCTCTATAGAATAATACTATACAATATAGAAAGAAATGACCAAAAGAATTTACTCACAGCTTCTTTTCCAACTCGAAAAGCGCAAAACAGAAAAAGGGATGGATCGCCAAGAGCATGACTCTTCGCAAACACCACGGTGTTGTCTTCACAAGTGTCGGAATGCTGGTGTAGTACCCCTTCGGCGGGTAGAAGGGACGTTTAAAATCCGGAGTGAATTAACTAACACTTTACCGACTGATTGGTGTTTGTGTAAGAAACATTTTAAGAAGGCGTTGGAGTCTATGACTTGTAGTGTTATTGGTTGTACTGAAAGTGCTCGAGAGTATCAACTCCCAGAGTCCTATTTAAATCGTCACAACGACAATTATTCGCACTACCAAATCTGTGAATGGCACTCCAAAGAATTGAAAGTCGCGAAAATCCCGCCACAGAAGAGAAAACCCTCCGATAAAGTCCCGGAAGAATCAAAAACCAAAAGAAAGACAACGGAAAGCACTTTCGAAGAGGACAAAGAGTCTCTCTTCGAGATTAAAAAGTCGAAAATTGAAAAAGTCGAAAAATCAAGTCCCGACATTTCTGCCGATAAAAAAATCTTTCAGCGAACACCGGAAGAACTTCCACAAAATTTCACAAAGACCGAAAAATTCGATCAACTTGAAAAACCAGCAATTGAAAATCTCGACAATCCGTTTCAGCCGCAATTTGCTCAAAATTTTGCTCAAAAATTTGATCCGCCATATCCCGAGAAATTGAGTAGTTATTCCGACTTGTCGACGTATCCGAAGTACGATCAATTAGTACCCCAAGTGACTGAAATGACCCGTTATGAAGGGAAGAGGTGTTGTTTTGGGAAATGTGAGAAAGAGGTTTATTGTGTGATACCTTTTATCCGTCCATTAGATGTTTACATATGTTTATCGCATTACAAGATCATTCAGAAATTGATGAGGAAAGCGATCTTAGATAAGCAATTAGTGCTCTCTACAGAAACCCTTGAGTTAATAGAGCCATGTAATTTGATTAAATATCATCCTCTTGCTAATTACATTAAGACGGGGAATGACGGGAGATGCGCTTTGTGCTTTGGTTATCATAACAAGAAGCCTATTTACATCTGCTCGTCATGTCGTAATGTGTTCTGCGCGGAATGCCAGAAGATCATCTCAGAAGTCAATAACACAAATCTGCAACAACCATCCGCACATTGGAAATGTGGAGTGTGTCTTTTAAAAGGAGAGAAAGAGCGCGAGAACGTGTTGCGGCGGCAAGTCACGATCGTCCGCGACGCCGCGACAAAGCGCGTCGAGAGATTTCTGACGGAGGAGGGAAAAGACCTTGCCGAGAAAATGCGCGTCGAGCGGGAGCGACGCGTCGAGAAAGTCGTGAAGAGGAAGGAGAACATCAAACGGATCGTTCAATTTCTCGGCGTCGTATTTCCGCGCGCTTTGGAGGTCAAATGGCGCTTTGAAATTTCGACGCAAAGGCCTTTAATACAAAACACGTTGGAGAAACGTGGCGTCATTTTATTTAGTCAGACGGAGACGAACTACTTTTTGTGTCCAGAAGTGACGAAAGGGGAATCGATAGTCGAGATGTTACACTTAAAAGGGAGTGAAGACGGCAGTATAAGTGTTCGCGATAGTAATAAAATGGTGAGCGACGAGCTTATAAATAAATGCCATACACAAGAATTTTGTGAGTGTTTAAATGCTGTGGAGAAATTGAATAAAAAAGTCGAGTGGAGTGTGAAACTCCAAATTGCGTTGTTTATTGAAGATCGGGTCTACGACGAAGAATACGCAAAAAGCGTTTTTATGATTAAAATCTCAAAGGAAATCAGTGAGGCGTTTTGTGAGTGCATCAGATTGCTTGGGCAGAATGAAGGAGTTAAAGTAGGATATATTTTTACGGGTCTTAAAGGGGGAAAAATAGAGAAGGGTGGCGTGTTAGAGAAGCGCTGCGATTATAAGGAGAACTCCGACGAACAAATCGTCATTAAATTGTCACCTGAATATGACGATAAAGAAAAGGCAATTGTTGTCGTGATGAAAAAGAGCGGCATCGACATTCCCAACCACATGTCGTGTATGAAGAGCGTTGAAAATTTGGGTGAGACGTATTTCTTGAATTACACTGGGGTTGGCGTGAAGTACATGAGAGATGTTATTGGCGTCGAGAAGGTGATAATAGTGAATATCGGCGATGACCAAAACGAGGTGGGTACTAAAGAAATATTGGAGAAAGAAATAACAGAGCGGAGTGTGTTGTATCTTCACGTCAACAGTCTTGAAGAGCGAAGGAATGAATTGGATGCATTTGGTGCAGAATTTGTTGTTGTTTGCATCGACTGCGAGACGTTGGGCGAAATGGGGAATGAGCGAGTGAAAAAAGTTTCTGAGCAAATGAAGAGATTCACCAAAATGAAGCCAACTAGTCAAAAAGTTGTTAACTTTTGTAAAGTGATTGTCGTGATTCAACATGGGATTGTCCAAGACACTTTCTATGACAAATACAAGAACGCCGTTTCTGATTTTATAGATGTATTTGATAAGGATTTGTGAATCATATTATAATGTTGTTGTGTGTGAACTGATTGGTTGTTGTATAGTTTAATTTAATATAATATATCATATATCATATATAATATATAATATATAATATATAATATATAATATATAATATATAATATATAATATATAATATATAATATATAATATATAATATATAATATATAATATATAATATATAATATATAATATATAATATATAATATATAATATATAATATATAATATATAATATATAATATATAATATATAATATATAATATATAATATATCATATATAATATATAATATATAATATATAATATATAATATATAATATATAATATATAATATATAATATATAATATATAATATATAATATATAATATATAATATATAATATATAATATATCATATATCATATATAATATATAATATATAATATATAATATATAATATATAATATATAATATATAATATATAATATATAATATATAATATATAATATATAATATATAATATATAATATATAATATAAATTTTATTTTATTTATATATAGAACTACTATGAAGTTCAAACTTGAAAAAGATTCATATAAACTCTAATTTTGCAAGAGAATTTTTCGTAGTGATAGGCTAAAAAATGTGGAAGTTAATAAATATGAGGAATTATACAGAGTCTTATCATAATAATAATGTTAACCAAATTCTGACGAGAAAGAAACAAGAAAAAAAGAGGGTACTGTGAGAAATGTGTTAACAAAAAACGATCAACACTTATTGGAATTTATAACCACAACCAGCGCAAAAGCGTACTTCTGAGTCTTTACGTAATTCCCCGCACTCTGGGCACACATCTGCGACCTTTAAATACTCTGCGTTCTGTTTTTCCGAATCAGTTTGTCTTTTCTTTTTGTAGTATTGATTGAAACATATATTGTGCCAATCTTTGCCTTCTGCTTGCTTACGTTCAGCAAAATAGACTGATTTCCCTAAGTGTAAGAATACCACTTGAAAAGTCCATTAAAAGAATTGCTTGGCATTAACAAACCACACAACGCGCATTTCCAACTCATTTTGAGAATCTAGTTTCCTTCCAACTAGCAGTTTTTTTCAAGGTATATGGCTCTCTTTTGATTGGCGGGGTTATCACTCCACGTGGGTTGTTTTCTTCTTTGTTATCAATTGAAAAACATTTTTCATTTCAAAAACGCCTTTAAAAAACATTTTAATCGTTTTGTGTTATTCAATACCATTTAAAATAGTTTATAATAGTTTATAATAGTTTATAATAGTTATAAATAACTAAAAAAAAATCAATCCAATCAATAACATTTTTAATAAAGACAACTAGTAAGGTATGGTTTGTCATTTGAAGTTAATTCACAGCCTTCTGGAGTCATTTTATTAAGTATTGACTCGTTAATAAAAAGCCCATGTCTTAAAATGTCTTGTGCTTTAAATAAATCATTGTGAAATTGAATGGCTTGGATCCTTTTCATCTCAGTGCATAAATTGCTTCTTTTTCCTCGTTTTAAGTCGAGTTTAGTAGCACACTCATATTGAACGATGTTTAAGAGACTGTTATTTGTCATAGCATCTAAGTTACGACGCATTAGTTTCTTATCACCACTTTTATTATCAGTGGTGGGTGCTTTGAAATAAACTGTCCCATTTTTAGATATAGACTCTATAACAAAGAGTTGATGAGTCTTGTGCCCTTTCTTATAGAGTCTTCTAATTTTAATGGTGAAGTCATAACACATCAATATACCCAATAGAAATCCTTGTTGAGCAGAGTCTCTATCGGTTGAGGCTCTTTTTGCTAAACAAAGCTCTTCTGGCTTTGTTCTTCTGGTATTTTGTGGTAATTTAGACATCTCTGATGAACTCGACTGTATCGTACTGGTCGACAGAATCGACATGGCTTCAACCTCATAGACATCTACTGAAACTTTCTTGATTGGGACTTTTATAAATGCTGAAGTATACTCTTCCATATCCACTTTCTGTCTGTATTGAAGATGTTGAGTTGTTTAAGAGTCTATTCTAAACAACACCAATTAAGACTCAATCTTTTGTCTTTCGAATGGTTACATCAATAATTTTTTATAGTTTAATATGGTTTTTTGAGGTTTTATTTTAAAGGTTGTCTGTGATTATTTGAATAGTTTGATGTTTGTCGGTATGAGGTTTTATTTGAAAAAAAGTAATAGTAATACTTTAATAATAAAAGTATTTACTTTTAATAGTATTTTTTTCTGTTTTTTTATTCATATTCCTCACACTAAAGTTTTTAGTTATTTATAATAATTAAAAATATTATAACAATGAATGAGTAATTATAATAACAATAATAAATTGTGTTATTTGTTATAGAAATAAATATAATTCATTTTAATTATTTAAAATCTATTTTAATATTTTCTCTTTTTCCAAAAAAAAAAGAAACTGACAAAAACTCGACACGATGAAATTTACTGCTATTGAATACAAAACGATGTTACCTTTTTTGGAGGACATCATAACAGCCCGCACATTCGTTTTGTTGAACAAAACCGTGCAAGAAGCATTCTCCACGTCATTCCAAAACGCAGGGTATAAATTATTTCCCGAATTGGTGGCCAAAAATTCCGACGATAACTCCGAGGAGAGTGACATGGACGAAGACGCCAAAGAGGAACTTTTAGAAAAACGTTTTAATCAGGAGATGTCACTTTTCTCAAACCGAAAAGTGACTGTTTTGACAACAGAGACCATGCAATTTTACCCACGTTGCTCCACGCCAACAACACTTCCAGAGGTCTCTTGCAAGCCAATTAATTTTTACATTTCACAAAACGTCACAAAAGAATTATACGAAGCACGAATTAAATACACAATAACTAAAGTCGAACAGAAATCCGATTTTGTTTCTTTGGAAGCGTTTAAAAAAATTCACAAGTTGTGTTTAACCATTGACACACTTTACCAGTTCCAGCTCCAAAAACTCATACCCGAGAATTTGGAGATTGACGTCTTAATTCTCAAAATAAAATTGACTGGTAATATAGACATTGAACCCTTTAAAAATCTTCAGGATTACAAAATTGGAAGAGTAGTGATCATTTGCAAGAATATTAAAGAACTCACTTCATTCCAACAAATTCCTGACATTTTAACAAACAAAAAAATCACTTTGTGTTCTCGTTTTTGGTATAAAGGAATTAATAAAAATATTATTATATACTGGAAACCAAATGTCATATACATGACAGAGGATGGCGTCACCGAGATTTCTATTCTTCAGAAATACAATCCTTGGAAAATGAAATATGTCGACACCCCACAAGATTAACTCACTTTTATTATCCTCGTTTTTATTCCATTAATAATAGTAAAAGAAATTATAAAAGTACCATACTTACTGTGTTATTGATACTTGTTAATAAAAATAGAATCAAACTTTGAACAAAAAAACTAAAATAACAAATTCTAAACATCTAGTTAATTTAGTATTATATATAGAATTTGTCATTACATGCTATAAAAGAAACAAGACAGCAGAAAGTCAAACGAATAAATCAATCAGAGCTTAGAATTCCTTTTCGAACTCATCGACTTTATTTAAGTCGAACGGCCCGAATGAAACATTTTTTCTTTTAGCTTTCACTGCGTCGGACATTTTCATCAACTTGGCGACATACACTTTGCACTGCTCCACTAAGAAGACTATTTTCGACGATCTTATGATCTTCTTTAATGACTTTACTGTGTTACACACGAGTTCAGGGAATGCGATGGAATGCTTATAAATAGCGTAGAATTCATCGAACTGTTTGAAGATGATATCCGTCGCATTTTTCACGTAACTTGGGTTTCTCTCGTCGTCGTTTGTGGACATCAGTGAATATTCAAATTCGAACTCGGAGAAGGCTTTTGTCTTATTCCGTGACAATTCTGCCTTTCCGAACGTTCCTCCGATTTTGTTCTTAATATCCTTTGCTTTCAATTTTGTCGAGTTGACTGTTTTGATATCGCCGCCACGAATGTAAATCATTGAAAGGAAATTCAAAGCCTTCAGCAAGTAAGGGACTGGGCTAGTGTAATTTTGTGGTGTTGCCAACATCAGAAGTACTTTCGAGATGTGTAATATAGCTGGGGTATAATTCGTCCCATTCAAATACGACAAAACGGCGTTGATGATCTCACAAACGGGATACTTCAGTTGCACAAATTTCACTTCTTTCCCGTTATTCAAACATGACGCGATCAACTCGATTGTTTTAATAAAAGAGAATGAGACCAAAAGATCCATTTTTGACTTTGCAGACTCTATGACGGAATTTGTGGATAACCCTAGTTGGCGGATCACTTCAAAGAAACTGTTGTAAGCCGCTTTTTCATTCATCTTGACGACTTTCTGAACTACTGAATTGGACTCTTCAAACCCATCTTTGGTCAACTCGGAATACCGTTTGGCATTCTCCATGAACGACCCAATGATCACACGAAGACCTTTTGCAAACGCCTCGTCCTTCTTCTTATTAATTTCCATTAAGTTCAAAAGAGTAATTAAAGCTTGTGACCGCACGTCTGCAAAATAGTCGAACCCGTACAACGAAAGCGATTTGATGACTTTCGCAAAGAAGTCGCACGCGGCAAATTTGTCTTTGTATTGCTCGATGATCTGAATGAAGATTGTCACAATCGATTGATCCGAGATGTTCAGCAAGGCGTCGGTGACCCCACGCATATACATCTTGAACAAATTTACTTTATTGATCACCAACTCGGGGAGCTTTTCTATCGCAAAAGTCATCACCAACTCGTAGTCAGCTGGGTTGTCGATTCTTCGCTCTTGAACTGCATCATAGAACAATAAAGTCGCTTGATGAAGTGCATTTGGGTCACCTTTCTCGGCTTCATCCAACACCTCTTGAATCTTTTCTTTGGCTTCTTGTTCGATTTGGGCTTCATTATCGATCGCCCACCCCATTTCGGCGTCGGTTTCCTTTTCTATGGAAAAGAGTTTGGGGTCGTTCTTCAGCATAAATTGATAGAAATCAGGGTCTTTCTCTTTCAGTTCTTCTAATTTGGTTTTGTCCATCATTGTTGAACCACTTTCAGCCTCATCATCGGAACTAACGTCTTCAAAATTCATCACATCGGTTTCGCCGTCTTCTGCAGATACTTCGGCATTCTCCTCTTCTGACATCTTTTCTTTGTCTTCTGAAGGGTTGGACTCTTCAGAAACACTCTTCTCATCCTCACTCATTTTGTTGTCTTCTGAGGCGTCTTGTTCTTCAACTTCTTCTTCATTTAAATGTTCTACTTTTTCTTCTTCACTCTCGTCATGAACTTCCTCCTCTGTCACCGGTTTGCTGGCACTTTTATGAATGCTAGACCTGCGCTGAAAACGTCCTCTTTTCATACTTCGAGGCATTGACTCTTATTTACAGTTTCTCTGTTTCTTTTTTCTCATTCAACATCGAGTCTTTTTATCGCATGAATTCGGGTAAATTAGGGTTTTAAATAACCCTTATTTTTATTTCGATTATTCATTATCAATTATCGGTCTTATATTGTTTATTATTGTGGGATTATGTCACTATCTTTTTCAAACTATTCAACGGTATTTTATTAGTATAAAAACTATATAATTCCAATACAATAGTTTTAATTAAATAGTAGTAAAAAGTAAATTATTTATTAATACAAAAGAGTAACTAGTATTTTCTAGGAATAATATAATATAATATTAACTAATAATATAACAATAAATAATAATCATATTTTCATAGAGAGTAGATGATACCTTCACTCCCTAATGTCGACATAGACACAGAAATTCCTCTCCCACAAGGACAAGATTCTTCTCACTATCGTTGTTACACGTCACACGGTCTTTGTTTTTTAAAAGTTTACTCTTCTTCGAAAAGTTATACATTCAGCGATTTGCATGCGATTCACACAACCCTGAAAGCAAACAACAAAAATTGTTTGATTCAAACCTTCGACTTTTTTCGCGATGAGAATACATTCACGGTAGTCACTGAATTCTGCGAAATGGGAACTTTTGAAACGTTTTTAAAGAGCTCATGTGAAGCATTCAAATACAGAGTATTACTCGACGTTTCTCGCGCTATTGGATATGTCCACTCCTTCGGACTCATAGTCGGCAATATATTACCGTCGTCGATCTTCGTGACATCTCTCGATATCACACTCGACTCCATCGCGAAACTCGCTGTCTCGGGACGTATCAAAAAGCTCGACGTCCACCGAATGCCAACAAAGCAGTTCTTTAAGCGATTAGTCTATCGTGCGCCGGAGGTCTTCTCCAAATTTCTTCAGAACCCCGAGTCGGACATTTTCTCGTTTGGGATTTTGCTGTATGAAGTGTTTACACTGAGTGTGCCGTACACTTCCGACGACGGCAAAATCCTCTTCTTCGACTTTTTCTCAAGCACATTTTCCTTTTGCGCGAAGCGGAAATACCCGTTGACTGATGGAGTTTGGGAGTTAATTAAGAAGTGTTGCCAATACAAAGCGACACTCCGGCCGACACCGAAAGAAGTAGAAGAAGAAATAGTTCTTTTAAGTGCAGGGAAAACTTATATAGGGGAAGGAGTGTGTACAATTGAGAGTGAAGAGATCGAAGACACGTTATCTCTTGTTGACAATTATAAGGAAGTATTAGGGAAATGGGTGGGACTTGAGAAGTATCGAGTTATCTATTCATCAAATACAGACGAGTTATGTGGTAATGTAGTGAGTAACAAAATATATGAACAAAGTAATGTGATGGTTGTTGTGACGACGTTAGAAGGACATGTGTTTGGCGCTTATGTCGGAAACCAAATCAAAAAGAAGGAAGAGGTCTTCCGAACCGATGTCGACTTTAAAAAGCAAAACGCACACTTCGCATTCACTTTGAAAAATCCTTACAATACAAAACCATTGGTGTTCTATAAAAGGAAAGAATATGTCGTCGCTTTACGTTTGTATAACACCAAAGTCGGTGAGGTCATTGCAGTCCCAAGTTTCTTTATTATATATTCAAATCAAGACTCTTACATCTCAACTAATTTTAATGTGGTTTATGAGGATAATACAAATATCGGTTTCGACTTGTTTTGTACTGGAAAAGATTACTCGACCGCTCACCAAGTCACTTTTAATATGAAAGAACTCACATTACTTGAATGGTTTTAATTGCGTCTCGTTGGGTTATTTGTATAATTTGAATATTACACTTTTACTATATTATTATTAGTATTTTTTACTATATTAAAACTATAATTATAGTAAAGAAATTGTTTACTATATTCAATGATTCTGTTTTTATAAAGTTTGTTTAGTTTTAAATATAATAAATTTTAGTAGAAAATAAACTATGGAAAATACCACAGAATGATGTTAATTTTTATCTACAACTTTATCTAAATGAACGACTTGGGGAAGCATAGCCTTGGAAACTAACTCTGGTCGCATTTTTTGTTCAAGTTTGAAACGAGCAAGAAGTTGTTTGTGCGTTCTTGTTCCATTGAAAAATAGTTCCAATAAAGCAAAGTTAGCACCATACAATGTAAGACCTTCATAAAACTTAAGAATGTCTTCACGACGCCAATGAGGCTTTCTATTGTAAGTGTTTGGTGTTTTTGCTTCTTCTACGCCATCAATTGTACCAACACAGACTTCGTCTTTGAGGTAGCGGCTATAAAAACTCATTTATTCAAAACCAATAAAAAAATTTCGTTTATAAGTTCTCAAACCTCATATTTTATGAGGTTTAAATTTATGAACTGTTGATTTGGATTTCATTATAAAATAGAAATTGTTATACTATAATTAATTAATATTTTTATTATAATTCATAATTTATAAAAATAATACAGTAATTGAGTTTGTATAGTATCATAGTTTCTGGTAATAAATAGTTCAAAATGCCATTGATTTAATTAATACAATTTAGATTATAAAAATGATTTTATACTTCATTTATTACAAATGAAAACTAATAAAAAAAACAATTCCAAAACGACAATGTCAATGAAATATACATGTAAATATTGTGGAAATCATTATGATGATGTGGACACCTTCCAAAACCATAACAATGGAAAATGTTTTAACGAATTTGCTAAGCGCCAAATAGAAAAAGTGATGTCTCAAAAAGTTGAAGAAAGAAGCGCACATGACTTTTCTCAACTTTTACAAACGGGGACAAACCCTCTTCCCAAAACGAATGAATGCAACGACTGCGACGAAATTTTATCACAACGCCTCATTTTCCAAATTCAAAATGACAAATTTTCTTGCGACACATTGAAAAGTCTACTTTCCAATTCACAGCTCCAACAATTAGACGAATTACTACAAAACGAATTAGAACACAAAGTGAACAGTTTTATTCCTTGGTATTTACTTAACACTTCAGACAAAACTCCCGAAGATATGCTTCCTCTTCCAATCAATCCAAAATTTTCCAAAACCCTAGTGTTTGCGATAAACCAAGCAATTTATACATACACTACGTTAACTCGGATATATGTCGAAACAGACGTTTTCGATGTGTATAATCCTCAAATAGACCAACAAATCGAAGAATTGTTTCCTTCCCTGTATTCTACAATACCAGTAAAAATCGATGATATCACAGCATTCGTTTTACAGTGGCTCAGAAAGAACGAGGTGATACTTGATGAGTGTAAATTCACTGTAATTCTTCGAAATGATACAGCAACTATTAAAGCCGATTTACAAAAGGCAACACTCGTTCTGTCACATCTACACAAATTTTACTACGACAAAATCAAACAGTCAAAGAAAATAGAGTTCCTCCACTTGTATGTATCTTCAGGACAATATAGAAAAGACTCGCTCTTGGTATAGTATTTGTAACTATTAATTTATTAGTATTGTTTAGTTTCATATACTTTTATATATCGGAACATTGTAGTGGATTATATTATAGTATTATTACTAATAACGATAATATTTACATAATGTGCCCTCCGATAAAAGTAATTGATAAAAAATACAAAAAGCCAACTCAAAACACTAGAAATGGAGGAAGAAGACTATGACGACTTTCTCGACAAAATGGAAGAGGAGAGTGCAAAGCAAGTTATGGAAGCGACGAATAAACTTCAAGAACTGAAACAGAAAGAGAAGACTGATCCTGTTCCATTGGAGTTTGTTGACAAGTTACCACCACAAAAAGAGGAGAGTTCCGACTCAGAAGATTTGACTCAATATAAAGATGAACTAACACAGATCAAGAAGAAGCGCTTGGAGTTGCTGGAAGTCGACCATAAAACAATCAATTACTTGCCACTTGTCAAAGGATTATACGTCGAGGTCCCCGACGTCACTCGTCTGACTGACAATGAAGTGAAAGAGATAAGAAGAGTCGAATTGGAGGGGTGTATAGTCAGAGGAAAGAGATGTCCAAAACCAATTCAAAGTTGGTCCCAATGTGGATTAAACCCCGTGATGCTCGAGATCATCCGAATTTTAAATTATGACAAACCAACACCAGTACAACGTCAAGCAATACCAGCTGTAATGTCTGGTCTTGATGCAATCGTATGTGCCAAGACGGGGTCTGGGAAGACTCTTGCTTATGTCTTGCCTTTACTTAAACGTTTGTATTTACTATTTATATACTATATTATATAATATTCCTCCTATTTATTATAATATAATATCTTATTAATATTTTATACTATACTATTTAATTGGTCTTAGATACTCAATTAGTAGTATTATTATGGTAATTATTACTTTACTTCTTTCTATATGAAGTCTTATTAAAAAATCTCTGAACTCTAGTCTTTGATACCATCAGGAGACCTTCAGCAAATGTCCTGATGGTGTGAGAACGATTCAAAGAGGAAGTATTTATCAGTAGATGTCTTGTCACAGCCAGCACTATTGCCGGGCGATGGTCCGATTGCTATTGTGTTTGTCCCTATTCGCGAGTTAGCTGAACAAATTAACACAGAGATAGCCAAGTTTGCGAAGTTTCTGAAACTACGGACGACTGCAGTGTTTGGGGGGATGGGTATTTCAAGTCAAATAGGTGCGTTAAAGCGTGGGAGTGAAATCGTCGTGTGCACTCCGGGGAGGATGATAGATATCTTAGTCACCAACAGTGGGCGCATCACAAACTTGCGACGCGTCTCTTTTGTTGTTTTAGACGAGGCGGACCGAATGTTTGATTTAGGGTTTGGGCCACAAATTAAACACATCATCGATGGGATTCGCCCCGACAAACAAATAGTGATGTTTTCAGCGACGTTCCCGCAAAGTGTCGAACAAAGTGCGCGCGAATTTTTAAAGAAGCCGATAGAAATTATATGTGGGGGGAGGAGTCATGTATCTGATACGATAGACCAAGACGTTGTGGTGTTACCAAAAGAGGACAAGCTGCAGACCGTTGTAGCGATAGTGAAGACTCAAAAAGCGCAAGGCGGGCGAATTCTGATATTCACGGAGACTCAGAAAAATTGCGATGAACTGTATCAATGCCTCATGAACGAAGATATTGGGTGTTTATTGCTACACGGAGGAATCGACCAAGTAGATCGGCAGAACACCATCAATGAATTCAAATCTGGAGTTGGGAAGACAGTAATGGTAGCGACTTCTGTGTGTGCGCGTGGTATTGATGTGAAAGGACTTGAATTAGTCATCAACTATGACTGTCCCAATCATATGGAAGACTATGTACATCGTGTTGGGAGGACTGGGAGAGCTGGACAGAGAGGAAAGGCGATCACCTTTATAACGAAAGAAGAGGACATGTATAGTGATGATATAGTTAAAGCATTAACCCTGAGTGGAGGACGAATAAGTAAAGAGTTGAGTGAACTGAATGAGGGGTGGAAGACTAAGAAATTGTTTTTAGAGACGAAGAAGAGGAAGATGGGGTATGGGGGGTCGGGCTTTAAATTTGATAAAAAAGAGGAGATCAAAAATTTGGAGACCAAAGTTGGTGCATATCTTGAAGAAGAGGCGGGCGGAGAGACTTTAAAGGAACGAGTTGAAAATAAGAAGATGGAAGAGGAGATGGAAGAAAACAAAATACCAGTTGAGAAGCGGGAGGCCGTTCGAAAAGCACTTGAAGCGATCGACCGATTGAATAAGAAAATAGCCAAAGCGACATCCGATGGATATCAAACCGAAGTTGTGATTAACGACTTCTCTCTCCAGTCGCGTTTTGTCTTGACAAACAAAGAGAAGTTGTTACCCGTCATGCAGAGTTGCAACGTGAAAATCACAACAAAGGGGACATACGTTCCGGAGGGTAAACCTGTTCCTGCGGGGACACAGAAGTTATATCTTCTGATCGAAGGAAAAACAGAAGAAGACCTGTCGAGGGCAAAACGGGAGATCAAAGTTCTACTGAAGGAAATAGCAGATAAATACAGAGACAAAGTGATTCACGAAAAGACCTTTTCTAACATCATTTAGTTCTTTTTATGTTATTTGACTTGTGCTGAGGTGCAATGCCTTAATATGTTAAAAAGTGACGGTCAAATGACAATATCTATTAATAAAGTAATACTATAATACAGGAATAACTTTTTGTACCAAAGACATCAATGTCACTTAAATTATAAAAAAACTATTAGAATGGTACATAAAGGATAAACTTCATCTCTGTGAGTTTTGCTCGACGAGAAGTGATGAAACAATTTCTGAAGACTTTATCATCATTTGTTGACTTTGAATGAGTCAGCTCTCAAACGGAGAATAATACGAACAAATCAATAAAGAGAGATATTTATACAACAGTGAACATAAACGAATCGGAAAACGAAAAGTCGTCTTGTTGTTCTTGTTGTGTAAAGAGCTGTGCGTCAAACACAATTGGGTTTTTCACGCGTGGAGGAGATAATGTTCGTTCGTCGTCTTTCAGTTCTCTGTCTGACGAATAGTCTGGTGTGAAATCAACAATGCAGTCGTGGCATTCTTCACTATTTTTGAGGTCGTATATCTCATTCAATAGACGGATGGGTTTTGGTATAATTGTTTTCATTCGGTGCATTTGAATTAATCAGTTCAAGTTTTGTATTCATCAAAGTAACACAAGTGACACTTAATTATGACCATTTATTATAATTATTTATAATATTATTTATTATTTCTATTTTATAATAATAATACATACCAATCAATTCATTTAAAGTGTTTCCAATTTACAAAGGCAAAATCTTCTGTTCGTCAATAAGCATTTGTAATCGCTCTGCCGTACCACATACAGTAATGACCATTTGTTCCACACCGTATTTACAATTCATTGCCTCAATTTGACGCAACACACAGATGTCAAATAGTTTACGAAGTGGTGACCGAAATGTAGTTCTGTAATACCAAGGGCGGTAATCTCTTAATAATGCAAGATCGCCATAGTACTGATGGAGTTGTTCTCCCATACATCTCCCCACAAATCTATTACTTAATCTATACTATATATATAGTATATATATAGTAATATATTTATATACTATATATATACTATATATATTAACAAACAAACTTTCCCAAGTCAGCAATGACGTCTCCTTGTCCAACAGTGTTTTTAGCAATATACAAACAAAGTACTTTCTCTGTAATTTCACTGAGTAATTTAGAGTCACTACAAATCCTTTCAAGATCCATTTGACTTGTTTTCAAGCCATTAAATACTTTTAAGTCGTCGACGGTGTTCGCCGTACTCAACCGAGTAAATTGGTCTGTCGTCAAATTCGCTTGAACCCGTATGACACTCTTTCCAAAGCAGCATTGCTCCACTCTGCAAGTTGTTGTGTTGACATAAAAGAGTATACTAAAAGCGTGTAGAGTCTTTCCACAGTCGAGTGAGAGTTTCTCGCAGATCTTCTGATTGAATGTGTGACCGCTTTCCTTCTGTCTTTGATTAAACAAATGAGTGAACTCCTCGACGCTCAAGTCTTCCGTGAAGTCCGTGCAGTGTACGCCAAATTCAATGAGATTTGGTCCAACATAGCAGACATGCAGTGCGTCATCTCTTATTCGTGTTGTTCTGTGATCGATCGTGAAGACTCTTCTATTCCTCAAATCGACGTTAAAGATCTCCTTCAACGGTTCTTCCTTCCGAATTTCTTCTGTTTTTGTATCAAATGATATTAACGGTGTTGCATTAGTAATTGGGACACACGGAAAGTCAAATTTGATTCTCTTCAGACTTTCACTTTCCATTTTGATTATTTCCATATCGCTTTCTCTGTTGAAGTTCTTCTCTTTACTTCCATTTTGGACTTCAAAGCTCATTGCCTGTCTGTTATACACCCCAAGCACTCGACGAAATTCCACATATGTGTTTGGAGCAGGCCATACCGGGAAGTTTCTGTCGTCGGGGTAGAAGATGTTGTTTTCCACATATCCCGAACACGCGTCGAGACTTGCCATTTGGTTGATTGAGGTGACACACCCGACTGGAATAAGTCGTTTGTTCTCGACTGTGCGAAGCGCCAAAAAGACGTCGAAAATTGAATTGAAATTTTGAGTTGAGAAGAAGAGGGAGGAGTTGAATGGGCCGTCCAGAAATTGGATTTTGTCGCACAGACTTAATTTCCATAAGGAAGGGGGGAAGATTCCTAATGTCACAATATCTCCTGGAAAAGCGAATAAAGTGCTTAGTGGTGGGATGAAGACGTCTACATTGCCTTGACCAATTTGAATACGACAAAAGTGGACATTAGAATTTGTTAAGAAAAGTCCTTGGACAGTTCCGATGTATTGCATAGCACTTCTTCAATTGAATTTTGCAGTTTTGTCATTTAACAAGTTATGAAGTCTTGAAGGAAACACGTGAAATAGAAAATTTAATTAGCAATAAAAAAGGCTAGAGTAAGCAACATAACGAGAAGAGTAACAGCAACAACTCCCCAATTCAAAAAAAGTGCTTCTGCTAACAACAAAAACACACATAAGAGTGCAATAGGCATTTGTACTTCTTCATCTTGTGGGCGAGGGTTTCGCGCGGTTGTTTGATTGGTTGTGGTGTTTTGTGATGGAAACATATTATACGGCTGACTTGGGGGTGGCGCTCCAAAACGTTGTTGTGGCTGTCCGCTTGAATTTGCATCGACCTCGACTAACATCCCATTCACTATTTTCATCTTCTTCGAACCAGTCTGTACACTTGCCATTTCTCTCTAATTTTCGAGTTCTTATGGCTTTAAAAACAAATTCTATATTGTATAATATTTTAATTATCAATTTCTTACTATAAGAAATAGTTTTTTAATTAATATTCAATTAACACATTTACTATAAGAAAATAGTATAATAATTTTAATAGTATTATAATTTTATTAAAACAATTTACTATGACTAATTTGATTCAGTGATGAGTCACCGATTTTTTTGTCGCAAAAGCAGCCTCGTATTTTCTATGCAAAGAAGAGTAATTAGTGTTATAATTGATAATTAATAATTAATAGAAATAGAATTGAACACATACAAAATGCCGAGTAACCGCCATTCGAAAGGTTCGATAAACTCGAACTTGAAGAAAGTAGTCATGTCCTCGAGTGAATCCGACCAATATGTTCGTCACAACATCCTTCCCGAGATAGGTATAGCTGGCCAAGAGAAGTTATTAAAGAGTAAAGTAGGGATATTAGGAGCTGGTGGGTTAGGAAGTCCAGTCATACAGTATTTGACTTCCTTTGGTGTTGGTCACATATTAATAGTTGACAACGACATTGTCGAATCCGTGAATTTGAATCGCCAAGTGATTCACAACTCTGAGCGCATTGGGATGTTAAAATCTGAGTCTGCTCAAAAGAGTGCACACCTCTTAAATCCGAACATAGAAATACTTCAAAAGTCGGTCAGAGTTGATGAGACCAATGGTGTTGAAATATTTCAGGGGTGTGACGTGTTAGTGGACTGCTGCGATAACCACCAAACTCGTTATTTAATCTCTTCTGTTGGTGTTAAACTTGGTATTCCCGTCGTGACTGGTTCTGTCGTACGATGGGAAGGTCATGTCACTGTTTTGAATTACAAGGGTGGACCTTGTTACAAGTGTTTATATCCAACAATGCCAGCAGCTTCTTTAAATGCAACTGCAAAGACTGCTGGAGTTGTTGGCACGATATGTGGTGTTATTGGGTCTATAGAAGCAATGGAAGTTGTTAAAATAATACTTGACAAAGGGGAGGTATTATCAGGAAAGATGTTTATGTTCAATGGTTTAACTTTAATGCACAAAATCGTGACGGTTTGTTCATCCATTTCATGAAAAATACATAATAACTGAAGTAACACACAGACCAAGAAGAGAAGTTTGGAGTGCACTTGCTGTGGATCTTCAAAATGAGGAATTGAAAAAATTTTTAAAAATTTTTTAAAAAGGTTTGAATTCGGTCTTTTTAATTTTTGTTGTCGTTTTTAGAAAATCTTCGAAAACTAAAATCAGAACTTCCACACTAAAAAATTTAAAAAAAAACTCAATCAGTCCTCGTCAACAGAAACGTCAGCAAGGGAAGCAGCAGTCATCACAACAGCATTCGACTTCTTCACATCTTTTTTGGTTTCTTTCTTTTCTTCTTTTGGTTTCTCTTCCTTAGCTTCTTTCTTATTGTGTTTCTTTTCTTTCTTCTCCTTCTTTTCCTTTTTCTCTTCAGCTTTTGGTTTCTCTTCCTTTTTATCTTCTTCTTTCTTGTTAATCTTAGTTTCCTTTTTATCTTTCTTGTCCTTTTTCTCCTTCTTCTTCTCTTCTTTAGCTTCTTTGGTCTCAGGTTTCTTTTCTTCCTTTGGTTTTTCTTCTGCTTTTACTTCTTCTTTCTTGGCTTTTTTCTCTTTCTTGTCTTTCTTCTCGGCTTTTTCTTCTTTTTTCTCTTCTTTCTTCTTGTCAGCCTTTTCTTCTTTCTTTTCTTCGTCATGATGGTGGTGATGCTTCTTCTCTTTCTTTTCCTTTTTCTCTTTCTTTTCTGACTTTTCTTCAGCCTTTGGCTTCTCTTCTACTTTTGGTTCTTCTTTCTTTTCTTCTTTTTTCTCGGGTTTAGTCTCTTTCTTCTCTTTTTTGTCCTTTTTCTCTTTCTTCTTCTCTTCTTTAGTTTCTTTAGTCTCGGGTTTCTTCTCTTCTTCTTTCTTTTCTTCTTTTGGTTTTTCTTCTTTAGCCTCTTTCTTCTCCTTTTTCTCCTTCTTGTCTTTTTTATCTTTCTTCTCGGCTTTCTCTTCCTTGTCTTCTTTGTGATGATGTTTTTTCTCCTTCTTTTCCTTTTTCTTTTCTTCTTTTGATTTTTCCTCAACTAGTGGAACAGCCTCGACTATCTTTTCTTCAGCTTTTTCCTCCTTTTTTGAGTGTTTCTTTTCTTTCTTCTCCTTCTTTTCTTTTTTATCGTCCTTTTTCTCTTCAGCCTTTGGTTTCTCTTCTTCTTTCTTCTCAGATTTAGTTTCTTTCTTTTCCTTTTTATCTTTCTTGTCCTTTTTCTCCTTCTTCTTCTCTTCCTTAGCTTCTTTGGTCTCGGGTTTCTTCTCTTCTTCTTTCTTTTCTTCTGCTTTCACTTCCTCCTTTTTAGCTTTTTTCTCCTTCTTGTCTTTCTTCTCGGCTTTTTCTTCTTTTTTCTCTTCTTTCTTCTTGTCATCCTTTTCTTCGTCGTGATGATGATGCTTCTTTTCTTTCTTATCTTTTTTGTCTTTCTTCTCGTGTTTGTGTTTCTTCTCTTCTTTTTCAGCTGGCTTTTCTAACTCTTTTTCTATTTTCTTCTCTTCTGCTTTCTTTTTCTCTGCTTCTTTCTTTTTCAAAAATTCTCCTTGGTAAGCTTCTGTTTCTGTAATGCATTGTTTGTGTGCGTCATACTCGGCCTCTGTCTTGAATGATTTATGGCAGTCGATGCAAGTGTATCCGCAGAACCCTCTGCATTGATATGCGTGTTGTTTTGCCTTCGATTTCTTAATAGTATCTCCGCATTTATCGCACGTGAAGTTGACCATTTACCCTAACTAGTTTCTTTCGCATTTAAATACAGAACCCTGTAATATTTTTTCCTCTTCGCTTCGACTGTTCTTGACCTACTTAATACAATTCTCAAATAGTAAATTTGTTAATATCATATAGCTTTTTTATTCTAAACACAAACTATCTGAAACTATAGATATATACTTTTTTATGTAATTGATATAAACTAAAAATAAACTAAAATGAAACTAAAAATAAATAATACCGAAAGAACAATGCCAAATTACGCCAATACTATTTACAGTGGCTCACAATCCAGTTCATCCCATCGTTAATACCCATTCCCGTCTTTCCACTTGTCGCGAAGACTTGCCATTGGATATTGAGTTGATCAAGTTTAAGTTCGGTCTTCAACTGCTCGATAGCGATAGCGTGTCGTGAGTCGTCCTGTTTATTCGCGAAGATGGCTAAGACGCTCTTCTTCAAACACTTCTCCTGTCCGATCAAAGAAATCTCCTGCGCGACTTGTGGAAGTCTTTCTTTGTCGCACGAGTCGACAACAAAGATGACGACATTTGTTTTGGGGAAGTTGCACCGCCAGAAGGGCCGCATCACTTCTTGCCCCCCGATGTCCAAGACCCGCATTTTAGTCTTTTCGTACTTCACAATTTCAACATTTGAGCCAATTGCTATTTATTAATAATAAATTAATAAAATTGTTATTATTATTAATACATATACGAATCAGAATATATTATTATTACATACTAATAATATGTACTAGAAACTAACTTGGAAGTGTCATGACGGCTTGTCCTGAAGACAATCGATAAAGAAGGGTTGATTTTCCTGCTGAGTCAAGTCCAAGGAGTAACACACGAACCTGTGACCCAAAGATGATCTCGTGCGACTTCATGTTTCCTAAATAGTGAGAAGAGGATAGTCGAATTGAATACTACACAAACCCATTGCTCTGAACGAAATGAATAATATCCAGTTTTTTTTTCTTTAAAACCCTGAATTGGTGCCAGAACTGTCATACAAAAAGCCCGTGTTTTTGGAATTATTTCAACGAAATTGTGATTTGTAAGGTATTTCTTTTTTGATGGAATAAAAAAATCAAAAATAAATGGTTGCTTTAATTCTATTCTGTCTGTTTGGAAAAGGCTATTAACTTGTTGACTGGAGTTGTGGGTTGAATTTTTTGGGACAAATATATCGGCGACAAACGCTCTAAAGAATGGGGATTATGACCTAATTAAAACTGTATTGTGTGGTGGCATCTACTAGTGTTTTTGGTTTCCTTATAATTCAAAAATAGTTAGCTCTTGGGGTGAAAATTTAATAGATATTAGGAAAGTGATATAAGTTATTACTGTTACATAAAGGGATGTTAGGTTATTCTATTGGAATACTTGACCTTATTTATTTAATGCCCTTTCCATTGGTAACGAAATAAGTATTCGGCATTCTATCCCTTAATTGACCAAAATAACAAGTTTTTGTGTTGTTTTACTACTCACCAAGAAAAAAAGCAAAATTGGTCTTTTTGTTTAAATTGTTATTAATAGAAGAATATTATTGTAATCAGTTACCACGTCATTGTGTATATTATTGATTTGTTGTTTCACAGTCAACAGACTGTTTTTATTCGGGCTGGGTAGGCACATTTCACCGAAAAACTACTTGATATCGAATTCGTGGGATTTGCCACATTCTTCCAATATTCCCAAAAAGTTAGTCATTGCACGCCCAATACTCAGAGCCAATCTTGATTTTTGTTCCATTGTGGAATTTTGTGAGGATTTTTCCGCCTTTTGTTCGCAGAAGTTTTTGAGTTGCTATTTAAAGACTTTCTAACATACATTTTAATAGTTTACTTAACCAGTGATATACTATTATTGTTTTTTTTAATAACAAGTTCGTGGAACTGAAAATCACTTGCCATTTTATTTCTGAAAACCCCCCGAATAATTACAATTAAAATGTGTATTAATAAAGAGAAAATAATTAAAAAAATCGATTTTTAAAAATTGCAAAAAAATTGAGCGAATGTTCCAAACTCAACAACTAACCCAAATAATTAGAACCAAACTATATTTTATAGTACATACTAATTTGTTTTGAACAGCCAGACTGAGTTTCGAAGAAAAAAAGAGAAGTATTTTTTTTCTCAACTTGCCGTTTTGGAGATCTTTCAAAAGTAAAAAATCGTTGTTCTAGTTTTGGCAACTTGAACTCCCATGATTTAATGACTTTTTGGATTGGAAAAAATTGGGTTTATTTTCTAGAAATCTAAACAAAAATAGTTCAGAATTTTTAAATTATATCAAATGTCGTAACTAATTACTTGATAAAACAAACTTATAATTTTTTATAATATGTTTTTAATTTGTTATTTTTAGAACATAAATAACAAAAAAATAATCAAAAATTTGGTTTTATAATTAAATTATTAACCCTTACAAATCTATTCAATTTTAATAAATTAATTAAAATTTTAAATTATTTTTTAGGAATTTTTTGCTTTAATTTGAAAGAAAGGACACCAACATGTAAAGTTATGTAACTTGGGCGTAACTTTGTAATTAATTCTTACAAAAATTAAGAAATAATTGATTATAAAAATAACTTTAAACAAATATAATTGAAAATGTAATTGAAATTATAATCTTTAAACATTGTATGATCATGAGCTTGCGTTCAAGGGTAATAAACTACCATACACATTCAAATCCGTTTGTAACATATTATTTGGATCATTTTATAACAATTTCCCAGAGTTCTATACACCATTCACAATTACCATTAAGATAATTTGGCAACAAAAAACTTATTCCTCGATTTTAAAATTCAAAGAGAAAAAACAAAAAATAAAAGGTGTTAAATTATAGAACATTTCACATCAATCACCATCAATTTCCATAGACAACTTATAAGAAAAATACAAAAAGATTTAAACAATATGTAAATATGTTTTTATTACAACATAAATCAGTCGAAAAATTCCAAAATGTCAAGGTTTTTAATAATGAACAACAAGCGAATTTTTTGAAAAAGACTAATATGAAAAAACAAATGATATGGAACTTACACCAAAAAATGATGATAAGAGTTACTAACACAAATTCATGTTCTGTGCGATTTTAGAATTGATTCAATTTTATCCTTTGATATGAATGAAGATTACTCAAGTGAAATTCCAAATATACAACTTATAGATTAATACGATGACACTGAAACCGAAATGCAAATTGACGATATTGTTAGTGAAAATGTTTTCAAATGAAAATTCAAATAAAATATCTTAGTCAAAAGGCCTTGGATTCCCAACAACACATCAAGCATATACATTCCAAAAAAGAACAAATCAAGATGTTCATTGCAAGATACAAATTTTAATAGTTTTCATGGATCAATGAATATATCTCAATTTATTAGAGGTGAACGTGAATTCCAAAACCATTGGAACGACCACAAACATCTTTTGTTGAAACATTATTTGAGTATCAAAATCGAATCAATAATTTACCGAACACCCACTTTCTATTGGAACCAAGTCATATTATACAAAAAAAATGTTGTTACTTTAGATTTATGGATTTATTAGATTTAAACATTTCCACAGAGTTTGATTGTTTGACTCTAATTAGATTGAGTCTTAACATTTATGACAAAATGTTTAAATTGTGTTGTAACAAAAAAGTAAAATTATAATTACCATAAACAGTTACGAAATTAAAAGTGTCGAATGGGAAAATGGTTTAAGAAACACTTTGGTTGATGGATATAAAATGTTTTTTTGCTAAATGACCTTTTTCTCATTTCATTAACAATACTACACATTTGAAATTCATATAACTAAATATATAACCTCAATTGTTTTTATTAAAAAAATATAACATTGACAACGTGACACAATTGAAATGTGTTACCAAAAAAACACTTGATTATAATTCTCATTTTTTATTAAAAAATACTAAATATTTTAAGCATATTTATTTAATATTTACATATTAATAAAAATATTATATTAATGATTCATCAAAATATATTGTTTTGATATTGTTATTTTTCATCAAAAAATTAATTATACACATATAAAATTATAACCATACACGTATCAATGTTAAACAGACATTATAAAAATAAATAAATTGTAAAACTTGCAAACTTTTTGATGTTAATAATATGACATCAAACTAGAACCGTTAAATTTTAATTAAAGTATAAATATCAATTATTGTCACACCCATTTTTATTTTTGAAAATATATAAAGACGGTTGAATAAGTATTTCATGTAAACTATTTTTGGACTTTTAATGGTTAAAAAGAATCCCATGAAGCCATATAAACGGGTTAATCAATGACAAATGAATAAATTATCGATCGAACATTTATTACCATCTTAAAATAGTTGACATATCGTTATGTTTTGACATTAATTGAGTTGTGTTAAATGAGTAATAATTATTTTTTACTTGTCTATTTTTTCATCCACATTTTTATGTTGTTATTTTTTAGTCAAGATCGTTGACTATATTGTAGAATTCTCCAAATTTGGTGTCACTTTCCAAAATAGAGTTCTTTCTAAACAATAGAATAATATGGCAACTATCTTAAATTTTATATATTGAATCAATAAAATACATTTTTGTTTTACTAGAAATATTTTCAACACTTTATTATATTTTCTTTAATGAAAGAACTTGTTGTACATTTAACACAATATAATCATAATATTTGTCACAAAAAATTATTTTCTAGTATTTGATATAAAATTAAATAAGAAAACCTATATTTAATGTATTCAAATAAAAGAAGAAACAGTTCTTTGCAATTCAGGGTTGTTTTTTGAAATATCATGTAGGTCAAATCTCTTTTGGATAAAATAATGATAATTTACAGCATTTCACTTTCCATTACTTGTAACTAGATCAAACACTTCATCAAACTGTTTGTAATTGAATCTTTCTAAACACTTGAAATTTGTATTTTTTTCGAGGATTTTTAATGTGTAAATTAAAAATTACTTAATTTTGTTTGTAGGTGAATTTGAGTATTTTGAAATAGTATAATTGGTACACTTTAATCATAATTTAGTTCTTTGTAATTCTAGTAATGTATTAAAAAATTATTTTATTTGATAAAAATCTTTGCATTTAACAAACCTATCTGTAAAAAATTATTGCCTTTGGAATGTGTTGAGTGTATTTGTTAAAAGTTTATTCTGTTGTACTACTTGTTGTGGTGACTGTGTTGAAAGTTGTACTAAATGTCTTGGTTGTGTTGAATTTTGTATTAAATTGATAGTTGTATTTCTTCATCCTCTTTTTTTGTCGTCTTGTGATGTTGCTGTTGTTTGCATTGTTGATTTGTTATTTTTAATCGTGTTAAATGTATCTAGAAATCTAATTGCTCTAGGTATAATCCAAAAAAAATATTTTTGATTTTTAAAACCTTAACAAATGATTCGATGAATTTTGATTTAATGACTACTTTATCTTCTTTTTACCATGTTAAATGTTGTTTTTTGTGTGTTAAGTTGCTTTAGTATTTTTGATAATTATAATTATAATGTATGGTTATTTTTTAATATTGAAATGGTTTTAAATTGTTAAAAATAATTAAAAGAAATAGTAAATGATATTGAGGTTTGTATTATATTGGTTATAAACAGGTGTTTCAAAAATAATTATTGATGAAAAAATGGTATAATAATTTGCGAGTTGATATAATAAAATGAGCATTTTGGTTATAAAATGGTGAAGTGGGTTATTAGGATAGTTATTTTTGGGATATTTGTAATGAACTTAACAAATAGTGTTTGTTATGATTGTATCATTATTAAATTATGAAATTTTGAAAACATAAATATGCCATTTAATAATTATTATTATTTTATAAATAATTGCAATTTTTTGAAATTTAACATATAAAAATAAATGTTTTTAGTTTGATTAAACGGGAATATTACGGACATTAATTATGACATTATTGTTTTTGTATAATGGATTATTATCCCTAATATTTAAACAAAACAACCAATTATTATTTAATATCATCATTGTTTGAGTTTAAAGTCAATGAATTTGAATACTACAATAATACTTCAAATTGATTTTTTAACGAGTTATAGTAAAAAAACTGAAAAAATAATTATATTATTTAATAAGTATTAGTCTTAGTAATTGTGGCATTTAACAATAATAAAAACACAATTCAATGAACGTAATAAATATCTATTAACTATTCATTAAAATTACTAACAATAATAATTTAAATATATTTTTAAAACAGAATTACTCTTTTTGCTTCAGTAATGTACTTAGTAAAAAAACTGAACAGGACTATCCTACTTTGCCATATTATTATATGTATTTTAACATAATTAGCTATAAAAGAACATGGCCGACTTGGATATTCACAATGTCTTTCAAAAAGATGGAAAAGGGGACTAAAAAGAAGACCAAAGATAATTTTAAAAACATGATAATGAAAAGGAAGAGTGAAACAGAAAAACGGTATTATTTGATGGGATGTGTCTATGTTGCAATGCAGATTGAAAATGTATCGTTTATCATTGATTGCAACAAAAAATATAAGTATGTTGATGGTTCAAAAACTTTACTTACTTTAAATTTCACTGTATCCAAAATAATTACCAAAGATGGGGATATTATCTTTGATCAAAAGATAACGAATTCTATCACAATAAATAACGAGTTAATTGAATTAGAAGTTTCTCCAATGAGTGAACAAAACAACAAAAGAAGAGAAGCGCTTTTGTTTCAATATTTGAACAAATTGATGTTCAAATGTGCAAAGGAACATAACCTTGATCAAAGCATGAAAGTGACAAAAACAAACGGAAAAACAACCTTTATACCTAAACTCAATTCAATCCCAATGTTTAACAAAAATAATAATAAATGGGAATTAATCAATAAAAAAGATTTTATATACCAAATTGGGGCAAAAGTACATCAGAAAATTGGAGAACTATTTGAAAGTGTTGTTAATACTCCAAAAATTAATAAACACATTTTCTTGTATCAAAACGGACAAGTGCATCTTGATGAAACCTCAAATTACATTCCATTGGATATTACATCTTTATCAAATTATATGTATGCTACAAGTAATTTGTGTGCATCAGAAAGTGTAAGTTATATTAATTGTAATTGTAGAACAGAAACAACATCATCAACTTCCAAAACAAAAACCAATGATAATAATCCACACTATCAAAATGAAGTACACATTTTTGAAGAACAAAGTAGTTTCGACTCAATCGAAGTGCCATGTGAAATGGGTTTCCAGGATGTAATAACTGAGAATGATCATGGATTTGTACAGAATTATATGGACACCTTTCCAACACCAATTGAACACCAGAGTGAATCAGAATCTTCTAATAATGTCCATTATAATGTTGATTCTTATTTTAAGTACTTTGTTTCAACAACAATTCTACAAGAAAATGAAAATAACGGTGAAAACAAAAAGAGTATGATTAACAGTACTCTTTCCTAGTACCATTAAGTACAATGAAAAAACACACACATTATTTATTCATATTCATTGTTCTATTTTTAATTCAACTTATTGTTTTATATTAAAGTTACTCTAACACTAAATAACACAATCAAATAAAACCAAAATCACTGGAAATACATATTAAACTTGTCGACCCGATAGTAAGGAAAAGGCGTATTAATACATTTTACTAGTTCATGAATCTTCTCCGTTTGAAGCTTGACGCGATTATAACAAACGACGTTGTGTGAGTTTTCTTCCCAGATTGGAATTTGTTTGATGCCAATCATGTCCTTGAGCCAAATAGTAAAGACAAGGATTTTAGACACGTTCTCGCTGACCAATTTCATGTGATTCCGATAGATCCCACAGTTCTTTTGAATTGAGAAGAGTGTGTACAAATTGGCATATTCGATCTTTCTATTCTTCTTTAAAAGGGATGTGAAGTCTTGGACTTCAATGGACTTCCTCACAAGAATAGAAAAGAGTAAATGCGAGAGATTCATTTCGTAGATCTTAGACATACTCCACGCTAATTTAACTAACCAATTCAGTACATCTTTCTCATTACCAAGTTTCATAAACTTCTGCTCAAGACACTTCAGCCATTCGATGTACTGACAAACACTCGGACTCTCTTCTATCAACTCCGAACAAAATTCAAAAACAGGTATTTCAGAAAGTCTCTGTTGGTCAGCAAGAGCAAGTTGCTCCACGACAGTCTCAACATTCTCCTTCGTAATCAACCAGAATGATTCGCTTTTTAGAGGACTACCTGCTCCAAACTCAAAACCATTTTGAGTTTCTGCTTTTGATTTTTGGATGGGTTGTGATTTTGGCAATGTGGAACTTAAAATGTATTTTTTGAGTTTTTTGACGTAAACTCGCTCAATGGAGGAAGGCACGTTTTCGTTACTTATAATCCGCAACTTTAAATTTCTTTTTCGTACAATTTCAGACACCTTTTGACTTTGGTTTAATGCAAAAGAATCATCAAATTCCCTTAAAAGTCCTTTAGGGAAGTTTTTCTCATTGAAAAATTCCAGTATTCTATTTCTCTTCGTTCCGTCGATCCCTTTTTTGAGAAGTGAGATAATGATTTTTTTCAATCTCAGGAATCTGATTAAAATCTCGAACTTTTCATATTCTTGTGTCGAAACGGCTTTCAATCTTACGACCTCCGTTCTGGCTTTTTCAATCACAAAATCATCATCTGAGAAGAGGTTTGCCACGTATTGAAAGAAGAGTGGTTCCTCTGCACTATTAGCCATTTGATAATCCCATAAAGCACTTGGACTTGCTGAAATAATTTTTCCGTCTTCGGTATACGCCGGGTCGCCATTTAATAAGAAAACTTCCTCCTTCTTAGCCAATAAAGTGTTTACAAAGGTCAAACAAGTCTCTTCTAAGAAGGTTTTTCCAAATAAAAGTCTGCCGAGAGTAGTTTTGTCGATTTTCCCGTTTTGGACCAAGTCAGTCAGTTTGAAGAGAATAAGACGATTGTCAGGTGGCAACGAAAAAACAAAAATTCGAAGAAAAGCTTTTGAAAAATTTGAATCTAAAATTTTTATTTTTGTTTTTGAAAATGTTTTCAAAAGCTTAGATGGAGGCATTTCGGAACTGAGAACTTTATCGGTTGCATCAATGCACATCTTTACGATAGAACTGTCTTGGAGTGAAATGTCATCGGAAGAGTGCTTGTGTGAGCGTGGGGTAACCGGGCACGAATCAAGAGAATGATTTTTAGAATGTGATTGGCGGGACATAGTCTTTTGGATGGGTTTGGAATGAAACTTATTAAATTTCACTTGTAAGGAAAGTCTAGGGGGTAAGTATACTTCTGTTGACAAAAATGTGGTGTCTACTCTATTTTGGCGAGAATTATATAGTTTAATAATAGTTTACTATTACAATTGAATAGTTTTGAAATATGACTTTTTTAGAGCAAAGTAGGTGTGGCATTTAATGTTAAATGGTAATGTATAAATAAAAAGAACTATATGTTTAAGTTTATTATTTATATAATTTAGTTAATCAAATAATACAATCATCCAAACATAGGAATAGCATAAACTTTTCTTTATGTTTAATGAAAAAAGATGAAAATAACAAAACGAAGTTTCCATCAAAATAATGTTTTATTTATTAATTAATTAACAATTAATTATAATGAATTGACTTAAATTATACAAAAAATTAATGTGTTTTATATTTAATTGACATTCAATAAAAATCGATAAGTATTTCTATACCGTTGGAATCACATTGTTTATTCAGCTTTAAAAAAGGTGGTGCTGAAATGTATCAATAAAAATGATGTAATTTGAAAGTTGATTTGTATTTATTTAATTATTTAACATTTTTATTCTAAAATGGAATCTTTTTAAAAATAGAACTTTACAAATTATAAAATAATAATAAATAACTATATAACAATTCTATTTTAAGAGAAACGTGTTTTGTTCATTCCAAACAAAGTAGTTTTATAAGAAATCCCTGATCAAAAAACACCTTAACAAACAAAGTTTGTTTTTAAGACTTTGCAATCGCCTGAATCGAGTCTAGATGTACTTAAAGTATAATAATGCTTAAAGTTTAAGTTTCGAAATGAAAACATCAAAAAAATTATAATAAATACAAAGCTTGTTATTTTTTTGTTTTGGACCGAAAAATTACTCTATTAAAATCTTGTGAATCAGGAAATAAATAACCAAACAGAGCTATAAATAAAACAAGAAAATTTTGATTCGAAAAATAGGTTTTGACAAGTGATCTGAAAATTCAAAAAGAGAAGATGACAAGAGTCTGCTATTTCTACGATCATAACGTGGGTGAATTCGACTACGGGTTCGGACATCCAATGAAACCGTTGCGCAACAAGTTGGTCCATCACCTCATAATGGAGTATGGCATATACCAACGCCTCAACATTTACGTTTGCTTTTCGATTTAGTTGTGTCGCAATTTAACCATACAATATAGTTTAAGTTTTAATAAATTACTTCTTTTTTCTTTACATATATTTTCATGACATTTTCTATGTTAAACTATTTAAGAACTATTCATTTTATTAACACTGTATTTGACTTTTTGTGTTTTGTCAAATATATTTTAAACTCATTTATTCATAACATAAATAGAACCACTATAATAAGAAATAAACTTTAAATATACATGTGATATCATTTGTGTTCAAAGTGAATCGAATAACGTTTAGAAGCCTTGGAGAGCAACAAACGAGCAACTGGAAATGTTCCACTCAAAAGACTATATTGACTTTTTGCAGAGAGTCACACCAGAGATGGCGCAACTCCAGCACTTCAGAAGATCATTGGAAGAGTTCAACTTCACCGACGATTGTCCAGTTTTTGACGGTTTGTTTTATGTTGGGAGAATGAATTTTAATAACAAACAGGACTTTACCCGTTTGTCCAAACTGTAGTTGGGAGTTCGTTGGGCTGCGCCATGAAAATTAATGAGCGAGCTGCTGACGTTTGTGTGAACTGGTCTGGCGGACTTCACCACGCCAAAAAGTCACAAGCCTCTGGATTTTGTTACATCAACGACATTGTGTGTGCGATTTTGGAGCTGCTCAAAGTGCACTCGAGGGTACTTTATATTGACATTGATCATCACCACGGAGATGGAGTAGAAGAGGCGTTCAAAGCGACGAACAGGGTGATGACATTATCTCTACACAAATATGGCGACAACTACTTCCCAGGAACCGGAGACGTGGACGAGGTTGGTGTTGACGAAGGCAAAAATTACTCAATCAATGTCCCACTGAAAGACGGTATAAACGACGATTATTATCACAAACTTTTCAACCCAATAATTGACCGAGCGATGGAAGTTTTCCAGCCAGGTGCTGTCGTCATGCAATGTGGAGCCGACAGTTTGAATGGTGACAGGCTTGGTTTCTTCAATTTAAGTATCCAAGGCCATTGTGAGTGCATGAAAAGGGTCAAAGCCTTTGGTCTGCCAATGATTCTAGTTGGTGGTGGCGGATATACTGTCAGCAATACCGCTCGGTGTTGGTGTTATGAGACTGCTGCTGCGTGTGATCTAACCATCCCAGACCGTTTGTTTTATTCTTTTTTTTCTGCTTAAATGTTTTTTCGTTCCATATATTTCAATCTTGTTTTTATGAGAAACAATTCAATATAATAGAACCGAACTATAGGATAGTAACAATGACGAAAAGAGATACCAGTGAATGATTATCTTGAGTATTACGTTCCTGACTTGAAGATTACTATTCCCACGAGTGCCCAAATGAAAAATTGCAATTCCCGAAATTATTGTGATGATATCTTAGGAAAAGTCATGCAAGTTTTAGAGGAAGTTGGGAACTCAACACTTCCGAGTTTACAGTTCAAGGCCCCACCAAGACATGACGAACACACTATAGATATGGAAGTGGACGAGGATATGAACACGTTCGACGACGCGGTTAAGGGATTCACTCGGGACATCCCAATGAATATGGACAACGAAGACGTCCTCAAAATGTACACGGAACCACTCCCCATCTTCCCGAAGTCAAAATTGTTCTGTACAGACAAGGATATGAAGTTCTTTGAGTGAATGTTGATTGTGTTTTGTTAGAAGAAAGTTGTTTAATTATGGTTCATTGTACTAGTTGTTTTTTTAGTTAATCTTTTAGATAATATAGTTCGATGTGAAAGACAAATTGGGGTATAAGGTTTAGTTCATAAACTAGAATATACAATACAGTTATTTTTTATCAAAAAAAATGATGAATAAGAAATGATACCTAGGTATAAAAAAGGAATAATAAAAAGCTATATAATATAGTAAATTAGTTCTCCAGAAGAATTAACACAATGGAATTTAAACTGTTCTAAATTTAAAACACTTGTTAATCTTTGATTTTTACATTGAGAATGAATACAGACGAAAAGGAAATAGAGCTGGAAAGCACTATACTTGCACCAGAAAACAAGGTGTCATCACAGCAAAAGATAGTATCATTATTTAGTGAAAGCAATTCTGACGTCGTCTTAAAATGTCAAACAAGTCATTACGTTTCCTTTCCTTCAATGATGCGATCTATTGTCGAAGCGGGTATCCAAAAGTGTGAGTATCCCCTAATTAAGATGATTGGTCTTTCAATAATGGGTGGAATGTTATTATCAGTTGGGGGATTGATGTCTATTAATATAGGTAACGCTCTGCCAAGTTCTGAATTGGGAATTTCTAAATTTGTGTTTGGAGCATGTTTTAGTATCGGACTTATTCTCGTCGTATTCACACAGAGTGAACTCTTCACTTCCAATTGCGCCACTTTAATTCCAACATTATTGGAAAGGAAAATTAAGTGGTATTTTGTTATTAAATCACTTATAACAACCTATTTTGGGAACTTAATTGGTTCAATTTTTGTCGCTGTTATGTTTGGGAAAGTACTTGGCAGTTTTGATAATAAACTTTACATTGAGGCTCTAATCAAAATCGGAGAAGCAAAAGTTCAACTTGATTTTGGTAGAGCAATTTTGAGTGGAATTGGTTGTAACTGGGTGGTTTGTACTGCAGTTATTTTGAGCTTTTCATCAAAAGATGTAATTGGAAAGGTTGCAATTTTAAGTATTTTTGTAATGACGTTTGTTTCACTTGGGTTTGAACATAGTGTTGCAAATATGTTCTTTTTGCCATTGGCCCAAATGTATGGAGCAAAGATAAATATGTTACAGATAGTCTGGTGTAATTTAATACCAGTTTCTTTTGGCAATATTATCGGTGGAATTGTATTTGTTGGAATTCCTTTTTGGTATCTCCACATTTCTACTATTTATCGTATACCTTTTATTGATCCATAACAAAGTAAAAGTAAATGACTTTTTTATTTTTCTAATTTAAGAATTCATGTTATTTTTTGACAAATTTGTCACTTTATTCATTTTCTTAGTTTTTAAAGGTATAAAATAAAAAACGAGATCAGCACACATTTAAATTCAAGAAAAAGATTAAACGACACTAAATACACATTTAAAAATAAATGAAAATAAGAATTAAATGTATTTAATTAATTGGTGATTATATACAACATTTCAAGTCTTTTCTTACTGTTTTTTGTAAGTAAGTAAAATTATTTTTTTTCTGAATCAGTCTAAACTAAAACAATGTCCCATTCAACAGTTTATTGCAATTAAGTTGATCAAAGATTTGTTGTGTCTTCAATAGTCTTTTGTGAAGGCAAAATAAACCGGTGATGTATTGTTTTTCTGATTATTTACTTGATTTTTACTTATCATTTCGCCAGATATTAACATATTACCATGTTGCCCATGTCAACTACTAACTCTTGTTTATTTCTTTGCACTCTTTGTATCAACACTTCTATTTCCAATCAAATTATCACCATAATGTCGTAATGACTTTATCACATATAAACCTTACGAATTTGTGGTATTTTTGGACTTTTTATTATAGAAAAACAAATCAAATAACATTTGACGTATAAAATGGTTTATTTTACTAAAATAAATTTTTTACAAAACAAATAATAAGTGTAAAAGTTTAAGTGTTAATTGTTGAAAAAGGAAATTTTGTTTTAAATTTACTGTGATTATGAGGGGAATATGAATTTAAATATAATTTTCATTGACAAATAAACAAATTATCATTAAAATTGTGCGGTGCGGTTAATGTTGTCAATCATGGAATTAAATCCCTTTTGATTTTCGAGAGGGTAATTGATGAAGTCGACGTTGAAGATGTTGATTTTGACGTTGGAGATCTCCCGAGTCTTCTTGTTGATGATATAAACAAGCGACCACTCAAATGTAAATCCGTCAGATTTGTAACTTTTCTCCCCTTTCACGTGTCTGACAATAACTTCAGTAGGTGTGTTTATTAATAATATTCTCCAACCAGAAAACCCGTCATGGTATCCATGACTCAGTCTCAAAGGTAATAAAAATTCGACTGCAGAAGCGAAGAGAGCCTGAGTAAACGTCTTCATAACCATCAAAGTGAGTGAGTCTTCAGGAAAGACCTTTGGTAATAATTTTGTGAAAAAAGTACCACAATCACCATTTCCCCCCTTTTTTATATAAACAAATTGTGCTTCGAATTCCTTGCGAAACTTTTCAACAAGTTTCTTCCCATCGAATTGGAGTATCATCTCAGATACAACTTTTTCAAGAGTGCGTTCCATTGCGTATTGGTCATCATCTTTATACAAGTTCGCACCACTGATCAATTCTTTCCGATCAATCCCGTCTTCAGAAACAAAAATCAGTTTTGGAACAAGACGGGGTATGTCGATTCCAATAGATGATTGGCTTAATGGTTTATGATACAGAGCTGTCATTCTGTTCACCATCTTTGGAAAAGACAGTTCGGGGACTTGGTTATAATTATTCTGTTCAACCTTCGAGTATTGTTGGTCTTTCTTTTTCTTCTGTGCTCTGAAGGCACATGCTACAGCTAGTGCCGTCCCAAACACAACTGCAATGAAAAGCAATTGTGCTAGAAGGACAATTACCAATTCCATTTCAACTGGTTTTACCAGTTTTTTTCTCTCTTACCTAAGCCGTTGTTCCATTCTTCTCAATCTTTTGTCATCATGTCACAAGACAAAACAAAAAAATCTTTTTTGAGATTTTTTTCGTTGATGGTCCATTTTTGGCAGAACGAACTGTTGATTTTAACTCAGATTTTCGAAATGAACAATTATGAAAGTTTTCCCACTTTTTTAGTGTAATTTAATACTAAAAAACAATTATTTTTTATTTATTTTTTAAAATAATACGGTCTTTTGACTTTAAACTTTTTGTGGATAAAAAAAACAAAAGTCAAAAATGTTGGATGATTTCTTGTGTTAAGTTTTTTTCTTATGTTTTCTTAAACTCTTTATTTACCTTTTGATTCAAATTTTAAATAATATATTTTTAACACCAAATTAATGGTAAAATAAATGATTTTGAAATAACATAATTCATCAAATTTTGTATTAAAAATTTATAGTAAATTTACAATAACAATATAATACAAATAAACTGTCATAAAAAAATTGTTATTTCACCATTTTTCGATTAAAAATTGTTTTTCAATCGAACCACTGAAAAACACAAAAAATGGGGAATAAGAACGAGAAGCCAAGTAAGAAAAGTCCGAAAGCAACGCCTCCACCACAGACCCCCGAAGTCGAAGCACCAAAGGAAATACCCAAAGAATTTTCCAAACCGAAAGAACCCGAAGCCCCATCTTTGATTGAGTTCACTTTAGCTCCAATCTACAAAATCGACAATGAAGTGCCCAAATTTTCCGACGAAGAGCTTTTGGCACTTAAAAATGAATTTGAGACTTACTCGACTGATGGTCTTATTATGAATGAGAAGTTAGTTTCCTTCTACGAGGATTTATGTGACTTCAAAAAAGATGAGAAGAATGAAATTACAGTGTTTGACGATTTCAGAACGACTTACATTGCGTGGATCTTCGACGCGAAGACTAACGAAATCTCGTACGACCACTTCATCAAAGGATTGACACATGCACAAGTGAATTCATTGAACAACTTTAAGCAGAAACTACCAAAAACCATCTTAGAAGACAAATTAATAGCAGAACAAGTCTTTAACGCCTGTTTCTTCTTTAATGGTCCGGAGAAAGCAAGTGGGACTATCCCGCCTGAAATGACTCAACTGACCGTCAACCTCTTTTTCAATGGAAATAAGAAATTGGAGGACTTCATACACTTCGTCACAGAGAAGTGTGCAGATGGCGTCGACCACTCGACTTGGTTATATCTTTTCCCGTATTTCGATAACGACAAATTCGACTTGACACAGATGGACTTGGACGCTTACTTGGACCTCCCATCGTTCTTCTCAGACTTCAAGAAATTCCTAACCCAAAAGAAGTAATTTAATTGATTTTTTAAGATAAATATCATTTGAATGGATTTATTTGTCGGTCTGCAGTCGCGAGGGATTGATCATGAGAGGAATATACACTTTATCCGGTTTTGAATACACAATTAACACGGACGGAACGGTAATATCATCTGCCACCGCACCAAAGCATTGATTCAACTTAACTACAGTAGACGTGATCTTTTGAAAGAGTGTTTTGTCAAAATGTTTATCCTTCTGTATTTCTGAGAGCGTAAATCTGACATTCTTTTCAATCAAACACTTGATATACTCTTCTTGAACGCTTACACTTGGAATCACTGGCGTTTTGTTATAGAGAGCAAGTCGCGATGGAATATTCACTTTCTCTCCAACGATCCAGTTACTCTTGTATACTTCTTTGATGTACTCTATGGCGTCTAATATATTCATATTCCCCTTCCCACCAACTATCTGGTCTTCTAAGAATAAGTTCACCGAGATTTGTGTCGTCCCAAACTCTATTTCATCAAAAGTAACGATATTCGAATGGTCGGTCATTTTCACACGAATCCACTTCTTATTACTCTCACGATATAAGTTGCTCTCGATGACGTGTAAGTTACTTCGTTCAAAGTACAGGCGAACCATCTTAAGTAATGTTTCATTCTCAATGTCAATGAAGACATCCCCAATTTGAGGGGTGTCAAGATTCTTGGTGATGCTTTCCTCTTCTAAAAGAGCGATGATCGTCTGGTTAAGTAACACACCAACTGCTGATTCATTCGCATCACGACCAACTCGCTTTAAGACACCACCACTCCCAACTACTTGTTCGTTGATTTGAATTTCAATATCCAAAAGATCTCCGTCATGACTTTGGCTATGCAATACCGACGAATAAAAAACCTTGTTATCACACACGTCGCAGTACATCTCCAGTTCTTGTATGAAATTTTCTACAGAAGACTCTTCAAATGGATTTTGAAGAACTCTCCCACTTTTCATCATCTTTAATGCCCGAATCATTTGTGGAAGTGAATTCTCTTCTTTAAATAATCGTTTCTGTTGGTCTTTTGGAAGTCTCATGATTACCGTGTTAATAAAATCGTTTGTTATCTATTCGTTAAATATGTTATTAGTATTATATTATTATATTATAAATATATTAGTATTATTATAGTCTATATTATTGTAGTATATCTATTTAATTCAATATACCAACAAACTTTGATTTTAAAGTTATTCGATATCTTTGTTAACAATTCAATCACAATCCCAAATATCTCGGCGATATCCATTGTCAAATCTTCATTCATCGAACTTTTCAGTATTAATCCCCCGGAGTAATTCGCGACATCTGCGTTACTCATATCATAAATCCCAACAAATACCCCCATCACTCGTTCGTCTTTCCATTTTCTTTGTTCCATGACATATTTGGTGATATCATTGAAATTGTTCAACACCACAAGTAAATTCTTATCACAATTAATAAGTAATGGTGATGTGACTTCATTGTTTTCCACCACTTTATATGGGACTATGGGATACAAAATTCTCACTTCTCCGCCACACATTTTAATTATTTTCTTCATTAAGTTCTGAATTTTCCCAACCCCTTCCAAGAACTTTTCTCGAAAAACACACTCATCACTGTTCCTATATTCAGCCTTCGAGACAATCGTCGGAAACACGCCAAAGTGATTTTGTAGCATCGGCGCAATCCCCTCGAGTTTTCTCTTCGTCTCTTCCATCCCAAAAAGTCTTCCGAGAATTTCCTCACTCGTTGGCCTTCTCTCCGGACTTTCATTTGTCATCTTCGGTATCAACTCGCTCAACTGCGGGTAGTAATTCAACACGCTATCGCTCACCTTCCCCTTCTTTAATAATTCCAACCCTCCAATGAACTCCGTCCGCGTCACACAGCTCATGCACATTTCCATCAGAATAACACCCGCACTATAAATGTCTATTTTCGTGTCATAATTCCCCGTTTCAACTTCAGGCGCAGTATATCCAGGTGTTCCCACAAATTTACACTTGTTATTCGTCGTGATCAAACTCGCATATCCAAAATCCCCAATTTTCAACACGTCACCCTCCCGAAAGATGTTGGCGGGTTTTAAATCACCGTGGATAATATTCTTCGAATGAATGTATTCGATGCCTTTCATGATCTGCTTGAAATAATTCGATACCTTTTCAGTCGAGTTCTTCTTCGAAACGTGGAGCTCCCCCGACTCAATGATCTTGTCGTTACTATTATACTGTATTATATTTTATTGTTTATTTAACTATTATTTATAGTACAAAAATAACAAACGCGACTCAAATTGCTGCCACTACAGTACTCCATTTGAATCACAACGACTCGAACGGTCGCCAATTTCTCTTGCTCACTTCTTGTGTCGAGCCGAGAATGGGATAAAGTTATAGGTTGGTTTGCTACATTATCGGGTTGAGCATCAGGAGAGGAGGTTGAGGAATTGTCTTTGTCAGACAATTTTTCATCGTCAATTCCTGACTTCTCAGAAAAGTATTCAATTTCTTCGTTTTCTGTATCCTCTTGAGCAGATTTATTCTGACATTCGTCAATCTCGTTGTCAAAATCACAATCACATTTCAAATCAGATTGTTTTGTTACTTTATCGGAACCGTCCAAATCTTCATCAAACCCCCATTGTATGTCATCCGCATCAGGAACAGCAGTATCTTCAACAGACCAATCTTGGTTGAAATCATTTTCTGAAAAGTCGTCTTCTTTATTCCCTAACTCATAATCAAGATCGGAAACTTTGAGGTTGGGATTCTTCTTTCGAGATGGGACAGTCTTGATTTTTTCGGAAATTTTCGGCGTTTCGCACTCCTCACTCTCTTCGTCAATCTCTTTGTAATATTTGTCGTACTCCGTCACGCCTATTCGTCACTTTCACTCATTTCCACAAGATTGTGATTTCTGAACTTTTAAAACTGAAATTAAATATTCACAAACACATCGATTCGATCCACGCATCCAAATACCGGACTACATTCCGGTGGTTTGTCGATGCCAAGACAACAATCTCATCGCACACCGACTCCACATCCTTGTCAGTCTCTCCAAACATCAGCTTGAGCACGTATACTCTACCCTTAAATATTTTTCTTTCGCTTCTTGTTTTTCACAAACTTCGAATCGTCTTTCCGCCGGGCAACAAAAATTTTCTATTTCTCATTTTTTTTGTTCTCTAATTTGTATAAATCAAAACAAACACCAAAAGCGCCTTTGTCGATCTTCGTGATTTGTACAAAGTCTTTATTTAAAAAATCTGGGTAATGATCAACTTCTCCATCCATCCTTTTGTTTTATTTTTTTGTTTTTTTATTCAAAAATTTTTTAACTACTATGTACTATATTATATAGTAAATTTAATTTAATTAAAATATAATATCAATTTTTATATTTATATCAACTTTAACAATAATTGATATTAGAATTATTAAATAGTACCTATTTTATAAATAGAATCTGTATGTTCTTTAATTTATTTTTTTTAACAAGAAGTCAAAGGGGTCACATCAAAATTTTGAGACATTATTTTTAAAAAAAATCAAATATAGCCAAAATCTTTAACGAAATGAATATAAATTTAATTAAAATTACAACGATTTTAAACACAAAGAGTGGGTGTATTAAACTCGACAATTATTTTTTTTCATTTTTAATTCTCCATTACATCCCATGTCTCAAATTATAATTGTAAGATAAAATGTATTAAATTGTTAATAATGTTGTTATAAGCTTTTTGAAGTTCTTTTTCGACTTATTAATAACTTTTAAATTTATCAAACAGTAGAATCAAATTGTAATTTTTTTAAATTGATATAGAAATCCTAAGATATTATGTTAAAGATAATAAATTCAATGAGTAAGCTTAAACACCATTTTCCGACATTCTTATTAGTAATTGACATTCCAAAACGTTTACAAAATAAATAAACATTTGTTTACTCAATGACCGAACAACAGTATCAAGTAAAGAAATAACATTTCTTTTCTTATGAAAAATAAAAACACAACACAAACTCCGCTTCTAATCACACACAAATAACATGAAAAAAATAGTCGAGTATAGTAATATAATACTATAATATAATACCATAATAATGGTCATGACGCAATTCAAATACAAAAATAAAAAACGGCAATAATGTATTAGCAACAACCTGAGCTTTCCCCATCTTTTGGTTTTTGTTTGGACAGATCGACATTATTAGGGTCTGGTGCGGGGTTTGAGAGTTCTTTAAAACGTTCGAAAATGAGATGAGTAATCTTCTTCATAGCGTCTTCAACGGCCAGTCCGCTTTTCGCGCTAGTCAAGATCCCGTCGGCGTATTTCTGTTCTTCGACTTTCGCTCGCATTTCCTTCTCGGCCGTCTTCATTTCTTCTTCGCTTAAAAGATCTGCTTTATTCCCGACCAAGAGGGCTGGAATGGGTTGATCGTTAAACTTAACTTTCGATTCCAAGTCTTCTTTCCACTTATCGGTCGCTCCAAATGTATTCGGCGCTGTGACGTCGTACATAATAATAGCTCCATGTGCTCCATTATACTATTCCGTTACTATTTCAGTCATTTTTGCTATGAAGAAGAACAAACGTAGACTCGTGTCATTGCAATGTACTTCTCCTGACCAGCTATATATAAGTTCTTCTATTCAAAACTCTAGTGTGTTAGGAGTATAAACAAACCAATATCCCATAATCTTAACTCAACCTCCTTGTCATCAACTTTCTCAAATTTGACAGCAAAGTCTACACCAATCTGTCTGTCAGTACGTTCAATTGAATAATATAAACTAATTAAATTGGATATTTTATTAAATTAAAATTACTAATGGAATATAGTAAATTTAACTAATATGTTTAGTATAACAAACGGTAGCTCGGTACAGTTGGTCAAATACCCCGTGGCAGTACTTTTTGATGGTACTTGTCTTGCCGACGGATGGTTCACCAATGACTATGATTTTGAGTTGGAGTGCGTCAGTAGAGTCTTCCTATTTGTTAATAGAACATAGCGGAGATATGGAGGACAAACCATTTGAAATTCTTTTTGAGTTCCAAAGAGTGTTCATTTTTTCATTTTCTTCTTTATCAAAATTTCGATAATTCCCGATTTTTCTAAGCTTCTTTTTTGTGTCGAATATTTGTATATGTGTGGCGTGGTGGAGTTTTAGTACAACTTTTACTTCGTTTTATTAGTGCGGTCGTCTTATTATATTTTTATGGTTTATTTTATTATTATTGGTAATATTTTGTGTTCTATTTGGAAGAAGAAGAACATTTTGAAAATGTGGTTCTTATTTGGTAAAGCACAAAATAAAAAAAACAAATTACAATTAGCTTCAAATAGGTAAAAAAATAGGCTTCATTAAACCAATAAAAAAGTATTTTGAATTTTAGTCTTCGACCAAATTCCCGTTTTTGTGACGAAAAAAGACCAAATTAAGATTATTCATTTTATGTACCTTTCTTTTTCCTTGTTTTCGAATAGTTCAATTACCATTACATATAGTTAAAACAATTAATAATATAGTTCTGACTAAACGAAAAAAAAGAAGAAATTTATTTTTTTTTTTAATATAAAAACTAATTTATAATAAATAATAAATATAATAAAATTACTTAAGTTTTATTAGTTATTAAGTAAAACGATGATATAAAAAACATTTTTTATCTATTTTGTTATTTATATAATTGTATTATATTAAAATTATATAAATACTAATATTATATAATACATTAACAATTCAAACAAATAATAAATAATTATTAATGATATTAGTTATATTATTAATTATATTTTAATTAATTAAATATCTATTAATATAAATAAAGAGGACATAACTTCTTTATTCAAATTTATTCAAAAAACGACTTAAAACTATACCATAACAATAGCATTGATTCTTTTCAATAAAAAGACTAAAATATGTGACTATTAAAAGTTCTATTTGAACTCCAAACGGTCAATGGGAGTTGTAAACCTCCTTCTTCTAATTGTATTAGTTTCGAGTCATGGACCCAAAATCACAAACAAAGTGTACTTTGATGTTACCATTGGCAATGAAGAGACTGCACACCGTATAGTAATGGGTCTTTATGGAAAAACTGTACCAAAAACAGTTGAGAATTTCCGTGCCTTGTGTACTGGAGAGAAAGGGCTTGGCAAATCTGGTAAACCTCTGTCATACAAAGGTTCGATCTTCCATCGAGTTATTCCCGGTTTTATGATTCAAGGGGGGGACTTCACCAATTTTGATGGGACGGGTGGGGAATCAATTTACGGCGAGAAATTTGCCGATGAGAACTTCAAATTGCGCCACACCAAAAAAGGGATCTTGTCGATGGCAAATGCTGGCAAAGATACAAATGGCTCACAATTCTTTATTACATTGGTGACAACGGCTTGGCTCGATGGAAGACATGTCGTCTTCGGTGAAGTGATCGAAGGCCTTGATATCGTCGATAAAATTGCTGCAGTCGGTTCGCAGAGTGGAAAGACCTCACAAAAGGTCACTATTATCGCGTCTGGCGAACTCCCAATGCCTCAAGAAAATTGATCTTCTCTTCTTGTTGATTGAAACTATATCTTTTTAGTAATTTACTATAAATAAACTAGAATGAATTTACTTATTAAAATACTATAAAAAAGTACTAATAATATTCTTTTGAAAAACCCGGTCGGCGTGACGGGGAATGTAACTTGGGTTATAACTGAAAGAGTAAGAACTATAAAAAATAATTATAAGATTATGGCACAAAAAGCACCAAAGGCAAAGCCAATTGTCATTGGGTTTTGTGGCGATTCCAGTGTCGGGAAAACTGCATTATACACGAGACTTGGCAAAGGGATTTGTTTGTTTATTTTCATTTGTATTATATTGATGACTTATGATCGATACAATGTAATGAATATAATCGATCGAATTTAAATTAAATTAATTAATTTAATATAAATTGATTTCAATTGATTATTGAAATGAATTGTATTTAGTAACAAGAAGTTTCAACCACTGTTCCCACAATCAGTAGCGACACAATTGTGAATAAAATTACAGTAGAAGGACAGGTACATACTGTTCAGTTTATGTTTGTTGATCTATTATTATTATAATCTATCTAATATAATTATAATCGATAGAATATAATATGTATAGTATTCTATGAAATTACATATTAAATATATAGAATAAATATAGTACATAATTTATTAAATATTTATAGTAAATATATTATATATTTATTATATATAACACCAACACATCAACTAACATAATAGCGATACAGCCGGCCAAGAAAGTTTCCGTTCACAAACACTGTCGTACATTCGTAACGTCCAAACCATTTTGTTTTGTTTTGATATTAGTAGCAAAAACTCTTTCAATAGTATTCAGTATTGGGTCGATACTTATGAACAAAACCATATCAATCGTAAAATCCCAGTGAGAATGCTTTTGGGGTGTAAAAGTGATTTGGCTAAGAATAGACAAGTCTCTTTGGAAGAGGCAAAGGCACTGGCAGACAAAAACGAATTGACATATCTTGAATGTTCCGCTAAAACGTTTGTGACGTTCTTATCAACACATTTTTACTTCAACTTAAATATTTTAACGGAATAAAACTAATTATAAGTGAAGATGGTCTGAAAGACTTTGTCAAGAATTTAGTGATGAAGTTCAAAGCACAAAACCCAACTTTAGTCAACTTCGGTGTCGACGCTAAAGCTACTAGCGAACTTTCACAAAAAACTCAAGAGGATGCAATTCTCAACATCACAAAACAACCAGCACAAACACCTACTGGAGCTGGACAAGCTCAAAACGCAGCAGAAAGTCAGTGTTGTTAATTCACTTAATTTTAACACGAAATTATTAAATTATATTAAATTATATTAATAGTATATTAATATTCTTATAATAATTATTATATTTATTATATAATAACTAAAATATTGGTATTGATTATATACCATAACCAATAATATAATTATAATAAGTTAAACTATATAAAAAAACATCATTCAGAAACTTCATATAAAAACATGTGAATAAAAACAAGAAGAAGACTTTAAAAAAAAGGAGATGGGAGATATAGAAGAGATACGACAAAGATATAATACACGTGTTGATTTTAAATTTACACCGAATATATTTCTGCAACTGTTGAATGAAAAGAAGTTATTAGAACAAAGAAAGAGAGAGCGAGCCGAGAAAGGGTTAGTACGGACGTTTGTGTTGATAAAAGTCGAGAAGGAGGAGAATTCGACGTTGCGACTGAATGTTGAACGGAGTTATGATGTGCGAAATGTTAGTGTAGCACTTTATGTGAGTGGGGAGAATGTTCCTTTACTTCAAGATGTTACTGTTGAGAATGGGAAGCAAACGGTAGACCTTTCTATAGGTAATATACACGGGTATGTCGATATAAAAGCGTTGGTCAATAAGAAAGTAGTTGGTCAGTTGTGTTGTGTTGGTATTGGAAAAGCAAAGGAAAGAGATTGGATGTCCGTGCAAGTCACAACACTCAGTACTTATCCATTACTTGTCGAACAAAATCGATTTGGAGTGGTCTTCACAATTCAAGACATGAGCGAAGAAGGAGACCAGCTTTTCATTTATCATTCACACCATTCAAAACAAAGTGATACAATGGTATTACCATCAATCACCCTCAAAGCAGGAACAATTAAATGGTTCGTCCAATTACAAAAGGGAGAATATCTGGCTAAGTACTACAGAGCACCAGTATCTACTGTGGGACCTACTTCACCTTATGTCTCTTTTATGGAATTCAAAATTTGAGGAGAAATACAGATCGGATATATTTCAGTTCGTGTATTTTTGAGTTTTGATAATACATCAAAAATATATACTATATTTTATAGTAAATTATTAATAACAATCGTGGATGGTTTTATTATAATAAAATTAAACAATATTTTTCTTGAATTACTAAAAACATTGAAAAAATGTAAAATCATTAAAGAAGTCGAATGATTTTTATAAATAATTAATTCATTTGATTTATATTAATAATTCATTAAAGTTTGATAATGGTCCATCAAACTCAAAAGACAGTTATAGAACAATTCTTTTTATAATAAAAAATTGTTTTATTTGGTATTATTCCCGAAATATACACAAAAAAAAACATTTAATGTAAAAATCAGAAAAAGAAAAGAAAAATAATGATTTAGTTTGTTACCAAAAAAATTATTTATTGAAAAGAAAATGACAAAAACTGCATTGAATTTTAAGTTCTTACCATAAAGTTTTTAAAGTGTTTTCGAGTATAATTTATTATGATTATAGAAACTAAAATTATTAGATTATTCAAGGGAATAATTTTTCTCTTTTCACTCCAAAAAGAGTAGTTCGAAAACAAATAGGTAAGTATATAAATAGATAGTAACCCTATACTGTATTATATTTAATTATTATTTATTAATACAACCAACACAAAAAAACATTCAAAGTAAAAGAATCAAAATGTTATAATACATTGAACTATATCTCTATTAATTCAACATTGATTTTATTTCCACTTCATTCACTAAAAAAGGGGCTTGATAAGGAACACAACCGAAAGATTAAAAAAACATTAAATAAAACAAAACACACAAATCGTTCCAAAATCGTTCATTCCAAAAATAGTTTTACCAATACTTTAAATAAAAAACAATTGATAAATAATATTGAAAAAAAACGAAAATCCCCGAAAAATAAAGAGACAATCTCAGAAAAAAAAGTCAAGAAAATAAAACTTGCACCCGTGTTGACCAAAAATACAAGAAATGGAAAGAATGAGTAGAAAACGGTATAATGCCGAAAAACAGGCAAAAGGAACTTTTTAATAAAAAAAAAACGAATGGAGGTGGAACAGCCGATGGATATGAATGACAAGATGATGTTAGAAGATCAAGAAACAGTTGAAGAGCGGAACGAGCTGATGCCTGATCCACGTCGAATAGATCCATTTCCACGTGAACCTCCCCTTCCGCAACTTGATCGACACCCCTTACAACCGACACTTCAAGGTCCGATGCCCGGGAATATTTCCGCGCAATTACTTCCGAGTCAAATACCGAATCCTCTTGTACAAGCGTTAGGGAATCCCCTTCAAAGTAGTTCCAGTGGAGTTCAAAGCCTTAGTATAGATAAGAAAGGGAAGAAGAATGCCAAAGAGAAGAAAGAGGAGGTTGAAGATAAGCAGCGGAAGCGCAAAGCAGTCGATTGGTTATCCGATCGATTAGTCGAGAAGATAGATAGAGATCATTACATGTGTATAGTCTGTTTCAAGCGGATGAGTCGAGGATACGCGTGCAGTCATTGTCTGGAAGATCATCAAGACATCAACTCGACAATTAAAAGTGTATTGGTGTCAGCGTATCAGAACGGGCAACGCATTCGCGACGAACTTGAAGTGATGCAAGAGGAAGAAACAGATAAAGATAAGAAGAAACAAGGCGAGAAAGAGAAAGAAGAAGGCGTTGAATACGACAAACCATTTGAGAAACCATTTGATAAAAGTTTTGATAAAATGTACGAAAAACAATTTGAAAAACAATTTGAGAAGGAAGACGACAAACTTAGAATGAATACTACAGAAGTTAGAAATGTTAAAACTCGAAGAAAACAACTCCGCGTCACAGAGGATTTGAAACGAAAATTGGAATTGATGTCTTACGAGAACAAAACTCAATTGGAAAAGAAACCAAAGAAAGTCGCGGAGAAGAAACGATCGACGGAAGGGAAAAGAGTTACTATGGAAATATCAAAAATTATGGCAACTAATGGAATTCCTTTTGCGAAGAGCGAAGCAGTCTGGAAAATCGTTAATGAAGTGATGGACTGTATCGGGGAACTCGGACCCCAAGTCATCGAGAAAATTCGATTCAGCGCAAGAACGTTGAAGAGAAGATATGACGAACAACTGTCTCAAAACACTGGACAACACCAAAAAACTCAACATCAACCACAAACCCAAAATCAACCCCCTATGCAAAGTTTGGCTTCACACCAAAATCCAATGATCCAAAACCAACAACAAAGACAACAACAAGTCCAACCACCACCTCCACAATACCAAGTACTCGGACATAGACAAAACGGTATTCCTATGGGCCTCCGTTCAATCATCACAGACCCACAACAACACCACCAACAAAGAACTGAAACCCTTGTACCTCCACCCCCATCACAATCTAATATGGGAATGTGTTTTTAAGGAAATTGCGAAGGAAATAAGCATACATTTTTTATAGTTCTTTTTATTGTATTCTTTACTATTTAGAATGGGTGTTTGAAATAGTATTTCAAATAGTACTCGGAACTAGGAAGCATGGAATTGAAGGAGAAAATAATGTACTAATTTCATTAATTATTATTACTAATATACATTGCATATCTTATTAGAAAGGAATAATATATTAATTATAAATGGATACTATACAGTCTAGTAAATTAGAAGAAGAAGATTTACATTAAATAATTAAAAAAGTGCCGAGTGTTTGATAACATTTTCACTTGCTATGGCGGGACGTTCAGGACGTTCGTCTTTATCAAAAGACTCATTTTGATGAGAAGAAGTTGTGTTTGTTATAGCGGAGAACACTTCTAAGTCTGCATAACACGTGTTTGGAGTTAAGATTGAAGAGTCTTCGCCATCTGTTGGTGTGTAAGAGAAGAACGAAGGAGTAATGACACGAGGGTCTTCCGATTCGTTAGAAGAGCCACAGCGTGCTTTCCGCTTTGAAAGGAGTTTGATGTCGCCACAGGAAGGATTTCGACGCTTTTGAGATACAAAACTCATTGAAATGAATGTGGACTTATTAAGTTTTGATTTTATAAGACAAAAAGGTGGCGAACTTTATTTAAATATTTGGTTTAATGTTTTAATTCGTTAAGTTCAACGAAAATAAAAAGTGTTGTTTTGTACAAAGAAATATCTTGCAAAAGTCGGGAAAACTATACTAATATCTCGTTATATTCACTCAATATATAAATAGAATTCTATTAGTGAATATCTTCGTAAAGGGATAATTCAGTCGTAAAAACAAAATTAACAAAATACTATTATTTATTTATAATATTGATATTATTATTTAATAAGTATAATAAATTTTTAATTAAAAGATATAATTTTGTTAATTCTGGATAAATGAGATAAATTGATATTATCTCCTGAACCTTTTTTATTAATAATCTATTATTATTATAGATTATCTATTTTAATTGATAATTATATTTCGGCATTATCCCGAAGAATTTCACACTTTGTCGGAATTATTTTTGTCTTTTAATTTTTCTTTAAATATCATTTCTTGGTTTTTTCTTTTTCAAAGCAAAAATATTGAATAAAAAAAACGAAAAATAAACTTATTTTAAAGAAGAAATGATAATTCAATTGTTATGTTTATTATAATAAATATATTTATAATATAATGATTTTATTATATACAGTTGGGTTATTAATTAAAACTACAAATATTTGTAGTAAAATGAACAATAAGAAAGTCAATTATTTTAGTCAATTGACTACAATAATAATAATAGAAATAGTTTATATTATAATACAATTAGTAAAAAGAAAAATAACAAGAACCACAAATAATTGTATTTGTTCAACGAAAATAGAGCAGTTCTCGTCAAAATGAGTTATTTATTTTGAAGTAAATCAGCACGTTAAATTCACGAGTTCGAATACAAAACCGCCAAGAAGTCTTTTTATGACTGCCATACACATCAATTGAATCGAATAATAAGACAATTATTGAAAGAGGATTCAACAAAAAGGGGTAATCTGTGAACATTAATTTTGTGATTAATATTGTTAAGTTATGGTTTAAATTTGGTTATATCCTAATGAATATATTTTATCTCATTTTATTAATAAATAGATAATTTATATTTAAATGATATAGTTTAATTAAATTTGAGTATAAATTAATTATAAAAATAAACATAAATAATAATATTTTAGTACTATATTTATTGTAAATATTTTTATAAATTTTAATACATTTACAAAAATGTTTAATTAATATTTATTAGTAAAAAAATATTATATAATAATAATAATAAAAATTTAGTTTTTATATAATAAACTCAACTAAAAAAATATTATTGTTTTATTAAATTTATTGAAGAAAATTTTAATCAAAATAAATAGTATAATTCATTACTTTTGAAATTGGATAATTTTAAATATGTGAAAGTAAGTCAATATGATTGATTTTTACCAATAGCATTATTTGTAATCGATAAAATGTTTTTTAAAAATATTCAGATTCAGACTGTACAAATCATCAACAAATCGTTTGTGAAATAAGAGAAAGAATGGTTGGAATACAAAAACGAAGTCGTGCCATTATTTTAGATGGAGAAAAATGAAAAAAACAATTAATAATTAATAGATTTTTTACTAATGTAAAATTAGAAAGAAATAAAGTGAAAAATATTAATAAATTATTTTAAAATCAAATTTTTATAACAAACAAGTAAAAAATAAATATTTATATAATTGGTAAAATAAAAACAACAACTCTAATTATCCCAGTTGTTTGAATAAAAACAAATAATATTTTATATTACTTAATATTAAAATATTAAGTAATATAAAATATCAAACAAACAATAACAAATTATAATAAAAGACTTGGTGTATTTAAATTCTGAAGCACAACTAATGTTTACTTTATTTTAGTTCCGTAACACATAACACATTTTTTAAATTCTTTAGTTGTCAATAATAAGAACATACGATAACATAGTGGGGTATCATTTTTACTCCTTTTCATTATTTATAAACCCCTACAAACCTTAATAAATTCACTTGTTTATTTTACTAGAACATTTTCCATATAAAATACAATGAGTAAATAATTCACAACATAAAAATAAAATTAATGAAGTTTGAAAAACAGAAAAGTCTGTTTTATTTACATTTCATTCACTTTGAGTTCGAAAAAAACCGTTTTTAATAATGAATTTGTGATCTTTCATTTGTCTTTCCATTTGAATTATAAAAATTGTTTTTAGTTGTTTAATGGTGTTTACCATCTATTGGCTTGTTTTTGAATAATACCATTCTATTATATTTTGTGCAACAACAAAACCAAAAATGCATAGATGTGTCTAATATTCTTTTCTTCATGTTACTTGTTATTGTGAGAAAAACAGGGGTGCACTGTTTTATTTGCACTCCTTTTTTCTCCAAGAAATTCATTTTTCTTTTTTATTATACTACACATTTTTGCACACATTTTTTTGCTTCAAAACACACAAAAAAACACGCACCCCATTAAAATGTAAAGGCCTTTAAAGTTTTTGGAGAAAATTCAAACTTCTCAAAACAAAGGTTTTTAACGCCACGCGGCATATTCACTTTTCAAATTATTTCCAAACAACATTAAAAAAAGAAATCAATTGATTGAAATGAATCCAACAGAAAATAAAAAAGAAATATAATAATCGTTTCGGTGGCAAGTTCTATGTTGATTAAATTGAGCTTTTAATAGGCATGGGAGTCCCCTTTGTTGATTTTAACGTTTTGAGAAGGAATTGAATCTTCTGGACGTCTTCCTCAGTTGGAGCCGTTAGTATCTGTGTCTTCCTCATAAAGAATTTCTGGGCGTGTGACCTGACTTGTGCTGGTGTTCTTGTTTCGACAAAAGCAGAGATGAGACAATTGTTCAATCCTTTTGATGATGTGTAATTGAAATACCTCACAATTTTTTCAAATGCAATTTTCTCCTTCTCCGTCCAATAGCGTTTTTGCTCGTTTTTGTCATTTTTTTGTTCAAAGGAGTCACTGATTTGATTTCTTTGCGTCTCATAGGACGTCTCTATTAACTCTGAATTTTTTGAAATAGTCTGGTGAACACTTTCGTTTTGCTTTTGCTGATAATCAACACGAGAGAGAGAATTCTTGAGATATAAGTATAAATCCGTTGCAATAGTTACAAACTCCGGGTCTGTTGGCTCAGGAAGATTGAAGTATCGCAGAAAGGCGGACATCTCTTTATTTGTCAAGTTCGTTTTGGACCGCTTTTTATTGCTCGCAAAGACGTTTCTGAAAGATAACAAATTCAAAATACTTTTTGTATTATTTCAAAAACATACAACTTCGTTTATTGCTATAAAAAGAACGTGTTTTGAGTTGCGATGTTTTCCCGGTTCTTGTCATCAATTCGGTCTATTTAACGATCGTTATCAAAACGTTAAAGACCTTGATTTGTGGATGTAATCACTTTTCATATTTTATTCTTAATTTCTCGGCATTTTGACTCATTATTAACTGAAGTGGTATTTTTCAGGTGTAAATTCGCCGGTTAAGAGACAATTGTAATACTTTGCCGAACAATGGGGAATTTTTTGGTTGTCTTTAGTTATGGGATTCTACTTTTGTTATCCCGAAGAGTTGCACTTCTAACGGCCACAACTTTTTTATATGCCTTTTCAAGCCTAGATTTGACTCATTTTTTACCACTTTAGTTATTGAGTGTATTGTTGTTGTTTTTCAATTACAGATCTTATTATTATAACTGGTAAAATAATCGCTAAAATACGGGTAATGATATGAAAACGCCTGGATAAGTATAATATGGTTTTTATTACTCCAAATTATTTACCATTCTAAACAGTAACCAAATTTTTATAATCACTTTCCAATATTACGTTTTGTGAATGCCTTTGTTAACCCTTTTCAATAGTTCTTAGTTTTTTGAATTTTGGGACAAGTAAAACCTTCGTTTCTCTTTCTCTGTTTCTTCCCGATATTTATTACTCAAATGGCGTAATAGAGTAATGGCTGTTACCCCAATAACAAAATCCACAAATTAACTCCTTATCTTTTATGGGAATATGATTAATAATTATTATTATCAGATATATTATATTTCAATTCTATAAATTTAGATTTTGTTATTTATCTGTTCACAAAATCGTAGAAGAATAATTTTTTTGTAAAGACACAACACTCAATTTGAACAAAAAAAATAATATTTGTAATCAGTATTCTCAATCTAATAAATTGCAAAAATATAAAAATATATAGAAAATATCTAATAGTGGTATTTTGGGATGAAAACACTGTTTTGGTATACTTTATGATATTTGAACCATTCTTTTGTTCATTTGATTAACAAACCACAAAAACGTCCAATAAAACATAGAAAAAATGCTCATTTGTTTTGTTTTGTAAACACCAATCATATAACAACTTTATTGTAACGACGGTTTTTCGCATTTACAAAAAATATTTATAGAATTGTTACGGCTCTTAGATCTTGTATTAAAACTGATAATACAATGATGTTGTTGTCCAATTTAGTTTGAACATTTTCAATATTTTTCACTTTCTCCCAATTGTTGACAAAAAAATAACCAAATACAGTAAAACCTCCCAAGAGCGGTACCTCTGAAGAGCGGGTTCTCTCAAGAGCGGGCACTTTTAGACTAAAACTAAAAATAGAGTTCTCTATCGAGCTGTTTATAAGGTTTGATTGGCTAAAAATGCCCGCTCTTGAGAGAACAAAATTCCCACGCCCTCCCGCTTTTGGGAGGTTTTACTGTAATAACAATAATGTCCAATGAAATTATTGTGAATTCATTTTTAAAGTATTATTATAGTAGTAATAATTTTACGATTCAATAACCTCCATATTTTTTTTCGCAAAAGAATACATTTGAAAAGACAATAAAAAGCCATTTTGTTATAATTAAAGAGTAATTATTTCAAATTAATATTATGTGTATAATATGCATAATCATTCTAAAATGATATGATTTATAAAACTGATTAAAAAGGAAAGTGAACTGATTTATGAAGATCTTTGTAATGGCATCTATCTAAATTAAAAACCTAAATCGGCCGTTATTGTTAAATATAAACGTGATATTATTCAAAAATGTTGTTTTTTATATAAAAAAAGTCTTTTTTTCAATTCTCCACAAAACAAATTTATTTAAAAAAGTCATAAGTGATCTGGGATATTAAAAAACAGTTCCATTATATATAAAGAAAACAATGTACATTGCAGAACTTATAATACATAGTTTCAATCATTTTTTTTAATAATACAATTTAAAATAATAATTATATGTATTATTTTAAACGTGTTTTTGATGCGTTATTACATCATAAAAGAGTGTTGTTTCAAAAATATAAATATAATATATAATAACTATTTAATAATAACATTTGTTTTATAAATATATGTGATAACAGTTGTCAATTAACTAAATAAAATGTATTGATTATTATAAATTTTCTAATTAAACTTAAGAATACAGTCAAGATAAAAAGTCGGATGCTGAGAAAAAAGAAGATGCTTATCTTAATATAAATTTATTTAATATTATTAATAATAAATAATTAAAATAAATTTGTTCAGTTTTTTCATTTTATTTATTTTTTGATTAATAATTTATATTAAAATTAATAGTAATTTTATTGTTTTTCAATTGAAATTAACCAATAGTTACGAGCATCCTCCTTTTTGGAGCATTTCCATATTTCCTCCTACTGTACTTATATATACAAATGATAATAATCAATTTTTAACATTGAATTACAATATTTCAGTATTTATATAAACAAAAAAACTTAATACGATATTATTTACAAAATGAAATTAAAAAATTATCAATTACAAACTAAAATATCATTTTGTTCATTTTCAATAAAATTGAGTTTTATTCACATCGTAATATAAATGTGTTGCAGTACAACAAGTTTGAAAAGTTTTATTCAAAATAGTCAAAATGAACAACTTCCAGTTCATTTTGAAAACAAAATGAAATGATTTTTATCATTAAAAAAAAATAAATTAGTAATAAATAGTTTTTTTTCATAACACTAATCAAAGTTTTTTTGTAAAATCTATAAACAACAAAAATAATTAATACCTCAAATTATAAAGAATATGTGGAAAAGGCCAGTTGTATTTATTATTGTATTTAATGATCTGATTTAAACCCCAGAATCATCAAAGAGTTTTTTATTCAAATAATTAAGAAAGTAAAATAAAAATATATTGTAAAAAAATGTATCAAAATGAAAGTACCCTTCCAACATTCAATTTATTGAACAATGTAATTTTTTCCCTCTTTACAAAACATTTAAAAAATCATTTAGACACTCTCTTTCAATTCAAAAAAACAATTCACTCATTTGTAAATATTTACAAATAATCTTTCAAATAATTAAGCTTTATCGTATTCCAAAATATTGTGAAACAGCACATAAAACAATTTATATGTTGTTTTTTAGCATAAATAAACTATTCACAAAAAGTGTATTTCCACCTTTGGTTTTGTTGTTATTTTCATCACAAGTTTTTTGTTTTGTCAAACTCATTGATAATTTGTGTTTTTTAAAAAACTTTGATGTTTGAAACGTTTTAACAAATTACAATTTATACCTTTTAAAAAAAACCACAAAAAAATTGGTTTTAAAAAACAAGTTGATTTTGTATTTTCCAATTTTGTTTATCTTCTCAATAAATAACAATATTTGCAACACTACAACAAACCATAATGAATTGCATATATCTTAAAAATGATGTAAAATGCAAAAATTATAATAAAACCGTATTATTATATTAAAACAGAAGAGTATTATTTCTAAACATGAAAATAAAAGTATTAATACATTGTATTGGAATTATATTATATTATATTTAATACTAAAATTTAGTATTTATTTAATTATATTTTTTCAATGATTAAAGTATTCTTTTATTTTAAAGCTTATAACAATACAACATATTCCAAATCTCTTATTTCAATGTATTTAATTAATTTCCACCCGTTCAAAACATTTAACAAAGTAACGTGTTAAAAATAAAAGTTCTTTACTGTCTGGAGTTCCTCGACGAATTCGTTTTGCGCCGAAATTGTTTCTTCTGTTGGTGTCTCATCGCTTGTCTTAAACATTTTCATATATTGCGAAGCGTCGGTCCACATGTCTTGGAGCTTTTCAGATGAAATGATATGTTCTGTTGTTTGTTGGACGTGGTGTTCAATGACAAAGAACCCAAGCATCTTTGCCAATACTGCATTTAATGTCGGCTTTTGAATGTTTTTGATATCTTCATATCTTTTCTGTTTTGTTAATACAACTTAGAAAATCACAACAACAAACTTTCTGAAATTGCAAATAACTGTCGACAAATTCTTTTGTTGTTTGGAACGATGTATGAATGAAATATGCTTCGTACAGCCACACAAAATTGATTTCAGACTTCTCAAACGCACCAAAATCCTCGTCTACTAGACTTTGTGTCTTTTTCATTTGTTTGTCATGATCCATAATAGAATTCCCTATCTTCTCCATATCACTCGTAACCACATCGCACCACCTCTTAAACAATTTCTCCGCTTTCGCCTTTAAATTCGCCTTCACCGTGTCGAGTCTTAAATCTAGTGATTAATATTTTATACTATTTTATACTATTATATACTATTATATATTTTTAGTATATTATATTATAGTATGCTATAATAGTAATAGTAATATAGTATAATTTAATTAATTATAAAACAAACTAATGAGTTGTATAATTTTATACTCATTCTCTTCGAACAACGGCAGTTTTCTGAGACGGTCGTACACCATAAAAGCTCTAGATATATGTCCTTTAGCTATATCGTCTTCGATCTTTTTTACTGTCTCAAGAATGGTTTTCAGCTTTTCAATCCACGACAAGGTCTTCATGATATTTATTGTAGAGACTCTGTTGTTGCTGAGAAGCTTGATTTTTGAGAATAAATTGTCGGAGGATCCCTTCACACGGGAACTTGTTTTTTGGAGACGTTGTTGTGTTTTGATCATCTTCTCTTTAACCGACCCAAGTTGCTATGTATTAATTCATTACTATAATTGTATAGTTTTGTTTTATTGATGAAAAGATTCAAACCTCCGTGCATGAAATAAATTTCTGGAATTGATCATTACAAATGGTTTGGATTTCAAGCTCACGTTTGTCTACATATTCATTCAAAACTAACTCGAGGTCAGCCTCCTTCCCGGTTTCTATGACTTCTTTTAAAATAGTCTCGTACTTATCACTATGTGAAACTGAATATATGACATCACTGAATTGGTCCCGCATTTCTTTCGTTACTACTAATTTCTCCTTCTTTTCGACACTCATCAATCTTCTCAGATTTCTGAGTTCTTATTAATTATTATATTAAATAATTTAAAACCATTTATTTTGGCAAAAGAATTAGTTAATAAGTTTAATATAACTACTATATTAATATGTTGTATAGTTTTGTAAAAAATTCAAAGAGTTAAACTGATTAGTAACAATCTTTGTTTTCGGTCATTTCCCGAAATATTTCCTGAAATATTTCGCCAAATACATCAAAAAACCAATCCAAATCCAAAAACCACAAAAATGTTATACAAAATGTTATATATTACACCTTTTCTTGTTTAATGTCGACAAATGCTTTGTGTTGTGTTTCCATCACTTTTTTCGCTGCTGTTACACTTCCAAGAGGGGTGTCGTTGAAGTCCATTTTCATCTCGAGGACCTTCTCAGCCTTAAGTCTGTTTTGTCGTTTGATTTTGTTTTTACTTGGGTTCTTCCCATGAAATCGGTGACACATCATACGATATTGCTATGGTGTAAATATAGTATTCTTTATTGGTTTATTTATAATAATATTATTATTAATTAAATTATTAATAATTATAATTATATAAAAACAAACCTCAAGCGGCTTCATCTTTTTCCCCAACTCATCCACTCGATCCAAATCAATTTCTTCATCTTCTTTTTCTCCGTCATCATATCCTCCAATCGCCTGCAAAAACGTTAAAAATTTAGAAACTCCAAATCCAAAATTTTGTTCGTCACCAATTTCGTTTTGCCCTTCCTTTTGTTCTGTCATCTCTTTTTCAAAGTTGGACTTCTTTCCTTCTTTTGATAATATAATAATAATATATTATTACTTTATTATTATTTAATTACTATATTATTACTATTTTATTGATTATATTAAAAACCTATTTGTTTTAGATATAAAAACTTCGTTAAAAAAAATAACAACACAATCTTTTTACTTAATAGATAAATAACTGAAAAAAACTGAAAAAAACTGAAAAAAACTGAAAAAAACTGAAAAAAACTGAAAAAAACTGAAAAAAACTGAAAAAAACTGAAAAAAACTGAAAAAAACTGAAAAAAACTGAAAAAAACTGAAAAAAACTGAAAAAAACTGAAAAAAACTGAAAAAAACAACAAAAACCCTAAAACCACCCTCCTCACATTATTTCACACGTATTTAAAACAAAATAGAATATTATTAAGTAATTATTGATTATAAGACTTATCAAATTATCTTTATTGTATTAAAAGATTATTCCCTATTTCCTTGAATGTCTTTTTGTGGTAATTGTTGTTGTTCTCTACGCGGTTGATCTACTGGAGTTGGAGCTGGTTTATAATTCTGGTTATCTGCCGTTTTTTGGCGTTGTTGTTGTGTAACATTCGAGTTTTGTTGATGTTGAGGAGGGTTAGGTAGGGTATGTTGTTGGCCTTGAATATTTTGTTGAGGAGGAGGTGGTTGAGGTGGGTAGTTATAGTTATAAGGGTTAGAATCTTGTGGTACTGAATACCCAGTGTTATAGTAAGGAGGTTGTTGTTGGTAATACATTTGATAAGGTTGGTAGATTGGTTGTGGGTACATTGGGTCATATTGTTGATATCCATTCTCTCCTTGAGGAGTATAAGGGAGTTGATAGTCATCTCTTCGTGGGGGGTATTCTCGTGGGTCACGATCAATCGGGCGATCCATCGGTTTCCTCATATAGAAGTCTTGTTGTCTCATCCGTTCTTCTCTTTTCCTCTTATAATTCTTATCAGCTATTTTGATGTTGATGTTTTGCCCGTCACTCCCAAACGGGTTCGTCCCATTCAGTTCACGGCGGGCTGTTAAGGCCTCTTCTTTCTTCGAGTATTTCACAAAGATCGTTCGTGTGATGTAGTTCGGGCGTTTCGCAAGAATAGTTACCAACTCTACAGTACCATACTTAGAAAATACGTCTCTGATAGTTTGTTCTGTGGCAGAGTCTGGTATACCAACGATATAGAGTGTTGTGAAAGCGTCAGCCGAGTAATCCATGAAATGAGTTTATTAGTTCATTTATTTATAGTTATAGTATTCCGTATGATTTTGTAACTTTCTGTAGGTTTTGGGATGGGGATGAGAATTCTTGTTTCCCTACTTCCTGTTTTTCTTTGATAGTTTAAAATTGGTATATTTTACTATAAATATTAGTAATTATAAGAAAAAAAGAAACCCCAATCAGATTTTTGATTAAAAAAGTTATTCACTCTCTTCCTCAGTGCTATTCTCATTGCTTTTCGTTTTGGTTTCCGCATTCTTCTTCATCCGTTCTTGAATATTCATTTTTCCACTTTTCTGGTCGGAACGTTGGGGATTCTCTTTCATCACTTGGAGAGGCCCTGAAATATCCAAAACTTTCATCCTTTGAATTTCCACTCCAGGTTGAAACATGTGGTGTGCTGACAACAAAATTGGATACATTTTAATATCTTTTGGTATTTTACCATACTCATAGTGTTGGGCGCACACCCTTCTCTCGTTGTCAATCACAAACAAAACCCCATTCTCATTTTTCGAAAAAAAGAAAAATCCCGTGATTTGAGTTTTCTTTTCGGCACGATTGATAGGCACAATCACAGGCAAATCTATTCGCGTCGTCTCACTCATTTTATCAAACATCTTTTTCTCTTTATTAAACAAAAATGGGACGATTACAATATACTTTTTACTCCCTATTAATGCCACTATTTTATCATCTCGTTCCAACACATCAATACTCCTCATGATTTCATTTCTTGGTATACTGTGCATAAAGCATTGCACTCCCTATTTATTAATTTGTTATAAACTTATTATACTTGTATATACTAATATTATAATTTATATAATATTAGTATATTATAATAATAATATTTATATATTGAATAATATAATAAATATAATAATAAATGTAAAATAATAATATATAAATAATTAAAATATTCAATAGAATGATATTAACAAACATAATTGAGTCTTGAATCAAAGAGATGCAAATGATCAGTTGTCAATACTAAAAGATTGAATGGTGCAGAAACCACACTACGTAGCCCAAGAATTTTACTTTGATACCCAAACACTACTGTAGACTTCCCACTAAGTACATCCAATCTATACAATCCATACCCCTTTCCAATGAAAATGATTGGAAACAATCCAAATGCAATTGAAACGACCCCCTCATCATTTTGTCGATATTCCACTTCAAACCGTTGTTCGAAATTATCAAACACGCCAGCTATCAGAACTTCACGTTGCGTTGAAATGATTAAAACCTCCCTCTCAAATTTGGACATGAGAACATCCTCGACCTTTTCAGTATTATGAATCTCTCGAAGTAGCACAGGCTTCTCATCTGTGACAGTATAAACAAAAACGTTGTTTTCATTTGCTATGTAAAATAAAACCTCCCCGACACACTGCCCCGGGTCGCGCCATAAATTGTTTTCAAAAACCCCAATTTGCCTGACAACGCCGCCAACATAGATCGTCTCGACTTCCTGTATTTTGCCATCGAATTTGCAAAACATAACATCGCCCATCTCAACTTGGTACAAGAAATAGTGTTGATTGTCTGAAATAAAGTGGCTGAACGTGTTGTTCAAATATGTGTTCCGTATCTTTGTGTCTTCTTCCATCTCGGGCTTCAAAACCCAATAGGGAATTGAGGAAGCCTCGGGAACATCAATCGTTTTATTTAACTCGTTGCGTTCGGTCGCTTCGCGAACGACAAATGGCACTCCGCGAGGGTAATACCCCAAACTTTCTTATTGTGAGATATTGAATAAAACTGTATTATTGACAAACTGTCGACCTGATTACTCATCGGGTCTAAAAACAAAAATTGGTTTGATACATTGGGTTGTGGCTCTGATGGAAGTTGTTCCATTTCAGCTTTGAAGTTATTATGAAAAAACTAAAAAACCCAATAATTATTTATTGTATTTATTATTTATACATTTTGAATATAATTATTAGTAAATTAATTATTATTATTAATTTAGTAATTATTAATATAATAATTATTATTTCATTTGAATTTCAATTCGTTTATTTGAAACGGTAAAATATTAATTAAATAAGCCATGTTATATAACTTAAACTATTAAATTAAATTTGCTCTTTGGAATTGTGAGGAAATCAACAAACAAACACCTTCACCCACTCGACGCCAAAGGTTTCCCGCGCTTTTGTCGAATTAAACACGTTCGCGGTAATTTCTGTGGGTACTTTAGTCGAAGGGTTTTCGTCATAGGTTTCCCAAAATTTTGGAGAAATTGTTGACACACCATTTATTCCAATGGCAAATGCGTAGGGCACACAAAACGCAAATGCAGATTCGTTAAATATTACAAAGGACTCAACGGCATGCTTTGGCGTATATATGTGTAACTCCCACATATTATTTCTTGCCACCCTGAAGCAGCAGTGTTTTTTGTCTACGACTGCTCTGTTCTTCTGCGATGGTGGAGACGTAACAAAAGCACCAAAAATATTGCCAGAAGTATCTTTAACAACAGCGTAGATGTTGTTGAAACCTTTAAGCGAATCATAAAGTGTATTTTCGTTCAACTGTGACTGCTCTGAAGAGAAGATAAGTCTGAACTTCGACTCGCTGGTTTTATGAATCTCTGCCAGTTGTCTTATAACACTGCTTTCTTCTGCGTTTTTTTCATTCTTAAATGTGTGATCGTTCCAACAAGATTGTGTTTGAGGTGAGTTTTTGATATAAGCTTGGTAAAAAGCATCAGTCTTCACAAAAAGTCGATTCCCAATTTCTTGAATCATCAGGGATGATACGCGAAATTTTTCGGGATTTGTTGGTTCATTTATAAATAATTTTGATATAACAACACACTCCTCAAGCGTTCTGACTAAACTTGTCATTTCATTCTTCGTTTTGAGATAGCAAGACTCTGACGTGTCGTACATCGTATTATTTGAAATCTCAACCATTGTTTTGGTTTTTTTGTTCCAAGGACTTTAAATTAATATTTAAACTATATTTAATATAAGGAAATTAATTTTTTTTCTGTTGAGAAACATGTTTTTATAATCTAGATTATAAAAAAAATATTTTATCATTCAATCATCATTTCATAATTTTTTATTATATTTTTAATAAAACTATAATCCAAACATATTATAATTTTTATTAATTGTTATTTTTTAGCCAATTATTATATAAAAATAAAAAAATGTAATATAATTAAATAACAGTAAAAAAACTATAAATACTAATAAAAGTATTTTTTGTTATTCCGATATTTTTTTTTTCGTAGAGAGGATTACATCCCAAAATATTAACACAAAGAAATATAAATAAATTTCAATATAATCAAACCTATAAAATGGAAAGAGATGAGTTGCTGAGCTTCTACAATCCTCCCTTCTCAAATTCTCTGTTTTTGAGAGGTGTTTCGGAAGGAGCAGAGATAAGAATCCAGAAAAAATTTGGGTCATATGGACTGCTCTACAAAAGTTCTCGTCTTAAAAGCGATGAATCTGTCTTCCACATTTGGTTTTATCGCAAATCCGACCTTTTCAAGTGTTACGAGGAATGCCACAATGGCTTCACAGAACAAGACGATGTGTACACAATCACGTATGCGAAGGATAAGAAAGATGGTATCCACCGACTAATCAACCTCAATCAGATGTACGAAATCCTCAACACGTATATTGGATTTGAAAAGTGGAACTCGCAAATTGTTAGTGTTGACCAAGAAACGGATGGAGAAATGTCGATAAATAAGGAGGGTATTACGAGATATACTTTTCAATACAAAGTGACAACAGCAATTTCTTTTGTCGATTTCCTGGACTTAACAAGCCGGGGAAATGGGCGTGGGGTATACACTGGAAAGGATAAGGCGCTTGCCAATAAGTTAGCTTTGAAGTTGGGAATTTCTTGTGCAAGAAAGAACATGTTTCGCACATTAGGGATTGTATTTTTAAACACTTTGAATGGGAATACCGTGACATCCAAAGCCATTCCAGTGACAATAAACGCAGGCAAACAAGACGACGATGGAATTTACCAAATACAGTCTTGTGACGTCGACGAGAGCAATCCAGTTATAATGGATGACGATTTGAAAGACATTCTTGACACTCTGTGATTAGTTCTGTTTACTTATTAATTAATTGTTTACTTCTATCTAGACTATACCTTCATTCATATTTCTAATTTATTTATTTTAAATTGTATACTATATTTTTAGTATATTTAACTATTTTTAAATACTATTTTTGATTGCTTTTGAAATGATTGTTTCCAATTAAAAATTAGCACTGTTATAGTATAATAAACCATACTTTAACAATTAGTAAATTATGGTTTATTAATTTACAAATTATTAATTGAATGATTACTACACCATTAGAAGAGTTTATTTCTAGTACAAATGTAAAACAAAAGGAAGAAATAATATTCAGTTTAAATCCTAATGGCTTGGACCTGGTTTGCGACCGAGACGCATATCAAGTCTTGATTAGTTCCGCACCACGACACATCATTAACTGCTCCTGATGCCTCATATTGTAAGACCATAGGAGGTTTTCCTGATTCGATAGGATACAAGTCCCAAATGAGTGCCTTTCTATCTGTTGAAGCTGAGCAGATATGTGTAGAGCTATGAGGGCTCCAACAAATAGCGTTGACGTTGCTTTGGTGTAAAGCGAGTTCGCTATACGGGACTGCTGGTTTTCTCGCGTCGATGACGACGATTTTGTTTGAGTCAGCGGAGAATGTTGCGATATAATTTGCGTCGAATCTGTTCCACGCAAGCCGGAGTAGCGGGACCAACCCTTGTGATTCGTACAAAATCGTTGAATGTTCAAGACTTCTTAAATCGAACATACGAAGCGATCCATCCCCACCAACTGTTCCAAATAAGTCCGGGTTCGCCGCAAAGGCAACGTCGTACACTTCTTTGTCATGTGCTATCAATTTTTTAATCGGCTGACACGTCTCGACAGACCACACAGTCACCGTCGTATCAAGAGAACACGTCGCTAGTCGATCTTTATTCACTGTATTCCAATCTAACGAAGTACATGGGGAAAGGGCCTCAGTCGAAGCACCTAATATAGCAACGGACGCCATCCGGTTTTGTTGGATCTCGAAGATTTGGGGCTTCAAGCCACCCGTCACTAATAAGTCACGTGACCCGACTGACGTGTCGGGACTAAATTGGACTTTGGTCGGCGGATATTCTATCACCGTGTCACAAATTTTTAACATTTGATTCGACTGCTCGTTCAACTGAATGACCTCTTTGTTAGTATTTGATAACAAATAGGCGTTGAAAGGGAATGGGAAGAATAATTTAAGTCATTTCTCGTGTTGTTCTCTCGTTCAAGTCGTTTAATATAGTTTTTCAAATTATTAAAAATAGTTTTAAAAATAGTCTGGAAATGGTTAAGAAATAGTTTTATAATAGTTTCGTTATGGTTTATTTAATGTATTTTGTCAAAAACAAACTTCGCATGAATTTTTGATTTGACTCATAAATGAAGTCGTGGCAATACGTAACGGTTTGTCTTTACGGTTACTCCACGAAACTGAATAAAGTGGGTTCGCAGAAACATAATTAAAGACAACATTGCGCATCATTTTCGTTTTGTTTTTTATTTAGTTCATTTTTCGGTTTTTCTGATTTTTTTATTATCGAACTGATAATTTTTTTTTAAAACAATTTTGATTTTTTTATTATATTTATATATTGTTTAATTGAAAATTATGTTTCTAATTCCCAAAATTGCATTTTTAGGAATCATATTTTTTAATAAAATGGAAATAATAAATAATAATTTAATTGTATGTAATAGAATTATAGTTTTTATTAATTATAATTATAAAAAAATGTTTCTAATTATAAAATTATAGTTTTTATTAATTATAATTATAAAAAAATGTTTCTAATTATAAAATTATAATTGTTTTTGAAATTAATTCATAAAAAAATACAATTAAAAAATTTCTTTGGTAATAAGTAAATAAATAATAGAATTATTATTATGTGATTGTATTAATAGATACAATAAAATAGAAAAGAATAGTATAATTATAGTACACTCTGTGTGTTGTAGATTTTGAAAACTTTCTTTGTTGTCATTTCTCCATCGAACGAAAAATTTTCGTTTTTTGACAAATGCCCGAACTGGTTTGTAGCAAGCAGTGCGTTTCCGATTTTTTTAGTTTTTACATTTTTGTGAGTGTGTCCGAAAACCCACAAATCAGTTTTTTGAATCAAATCATCACAATCACTTCTAAAAAAAGTGAACCAATTATCTCTTGGCGTTTCAAGTGTTTTTGTCGGGCAATGATGTGTAAAAACGATTTTGTGTTTTGCTGTTGACGTTTGGATTTTGTTTGCAAGCCACAAATGAGTGTTTTCAAACGTTTTGTTATATGATTCCAAGTCAAGTAATTTCGTTTTTGTGTATTTTATGTATCGAAATTCAGGCGCTTGTTTTGTTTCCTCTTTTTTCGTTTTGTCCAACAAACTCCATAACGTGGTAAAGAAGATTTCGGTCGTATTAAAAACGATGGAAATGTTATTCACATAAAAAATGTTTTTGCGAACGGCCCATTGAAACGGGAGATTCATTTCTGAGAGGGGAATTTTAAAGTTGTAAAAGTCATGATTTCCAAAGACGATAAAAACCGTTTTGAAGAGTTGACTGCAATCATCGAAAAACCAGTTAATAGTTTCGATATTATTATAATCGATTAAATCTCCTCCGATCACCAAATATTTGCTTTGAGGAATTATAGGATGTGTTTTAAAATATTGGTAATTGAGTGGTTCCTCCAAATGGAGATCTGAGAGAAATTGGATGTCTTCCATACTGACTTGTGGGTTATTGAGTTATTTTCTTGTGAAGAAAACCTAAATAGTACATTTAATTAATAATTATTAATGAAAATTACTAATATATACAAATAGTATACTATACTAGAATATTACTAGTAATTCAAATAGAGGAAGAGTAATGTCATATCCTTATACAACACCTTTCAATTCAAATTTTGCGAATAATCCACGAAGCAGTGACTCTACAAACGATAACTTAATAAAACAGTTGTCTGAAAATAACAGTGTTTATCGCGAAAAGTTAATAGAATTAAGAAATAAAAGTGATAGTTTAAATGCCGAGTTGTTTGCTTTACGTCAACGAGTAACAACTGTTCATAACACCTCCGAAATACAAACTTTGTCATCAAAGAATGAGGAATTACAGAAACTCATAACTTCCCTTAACAACTCAATTGAAGATAAAGACAGAGAAAACGATTTACTAAGAAAGAAAGTGAGAGACTCCGATCTTACAACTACCGATTTGGAAACAGCAAAAGTGGTACTTAATAGGTTGCAAACAAAGCGGTCAAGTTTAACTCTCAAATATGAAACTCTTCAGAAAGAATTTAATCAGTACAAAATAACTAAAAACGAGGAGATGAAGAAAATCATGGCTAATGTTAACTATCTTCAAAAAATGGTTGAATAATTCTAATAATTTTATTATTGTATTAGTTTATCAGAAGATATTATGTAAGTCAGTATGTCTAATTAAATGTACTATTTTATTATAATATCAAAAGAATTTTTCAAAAATTAATTAATAGTAAATTTATAATAATATAATGAGATAGAAAAATACATTTTTTTGCGATAATAATGAATTCAATTCAAAAATTATTAACACAAAAAAATAACACCCATTATTCGAATAGTAAATTTAATAATAAATAATAGTATTTTAAAAACTAGAAACAAACGAAAATTGTTTTTGAAGTTAAAAATAATTATTATTTTTATAATTTATTTTATAATAATTGTATTACAAATATGGTACAATTATTTTTTTTATCTTGTTGTATTCAATTGACCATTAAAATATAACACAAAAGGAAATTGTTGGAATGTCCCAGAGGTTGGAGCAATTTGTCGGAAAATGTGAAATCTAAATGCAAAAAATTGGGATGAAAAAGTGTGAAGACAAAAAAAGACGTCAAAATAGGATCTGTGGTAAAACTGTTTTCAAAAGGTTATTATTAATTATTATGTTTAGTTTATATGTATTAAATGAAAGTATAAATACAATCATATATTAAAAGTTTATTAAAATAATGAAAACTATGGTTTCATTTGTACAAAAATGCTGAAGATAATGAAAGAAAATAAAAGTTGTCTTGTTGAAAACAAGACTCCATCATTTAGAGGGTGTTTTAAGAACAAAAAGTCGTTTTACGAGAAGTGATAAAAAACCATACAGAAGAGATTTGGATTTGTTTTGAAACACCAAATGAAAATTTGTTAAAGACTCTATTTTCTCAAAAGGTATGAAATCGAAGAAATTAACATAAAACATATAACACTTTAATAGTAATTGAATAGAATAATTAAAATAAGATGCAATTGTGAGAATTCTTTTTGATCAACAAGTTTCTACGTCTTTGTTACAAACGACCGGAATTAGGGAATGTCAATTTTCACAATAACATATACCAACCAGGGACAAAACGCAACAGGGCAATTATAAAGCAGTTAAAACTGTAAATGTCACATATTAATAACATGTTTATTCTCTTACTTGTCACACTTTCTTTGGCGGACGTGTACTCACCTTTCAAGAGGACTGCAGTGATCCAAAACCGAATTAACACTGTTCGTTCGGAGACTCTTGGACTCAGAGAACAAATTGAGCGTTTTGAGCAAACCGAACGTACTCACTCCAATAAACTTCATTATTTGTATAGAGACCTTAAATATGCAACAGTTGTAGAAGATAGAACACGACTTGAACTTGAGATTGAAAGAGAGCAAAAACTGCTTCATGAGGCTCGTATGTCTAAAGTTAGAGTCTTGAGAGAGATGAGATCGACAGCAGATAAAGTTACTCAACCATTCAGAGATAACATTGTCAGAGGTAATAAACTTGAAAGATTTGTTGGTGTTGAAGACACTGGTAATTATGTTGAACAACGCATGAGAACACAGAAGATGATCACCAAAATTGCAAGTAAATTGGCAAAGAAGTATGCAACTATTGCTGCTTCTGTTGCTGCTAAGAAGAGTGTTAAAGTTGCAACAAAGAAATTCAAGGGAGATGCTGAAAAGATTAAAGAATATGTTGAAAAGAAGGCTACTATGGCTTACACTTCTACACATTCTAAGATCGTTCAAAGGATTGCTGCAGCTTTCGAAAAGGGCTATTCGTTGAATGTCGCAGAAACTGCTCGAGCGGCTATTGAAAAATTGGTGAAGAAAATCAACATGAAAGAGACTATGATTGCATCAACCGAGAACCTCCACAAAGTCACTGATAAAGTGTTGAAGTCACAAATCAAACAACTGAAACAAGCTGAAGTTGTCAAGAGAAGACCAATCCGTCAAAGAGAGCAATTAAAAGAATCAGAACAAGCACAACAAACAGAAAATTAAATGAGTTTATTTCCATTTATTTTTAATTAACCTCTGGTATCATTTATCATGTTAATTATATTTTTGTATTAAATGTTATGAACCTTTATTGTGTTATTAATTTTAATCATTACTAATTCATTATTCAATTGAATAATGTTGACAATATCAAAAAATACTTGACAATTGTCTAATGTGAATTAGGTAGTTATTATTTTACAAACAATTTCTTTATTAAACAATAAGTATAATATAATTCTTTACATAAAAACAAATTTGAAGATTATGTTGATTTCTTTCTTTATTAAGTTATTAGCTTTGTGTCATTAAGTATTATTGATAAACAATTATATGTTTAGATAATGAAGATGTGTATTATCAATGGTAGGAAAAAGATTCAAGTTGAAGAGTTTGTATTGATTTTTCATTTATAATCTTTTTTAATCAAAAAAACAAATGAATAAGTAAACTTAAATTTAAGATAAATGAAAAATATTTGTATTTAAAAACAACCTTATCGTCAGTCATGGAAACACTCGAGTTTTTATCCATCAACAAGTATTTAAGACGAGTATTTAGTTAAGGTAACAATTTGGACTGAATCCATCCCATTTTAATGTTTATTTTATCTAAAAATATTCAATTTATTATTAAACCCAAAATTTGGATATATGTTGTTAAAACCCAATTTGATTTTAATTAGTTCTTTGCTCGTTTCACTAATTCGTCAAGTCTTTCCTGCATTTTGTTTTGGATACTCTTCACAAGTTGCTTTGTTTTGTCGTCATCATTTCTAAGCAACGAAAATCGGTCTTCATTCATGATGACTGGCGAAAAGTCAACAATCCTACACTCGCTGTCCAATGTGAGTGGATTAACACCAGTTCCTTTCTTTGATGGGTCGTATCTGAACAAGTTCCAGTACCCATTTTGGACCAGAAGTCTCGATTCCTCAATTGCGTTATGGAGGTCGAATTTGTGATCGACACAGACACAATAAAATATGACAAACGCCGGTCCGTTAAACCTTTCGGCCTCGATCAAAGCTTTCATTGCTTGCTCGGGGTTTGCCTGAACACAACACTGAGCAACGTAACACGTGCCGTAGTTAATCAGAATTGATGCCAAGTCTTTTTGAACAGCATCAGTTCCCTTTGAAGCGAATTTACAAACCACACCTTCTGGACTTGCCTTTGAGTGGTGTCCGCCAGTATTCGAATAAGCTTGAGTGTTGTTAACAATTGTCTTTAACCCAACGTGTAATGAAGCAATATGGTCAACCCCAGCAGTACCAATGTCAAATGCTGCGCCATCGCCAATAACGCTCCACGCCTCAATCTTGTGGAAGTATTCAGCATACTTTTGCACCTCAACAATCTCTTCTTCTTCGCTTTTGATTTCTTTCAAAAGTGGTTCAATTTTTGCGCAAAGTTCCTCGGCTTTATCTCCGTCTTCTTTTACAACAAGCCACTCTTCCAACAACTTCGCAAACTCCTCTCCAATGTTGCTTCTCAGTGTTTTGTTGTTTACAATTGTATTAACATGTTTAACTAGTATCTCTCTGTTCTGGTGCAACGAAACTGCCATCCCAAAGGCATACTCCATGTTGTCTTCCAAAAGTGAGTTGCCGTATGTTGGTCCTCGTCCATTTGCGTCTTTTGTGAAAGCAGTCATACCAATTACTCCAGAAGACACACTTGAACACCCAGACGTCATAGCACAAACCATCCTCTTTCCAAACAACTGTGTTGCCATTTTGACCGAAGCCATCTCTCCACAACCAGTACATACGTTCGCAAATTCAAGTAATGGTTTATTCATTGCCAACTCCTCAATTGTCGACTTCTTTTCGAAGTCCGGGATCGTCATTGCGAACTTCCAATTTCTCACTTGTTCTTCGTAATTATCGTCGTCCTCAAGCATAGTTATTGCCTTCGATTTGCATGAACTCGCACAGCTGTTGCATCCCATACAGTCCTCCGGTGATACTTGCACGCGGTACTTGTACTTTCCCTTTGTCGAATTTTTCATCTTGAACTCGTCGGGTACTGGGTGGTCGACGTCAAGCGCAAATATTCGTGAGGATGATGACGGGCACACGATAGAGCACGTTGAGCATTGTTGGCACATGTTAATATCCCAATGTGGTATTCTTTTGTTGACTCTTCTTTTGTTGAACTGTGACTGTCCAGTTGGGCAATAGAACCCAGGCACCATGTCAGACACTTTCAACTCGTTTCCATGTCCATTTTCTATCTTCAGCACTATATCGGTGTAGTACTTGTCATTAACAACCTTCTTGTGTGCTCTCTTTTCTTCTATAATTTTCTCTATCTTCTGTTTGTACATTCCACCTTTGTAATCTGCTTCATCAAATGAGTGATTTCCAGTTCTCATTTTTAGTACCTCTTTGACGCAATCTTCAGTTGTCATTTTCTTGAAAAAGACTCTGACGTTTTTCGTCAACACCGTTTCAAGCGTCTCAAGGCTGAGTTGTTGGAACGACTCGCAATCTTCTGAAATGACAAGAATCCCGTTTTTCTTTATGTCTTTCAAAACAGGAACGAAATATTGAGTTCTCTCCAATACAAAGACAACGTCCGCCTCTTCAATCTCAAATTGTGAGAGAATTTCTCTTTTAGAAATCCTGAGATCGTTTCTTACCATTCCAGCTTCTTTAGCCATATCTATCATTTTAAATCCCTGGACGTATTCATCTTTCGTTGTGGAACCCAAAATCGTTTTTGATATTGGAACACCAGAAACACCATATATAATCGCCTCAAAATCAGCGCCTTTCATCGTGAAGTTTGAGTCATATGAAAGTGAGAGGTGTGTGACGTCATCGTCTATACCAATTGTGAAACTATAAATAAATAGCTGTTTTATTATAATCAGTTGTTTGTTTCTTTTGTGGCAAAACATATGGTTCAAATTACTATATTATTTATTTAATTACAATTTAATATATTTAGTATAGTTTGTAAATTATTAAATGTAGTATATAGATGATGTATTTATAGAATGAGTGATTAACAGAACAAGATTCGCCATTTCAGAATGGGGAAGAATATAAGGCAAAAAAATAGAACAAACATCGTTTTCAGCTTGTTGTTCTCAGCAATATTCTTTATTATCGATAGAATCATGGAAGGGGTCATTTCCTTGCCTCCAAGACCATATCTACATTCATGAACTTTGATTCTCATATCGGCCTCGTTCAATGCAGAACAGACAGCTTGATATAAAGGCTCCCCGTTTGCTCCAGGTTCTTTGGTCTTGTCAAGCACAACGATCTTCTTTGTAGTTTTTGGAATCTTCTCAATTAGCTTCTCGACAGAGAAAGGCAGAATCAGCCTCACTTCGATGAGGCACACCTTTTCCCCAACAAGTTTTTTGTTCTCTTCCAAAAGCAAATTTCTGATTGTTCCACAGACACTACCAAATGCGATGATACAGACCTCAGCATCAGTGTCGCCGAACAAATCAAAAACGTTGTATTTCCTTCCAGTCTTCTCTTCGAATTTATTGAAACAATTTTGGACAATCTCGGGTACTCTGTTATAGTACTCGTTCGTACGTTCCATTGATTGGAAAGCTGTATCGTTGCACTGTATGAGAGTTTGTGTTGTTGGGTTGTGTGGAGACAGTCTCCTTTGTCTGTGCTTCTCCAGCTGCTTTTTATTGATCAGATCGAAAAGTTCGTTAGGTTCCAACGTGCTCACTTTTTGGAGTGCGTAGCCAGTTTTGAACCCATCAAAGAAGTGGAGGAAGGGGAGTGATGCTTCGATTGTGGCCATATAGCATATGACGGCAAAGTCGTAGCTCTCTTGTGGGGTGTTCGACGTTAAGTAACAGAAACCAGTTGATCTGCATGACAGCACATCAGTATTGTCACAAAACACAGTCATCCCAGAAGCTCCAATGTTTCGCGATGCAACATGAATAACAGCTGGAAGTAACTCCCCAGCAATTTTGAACATATTTGGTGGCATTAGTAACAATCCTTGTGATGAAGTAAAGGTGGATGGAATTGCACCAATTTCTGACGAACCATGTACAGAAGCAATTGAGCCAAGTTCGCTTTCCATCTCAACGATAGAAGTGACGTTTCCGTACATATTCTTGACGTGAGAAGCCGACATTTCCTCACAAGTATCTCCAATAGAAGTAGCAGGCGAAATTGGGAATATAAATTGTGTGTCGCTCATGTAGTAAGCGGCCTGAGCCACTGCGTGGCATCCATCAATCACAGACATTTTTTACTGTTTTCGAGATAAAATTCAATTTATATTTTTGAAAGGATTGTGGCGAGAAAAAAAAATGTTGAAATGAATTAATAACAAAAGGTAATTCACAACAAAAAGCAGCTTCATCTACAAAAAGTGTTGTTGAGATATTTGTTTAAAGTTTATTTTAAACAATTTTTAAAGCAAAGATCAAAAAATTGGTATTTATTGGTCAAATTTTTGGGACTGTCAATGATTGAGTCAAACAATAATATTTTGAGTTTTGAAAAAAGGAAAAAACTGACAAACCGTCGGAGATTACAATAATACAGTCAGTCTTTTAACGTTATCTGGTCTCAAATGTTATCTGGTGCCTTTTGGACCATAAAAATGGGAATAATTCGGGAAGCAGTCCCAAAAACCCATCCCAATTGTTTCGGGTTTTTTCACGTTTTACCTAATGCCCGATGTTTAGACAAAAATGAATCTATTTTTTGTCCACCAGATAACGTTAAAAGACTGACTCTATCGAAAATGAAATTACATTAAAGTAATTTAATTTAAAAAAAAGAGCAAATATTTTTATTTTAATTTAATTACAATTTATAGTTTTTTTAATTATAGTTAAGTTATAATTATTGAAACTATTATAAAAAGCAGGCGTTTCCAAAATAATTAGTGCAGAAAATGTGGTATTATAACGTACGAATTTATAAGAAAAATGAACATTTTGGTTATGAAATGGTGACGTGGGTAATTAGGATTGTGGTTTTGGAAACCTCTGATAAAAAGTGGAATTAAAAAATTAAAAATACAACATTATAATAAAACTTAGCTTTTATTATAAAAATATTATTAAAAATATTTACTATTATAATATCAATTTTAAGTATGTTGCATTAGATTTATAATATATATAATAAAAAAAGACTTATTACAACCAATTTCATATTTCCATACAAATTACATATTTATTTAATTGAATAGAATAAACAATCTCAAGATATTGTTACAAGAAAAAACAAAAATCAATAAAAAGTCCAAATTAAATTATTTTTTTATTTAACGAAGTGCGGAACGTCGATTTTGTTATAATATATATTTGACCAATCACCTCAAATCGCATATGTTTAACCGGCCAATAGTATTTTTTTTCTTTGGCAAAATGCACGAGACGCAAAAAATTGCGTTTTTTTTTCTATAAATATAAAAATGAGAAAAAAATTCTAAAAATAATTTACATATAAATTTGCTATTGTATGAAGAGGCATCTTTCAGCAGTTTTCACATTACAACAAGAGATCAGACACTAGGTTTTTACAATTATTCTAATGCGATTTTAGCTTTAGGTCTGAAACATAATCGACCAATTTTTTTCCTAGACACTAGTAATGAGTAGAAAAATCTTTATCATAACTGTGACAACATCGGAGTAGCAAGACAAACTTATTACAATTAAATTTTTCGTTGATTTGTGCGGCAGAATGGGTTTACAAAAGAATTGTTAGTTATTTTATTTAAAAAAAATCTAAAAATAATTTTACACATTTTATCTAAACAAAAACAATAACCAAAATTTCAATTTTATTTTTTTAAACGTGTTTTTTGCGTCTCGTTTATTTTAATCGGTTAAATAGCAATGGGGTGAATGTTCACTTTCCAAACCCACAAATTAATTAAAAAAAAACAAAAAATTAAATTACAAGAACAACAATTCAAGTAAATATTTTTTATAATTATTTGATTATCCAATTGATGACTTTGTCATTGAGTTTTTATGTTCCAACAAATGGCAATCACATGTCATTTTTAATCTCAAGCTATCACGACTTTATTAACATTTCTAATGTTAAATAAAAGCAACTTTTTCAACTTCAAAAGCAAGAAAACATGACTTTCTACAGCAAAGACTTAACTCTTACATTAACGTCAACTCCTCGCAAGAAGTATTCTGATAAGACTCAACTGAAGTTTGGTTCTCTCTTTACTGACCACATGCTTCAAGTGTCTTGGTCCAAACTTAATGGCTGGTCTCATCCCGAGATAGTTCCCTATCACAACTTATCCATTGACCCAGCAGCTTCATGTTTTCATTACGGTACGGAGTGTTTTGAAGGGATGAAAGTTTTTTCGACTTCCGAAGGGGTCTTCAACCTCTTTCGACCCAATTTGAACCTCGAGCGCTTACTTCGGACGTCCACCCGTCTTGGTTTACCGACCTTTGATCCCGACGAGTTCTTATCATGTGTTGAGCAGTTGATATTAGTCGATAAAGAGTGGATGCCTGAAGGTAAAGGATATTCTTTATATATTCGTCCATGTTTCATATCGACATATCCACACGTCGGAGTATCAGCTCCCGAGAACGCTTTGTTATATGTCATTTTAAGTCCAGTAGGGCCTTATTTCAAAGGGGGATTCAAAGCAATCAAATTGGAAACGTCCGGCAAATACATTCGAGCGTGGCCGGGTGGAATGGGAAGCTACAAATTCTCGGGGAACTATGCGCCGGGTATCGTTCCACAGATCGAAGCACAACAGAACGGATTCGACCAAATCTTGTGGCTTCACAACAATTGTTGCACAGAAGTCGGAACGATGAACTTCTTTGTTGTTTGGGTGAATAAAAACAATGAAACGGAGATCGTCACCGCACCACTCGACGACAAAATTCTGCCCGGCGTGACACGGACATCCGTCATAGAAATTGCAAAGAAACTTGGGTATAAAGTAAACGAGAGGGAATACACTATCGATGAAGTCTTTCAAGCAAGTAAAGAAAATCGATTATTAGAAGCTTTTGGGACAGGGACCGCTTGTGTTATTACTCCAGTCAAAGCTATCAATCACCTTGGAAAAGAAATTGATATCCCACTCGATAAAAATGATACAAAAGTACAAATGGGGCCGATAGCGTTGAGGTTATACAACGCATTGACTGACATCCAGTACGGTATTGTTAAATCAGAGTGGACTGTAGAGGTTAAGTAAGTAACTGACTGGTTTTGAGATTCGTTGGACTTATTATTAAAATGGTTTTTTTATTATATAATTTTAAGAGTTGATGAAGGTTAACTTCTTTTTGATTATTTTTGTAATTTTTTTACTATATTATAAATTATTTTGAAAACGTGTTACAACAACAGTTGAAATTTATTAAGAAATGACCCTTCAATTAAGTGATTTAAGTTATTTGATAATAATTAATAGTTTTAATAACTATTAATTATTATTCAAAAAATTCATAACAAACAATTATCATTCAACTTCAAAATAGATGAAGTGTATTTTTTTATTTCTTTATTATTTTGGTCATATTTTCCCGATATAATAAATAAATTTTACGTAATATGATTGAGAAGTCAACTTGTTATTACTTTTTAAAAAGTACTATTAAAAACTATATTTTAACTATTTATTAATTTAAACAATCAATGAACAATCATTAGCTGTTTATATTAATATTTTAATTAATTAACATGGACTATTATTTCTTCTACTTTTGAGTCAAAAACGAATAACTCGTAATTATACTGTATTAAAAATATACTAGAACGAATCTAGATTTATAATAAAATGATTTTCAGTAGTTTCATTTCAATAACTTAAAACAATAATGGGAGGAATATTTTCCCGAAAACACAGTCCAACTGGCAGTGAAGGCGAACTTTTTAAGACTAAAAAAGTCGAGAGGCAACTTGTCTTGTTTTAAAGATCTAGAAAAGAAAGCAGAGGATGAGTGAAGCTAAGGGAGTCAGTTCGAATGGGGTACAAATACTAGGGTGGGGCATAAAAGAGGGAGGGTCCTGGAAGTCATGGAAGAAGCGGATGTTTCGATTAAATACTCAAAAGCTTGAGTATTTCAAAGATGAGAATATGACACATAAGATGGGTGACATCGATGTCCCCAAAGTGACACATGTTCTTCCTGTGGAGATATATAAAAAGCGAAGAAACATTATTCGACTGATCACCCCATCTCGTACATATCATGTTTCTGTCGCAGATGAAAAAACACGAGATGAGTGGGTCGCTGCAATTAAAAATACGGTCGGCGCTGATAAAGCCGTCGCCGCTGCATCTCCCAAGAAGGAATTAATAACAATGGATGACTTCGAAATCATATCCTTGCTAGGTAAAGGGGCCTTCGGTAAAGTGATGTTAGTTAAAATGAAGAAGGATGGCAATATCTACGCTATGAAAACAGTCGAAAAGGTCCAAGTGATCGATTCTAATGAAGTCGAACACATTCTCAGTGAAAAGCTAGTCTTATCTAAAATCAACAATCCTTTCTTAGTAAACATGCATTATACTTTCCAAACTCCAACTCATTTAGTTTTTGTGTTGGACTATTGCGCAGGCGGCGAGTTATTTTCGTTTGTTTATTTATATAGTATTTTATATAGTTTATATAGTATTAATATTATATACCATATTTTATAGTTTATATATTATTGCTCTTATAATATTAACATATGACTATACTATAGTTTATAGTTACTATAGTATTACTATACGAATAACCGATTAGATATCTTCAAAAGCAAACGTCGGGAATACCAGAAGATGACGTCCGCTTTTACGCTGCTCAAATATTACTTGCACTTGAACACATGCATTCCACGGGAATTATATACCGAGACATTAAACCTGAAAATATCTTGTTTGAGAAAGACGGATATCTGCGAATGACTGATTTTGGCTTGGCGAAATCGTCGACGAAGACGACGAACACGTTTTGTGGGACACCAGAATACTTAGCGCCTGAAGTAGTCGAAGGGTTGGACTACGATGAAAATGTCGACTGGTGGGGACTTGGGATTTTGATCTATGAAATGTTATTCACTAAGTCGCCGTTTTTAGCGGATTCGATGGAAGAATTGTATGAAAATATCTTAGAAAAAGAACCGATATTTCCGACGACTAAACCGATCAGTGCGGAATGTATGGACTTCATTAAACAATTGTTAACTAAAGACCCCGTCCAACGATTAACTGATCCCGATCAAATGAAAACACATTCGTGGTTCAAAAGTTTCTCCTTCGACGATTTGTATCAAAAAAAGTTGACCCCCCCTTTTGTCCCACAAATCAAAAGTGTCACAGACACTTCAAACTTCGACGTCGATATCACTTCGGAACACGTCGACTTAACTTCGGGCGTGGAGGCGGTCAATGACAACAAATTCTTTTCCGACTTCACTTATGTACCAAAGTGAGTCGTCACTCGGCTTGTCGAATTTATTTTTTCTTTCACTTCTTATTATAGTATAATTTTTAGTATTTTATTATAATTTTTAGTATTATAATAAAATTATTTATGTATAATAAATTTATAACAAATTTATTATAAAACTCTAACAATTAAAAACATTCATTTCACGACGTCAAATTGGCGAGCGAAGTTGCACAGACGATGCTCCCTTTATCATCAAATACTATTGGATGCTTTGTGATAAACTGCGTGTAGTCCTCGTCGTCTTTAAAGAAAAGGTACTTCTTGAAGTGTTCCACGTCGATAGTAGGACGGACGGCATAGAACAAGGTATATGCTGTATTAATGCGGACCTTATCAATGGCCAAGACTAAGATCAATTTGAACTGAGTAATTGCGGTGGTGTATAAATTAAAAAAAGTGAAGTAATCGCCAACTACAAAGGCCTTTTTTATATTTAAAGCTAATTGGATAGTCGGGTGAGTCAATATAGAGTCTGGGATATCTCTAATAAGTGTATAATGTGCTGCAGGGGAGACGTTCTTCCCATCCATATTACACAGAATCATCGAAGCTGAATAAAGAATGACTTTCTCATCATCAATCGGGCGTTTCATGGTATGGTATAAGTTCTTTAATGCCGACGCGCATTGAATGAACTCGGAGATGTCTTGCTGGAGGTCAGTATAGTAGAAATAATACTATATAATACTCCTTTAATTATTTATAATATATTAATAGTATATCCAAGTATACTCTATACTATATTGATATATACTATAACAATAATTATATTTATTATAATTATACTATACCATGAATAATGAAGAGAACAAACGTTTTCAAGAGAAAGATGTGCGTGGAGCTCATAGACTTGAACAGAGAACTCGTCCTCGATATGCTGCAATGTGAGGTCTTGTCTAATACCTTTTAACTGGTCACATATATAATCATAATCATTAGTCTTCTTGAAGTTGTCCATAACAAACTTAAATGCTTGTTTCAACACGACTTCTGGCCTCACCTCACTTGACTTTGGGATTCCTTTGACTCTGAAATAGTGCTTTTCAAGGGCTTGCGAAGTCCCGACCAAATTTTCTTTGTCGTCTCGCAAGTTAGTTTCCGGTTTGTCTTCGAACAATTCGATATTTGATTGTTTTTCAGGAACGACTTCAATTGGTTTTTGAGAGTCTCGAGTTTTGAAAGGAATGGTCTTCTTCTGTTTTGGTTGTTTTTGAGAGAAGGGAGTCGAATAAGTTCTTTCTTTCTTCTCACTTTGATTAGGTACAAAGGGTCTTGTTATGGTATATTCAGTCCGTCGGACTTCATTTCTTTCTTTTCTCTCATTTCTCTCTGTTCGGGAGGTGTCTTGCCAAAGTGGACGGGGGGGTTTCTCTTCTTCCACAGGGATATCGTCTCTTTGTTCTTTTTTCGTTGTATTGTTTTGTTCAAAGTCTGTTCTATAACTTTGAGGCAAGCTTGGTGGCAAATTTTTATAGTCTTGGTATGTATAAGGTTGTTGATAAGAGAAAGTGTTATAACCGGTATAGTCGGGGTATTGTTGTAGAGGGGTAGTAGAATATTGTTGATAACTTTGAGGGACGTTTTGGACGTAAGGTTGTGTATAAGGTTGCGTGTAGGGTTGAGAGTAGGGTTGTTGGAATTGTTGTTGTGAGTAAAATGCATTGAAAGGAGTTGAGTAGTTTTGTTGATAAGAAGGTTGTTGTTGATTCTGATAAGGTTGTTGGAAAGGGATATGAGAAGTGAAAGGTGTTGAATACATTTGTGGTAAATTGTTTTGAAAGGGTTGAGTCTTCTTTTGAGGTTTTTCATATTCTTCTAAAAACGCTTCAGGGCCGGAAGTCATCAATTCTTTTGTTTTCTTGTCTTGTTGTTCTTTTTTAAAACGTCTCTCCTCTTCCCGTTTTTTCTCTTCAATTTGACGACGCTTTTTCTCTTCGGCTTCTTTTTGTTGTTTTTCAGCTTGAATGACGGCAGGGTCTTTCTTTTTTAAACGAATTTTGGGGGACGTGTTTTTGTCTTCAGTGTCATCCGTTCCTAACCGTTTTTGAAGTTGAACTAATTTGACAAAACTGTCATCGACAAAACCACTTGTTTTTGTTGGTGAAGTTAATGATGGGCGGGGTTTAGGGGTGAGTAAAGGAACGGCTTTAGTGATTATCAACTTTTTGTCCATCTAATAAGTTTTTTGTAGTTTTAGTAGGTTCTATCTTTTTGCTTTTTCGAATAAATGATAAGAAACAATACAAAGCCTTTTTTGTGTGACAGATTTCACTTATTGTGATAGAAATCAAAAAAAATTACTATATTTTTAATATATAATAACTAGTGAATTAAAATTTGTTATTTTATGTGCAAAATTGGCAATTTCTTTTTTTTGTACTTTTTTGTCTTGTTTAGTTAATTTTTAATTAATATACTATATTATATATATTTCTATAATATGTCGATTTATAGTAAAAAAAACAATATTACTTCATTATACTTTAATTTGAAATGAGAACCTAATGGGATTAGTTTGGCACAAAAGAATTGGAAGTCAAACATATTATAAATTATTAATAAAGAAATTAAAATAATAATATTAGTGCGAAGTATTACACCAATGCGACAAGATTGAAAGCATCAAGTGCGATATTGAGACTAAAAAGATCGCCTGAAATTAGTGAGAAAAAGCAATAAAAGGATTAGCGTTCAGTCGTCCCAAAAAATCCAAAAATACCAATTTGAATAAAAGAACTTGAAATTGTAGAAATTGCTGATGCTGAAGATCATTGAGCAATACATCGGAAACTTACTCGAGAAACCAGAAACACATAAACCAACAATCGCACAAGAACTCAGCGACACGCGTATGGAGTCGAAGCGAGCACTTTATTTCAATATCTTAAAGAATACCCTCGATTTGCTGAATATCAAAAACAAAGGATACACACAAGTCTTCATGAGTCAACTTGCAAATGATATGAAACGAATGGAACCGTATCAAACCCTTCCATTACTCAAACAAGAAACTCTTTTGTTAGTTTGTTTTGTATGGATGTTAAAAAGAATTAAAAGTGACACGTAGACAAATATCGTGAATGACATCGGGTACAGATTTAACTCGGACGATTGCCTCCAAAAGGTCGTGAAAACTCAAAGCTTGGTAAGAGGAGCTTTGTATCACAAAAGGTATATCACTCACAGTTTGTGTTTCTATTGATTCAACTTGTTTAATGTGTTTGAAAGCGAAAACTCATGTACCAAACGCATGGAATCTCATCAGTAGAAACTTTCAATGCGCCAAAATTTCAACAATACAATTCGGCATTTTTGAATCTGTGCGACAAACAAAACCATTACGTCGATAATATTAAAACACTCGTCTACTACTTCGACGAACTCAGAGCTCAACCACAATTTTCTCTGTTAAATGAATACCCATACAAAGACTATAATATAACACTTAATGCGATATTGGATATCGAGTCGGGTCTTAAAAATGGATTGACTGATGTCAACGGGACTTTTCCAAAGGTCTCTGGTGTTGGGGAAGTTGTTTTGAAATACGTTTGTTCATTTGTTTCATTTATGTTGGTCGACCGACTCACTGGGGTCTTTATTTATTTCTTATTTTCTGAAATTAAAATGACGATTTTTGTCGCAAAGCTATTAATCAATAATAAATTTGGTACAATTAATAATTTGATTTTTATCGCAATGTCATTTTTATTTCAGAAATTAATACAACTGAATGAAATGGTGAATAACAGTAAAGTGTGAAAAAGCTCAAGACATATACAAAGAATTGTCGTTACAAGGCGCAGTTGTCATGGCGCTCTCTGCTTTTGAAAAGAAAAACAAAGAATTCAAAGAAGCCGAAGCGATGCTTTCTAAAGGCCAAGTGTATCCTTTCCGTTATTTGCTTCAGAGTTTTCCACGCAATCAACACATCGCCCAACTCATTTCGATGATCGAGACGATGCGCGTTGAAGCGAAAAAGCTTCCTGAATATTCAAAAGAGAACGAACCTCTTCAAAAGTGTGAGGACCAACTGAAAAAGATCAACACGTTAATTAGTGACACTGTCGCTTTAGAAGCACAGATGCAAAAGAAAGACGCCGAAGTTGAAATCTCTTTCCAAAACCCTGAATTTTCCGCTCTGTTGATGAAGGTGAAAAAAGAATTCACAAAGACACCCTCCGTTGTCGAAGTCTATTTAAAACTTGGTCTTGACATTTCCGATATTGAGAAAAAAAGATTTTTAAAGGAACGTCGTGTGACGGTCGAGGTCCATCCAAACATCAATCTCTTCCCACCAAACCTTAAAACGTCGCCTCAAAACAGTTCGAATCTCTCGTTGTCGACTGGCGGACAAGCCGAAAAAAAAGTTGGGAATTCGTTGCGGCCGAAAATCACGAAACGGACGGAGCGACAGAAAGCGGAGGCCAAAGCAAAGGCGACGGGTGAATTAAAGAAGGAAATTGAAATTCTGACAAACACCGATTTGGAGGGCATGAAATTTGAAGCGACACTTTTTGTGATGAACGATGTGATCTTTGTCGGGAAAATGGATAAGAGTGAACAGTACCATGTCCTTTGTGAAATCCCAATGAATGGGTCCGGCTTCTCAGTGTCAAATTATCAGCAGAACAAATTCAATATGGGGTCTCGAGTCGTTGATTTCACTATGTCCCTCTATAATAATAACACTACCGACGCTAGAGAACTCTTCTTGTTACTTAGAGAAGTCTTCTTTGTCTTTACCCCTCCAAAAATCTTCGGCGCGTCTCTCGACGACATTTTGGAGAAAGAAGGAAACACTACAGGAATTCCCTTCTGTATCAAATCACTCGGTGACTATTTGCTCGAACCAAATAATATTCAACTCGAGGGGTTGTTCAGAAAAAGTCCGTCGCAAGACAAGGTCAGTCAACTCAGACATATATTGGACCAAATGCCCGATAAGGTCACTTCACTGGTCGAGTACTCACCACACGACATCGCTTCGACATTCAAAAAGTTCTTTAATGAGCTCGAAATGCCGTTGTTCGCACCAGAAATAGTCGAGAAACTCCTCGGGTTTTTGAAACAAATCGATGAAGCCCCTGAAGACCCAGATAGCGTCAAAGAAAATAAAGAAAACATCAAAAAGACTATGAAGGACGATATGAAGCCAATGTACTTTAAGTTGACAAACTTCCTCGCTAAGGTGTTGAAACTCACGTGCGACAACGAAAAAGTCACGCTGATGAGCCCAAAGGCAATTTCTATTTGTGTCGGACCGACGATTTTCAGAATGTCCGTTGGAAACACTGAAAACGACAAGGACAATGGAACAGCTGCCGTGGCTGACACACAACTCGCAAACAAACTCCTTGAACTCCTCATCACCGATTACACATTTTTCTTTGGATGAAATGTGAAAACAAATCACTGTTTTGTTGATTAGTTTTTATTGTTTTTGTCCATCCCATTTCTTTAAGTAGAACAAGTCAATACAATAACTTATTTTGAAAGAAAAGTAAATTCTATTATCAAACGACGATCACTTTGTTGAGCGACATCGCCTTTTTTGGTTTGACAGTGAGTGGTCTGGCATATCGACTCCAAATCAACATGCAGACGAGTAACCCGATTATGTAGAACAACGGGCTTTCAGCAATGATCCACTTTGAGGCTCCAAATATAAGCATTCGGATGAAAATACCAGTGCACACCATGATGGGCCCAAGCGTAATACTCCCAGCAATGTATCGCTTCATGCAATTCATCGCAACGCCGTAGCACGCGTACCACGTCATTCCGATGATAAAGCAAAATATACCAAGTCTCGTCGTGTGGAACGGAGTTGACCTCGCCCCAACGAGCACTATGCGCTGCATCAAGAATATGTTCTGCGCGAGGCCCATATCTCCTATAATCAAGTAGCCGAAGTGCTCGTAGAGCACCAAGGCCAAAAACACCAACAGATATGGAAGAGGCATTTTCCTGTACTTTCGAATAAATGTGAATGGGAAAAAGTGCGTGATGTACTTGAATGGTTGTAGTCTGCAAATCAGCCCTCCAACCATCGAACACAAGACCAACCGTATTTCTATGAAAAAAAAGACAATTTTGACCAAGACGAACATCGACGTCGAAAGAATGTACTTTCTGTATGTGAATTTCTCCTCCATCAACTGTTCGTCGACAACCCTAGACCCGCCTACCAAAGTGACTTCCATTTTTGCACTAAAAATTTGAACATTCTTTTTGAAGAAGTCTGCAGACTCGCATTGGTACAATTTCTTGTCGCCCACTTGGTGCATATCGCAGTACCTCTCGCCGTTGATCGTCAACGTCACGTTTGCAACTTTCTCGTCTGAAAGTACAACACCCTCAAAATACTTGAAATTGTTGACAACCTCGAACTTGGTTTTGTGATTGTAAAACTTTTGTGGTGTTGGTTTGAGTAAGAGCGCATCATTTGAGTAAATTTGGACGTCTTTGTCGTATATGAAACCGTCTTTGAACAAATAAAGGTGGAAACGTCTATTTTCCATTGTTGGACATTGTACCTCTCTGATTCCACCCTTGTGGTACACTTGTAAATCACTCTGGTGGTAGTGTCCACTCCAATACATCGAAAATGGCAAATTGCCATTGAAGTCTCTTCTCAGACAGTTGAGTAGTGTGTCGTTCTCTTCAACAGCAACATTATGGATTGGGTAATGGCCTGCTAAAATTGTGTGGGTTGTGTTTTTCTCCAAAATCGCCTTTTTGATATCGTTATATTGTGCCAACGTGATCACTCCCTCGCAGTCGACCGGCATTGAAGTATCTTGGAACATATCAACCAAAATGATTCTTATTGTCTGGTTGTCCTTCTCAAAATCGCGAATCAATAATTTCTCTCCTTTATTCACCAAATACTTTTTCGCCATGTTCTTCGTTTCCTCCCCTATTTTTATTATTACTGTTTTCTATCATATACCAAATCATCTAAATTCAGAAACAAACCTGTTAGCATCCCGTCCGAGTCATGATTTCCTCTTGTGTCCACCCATCTCCGTTTAAAGCAGTCTGGTTCTTCAAGACTTTGGTCATCTTCAGCTAGCAACTTTTTCTGTGGCAAATTTGCATATGTTAGGGTGTTATTGTCAAGAGCGCAAAAATATTGTTTGCACACATTGTCTATGGACATTCTATATCCCTCCCATTCCTCTGCAAATTGCATCGGGTAATTTGTTGACGGTTCTCTCTGTCCTTTTGTCAAGTCTCCAGTGAGTATAACCGCCTCTGGTAAAACAGCGGGAATTGAGTACTTGCAGAACAATTTCATTCTGTTAATCCCATTTCCAATCCAGAATTTCGAGTAGTGTGGGTCTGAGATCTGAACAATTGTGAAGTAGTCTTCACTTTGTGGCGGTACTTCAGTTTGTGGAGTGACTTTGGGAGGAAGGGCTGGGTAGAAGACAAACAAGATCAGCAGAAACATCCCTACCCAAACACCAACAAATAGCACCATATCCAAAACTTCGTAGATAATCTCGCATCGCTTCATTTGTGAATGTTTCTCCTTGAATTTTCCGTCCTTAAAAATAAATTTGTTCCACACACATTAATCACAGTTGTCATTTACAAAAACCATAATTACATGATATTTTAAGTTTGATAATTTATTTTGTAATATTAATGATAAAACCATAATATATATAACATAAAAACCATGAAATATAGTTTCTCATTTATCCAAAAATAATTCGAGACATTATTTTTGATAATGATAATAATAAATTTATATTATTTTTAATATAAATATTACTATTTATATTATATTATTTTCAAACTATTGATTAATTAATATATATAGTATTCATGTGTTATTATTAATATTTATAAATCATACAATATACTAATTACTAATGACATACAAACACTATTATTATTATTAAAAATTATAAAATATTAATACAAGTAAATACGCAAACATAATTGTATTAAAAAATATAGTAAAACAACCAAATGTTAATAGTAAACTTGACAAAAGTAAATGATGAAACAAATAAATTCTCACTTCATCTATTCCTTATGAACAGATGCGACATGTTTCTGGAGGTCCTTTGCGTTCTTCATGTCTTGGAAACAGAACGGGCACTCGAACTTTTTGTCGTCCATCAAGTGTTGGTCGAGATGCTTCTCGATTTCCTTTTGAGGTAAATGTTTTCCACAGATAGGACAATCGACAATGAGGTCGCCGTCGTCCTTGTGATCGACTTGGGGTTGGACAGGTTCGACGGGGTTGACTTCGACTTTAACGGGCTGTTGTGGTTGTACGATTGGTTTGATTTGTTGAGGTTGTTGGATTGGCTTTGGTTGTGGAAGAGTTTGGTCTGGTTTGACTTGTCCGTGGTTTTTGACGTGTTCAAAGAGAGTTGATGCAAGGACTTTTTGATGGCAAATGATACACTCAACTTTCTGAGCCTCTGTAATCACTGGTTTGGGTTGTTCCTTTGGAGCTGCAGTTGGAAGAACAACGGGATGTGGTTTTTCAAGTTCAATTGGCTCAGCTTTGACGGGCTCATTCACACTCGGTATAACATTTTGTATAACATTTTTTGAAATGTCTTTGGAAGACTCCAAAAGTGACACCCTCGCAAGAAGTTCTTTGTGCGAATTCTCAAGAAGAAGAACCTTGTCAAGAAGGGTATTCAATGCACTTTTCAACACAACAATCTCTTGCTCTGCGGCGGTGGCGTCCTTTTTCTGTTCAAGAGAAGTAATTTTGGTGTCGACTTCTGAAAGCTTCTTGTCAAGAAGAGAAGTGTCAAGACTAATTGAAGAGGAGGTGTTTTGGAATTTGACTAATTCGCTCATTTTTTGATGTGATTGTAACTTACCAGATCGAGATTTTATGCATCATCAAAACATTTTGAAGTTTTTGTTGACTTATAGATTTGTCTTGTCAGTTTTTACTAATTATTTACATTTCGTATAGTTTAAGTTAAATTGCGGGGTTGATGTGTAATATTTCGGGTAATAAAAATCATTATGACATTTTCCAATCTCAAAAGTGATGTTTAAGTTTATAATAATTTTAATAATAAAACAATGGATTATTTCAGGAAAAGTGATGATAATGACTTTTTGTTGAAAAATATTGTAATATATTATTAAATCTAAATTAAACCTATTTTTATAATTTTAACTTTTGAGGCAAAAATTATAGATTATAATTGGTCGTTTTTAATTAAAAACACTTTCAATTATAAACAATTAAAATAAATTAATAAAATAAATCAAAATGAATAGTATTTTTTAATAAAAAAACTATAATAACACAAATTAACAATTGTTTTAATCAATTATAATTTTAGTTAAATTTTCTTATAAGTATAAAACAATATAATAAAAATAGTAATTGTTTAGTAATCGTAATTGACAGGGAAATACTCCTCTCCTCTTTTTTCATAGATTGGTGGTGCAAATAGTTTTTGTCTTAAAGCGTTTTGTGCCTTAATAGCTTTTTCCATTTCTCTATTATGTGCGAGTGAATAATCAAAATTTTCTCTAAACAATTCGCCGACCACATCCCATCCATCTTTTTTCTCTTTGCTATCATAACACACTCGAATAAGTGCTTTTCCCGAAACAATTGAGTTTCCATCATCTCCGCCTTTCAAATAGAACCACGTCTCTATATTACTCCCAAACTTCAAATGTGTCAAATCAAACTCCACGCATCCAAGAAACACGTCACTAATTAAAAATCTTTTGTGATAAAAGTAAACGACAACATCCTTCCTTTTTGGATTCAATGGAATAACAAAACGAGCATTTTCATAAATTTGATCGACGTTTTTGACTTCCTTTGACTTCACCAATTTCCCACTTTCGTTAATCACTGCGCAATACACCGTCGACGGCGTTTCAGAGTCTTTCACACACAATCCAACAGACTCAACAACTTCAATAGTCAAAATTGGACTCGCGCAATCACTCGAAGCTGCTTGTGTGACTTCCAAACTCTCCTCTTCTAAGTCCCAATTTGCTTTCTTGTTGATATAATCTACTATATATCGTTGACCTCGATATACCCCAAATACACACCCACTCGGCAACGTTTCTGACTCTAAGAGGGGGTATCTCATATCAACGTTCTGTTTGGTGGTATCCAAAACGACTCGATTGATGTGGTCCAACAACACTTCTTTATTTCCGTCAATCATGACTTTTTCTAAGCCACAGTCACAACACAAAAAATTTTGAGGAGGGTCGGGAAAGTAAAATTTTTCGTCTACAAACCGAATTGAACTTTTCTTTTGATGGTCTTCAATTTGTGCTTCATCGGGGACGTTTGCTAATATATTAATAGTATAAAGTGTTTCTATATGGGTATTCTTTTTTTCTTTAGTATTTGGTACCATTTCAATTGCTATGAAATATGTCACATTTATATCTATTCGATTTAAACTTGGTGGTAGAGTGATATCTTGATGAAAGACTATTTTAGTCTCACTTATTCGTTGGGCGCCACTAATTTCAATTGTTTGAATAACATTTCTGTTAAAGAGAAAATACGTGTTATACATTTGTATTAACGAAACAATGTAATCTTGATTCTCATGTGGACTTCTTGACTCAATTTTGAGATGAAAATCAATGTCTTCTCCTATAAAAAACTCCTTTTTGGGCAGTAGAAGAGTCACCACGGACTCCCCCATCACAAAAGTGTTCTGAACTTTTGTGAATAAGACCTTTTCAATAACTGGAGAACTAAAAACGACGGGGAAGAGTGTGACATTACCTTTCCAATATTTCTTCTTGTCAACAAAAAAAGGGGTAACTCCATAACTAAAATCAATTTTTGGTAGGTCTTCATGATATAAAGACGACGGTGGGGTATCGAGGGGAACTTTAAAAGAAAATGGAAATGTGTAAATCCCAGGAGGATACTCTTTTTCAAGTCGACTCTTAGCACCAATTAATTCTATGATATCTATAGTCTTTGCATTTATATCAGTCATATCTCGCAATAAGTAATCGGGTGGGACTATACCTGTGGAAGCCAGATACGTGAATTTAAAAGAATTTTTTTCTTTTATCGTTTTTAAAGTCGTGCATCTCATCGATATTTCAAGAAACCCATAACTGAGTGTTATTGGAGAAGGAGTTTCGAGAACAACATAACCAATAACAGCCTCATTAAAACGGCCAGATTTAGTAATAACAGCACTCAATTTCATGGTTTATTATTTCAATTCGGAATTTATAGTTTTATAATTATAAAACTAATTTCAATTGGTATATTATTATAATTATACAATACAATTTATTTAATTTATAACTATGATTTTTATTTGTTAATTTAATTTATTTATACATTAAAATAGTAAATTTATTATAATTAAATTATATATTTGTATTTTGGATTGTAGTCGATTGTTATTATAATTTAATAATAATAATAGTAATATATATATAACTATTAACTAATAGTTTAAGATTCATGTTTTTGTGTTTAAAAAAGAAACTGTAAATTAAGAAGATCTATTGAATTTGATGTTTATAATTTTGGCATTATTTGTACCAATGTGTTTGTCGCAATCAACAGTCACACTAGTAACACAGCGAACTTCCGTGGCGAAGTATGTTATAGGCGGGTGTGGAATTTTGTTTATTATTTCTTTGATAATCGTCTTTTTCTTTTTTAAAAGGCAAAAGACGTCAACTGCAACAACTCGTGGGTATGGTCCAGACATTTTTGCTGTTGGCTCTGACAACATCGATGTTTTGGATGAAGAGAAGAGTTATCAACAATTTTGACTGTGTAATAACATTTTTTGATTTTTTTGTTATTCACATTTTTATTTTTTATTTCAAAAAAAAACAAATCAAATAAAAAAAAAATAGTAAATCTTCGAATTGTTGTTTTTATAGTTCGATTGCTATTTTTTTCATTTGAACAATTTGTGTATAATAAAATAATAGATTTTATATAATTTTATTTATAAGAGATAAATTTAAAATAGTTCTGTTTTTCCAAATAAAACAAATTATAATCTAAACTTCATTTAAATTATTTTATTAACTATTATGATATATCCCAAAGAGTTCAACAAATTGAATACGTCAAAAAATGTCAAGAATAATTTTTTAAATTTGTCTTTTTTTCTTTTAACCTCACTTTTCTAAAAACAAATTCTATAATACTGATACAATAAATTATTAATTATAATTTTCACTTTGGATGGACTGTAAATTAAAACGAAAAAAGGAAAAACCCGAAGAGTTAAGCCTTTATTTGACTCACAATTTCTCTTTTTGGTTAATCCACCACCCAAAAAACGAGATTGAAAAAATACGAGGGGAAATGAGAAAACGAGAGACTTGACAGAACGGAGAAACATTAAAGGATGGATTTTCAGCAGGTGGACATCCAGTCAAAGCTGGTGGAGATACTCGAGATCTCAAAAAAACCTGAGTCGAAGCCATCCGTGTTGATTAAGACTGTCAAAAAAGACAAAGTTGGTGCGGTGACAACAGACATGGTGTTCGACTCTCTCGACACTGAAGGCCACGATGAAATCGACATCTACCAAATTAGGCAATACTTTGAAATGTCCTCATCCGACAAAAAGCCAATATTTTTATTTGAAAAGGACATCAGACAAATATTGAACGAACTCTCTTTGTCAAAACCGTATTGCGTGCAGAGAAATGAATTTCCAATTTTAGTGAAGTATCTCCAAGATAACGAGAATTTACTAAGGGGAATGTCACAACCAACTTCACTTTTTAGTGCATACGCGGCTTTATATAAACAACCAAGTTGTATTGAAGACGTCGACGAGAAGGAACAAATCCAACTCGACATAAAACCCGACAATTTGAAGTGTAACGAGAAGGACTTGTATCACTCCTTATTCAAAAACCAATTGTTTGCAAAGCCAAAATACTCAAAATATTCTTTGCACTGGAAGTCGGTACTTCCAGACAATTATTTTAATTCCGAAAACTTCAATGCATCCACTAAAACACCGGAAATGTTTTCGTTGCTCAGAAAAAAAGAAAACAATGAAAGTAGACCAAAATTGTTGTTTGAATTGTTCGCACCCCTTTTCCGGTTCAAAGACCAGGCACTCACTTTGGCTGGTGTGCATGAAGATGTCGAGTTGAATTATGTTGAAAAATCGGGTTTTATAATTGGTCTTAAAAACGTGATCGTTGGGGAAGAAAACCCACCAGAAACATTACGATTTGTACTTTCGGTTTATGACACAAATTTACAAGAAAAATTGACAGAGGATTTTAACATTGAAAATGGTGACGAAAATGCCGTTTTCTGTGTTTCGGCAAAAGAAATGAAAAATTCGCCAATTGTCGTGTTTGTGAAAGTGTTGAGAAAGGGAGGTGATGATGTTTCAACGGCAAGAGAATTGTACATGAGAGGTTTTGAAGACAAAAAGTCAAAGAAGAAGTACGCCGAGAGGAAGGTTTGGCCTTATTGGCAACATTTGATGAGTGGAATTGGTTCATTGAAAGATGTGTTTGAGAACGACAATGGTGAAGTGAGTGTTACGTTTTATAAACCGGAGAGTGAAGGAGAGAGTGTTTACGAATTAAACACATCGAAAGAGAATAGAAAGGTTGCTGAAATGCATGCATCTTTTTTCTATAAGAAGTGTAACAAAGATGTTCAACTAGTGAGTGGACAATATCAATATGTTTGCGAGAAGCCAAGTCGAAGAGAGAGAATGTTGGACAATATGAGAATAATTAAACATAACGAAGATGTTATTTTTGATTATATAAATAGGTTGTATATATACCCCATCGATATCGTGTACGGAAAGGAAAAGAAGAGAAAGAGTTATATGTGTGTCACCATTTCTGTTATGAATGATAACGATTTTGTAAAGTGTGTATACCAAGAAGACGGAAAGACTCTTGATGACAAAATTACAACACAGTTATTATTTGGGAAAACGACAACTTTCTTTGATGAAATAAAAATTGAAATTCCATTTCCACTTTTACAGAGTCACTACCTGCTGTTCGACGTCGTTGAGTTACACGACGGAAATATTAAAAAACAATTCTATACGGTCTTCCCATTATTTCAAAATAACGCAATACAAGTCCAAGCAGGAATCGTCTCACTTCCGCTGTACACCACCATCGCGAACGCGTTGAGCAAGACAGAACCAACAAAATTAATTATGACGTACTCAATGGTCTTACTTTCTTCAGTCTATCCAAGCACAACAGATTCTCATATTGCGATAAATAAATTGATTGCTGGGTCTGCAGATGAATCGTTCAGGAGTGTGCCGTTGATTGATTCGATTCACTTTTTGCCATTGATACTGACATCTTTTCTCGACTCGAACATTGTGATGAACAGAGTTGTATTGGAGGTGCTAATGAAGACCATTTGTGGTCATCACGACTCTTCAGAAAAGCGGAACAAAAACGTCGAGAAGTACATTTCACATTTTTGCAATTTCAAATCAAAAGATACTTCTCTGAAACTCATCAAGTCGCTATACTTGATGTACAAGTACGACGACAAAAATCCGCAAATAGACGTTTTTAAGCAGTCGTGGCTTCCTTTTGAGTTACTTCGAAAGTCTATTAAGCAAATTGGAGCCGATCAAAACTTTTGGACCAACGCAGTCAGCTTTTCTTCTTTGTTTGCTTCGACCATTCGAAGCCATGTGTTGAACAAGGAGATTATCGGGATGGAAGAAGGGAATGCGCATTTTTCATACTTTGTGCGATCGGTGATGGAACTTGGCTATCGGTCCGAGAGTATCAAAATGATGGAGGAGTACTTGGACAAGTTATCCAACCCATACGACTCGGTAAAGAATGGCAAGAAATACACTTCAAACAGCCCGGAAATGGAAGCGATATTAATGATTAAGACGCAATTTCTCGGAGTGTTTGAAGGGAGTCTCAAATTGTACGAAGCGTCAAATCCAGGTCACGTGGATGTCAGTGATATTACGATGTTGGACGACTTATTGTGGATTAGACATTTGCCGATTGCCTTTTTGATGAGAGAACATATGATGTTGCTTAGACAAAGCGAAGAAATCAACAGAATTTCGTTGTATTTAATGGTCGCTTTGGTTGCGCGACTTGACTTGGATCAGGAACTTCAGAACGAAAAGGAAAATTGCGCTGCCATGTTTCTTCCTTTTGTTGTCCAATTTCTCGAGAAATTTGATAATTTTGCTGATTGGAAGTTTGTGAGGGAGAATGGAAAAGACGGCAGAAGCGGCCAGAGATTCAATTCAATATCGTTGAACAAAACTGGAGAGAAAAGCGTATTGACTTCCGATGCGTTGTTGTTGAAATGTAAAGAAACTGTGCAAGAGGGAACACCGCAACAGAATATCACTGATATGGAAATGCTTGGATTGATATACACATGGGTACTGAAAAATATTGAGTCAAAGGTGCTCATTGAGTGGATTGGAAACGAGGTGCCTTCACGACTTGAAATTCTTGTCAAGGTATTGACAAGATTTATCCTTCTATTTAGAAACTTTCCCGTGCAAGAGTCACTTGACGTATACGAGGAAATTGACAGAAATCTGAAACTTATTGTGAATGGATTAAAAGAGCATGGGTACTATATGAACACGACAATCCGAGTCGATTTGACAGCGATGCTTGGCGGAGAAAAGAAGTTTGAGATTCCAAAGAATAGATCGTTAAGGCCGATGAGACTTGACGACGAAAGACAATCAAAACTGCACCAAGGGTTAACAAGAGAAATAGTAAAAGTGTGTTTGGATGTCTTCATAGTGATATTTTCGAGTTTGAAAAAACAGGAGGCCTATGAACAACTCGAACAATTGAAGAGTGTCATTGCGAGTAAACTTTTTGAAGAAATGGTAGTCGATGATGACATCTTTTTGTTTGTTAAAAACTTGTTGGAGGACTACCGCAAAATGATATTTTGTGGGAATGAGGACTTTTCTGCGAAGCTCTTTTCGTCTCTGATCAAAATATTCCAATCGAAAAATGGAGAGGTGAGAGAGAGAGGAGTCGAGATGATGTGTTTATTCACCAAAAATAATTTCATACAATGTGGCAATATCACACGGAGTATTTCATTGATGACAACTGCTGTTGTAGAAGCGATTGATATCAAGAAAGACCTGTTTGAGGGGAGTGTCGAAGCGCTTGATATGATACACCAAATGGACATGAAGAACGTCAACAAGAGTGTCAGTGAGATGAAGAAGAGTTTGTTGGTGCCTGATATTGAAAAACTATCAGCTCGGCAATTGATACTCCGAGCAGAGACTTTGGGGGATATTGAAGCGCTCACTGTTGTGGTCAATGACATGATTGAAATAAGAATGAAGAATTTGAGATACATCCAAAGCTTCAAGCATTCAATAGTGAACAGATATACACGCATAGTCGATGACATTGTTTCAAAATCGTTTGTGGTGAGTGAGAAGACGATATCAGAAATTGAGAACATCGCAGTTCAATATTCATCTCTTGGAATATTCAAAGAAGTCACAAAGAGCGTCGAAATGGTTAAAATGAAGTGGAAGGAAGTCAATGAATTTGAAAGAAGACTCATCGACGTTTCCACAAAAAACAAAGAAATGGAGAGTCAGACTTCTCGTGTATGTAACGAGATGAAAATTTTGTGTCAACAAGGCATTGGGTGGGTGATTGGAAATGTGTCTTCGATTATGTCGTTTGTTACAACAAAAAACGATGATTTGATTTTACATGAAAATGAGTTGTACAAAGCAACAGGTGAAGCAACAAAATTCATTTCACAATACGAAAAATACATCAAAATTGTCGACACCAATCCTATCTACCCCGTCACACTTCAAGAGTTCATTGAAATTATCAAGGGGTGTGTTTCGGTGTTGGAAACGTACATTGAATTGAAGAAGAAGAAAATTCAAATGGAGAAAGCTGTTGCTAATGAAGAGAAGAGAATGAACGAGGAGAACAGCCACACAATTTCAAATGTGTTTGAACAATTTTCGCAAGTTTTGAAGTCACAAGACGAGTCAAATGGAAGTTCTGTCACGCGACAAATTCGAGACATTCAAATACCAAGCGAAATAACTTCCAATGAAAAGAACATTGGGACCAAAAGTGAAATTTTCAATATCATTTCGCAAGTGATTTCATCTTCAATCGCTGTTTTTCAGAAGATCGATAAGATTGAAGAGAAAACAACAAGCAACACGCAGCGATTGGAAGGTGCTGAAGGGTGGTACGATCACGAAAGAACGTACATCTCGTCCGTGTTGTTATTGAAAGAGAAACTGAAATTCTTGGATATTATGAACCGTGTTCCTATGCACGATGGCGGTATTGTGTCTTCCGTCATGAACGACTTAGTTCAATGGATTGTGTCGACGGGAAACAATTTTGCAAAAGAGTATGAACAAGCCAATGAGATGCGGACAGCGCTGAAAAAGATACTGTTTGATGAAAGGTTTAACAAACAAAGAAACTCGATGAAACGAAGAACAGCGAGGAAGTCGATGCACCTTGAGGACAAAAACATGAGGCGGATGACCGTATCGTTTGAAGCCGATGGGAAAGAAAAGGCGTTTGGGTGTGTTGAGGGGGAGAATGAGATAATTTCCAAAATACTTGATGAAATGGGGAAGGATGTCAAAAGTGCGGAAGGGATGATGAAAGACGTTGAAGAAAAGTGGAGAAATGGTGTTGAGAAGGAGAAAAGTAAAATTGAAATACGGCATCGAGCAGAAAAACTATGGAGAAGGTTTGTTGAGGAAAAGAAAGGAAAGTGGAGCGAATTGAAAGAGTTGTTTATCCGTGATGTTGACGAGAGTATTATCTATACGAACGATGTTATTCTTGAGAACGATATTGAAGAATCGAAAACACCCGAATTGATTGAAGATAAAAATGACAGTGGAGACATTTTAGAGAAGTCTGGTGATACCAACAAAACGGAGAAATTGGAAGCTGAAAAAGAAGAGAAAAACGAACAACAAAAGATTGAAATCATACCTCCGGCTATTGGTAGTGCTAAAAGTTCAATTGCACCAAGTATTGGTATTGCGGGTCCAAGTTTACCAAATACACCAATGAAGTTGGACACTTATTCTGGTTCGGAACACCGAAGACGCGGAATAGAGAAATGTAACAGTGTTTGTTTAATACGGCCCGAAGAGAATATGGCAAAGCACGTGTCCCGTCAGTCGAGATCCATGAAAAACAACACGGTTGATATTGTGCCGATCCAAATGAAGAAAGTCTCGGACTATGTTGTTTCTGGTGTTTTTCTCAAAGACGCCTTTATGGATGTTTGCCTTTACAAAATGTCTCAGTACAAAACAGTGATGAAAAAACTGAAGCGGGAGGTCAAACAGATCTTGACCAAGCACAACGAGTTGAACGAACTCCAACAGAAGACAAGAGATCCAGATGCGTACTCGGACAGACTTTATCTCTTCGCACAAGGATATTTGGAAACGCCCCGACTGTACATTAAGTGGGTAGAAAAGATTGCCCAAGAACATGGAGTGCGACAACATTACTTGGAAGCAGCGTTGTGTGAGACTCATATGATATTTTTCATTTCGCGATTTGTGAGTGGAGGTGACGTTTTTGAGAAACTGAAAGAGATTGTTCCGAACTCAGTTGTGAGGAAAAGTCGCAAGGAAAACAAAGAGGAGATTGACGGATTTAATTACAATACCATGTCCGGGTATATCGAGTCGGCGTTTAAATACTTCATGATGAAGAAGTCGTGTGACTTTGCAGAATTTTTGCTTGAAACGACAGTCGAGTACTTAGTGAGAAATAACGATGTGTCGCGACTTCAAGACATCCACAGCAAGTTACAAATGGTGTATTCAATGAAGAGCAAGAAGGAGAGAGGCGACATGCACTTTTATTTGGTTGGATTTTATGGGTCGGTATTTGGGAAGAACGCGGAAAAGGAGTTTGTGTACCACACGTACGAAACGAGAGAGTCGTTCAAACAGGAAATAAAGGCGATTGTGCCGCTTGACAGAAAGAAGGAAATTGAAGAGCTGGACGAGAAATCAAATGCCACTGGACTTTCACCAGAAAAGATCTTTATTAAAGTTATAGAAGTCACTCCACTGTATGACGAAGAGCACCTTTTCACGACGAGTAGATTTAAACAAGAGATTAAAATCGGGGAAGGCGGGTTTGACAAAATATCAAAGAGAAGAATCGTTTTTGTGACGACCCAGCCGTTGCCTTCCGTGTTGAGGAGACAGCTTGTTGCTGAGAAGGAAGTTGATCTGTACATGAATCCAATTGAAACGTGTTTGGACGACTTGGACGAGATGAATGAAAACCTTCAAAAGGCATGTGAGCCCCCTGTAAATGAAACATTAACCAAAGCGTTAAATGCCGTTTTAATCAAAGAGAATAAGACAATATCCATTGTTGAACTCTTTTTCAAGACTAAATTCAATGATATACACCCAGAGCAAGTGAACGATTTGTGGCAACTGATTAATGACATTGTGAATAACTTGGCAAAAGCTTTATTGATGCACTCGAGAACCTTCCCAAATCTTGGAATCAACGCGCAGTTTGACGTTGCATTTAATCACCTCAAAAGAATTCTGTTTGATGTGCAAGATGAAGTAGAAAAGGTCACGAGAGGAATACAGTTTTATGACGACGACTTTTTGTAATTCAAATTTTTATATTATTGGTTATTATAAATTATATGTTAATTAAACCATAAAATTAAGAATATAATTCTCATATAAAAAATAATATTATTAATTATTATTAATAAATTATTAATAAAAAACAATTATATTATAGTTTTATTTTATATAAAATTCTACCCAACACTTCCAACTATTTGACAAATTATAACATTTTGACTTTTGAATAAATTTTTAATGTGTTTATTGTAATTAATTACATTGTCATTTTAAATGTATTAAAACTTTAATACTATTAACTATTAAAAAACCATTATTTTGTTTAACAAATTAACTGTTTTAACAAAAAAAACAAAAAAATTTTAAAATAGTGACAGAAATAGATTTTTTTAACTCCCGGTGCTGAAGGCTTTTTTAACTGGTTTAAAAATAAAAGACGGGGGTTAAAAAAAGATGAAATAAAAACGAAGCTTTTCAAAGAGAAAAATTGATTAGTTTGCCTTTCAATAATGCGCAATACAATTGATTACTTCATAAGACGAAGATCTTATGATTAAAACCAGAAAGTATCAAAATAGGACCAATAATTTGCTGAGAATGTGGCTGACATTTCGATATTTCCAAGAAGTTGCAAAGTGCGAAAACAGATGCAACAAATAAAGAACAAAAAGCCTTTTGAGCTTCAACTCGAAAATACTAGTCATGGAAGAGCCAAGGTTGTTTCAGTCGCGGTGTAAAAAGGCGTTGTCAGCTGCGATGTTGGTGCATTGCTTTATGAACATAGGTGGTCGTGTCACGTTTTCGCGTGCAAAGCAGTCGAATTATGCGTTGAAAGTTCTGATAGGCAAACAAGTAGTGATCAACGATGTGACATACACACAAGAAGACATGTGTGCCGCAGCTTGTACATTTGCAAACAAGATGAAAGCACTGATTCGTGAAGCACGAAGCAACAAACGGAAAGAGATTCGAGTCGACAAACAATGTCTCAAAGCAATCAACACAGAACTCCCAAATGAAATCCCAAAAACACCAAAAAGTACAATTACACTCTGTAGAAACAGAGAAGCAGCATTCTCTAATTTCATCGCTTACATTCTTGTCCAACACGGATTCGCTTTTAATATCACTTTGACAACTATTAAGGAATCTACAAGTGTCATGCATTTCTACGTCTGGGACGCTATCACAGACAACAACGGTATCACTCTCTCAACTCTCGACAACACTGAACCACTCATCAATTTCATCAGAAACGTCACTTCACTCATATCTCACAAAAAGAGCATCCTCTCTATCAACGACATCTCTAAAACTCCAAGCGCTTTTAGTCCTGCCGATATCTCTCTCTATCAAGTCACATGGACTGAAGAGCATAAAAAGTAACATAAATGTAATAATTGTAAATGAATTTTAATTTGTTATTGTTTCGTGTTTTTGTTATTATTACTGTCGTGTTGAAAAAAGTCTGGTATTGTTTTAAATTAACTTATTACTAATTATTATTATAGTTTTTAATTATAACTATTTCTAATAGTTTTTATGATAAATATAGTATTCATATTATTTATAACAACCCGAAAAGTTAGATTTATCAATACTAATATTATAATGTTTTTTTTGAGCGAATTTTCATTTTTTTTCGTTTTACAAAAATCAACGAACTCGTTTCACCAAGTTAGAAAATTTGAAGTTAAATGTTCTATTTTACAATAATAAAACACAAAGAGAGATTATTTGTTAATATAAATAATAAAATATAATAATACATACTAGAATATCGAAAATATCCTTTTAGTTTTTATCATAAAAAAAAACTAGTGTTAATAATATATTTAATTATAGTTTACTTCCTTTTGTTCAATCCAATTCAACACCTTTTCTGTCATACCACAAAAGGCGTTAATACATCGAATTCTAATTTTTCCAACAAAATGACGAAAGTAAAAGAATAAGAACGAAACTATCACACAATAGTAAAGTAGTAATACAATCAACCCAACAAAGCATCCCTGAGTAATACGGAATTTCTCTGTAAAATGGCAGAATCACCATTTCCAAAGGATTGTTTGATGGCTTCCAACTCCCTGAACCTTGACTCTTTGACTTGGACTTTATTTAAAAGCAACGCGTTGTTAAAATAGACCTCTTCGATTCGATCGATGCGTAGCGTAGACGACGTCTTTCGCGACTTTTTGAGGGTGAAGAAGAAGCCAAGCTCCAAACAGATATCGAAGAGCATATTAACTGAGATGGAGACTCTATTAATGTCAGAGTGTCGTTTAGCTTTCGACGGTTTAACACCGTCACTAATTTCTTTTGTAATAATTTGCTTTGTTTTGTCCTCCACTAAAGTCGCGAAATCGATGTCTTCGGACTGCAGGCTAATTTTGTCGACGATGAAAGAAGTCGGGACAAACTTGGCTTTAGTGTTTGGTTTGCGTAAAGTGATTTCCCCATACCACGAGAGAAGGGCAAGGAGTAAAGACTGTTGAAGGATTTCATAATTCTCCTCCGGCTTTTCAATTTTCTCACGCTTTGGCTTGGGTTGCTGCGGCTTTTTAGTCTCCATAAAACACTTCTCAGTTCTCTGGGGTTTCGCGTGTTTTTTTCCTTCATGTGAAATTCCTGAAAGAATTTCGGTTTTTAATTTCAACAAGAAATTACACTAGTGACTGTTATGCTCCGTTTGATTCGGTCTTTGGAGTTTTAAAGCTTTTTGAACCGACAAGAGTAGTTAAGAGCATCAGGAGCGTATTGCTACCATTTTTTGGAATCACTTGACTGATATGTATGGGAAATTAAAGTCCACAAAAAAGATGGAATAAATAAACACTAAGAAGTAATGAATTGGTGGCAGAATCATTGCATTGGTATCGTATACCATTAAGGCGTTTTCCCTGATATTTCTGATAGAAAACGGATGTTTGGTGGTCTTTGATAATTCTTATTTTAGCACCAGTAAAAACACTTTTGGCATAAAAGAACTATGTTGGCACTTCTATTGTTTGTGGTCTTTGTTTGGTGGATTTACTGTTCGAATGGAAAGGTTAATTTTTAAATGCCGTTATTCTTATTTTGATGTGTGGATGATCCAGAAGTGTGTTTCCTTTGAAGTAAAAAGCAGAAAAAAAGAACCAATAAAAAAGTGCATTAATTACTATAAAATGGTGGGAAATTGTCGCAAAATGAATGGGTTATTATTATTGGTTCATTGAACATCATTATGCATCCCGCTTAATTACTGGATTGGCGGCTGATAGATCCCGAATAACGGTCAATTAGAAAATCGGCTTCTGCCCAAAACTCTATTTCTTATAACCACGAATCACTTATAACTTGTTAATATATTAAACTTTTAATTCTCTTCTTTTTGTTATTCATTTTCGGGTTGAAAGAGGCAGGGGTGACTTTTCGGGGCTTTTCGATCTTCTTTCTAAAAATCGGAATACTAATTATAGACGAAAACAATCACAAAACACTTCGATTATGTTCCTGATTTGAAATGTAGTACTTTTTCTTCACGTCAAATCCACTGTTTTTCTCCCACTCTTTTTCGCATTATTCTATTGAACCCGCCTTTGGTAATACTTTAAATGGATTATAACTTCTATTTCCTCCAAAAAGGAACTTTGCCAATTCCTCTTTCTATAAAAAACAAAGCCCAATCGTAACAAAAAGTTTGATATTAATTAATAATAACAAAATGTATCAATGTGTATAATACACAATTTTACACTTGCATTTCAAAAAATTATAAATACATTCTTTAAATTTAACAAAAAACTTTTTTTTACTTTTGTTGAATACAATCGCTTTTTAGTGATGTTTTTGTTCGTATGAATGGTTATTGTCTTTACATTACGATCTATTGTTTGAAAACATGCATTTATGGGTTTCACATACCGTGTCTAAATTAGTCTTTATTTAAAGCGATTGAATGTTGTATATTCATTCCAACCCGTTTTTTTTCCTGTTTTTAATGTCTTTATTCGATTGAAAAAATGACCAGAATTGTTCGACTTGCATGAACAAAAGATAGATCGCAACAAACATTAAAAGTAAAACAAAAACCAACAAATAATAGTAAAAAAATATCATAAATATAGTACATTTTATGAGATGACAATATCTTCCAAGACGTCCATCAACCTATCTATGTATTCGGTATACACAAATTTGAATATCCCAAATAAGACTTTAACGTCTTCGGGCGCCAACTTGAATTTGAATATGAGCTGTTGAACAGTCGTTCGATTTATCGCATTTTGACTTTCAAGAAATTTCATCAAAATGCGTATTTTTATCGCAAATATTTCGCACATTTTGTAGATGACATTCCTCATCACTGAAAATCCCCTTCCTTCCTTCAACCTTTCTCCAATGACTTTGGAATACTCCATTGTAACAATAGAACCAGCAACACACTCAACAACATTCGATTTTGACAAAAATTCAGGGTGTGGAATTTTATCGCAATGGTTCTTTTCGTATTCTTTTATCGCAATAGAGATGAAGTGTTTTTGTCGCAAGACGAAGTAATTAGAAATTGATTGAGTCGCGCTTTTGACCACTTTGTTATGTGACACGTCGATGATACAATAAGGGTATGGGAGATCGAACACGTCGTCCTCCGTGAAGTCGACGACGCACATTGTTCTAATGAAAGGATTAGCCTTTCTCATGATTTTATTGTACTCGGGTGACGAGAGGGGTTGGAAGTAGAGATCTGGTGCGTCCATTAACGACAACATGTCATAGAAGTTTTTCACGATGCGAGGGTTGTCTGCAAGAATCAACGAGTAGACTGAAACGATGTGAGCTGAAATCGCGACATTGAGGAAAGAGGTATTGATCTCGCAACACAAGTTACTCAACGAATTTCTGAAGTCGGGATGCGTTAGTGTGAGGAGATACTCGTCGAAGTGATTTAACGCGGTTGTGATGTTCTTCGCCAAATTTTTGTAATTGTCAGGGTTAGTCCCATATTGGAAAATATGAGCAATTTGGAAGTCGAAAAAGACGTGATTGAAGATATCGAGTAAGACGTCCCACAAGAAAGTGTTTATAGTAATGGCCAGTGATGATGGGACTATCATAGTGAATGTTGCTGTGATCATCGGGAATTCTTCAGTCTCAAATTCACACATACATGGGATATGAAACGTGAAGAGAACATCTTCATAAGACACGCCGTCTTGCACAAAATATCCGAAATCATAGACGTAAATACTTGGAGTTTTAATTTTAATTGTCATGTTCTCGTCGTTATCTTTTTTCACTGCTGTTCGAAACCCAAGGGATTTTAAATATTCGTTCGCATTGTATTTCTCGACCATTGTGGATGAATGGCGTTGTTGTAAATTTGGGTTTTGGTAATGAATAAATAAGTTTTTATTATAATAATCAGGTAACAATTTGATTTGGAACGATGATATATGGTTACTTTGATATTCCATTTGAAAGTGACTCTCTACTTCGTTATTATTAATTTATTTTTAATTATTTTGTGTTATTCTTTTTCATAAGAAATTTCATTGAATTTTTCAAACTCGAATACTTCCAAGGAACCGTTTTAAGTAAATCCGTTTTGGAGTGTTGAAGTATACAATAGACAGTTTGCCATATTACACCCCATTGCTCTTCAATTGAATTGCTTTTGTGATGGACTAACGCATTAATTACCTCACTGCCATTGGCACACATCACACTAACCAATGCAGTTCTCTCCTGTTTTCTTTTTAAGTTTCATCCATGTATTATTATTATTTATAAAAAATAATGTATTAATTACTTAAGTATTTATTCTTTAGAATAAAATAACTACTCTTTATTGTTATTTTATTATTTAAATATAGTTTATATAACAAAAGAAATGGAGGATAAAATTCAACTTTAATCACTTTAATTAATGTGGAACTAACTTCAATTAGTAGGAAACGGGTTATCTCGTGGATTAATATAATACTTTTCCCTGTTTTTAGAAATATATTATAAGTATTTAATTATACGGCCAAAAAAGGGTAAACATTTATATTTTAAGGACATATCCCGGTAAAACAAGTCCATTCAAAAACGACGAAATTATGTCAAGTACAAAAGGCAAAAACTATAACTTCTAATTTATGTTTTTATATATTTTTTACTTGTGTTTATAATTAAAATACTTATAATTGAACCCCAATTAAATTATAAGTATTAGAAGTAAAAAAAATAAAAAACGAGAAAAACATTTCAAAAAACATTATTATTAAATAATAGCAAGTTGTTGTACGATTTTTTGATATTTCAACACTGAAGCATTAGTTTGTCTTACTTGAGTGAGTAAAGTGATTAAATTATCCAAAACGACATCTGCTACACTTTGCATAGTTTCTATTTTGTTCAGAGTTTCAACCACTTTCTTTCTCACTTCTTTATTCGTGATTTTCAGTACAAATTGTTTTTGTTGTGTGACAGACATATCCTCTCCAAATAACGCAAAAAACGATGCAAAACTATCCAACTCAGTATTAAGCCTTTCCACCTCATCTTTTTCATTAATTTCAAAACACTTTTGTTTCATTTTCCCGAGTTTCGGGACTATATTAGTCTTAATTAAAGACATCGCATTGTTCACAGAACTCTCTTGTTTATCGCTCCCAAATATTCGATTTTCTGCATCTTTTTGTAATGAGTTCTTTAAGTTGTTTTCCGTTGCTCTTCGACATAACATCATAAGTTTCATACTTTCTCTCGACTTGGCATCGTCCTCATAGTCTTCTTCTACGCATTTCCCTGAGTCTTCTGCTGTTCTTGTCTTATTCTTTGGTGTCACTTCTCCATTAATTAACTCGGGCGTACTTGTTCGGTGAAGGTTCACGTCGCACTTCTTCCCTTCCACCCAAAAAGTCGATTCATTGTACTCTTCTACGTGCAAATCAGCTAATAAAGCAATCAGTGCTGTTCGACACTGAACAATGAGCGGCACCATCTCTTTGACACTGTCACATTTCTTTAACATACGATACGCCACGTGGTGTTTTGAATTCAATTCGATGAATGCATTTTCACTCTTTTCTAAGATCTGTGACGTCGTCATCTGGTCCACCGGCGTTTCTTTCACATACGCAAGAAATTGTAATGTCTCGCTTGTCCCCTCCGGATGGATCTTTTCTAAGTACAGCACAAAGTTGTTTTGTATCGTCACAATCTTAATAATCGCCTCTTTTGTAACTATTGGGGACTTTTCAAGTTTGCCCTCTTTCGCTAATTTCACAAAGGTCATCAGCCGCTTTTTATCAACTTCGTTGTTCGCAAATTTCTCAAACTCCTTCTCTCCTATCATTTCCATTAACTTAGGCGATGTGTACCCAATCGAGACAAAGTTCTCGGTATAGTCGACTAAATTATATGGAATCAGATATTGAGCTACATTCACATAGGTGTCTACTGTGAATGAAACACCATCTTCACACTCATCAGAAGACGATTTGTCAGTCTTAAAAACTGGAGTTAACCGTTCAACTAAAGTTTTAAAGTATCGAGACTTTTGGAATCTTTCAAAAACATTTTCCTTGATCATAGTATCAAGTACATATTGTTTCGCTTCATCAAATATATCCGCACCAAACCCTTTCGAATACTCCAAATTGATTTTATTACGAATGGCTGAGGGAAGTGAGATCTCTTCCTCCGAGTTGACGCAGATGAAAGTCTCAAAAATGGTTTTGCAGACCCAACTCCTGATATGATCCGCCTCTATCGAATGATAGAGTTGGACTGCTCGATAGAATTGAACCAATTTCTCTTCGCAACTCTCTCGGAGAAATTTGGAAAGATAAAGTGACCCTACTCGACTGGAAACGGTTGTCTCAAGTGATGACAAGATTTTTAATGTCTTTGGAATCATCAGGCCGTCTTGCACTGCATTGAAAATGATTCGGTTCAAGTTCTTCGAGTTTTCTCCGTTCAGACCAATCATTGTTTTCATATACTATTAGTTATTATATAAATTACTAACAAGTAGAGAATGGAGTCTAATCCAAATATAGAATACACTTTATAGTAAATTTATAGTAAATATTTAATTTAACAAAAATCTATATTTATGGTAATAAAAATAGAATTAAAGGAAAGAACAAACAAGTAAAACACTTGAGTCTAAGAAATCGAATCGCTGTTCAGCAAAGAGCCGTGCCTCCTCGTTTGTCATACGACTAATTTTCTTCCCAAATTCCTTATAAAAATTTTCACAGAAGTCGACTTCCTTTTCAAGAAGTGGACAAGCACTTGCTTCGAGGTTACACGAATCGAGAAAGTTTCTGACATCGTTTGCGATGATTGAGTTCCCGAATGTGTAAATTGAGCGAAGTTGGTTATTAATGGAAACCACTGTTGCTTTCAAGCTTTGAAATATTTGGATCACGCCTTTCATGTCAGTGAGAAGTTGACTTGTGCTTTTGCGGAAGTTCTCGCACATCTGTTTGTCCGAAACTGACTTCTCGTCAAGGGAGACTTGTTTGAAGAAGTAATTGCGGCGCATCATAGCTAATTATTTGTTTTTCAAGATGGCAGTGACAGATTAAATACCCATAAAAATATTTTCGACTTAGTGAAAAACGTTGGAGTAAATGTTCTTATTTTCATTGGGGAAGTTTTCATGGTGTGTTTTTATGGTGGTTTAATCTTCCCGTTTTATTTAAAACTTTTTGAGTGTTATTAAAATAATAAGGCTGTATTATTTATACAAAAAAACAATTCGGACAAATATATTTAAATGGTATTGGTACTATGTTTAATAAAAACAGGAATTTTATTGTTTGTTCTTATTATAAATACTATAAAAGTATTCCACTTAATTTATATTTAATACTATTTATAATTAAACTATTTTTATTATAACTTGATTTTATTTCTATTATTTAAATAATAATATTCAAATAACCTTATTTTAGCCTAAACATAATAGTTTAAATATACTATTAATACTAATTTATAAAATTGAGGTTACATACATATTTATAAATTGCTATTAATTTATTAATAATTTATTAATAAAAATGTTGTAGAACTATGGAAGTACTTCATTTTTAACATTTTTTTATATCTCATGTTAATTTATTAATATTACAATAATTTTATTTGATTTGATAGTAAAAAAAACTTACAGAGGTTGTTAGAGTAAAAAAAGAATGTTTTTAAAAACAAATTTTATTTCATATTGTTTTATAATTATACAACTAACTATAATTATTTTTTAAAACAATTTCTCAAAAATATTTTTTTTATGTCTGTCACTTTGTTATAATTATTTAATAGTGATTAAAATAAATAAAGTTATTATTTTTTTTAGATAAAAAATTATTTAAAAATAATATTTTTTAATTAATTTTTTAACTAGATATATTAATTATATCCGTTACTTAAAACTATTTTATCTTATTAAATGTATTATAATAAAAACATACAATTTTAGTAAATAATAGTTAATTTTTTATAATAAAAATATAATAAAAAGAAAAATTATATTTACAAAACCAAAATCAAAAAACAAAATTATGTTTTATCATCGGAATCTTAAAACTATTATTTTTATGAAAGCAAATTAAAAAAACTTTTTATTTTCAATATAAAAATAATTGGGTAACAATTTATATAATTCTAATAAAATGAAATGAATTAAAAAGTGCTAAAAAGAAATTATAATTTAACTAAAAGAAATATGTATTACTTTAAGTTACTTAAAAACTTTCCAAAATAAACGACGAAATAAGGACTTAATGACTACAAAACCCGGGGTTCTCGATTTAAAGATAGATTTCACAAAAGGAAAAACAGAACTTGAATAACCAAAAGAATTTGAAAAGCAAGTCAGATGACACAGCTTAAGCTCGTAGCGTGTGGTGATGGTGCTATAGGCAAGACAAGTATGCTTGTGTGTTATGCAAAGAATGAGTTTCCGGAGGACTATGTTCCCACTGTCTTTGATAACTACAGTGCTTCTGTGATGATCAAAACTGTTGAGATTAAAGTTCAATTTTGGGATACTGGTTTGTCACCTTTCATCTGTTTATATATCTATTTATATACAACTCACAAACAGCAGGACAAGAAGAATATGAGAGTATACGACCCTTGTCGTACCCATCTACTGATATCTTCTTGTTGTGTTTCAGTGTCGTCCAACCCGTCTCGTTAACAAATGTTGCTGAAAAGTGGTTTCCCGAAGTGAAAAAACATTGTCCTTCAAGCAAAATAGCTATTGTTGGCTTGAAGATTGATTTGCGAGAGAGTACCGAACAAGTCGAGTTGTTGCGAAGTAAAGGACAACAGCCCGTTGTGATCAAAGACGTCGAGGAGTTTGTGAAAGAAAAACAAATTCAGTGTAATGGCATTTTCGAATGCTCGGCAAAGACAAAGGTCGGCCTCAAAGAGACGATTGAAAGTGCGGTGAAGTTGTGTGTGCCAGAGGAAATGTTAAACCCAAGTGCCCCTGTAAGTACTAAAACTATTGCACCAAAAAAGAAAAAATGTGTTTTGTTTTAATTTTGAGTTGTTTTCAGTCGAAATTAACGCCTTAAAGATGTCCATTTTGATATTTAAAGATCTAATAACACCAAATATTGAATTTATTTATTTCGCTGGATATTTGCAGGCAAAAATGTAATTTAATTAACGGGAGGTATTGTGGAAGTCAAAATAAGATGTGTAAAACCGTTTATCTTGTCATTAAATAGAGTCTTAATTGATGTGGATGACAAATTCTAATGTATATAGAATATATATCATAAAATATAGTTATACTATTATTTATGACAAGTTTATTGGAAGCGTTTTCTTGTCACAATAACTTTAAAGGATCTTAAATTGCTTTACTTAATTATCATATTTATGTATTTATAATTGCTTTATATAATAATTGCTAATCGCATAGTGATAATACGCGATTGATGACAAATAAAAATATTGAAACACACCACCACAGTTCCAGAAATAACAAATACAATTATCAACGATAAGCAATTTTATTATTGGTTAATTCAGTTAATAATATTTCTTCGTTTTTAACTTAACAATCTTTATTTTAACTCTGGCATCTTTTCAATATATGTTTTTGTGTTGTAAATTTTCTTTGAAGCAATGAAACGACTGAATAATGAACTTGTATGTGTCTTTCGATCTTATATATATATTTTAATTTTAACGTCGTGTAATAATCTTCACAATAATTAGGAGTTTGTGATCAGTATGATTTCAAATTATTTCGCGTTTTTATGAAAAGTACGATTGTTTATTTTTTAATTATATGTGTATTTTACCATAAAACACAATTAATTTTGATGACCACAAAAGCCACAACGACTAATGTTCAAAAGTTATTTTTCGTTGATTGAAAAGTCTAATCATTTTTAAATAATGTGTTTTGGTCACCTTGAATAATTTGATAAACTCCATTATCAAATAATTTAAAAATATTAAAATTTACCAATCAAAATTCTTTTATTTTAAATTTATTAAGATATAATTAGATCAATAATGTTGTTAACTTTTATAAGTAACATTTTTGTACCAACTATTTTCTTGAAATATCTGTATGATTTAAACACTAAAAATGAACGATTCATTTTTGTTGATCATTGATTTGTTTGGTTGTTCAAATCAAGAGCTCAAAAAGACACGACAAAAGTCATTAGCAAGTGGAGTAATTTTTACAAGTAATGAATCGATAATTCAATTAAATAACATTTTGGCTTTGCTTTTATAGAAAGACACACCTAATGACACCAACCACTTACGCCGACCAGTGTAAACGTTTATTAACATTTGGATTATTTTTTCGGACTCGAATTCAAATTATAAAAAACTATAAATGTATTAATAAAAAGACGTCTGATTCAACTTGGCAATCCTTATGTTCATTTCTGTGTCCTCTTTGCTCTACTCTCCGCCTCAATAAAGACATTACTCTAAAGAAACCAAATAATTAAAGTCTTTTTTTTTAAACCATTATTATAATAATTATTATTATAATATTACTATACACAATCGACATGTTCACCAACTTAAAAAGTAATCGTTTCTCATTTAAATATAGAAATTGAAGTTTTCTGTGAAGCAATTCAAATTTGGTATTAGCGCAAAAATCCCGTCAATATGCAATAAAAATTCGAAACGTAAACTGGGCGTTAATAATTTCGATTGACAGAAAAATAAAGCAATAAAATAGAAACCCAAATTAAGACTTTTTATGCACAAAAATGATATTGCTCGTCATGGCAATGTAAATTCGGGTAACTATTTGATTCATTTTTGGCAATTCATAATTAATAATAACGGTATAACAAGTTCTCGGCATTATAGACTCTGATGTGACAGTTTGATGATGATCACTTTTAAACCAAACTTTTATATTTAAAATATTATATTTTTTAGTATACTGTTGGTATTGTCTTTTTGTGGTAATAACTCAAATACAAACAATGACTTGAACACTTGACCGAATTGCTTCTTGGCAAACCCAACTTTTTAGTAAAAACCAACATAAAATAAATGAATATTTGATAATAAATAATTGAAAATGCCAAATTATTAGCATTATTTGGTTAAATTTAATACCACTCGGAACATGTTCAAAAACTTTCCAACCGTGGTGCCTTCGCATGCCCAGATGGTCAGAACATTTTTAGTTTACTCTTCGTAAAGAAGCCATTTGTTTTGAGGTCGAGCAACACTTAAAGACTTACTCCAAAAAGCCTTCAAAGTGTACGCTCCTTTGTAAAAAGAAGGATATAAACTTTAAATTCACAAAATAATGGCATATTCTATAAGTAAGATGGAAGAGAAAGAGCCCCATATGTTTCAGTCGCGGTGTAAAAAGGCGTTGTCAGCTGCGATGTTGGTGCATTGCTTTATGAACATAGGTGGTCGTGTCACGTTTTCGCGTGCAAAGCAGTCGAATTATGCGTTGAAAGTTCTGATAGGCAAACAAGTAGTGATCAACGATGTGACATACACACAAGAAGACATGTGTGCCGCAGCTTGTACATTTGCAAACAAGATGAAAGCACTGATTCGTGAAGCACGAAGCAACAAACGGAAAGAGATTCGAGTCGACAAACAATGTCTCAAAGCAATCAACACAGAACTCCCAAATGAAATCCCAAAAACACCAAAAAGTACAATTACACTCTGTAGAAACAGAGAAGCAGCATTCTCTAATTTCATCGCTTACATTCTTGTCCAACACGGATTCGCTTTTAATATCACTTTGACAACTATTAAGGAATCTACAAGTGTCATGCATTTCTACGTCTGGGACGCTATCACAGACAACAACGGTATCACTCTCTCAACTCTCGACAACACTGAACCACTCATCAATTTCATCAGAAACGTCACTTCACTCATATCTCACAAAAAGAGCATCCTCTCTATCAACGACATCTCTAAAACTCCAAGCGCTTTTAGTCCTGCTGATATCTCTCTTTATCAAGTCCTTTTTCGTGATGAAAAATCCGTTTCTAAAAAAACTAATGGAAAATAAATATAAAAACTACAAAATACCTCTCACATACTAAATAGTTAACACTACAATGATGTATTGTAAATTTATTTAAATGTTTTTGACTTTTTTTGTTCTTTTTTTAATAGAATAAAAAATTATTAAAATATTATATTATTATATTATATTATTATATTATTATATTATATTATTATACTATATTATATTATTATACTATAATATTACTTTTAAAATAACTAAAATTTGAGTTTTTTATTTTCTTTTTGAATTCTTTGATGCACTTGACTTGTTCGATTTACTGGACTTGTTTGGTCGATTGGATTTATTTGCCTTTGGTTTATTTGCTTTCACCTGTTTTCTTTGTTGAGCTTTTTGTATTTTCTGTGACTTTGGCTTATTTGTTTTTGTTCTTGTGTTTTTAGCTTTATTTTGAAGTTTATTATACTTTGGCATGTTATTTCTTCTTATGTTAGCATTTCGTTTGTTCATTTTTTCTCTGTGCAATTTTTTATATTGTTTTCTTTGGGCCGCTGACTTACCTTTCATCTTTCCTGCTTTTTCCTTCTTTTGTTGTTTATGTAATTTTCCACGCTCCTTTGCTAACTTCTTTGCTTTTTCTTTCTCCTTTGCGGCTTTCTTCTCTTTTCTTTCTTTTAAAAATTTCTTTGTTGCTTTGTACCCGCCATACGTCTTCGCCATTTTGTCCATCTCTTCTTTGGCATGTCTCTCTGTCTTGATTGTCTTTCCTACCATCTTGTTTGTGAGCTTATCGCCGGCGTTGTAAATAGTATCTTCTATTTTTGTACCAACGTCTTTAACAAAGTCCTTGGCGGTCTTAATGCCAGTTTTCACTTTGTCATACTTGTCTAGCGCATTCTTCCCAAATTCGGTCTTGGAAATTTGGTCTCGAGCAAATTTCTTCGCACTATTTTCTATGCCAGTCTTGACAGACTTTATTCCATCAGATACACTATTGATCACATTGCTTGTTTTATCATACGCTCCAACAATTTTCTTACCTAAATTACTCTTATTAAGTAAGTCTCGAGCATTGTTAGTTTTGTAATTCTTCACTGCGTCTGACGTGGGTGCCTTTTTGTCCAAATACCCATGCCCAATATCTACTAATGGACGTGCCAAAGTGTTTAACGCATTTTTGACAGGGTCTTTGAAAAGCTTTTCTGCTTTTCCTTTAATGTGTTTTCCTATCTCCTCAGACGCTTTCTTGCCTATTTCACTCTTCCCAAACTTGCCAATGAAATTCACGTCTTTCAGTTTGTCACCAATTTTATCACTCAATTTCCCTGTGAGTTTGTCTGTTGCTTTATCCACTAATATTGTTGCCCCAAGTGTTATCCCTTCTTTCAGTAATTTCTTCCCTCCTTCTTTGGCACCAGCTTTCATTTTATCAGCAAAACTGCCACCAGTCGTTTGATAAGCTTTTGAGAACTCGGTGCCAACTTTCACTGCTCTGGACGCTACATCGGCACCAAACTCAACAGTTTTGGCTACGCCCTAATTATTAGTGTGCAGAATAACTCAATAATAATACAAGATGAATTAAACTATTTGATATATTTGGTATGGACTCTGTTGTTAAATGCCATACAGTTTCCTATTAAACAGAGAGACCTATACTTATAACATATATATTACAATAATAATAACAAACAGAAATTGTACCAGCTGTGGCACCAACGGCTGCAAACGCAGGAGCCATTGGTCCAGTAAATGGAGCTATAACTGTGGACACTTTACTAACTACACCAGCTACTTTAGAAACAACACCAGCTACTTTACCAACTTTCTGTAACCCTTCAGCTATCATGTCACCATTCTTGGCTAAAAATTTGGTACCCGCTTCAACGACATTTTTTACGCCGGTCTTGATGGCCTCACCAGCTTTTTTTGCAGTGCTAACTACAGCTTCTTTTGCTTCATTAAATCTATCACCTACCCAACTAAATAAACCTTCGTCGTTGAGAATGAAGTCGGGCTCATTTTCAGATTCAAATAGCCCAATGAAAGAGTCAAGTGCTTCATCATCAGTGGTTGCATCGTTGAGACTCATTATATCGTCGAAGAAATCATAGCCATCAAATGAAAAGGATTCAACGTCATGTGATGACACTGGGGATACAAAGAATAGACAAAGGAATAATGTAAACAATCCAATTATCATAATAGTATGGTTTTATTGTTCAAATTTTTTCATTTAGTGTTTTTGTTCATATATTTGGTTTTAAAACAAAGAAAAACATTCAATGATTTTCGTTTAAAATTTTTATAGATCGGTCGAAATGTCCCGATCCCTTTTAGTATTTATGTGAAATTTAATCAGTTCATTCTTTTTCTGGATAAATTTCTTTATTTTTCATTGATATTTATACATTACAATGTTAAGTGGATTAGCTCTAACTGCGTCAAAATGTTTTGAAAATGCATTTTTTTTATTTAATTATCAAACAAAAATATTTTATTTTGTTGTCAATATGAACATAAAAGATATAACATAATGCGATCAGTTGGTTAATAAATACAATATTTGGCACTAGCATATTATTCAATGACAAGTGAGAAATTGGGTATGTACCAAAAATTCTAGTTTTTTTACTATGATTTCAGTTTTCTTTGTGGTTTTGAATAGATGCGAAATGATACATTAAACTATAATTGTATTTGTGACAATCTTTGACCTTATTATTTCCAATTTTGCTCATTACATTACTTTTGTTGTATGATAAAATCACGTATAAATTCAGGTGTTTCTAATAATAAATCTTTTGAATGTTTTGGTGGGGTTTTGTATAGTGTAAAAAAATTATAATTATTATCAATTATTTTAATTTCATAATAAATTAACTATTTGTCTAAAAAAAAACAAACTGTTTCAACTTTTTGACACAATCAAATTACTCTGTGAGTGAACCCTAATAGTAACACCCATTTTTGTATTTTGTATAATTTTGTTTTAATAAAACTAAACCATTTTAATTAATTAACCATTTTTAATTGTAGGTTTGACTAAAAATATGGAAATGATAATAATAACTAAAAATCAATAATAAAATAAACTATATTTATAGCTACATTTAAGTCTGTTCATTGAAAATGAATGAACAAGAGAACAACACTTTATACTGGAAACAAACAACACAAAACGAACGTCTGTATCAATGTAATAATTGCACAGTCAACAAAGCGGAACACCTTTTAATGACTTAATTTTGTAAATTTTCTTTTTTACCATTTTTTTATTTAATGATAATGATGATATTTATTCACAAATTAAATTCAAAGAAGTCTTTGATAATTATTGATGATACTTTTTAATACTCTTTTAAGACTTAAATTAACAAATACGATATACTGTAAATTCATAACGCAATACCCTTATTATTTTAATTATTGAAAGACTACAATTGAATATCAACACCGTTTACGACAGAAGTACTTTACACATTGTGTATTTTAGCTTAAGATCAACAGATCTAAAAGTTACATAATTCGGATTTTATCGTTTCATGTTGTTTAATAGATGTTATTGTTTCTCTATTAAACGAATTCTCTTGAAGCCCAAGTCAAACATATTACGTTAGTAAAAAAACAGTACGAAAATGTTTGAATTATGAATACAAAAAATACAAAGAAGAAAAAAAGGAGAAGACTATTTGATTTAAGCCGTTTAATGAAATAATTTAATAAAAAGGTCTTGAAACTAAACTGAAATAACCCTTGAGAAATGTATTACAATTTTATTCCCTCTGGCACTTTGCCTTCAGCTTGCGCCTCTTCGATAATTGTTTTGTACTCCTTGATAACCATCTCAAGGGCAATGACACGTGCATTATTTTTGATTGCCATTACTCTTCCGTTTCCGATCCAGTTATCGTCTTGGTTTTGGTACGCAAGGTTTAAGTATTGTTGTAAGTCGTCAAGGGTGAAGTCAGGATCTTGTTTGATTCTGTCCATGAACATATTCAAGACCTTGTCAAATTGCTCGTCAAACAACTCTTGCTCCCATTCGGACTCTGGTACACTCATTCTGCCTTTTATAGTTTTTTCTTCTTTTTATTCGAATATCTCGATCTTCTCATCATCTTATTTTCCTCGATTTTCTCCACATTTCAATGTTCCCTTTCCACACTTTTTGATCTCCTCATTTCTCGGGCATTAACGTTGAAGTTTTCTAATTTTGTATTTTAAATTTGTTCTGTATATTTTAAACTTTAGTATATTTATAATTTTTTATGGTTTTATATACCAACATTTTTTTTAACAAATGAATGATAATTGATTTTTACAACGTTCTAGTTAATTTAGTTAGCTTATCATTATTATAATCAAACAATTAATATACTATTAATTTAGCGTCTCAATAAACAAGTTTCAAAAAAAAAATAATGTATTATAAACAAACTATAAATAAAACAATACAAACTAATACAGAAAAGACTTTCAATTAAAACCCGAATTTAGTCGGTAGACTGATATTTCTGAAGATAGTTGGTTTCATCTTTGGGTCTAACATCACGTCTGCTGCTTGTGACTCGAGTGTCTTATAAGCCTCATCTTTGTCGCTTCCCGAAAAATCTTCTCGTTGTCCGACAATGTATTTTGGGACCTCAACGGGGCAATCTTTATAGTCTTGCAAAATGGTTTTGTATCCCGAGAATACGCCATCTCTCTCGTTTTTAAGTAACTCTGAAAAGCCTCTGAGAACGTTCAAAATTTTCTCCAACTTTTTCTCGTCGATGAATTGCTTCAAAAACTCTCCAAAAGTGGATTTGTCCTTTTCAACCCTTTCGCCAGTTTTTCTCTTCTCGTTATTATAAAACTTGTGCTTCTTTGTACACAACTGAAGGATATACCGATTGATCACTTCGTTCAATATTTTCGTGACTAAATCCTCGACGTAGATCGATAACAAATTTGGTGCAAAATCGCCACTTGCATATTCTTGGATACATCCAGCGATCATCTCGACGCAATCATCCCCATCATAGTACTCGTCATTGAATAAATCATCAATTTTCACTTGACAGTCCGACACCACAATACCAACTAAGTAACTACACGCCTCATCTATTACTCTTTCAAAAGAAGATGTAACGGTAGAAAAGTCAAATCGAGATGCTAATTCGTGACCAACTATCTCTCCAACATCCTCGACCATTGTTTCCGTCTTGTCAATACACGCGTTCGAGTTGTTAATGAGCGAAATGACATACCCCAAAGGCAACTCGTCATCGTCTTCCTTCTCTTTGTCATCTTCAGAATCACTCTTGTCTTTCTTCTTTTCATTCTCCTTTTTCTTTTCCATTGACAGTCTGAGTTGGTTGATCACATTGTTTGAATACATTTCAAGAGGGGGAACAAGTGCGTTAACAACTTCAAATATGAAATCAGAGCTTTTACTCGTCTTTGCAATATCAATTTGTTCTTTAACAATTCCAAACAAATCGACGGGCGCTGTTGTATAGAGGAGATTATTAATAGTCATAGGTGTTTGCTTATAATCCGACTTTGCAATGTTTTCGACCCAGTCAAACATCTTCCCCTTAATTCGTTCTTTGTACTGTAACTGTCCTCCTCGGGTTGCCACAAGTAAATCTGGCAAATTCTTATGGTCTGCACCAATTCTGTCCATAGTGGGCACAAAGTCGTCGTTAATCCATTTTAAGAGTGAGATGATAGTCGTGTTAGAAATCAAATCGTTTCCCAATTTCGATGGATCCGCCTGACACCATTTCTCGAAATTCTCTTTCAGTTTCTCCGTTGTTTCTATCAAGTACACGTCTCTCAAAGAATAGTCAGGTGGGAAACAAGGGGCTGCGTCGAAAGAAGCAATAGTAATTTCGTCCAAGAGTTGTTGTAATGATTTCATCGTCGGCACCGTGTTCACCCACGGTTTATCTGTCAATTCGAATTTTTCTTTGATACTTTGCTCCGCGGCGGTCTTCACATAGTTCTTAATGTTTTCAACATAGTTTTCTCCTTGCAATTCGAATTCTTGTACTTTAACACCTTCGCCTTTGGCTTGTTGTTTAATTTGTTCTCTGTCTCTCCGGTCTCTTTCTGTGATCACTGCGACTTTCACTAATATCTCAGGGGTCTTGTTGGCGTGTTCGACAAAACGGGTGAATATATCTTCAATAGTTTGCATTAAGAATTGTCTGATCTGTGTGATTTGTTGGAAATACGGTTCTACATCGGGTCCGTAGAGTAACGATCTTTTTCGAATTTGTTTTTCTATCGCGAGCCGTAACATTTCATACGTACGCACAATCGAATGGACGCGAAGTAAATTGTTCTCGTCTTTTAAAGCTTCTTCTATCTCTTTCACTTTGTCTTTCAACGTTTTTAAATACCTCACGGTGTCAATAACTTCCTTTAAGTTGCGTCGGATGGTGGTGATCTCTTTGACTAACGTGTAGTTCTGAAAGAGATCATCACACGCTTGGCATATCCCTGATATCTCGTTTGCAAGACGATCAATTTCAGTCGAGTTCTCTTGCGATTTTTCAAGTAATTGAAGTCCTGTTGAAAATCCTTCAAGTTCTTCTTGTATACAAGTCTTCAAACGAGCGTCCAAAGACTCCGACTTTTCTAAAATTTCACGTTCGTGATCACTTATGGTTTTGGTCGAGTCTTTTGTATTAAACATCGCTTCTATCATTTTATTCACATTTATATCTGTTTGTTCCTCCATTGTCAATTTTCGTTCCTCATTTTTTGGGAGCATCATTAAATTCTTCACTAGATTAGATGTAATCATATTTCAAATCTCAATGAAAGGTGATTTTATAGTTCTTTTGGAAGTTCAAAAGAAGAGCGTGTTTAGTAACTCTTGTATATTTAATTATAAAATAGTATATATTTTTTTGTTTTTTTTGTATTGTTATTGGATTGAAAATTGTTTTTTATTTTATTTTTTACATTTTTTTTTCAAAAAATTGAAAAAAAAATTATTTGGTAACTTATTATTTAATTAATATGTTATTAAAAACAGCATTATTGAAAATATTTTAGTTTATCAATTATTAATATAATACTATAAATTATTAAAATATTTAATTATCAATAGTAAAAAAATTAAAATTGAAACGATATTTTTTTTAAGAACAAAACAGTTTAAAGAAAGTTCATTTACCAAATTTCTAGTTATACCAATTTATTTTAAAAATCTATGGCATTTTAAAATGAAAATGAACTTAAAAATAATTGTTATTTGTTAATAGTAATTTATTATAAGATAATTATTTTTATTATAGAACGCACTTTTTTGTTAAACTGTAATTTATAAAGAAATTAAAAAAGTAAATTAATAAATAATGGGGGTTTGACGAAAGTTTTAATGATGTTTGTAAGAAACTATACATTAACTACAATTACTTTTTTGACTGAGGTGTAGAACTGTTTTTTTGTAAAAAAATAGTTTTTCTCACTTTTATCTGTGTTATTACATGTTGGAAAAATGGAGTGTTTGTTATTTACAAAACGAAAATTCTACTGTATTTCAAAAAGAATTGCTTATGACTTCAAGAATGTGTTTAGGGTAAACTCAAACACAAGATTTGGTCAAAAAAACGTAATAAAACATAAACAAACAACACTCTCCAATTTTTTTCCTTTTCAGAAATCTCTTAACTTTTTTTTGTTATAATAAGTATAAGAGAATTGAACATTCTTATAATATTAATTATAATAAGTTTGTTAAATTTTTGTGGTTAGGTATCAAAAATAATCAACATTATATATTATTATTTAATAATTCTAAGATTAATTAGAAAGACTATTTCCTTTTCGTAAATAACTCTGGACTCGATTTGGTTAATTAAACTATAAAAATACTAATATTTTTTTTATTTATTGACATGTTTGTAGTAATATTTTTGATATTTGTAAAAATTATTAATAAATAATCTATTTTTAGTCAATAACTAAAGATAAAGTCATTCCCAAATTTGCATTTGAAAACGTATATAATAAAAAAATGAATTATAATAATATCAATTGTATTTTATAATATAATAAATAATATAATTATTATATAATTTAAATGAAAAAAAACGGACCAAAAGTGTTGAATTTTTCAACATTGTAACTACATAAACATTAATTATGGTAATAACATTGGCTGTTTCCCCGTATTGTAATGTCATTAATAGGCTGTTTTAAATGAAATAATTAAATATCTGACTATTACTTTTCAGATTCATAAAAAAGTTCTAGGTTTGTTTTTCGATTAAACAAACAAAGAGCAAAACTGTTCTTTCTTTTCGTTTTCCTCGTTTTTTTTTAAGAAAAAACAAATTTTTGTTTTCAAGAAAAAAACCCGAAAACTAACGATTTTTAAACCAAGAAAAAAACAATAAAAAAAAAGAGGCAAAATCAGACGAATAATATTGAAAGCACATTTTGTCTTCATAAAAACGAAACCAAATCCAATCTCCAAAAATGAATAAGTTTCTTAAAAAAAGCGCTTCTAAATATTGACAAATAAAGCTTATAAAAGAGTTTCGTTTCATGGCCAATATTCCCGAAATATACATGAAAAAGACCGCTAACTTTTTACTTTAAAAATTGTTATTATTTCCTCATATTTTAAATAGTAACAAATCCCCGAATTATTCTCTAATAATCTTTTTCTTTGTCTTCCAAAAATTGAAAAACTACTGTAATTTTCTTATAAAAACTGAAACTCTGAAACTCGAAGTCAAATGTCTTCGACTGAGAAAAAGTCCTACGGCTCTCTCTTTACTCGCGTAACTTCAAAGAAAGCAAATGAACGAAAGTTTTTCGACTCCGCAGAGTGGGCGTCATCACCACCTAATACACAACGAATACTCGAGTCTCCACCCGCAGCGTATTTCTACATCCCCGAACACAACCCACACAGAGACTCCGCATTCAAAATGACAGCTGACAACTTGGATATCAATCAAATCCAGCAATGAATTAATTTACATACTTGTTCATATGACTGGTTTATTTAATTGGAGTAATTCACTATTTATTTTACTTGTTAATTGTGTATTTTCGAGACTCAATTTCTCACCATTTTTACTCTTCTTTTTCGAGTGGCGTTCTGTATTTTTTGTTCTCTCTTATATCATCGCATTCCACCATTCTTTCGATTTCGATAGAATGATAACTTTGGATAAAAATGATACCTTTTTTAACACGTTCAAAACAGAAACGTAATAATAATAAGTTTTTATTTTTTTCTTTTACCTAAACCCTTTTTTTGCCTTCATACACAAAACAAATTTTTGAAATTTTTTATTTATTTTTTTATCAACTCAATTTTGAATTGAATATTTTATAGTCACACAAATAAACATGAATGAGTTTGTTTGTGTTAAACAAGAGCAAAGCTTAAAAAAGAAAGATGGGGTCCAATGATGGTTTGATATATTTGGTTGTTTTTTTATAAAGAGAATATTGTCATTTGATTATAACAATATTGGTGTTTTTAAAGTCGTTATATTTATTAATGTGACTATTTGACATTGTTTGTTATAAAGTGTATTGATGATGTTGCGTTTTTTGTTTTAATGTTGTAACACAATAAAGCGATATGAAATTTCGTCCAAAAAGATTATTTTTGATCAATCTTAAGTAATTGAGTTCTCATTTGTTAATTATTTTAAGTAAAATAAAAGTGACTATTGGCCGGTTTGGGTTAGAAAGGGGTTTTGGAATAAAAATAATACAAAATGATTTGGAAAATTTCCTTTTTACTTATTTTTCTTCTTAAAAAAGTTTTGGGTTGTGAAAGTGTTAAAGAATAAAATAATAATAATTATTTTAATTAACAATTACTATATATTTCATTTTTCATTTTCAAAGTACAAAACCTCAAACTAGTCACACCAATCAATCGTTCCATTTCTCTCAATCAATCACTCTTCCTTTTCTTTTTCGACAAGTTGTTTCCTGAGTTTTTCTCTCTTTTTCAATCTTTTTGAGATTTTTTTCAAATCATTAATTTTGAACTCAGTGATGAGTGTCAAAACGTGTTTCCGTACGTCTGAAGCCACCAATTGGAATCGAGTATTCTCCACCACGCAATCGACGCCTTTAAATAACTGAATAACATCATCGATATTCTTCACAGTGTCTCTTTCGTAGAGTCGAGCGAGTGTATGGATATGTCCGAAGACGCAGAACTCGATATTCTTCTGAGTGATCATTTTTGAGACATCGCTTTCCTCTCCGTTTTGTCCGATAGGGGGGTGGTGTGTGACGAAGATCTCTCTTCTCTTCTTCTTAGCTTGCAGTTCTTCAATTTTCCCGAGTGCGGTTTGGACTCTCTTCTTCTCTCTGTCTTGTCTCTCTTGATCGAAGCGGACGATTAACTTCTCTGGTAGCAATGAGAACGGATTGATAGGGTCCCAGACGTTCCACGTGAAGTCGTCCAATTTAGTTCCCCCGATAATAACATTTTCATCACAATAAGGCCGTTCGGCAGTCACCAAATTAATGTTATATAAGGCCTCAAGTTCATTCATCGACTTTTGTGTGTTGGGCCACCAATAATCATGATTGCCTTTAATTAACACTTTAATACCAGGACGTGAAGATATCCACTCTAGATCAGGTCGCGCTTCATCCGTTTTGTTCGACCATGAAATATCCCCAGCAAGTATCACTATGTCGTTTGTAGTGACATTGGCATCCCAATGTCGTTGTACTATGTCAATGTGACCACTCCACTCGGAACCCCATATAGTCATTTCTTTTGTTAAAGAATTGTATTCGTTACGTCGAATGGGATCATTTTCTATCCCAGGACTTCGTTTCTGGATTTTTTGCTGAAGACCAAGATTGAGATGAATGTCACCAATCGCAAAAACTCGGCCAGGAAGTGTTTCCATGGAAAAGCTTTTCTTTGTTCTTTGTTACTTATTTGTAGGGTTTTTTTTTTGAATGAATTTCGCGATAAATCGGAAAATGGAAGTTTGATGTATTTCTTGTGTTAATTGATTTTATTATGCGTTTTAGTACATGAAACTATTGAAACTAATTGCTATATTAATAGTTCTGTTTCACTTCTAGTACTATGTTAGAGCTAAATTACTATTAATTATAGTAATATTTACTATACATGAATGAAAATGATATGGGATTATATAATTAGTAATTTATAAATACATTATTATAATTGAATTACAATATTATAAATAATTATAGTAAATTAAACATTCAAAAGAGACTCTTTAATCGGAATTGCCCGACTTTTTTCACCACATTTAGTGACCCATTCAAACCGATTGATTTGATCTCCAAAAAATGACAACTTAAAATCAAGAAATGAAATCGTCTAAAGGGAAAGACAAGAAGATTGAGAAAGAAAAAAAAGAGAAGAAGAGTAAAGACAAGAAAAAGAAGTCGATCATCCCATTAACCGAACGCGATATGACTCCCGGCATTTCCGTCTTAAAAACGCCTCTTGCCGAGAAAGATGTTCTCTACAATATTAAAATAGTGTTTGTTGGTGATCCGTGTACGTTGGATGCGCGAAAGAGATTGATGTGGGGGTATTACGCAAACCATCAAGGTGAACTTCCGCGCGAGATTGGGACGAGTTCGAAAGATGTCCGGATCGATGGGTATGATGGTCGCATCACCATGACGTTGTATGACAATAACATCAATCGAGCGACGAGTTACTTTCCCTTCAGTGGGGTTCATGGAGTCTTTCTTGTGTATAAGTTTGACGATGAGATGTCATTCCGACATGTCTACAACTGGTTATCAGAGGCGCGGCGCTTCTGTAACAAAGAAAATGTTTTTGCGTATGTTATTGGGATCTTCCCCGACGAAGAACATCTTGGGAAGATCACTTCTGAACAAAAGGCGATCTTACACTTGATGAAGATGCAAACGTTCAATTATTGTGTTGGAAAGGAAAAGGAGTTTGACACCTTTATCGATGACATGGTGTGTTCCATTCGACAGATCAACTTCCGCGATGACGTCTTGGAGTTGATGTGGCAGAAGAAGTTGTTTGAGTCGGGCCAATACAAAAAGCCGAAGAAAGGGTATATCCCGATTCAAAGCGAACTTGAAAGCTCGCAAAGAAAACAAATGGAGAAAGACCCATATCGCCGGTTAATAGCACAAGAGATCGATCGAGGGTTCACGTACACATTAAGACTTGTATTTTGTGGGGATGAAGTGACTCAAGGTGCGTCGAGAAGAATAGCAATTGGTGTGATCAACGGGTTTGACAACATCAATAAAAGTGTTCCAAATTTGGACAATCTGGCGACTGCATATCGCGAAATAGATAACAAGTTTTTGAAGGTCCGAGCTGTTGGGTATGATTTGAGCTATAAAAGAAGTTTACAATATTCGCCGTTTGTGAATGCGCTGGGCAGTGTCATCTTCTTTGATTACACTAATGCGGATTCCTTTAATCATTTGATGGTATGGGTGAAAGAGAGTTACAAAGGCAATTTGGATATGATGTTCATCTTCATCTGTGGCCTTAATTCGAATGCAGAGAAGAAAGAAGTCTCTCCGATGTCCGTTAATAATTACTTGGGGACTTTTGCAGAAGGGAAAAGGCCCGTCTTTTGTAACTTCGAAGAAGAGAAAAAGGAGAACTTCATCACGACGTTTAAAAACTATGTGAATATGATCAGAAAAAAGGTGTTTAAAAAGCAATATCTGTTTGTTCTATAGACATCAAGAGTCTCTAATAACTATTCTTAGAGCTATTCAATAATATATATTATATTATTATAACAAATTATAATATATATTATAGTTTATATATGAATAACACATTGTATTGCAATTGATGGACAGGGCAATGGTGGAAAAGGAATTGATTGCGAAAGAAAGGCTGGGGAGTGTTGACCAATCGGAAATGTCAGAGACGTCAAAACTCACTCCAGCTAACTTCAAGGAGGACGAAGATACAGGGTGCTCGGTCCAATAATTGAAAGGGTTGTCATTTGTCTATCGTGGTGGATCGAAGTAGTAGTATTATTTAAAGTTTAAATTAATTTAAAGTGAACTATTCATGAATGTGTCTAATTGTTATGATTATCTTTTGAATGATTCGATTTCTCATCGACACATTTTTGTAAAATGAAAAAAACTGTTTTTGAAAACTTGGTACTAATTTTCTGGTAAATTAAATTATAATATATAGTACGTAGTTATACTTCAATTTTTTTCTTACTTTAAAACAACATTATTTTAAAAAGTGTTATTGTTATAATAAAAAACATTTTATAGAAAACAAGGGGATTTTTGGGTGTTTTATAATTGTTTTTTACTGTTTTTATTTAGTCGTTTAGATCTTTCCAACAACTTCGTCAAATAAATTTCGGGCAATTCTAACGAAAAAAAGGTGTAGAATAGTATTATAACGGTCTTTTCCTTAAAATGTATGGGTTTTGTATTGTTATCTGGACACAAACCAGAAATATGGTTTGGTATAGTATAAAGTATGGTTTTGTAATTATAGTGTGGAATTTAACAGAATATTATTCCTCTAATAATTAAAGCAAACTACTTGAAATATCGGGAAAAATCAACCATTATTTAACTATTCAAATACCATATATAACATGTACTATTGGATTTAAAAATTTACTTATAATAAACTAATAGTAAATAGTATGAAGTCGAACTTCTGAATTATAACTTAACCATCTAAAGGCCTCTATAAAGTCAATGACATTTCTATCTTCGGGATTTGAAATTTTTATCCCCGAAAAAAGTACACCAGAAAGTGTTTAAAATACACGTAACAAAACGGGAAATAGCCGAAAAAAGTGCAGATTGGAAGGTAAAAAGTAAAATCGAAGAGAAAAGTCCTTCTACAATGCTCGGTGGTGAATGGTCTCAATTACATGAACTGAGTACTCAGAGAAACCACACTCAGATGCAGAACACAATACAATTTTACACCTCCCCGGCGTATCCACAATCACTCCCTTGCTATTTCCAAGCCCCGACTTTAGCGATGCCAAATAGACTTGAGACGCCTTTTGTCAATCACTCATTCTCTCAATCTCAGTTCATGTTTGCGGAACAACAACTCCCTCAACAAGTCGTCGCAACACCATCAGTACCTATGGAAGAAGAAGACCCATTTGAAAACGACGCCGTCTTCGATTTGGACGAAGACTTGGAAGAAGACTATGACGACACAAACTCGTACGATGAAAGTGAACGGCTAGCTGACCAACTCTTACAAACAGTTGATAACATCAGACAACAGAAAGACCAAACAAACCAAATGCTCAGACAAATTGTGCAGATGAATTCCACACACTAACTCTCAATCAAACACTCTTATGTTTATAATTATGCATTTATTGTTTGTTATTGGTTGTTTATAGTTTTACTCCACATATTCCTATAAGAATAATTCTATTATAATACTTGGTAAATATGAGAGAAGTTTTAATCTATAAGATTAATCTCATAGATTAGTAATACTAAAATTTACTATAATTTATCATAATAAATAAACTATTTTATTATATAAAAAACTAATGTTGAATTATATACTGAAATTCGTTTCAGTTTCAATCGATAAAAATAGAACAATTAATAGTTTATAAATAGCCATTTGCAATAGTAACTTGTTAATATAACAATGAACTACTTCATTTCACATGTCGAAGGTGTGTAGCCCTCTAAGTCCACGCATTTCACGGTTGTCCAGAAGCAAGAAAAAGATCCAACTTACTCGGGAGAACCTAGATGAAGTGATTCGATATTTTCCATCAATCGTTGATCTCATTTTTATCCAACTTGTAAGTAAGAAGTACAAATCACTTTTACATGATTTAAAAGAGAATCCCGTGCCGTTATCAAAGGTAACCAGGCACTTATTTCCGAACATAGAAACGCTGAATTTGTATTCTCCGTCTTCTCTCATATTTCGAGATGGAAACATTAAAACCGTTGTGGTCAAATACCCCGTTCCGTTTTCTGAGATGATCAACAAACAACGGTTGAATATTAAATGCACACAAGTTGGATATTGTTATGACGATCGTAAAGTATATGGTGAAGACATCCCACAAAATGTCAAGCTGATCATGCCTCATTGTTATTACAAAGATAAGGAGATGGTTGAGTTTACTCTCCCAACACACATTACAGCGCTGTCGGCGTCTGCCTTCGAGAAGGCGACTTCCCTTCGAAAAATCGTCTTGTCACTTCACATCCAAAAACTCGTCAACAACACGTTTTACATGTGTACCTCCCTTCGCAGTGTCATTCTCTTCTCTTCGTTATATTCAATAGGCGACAACTGCTTTGAAAGGTGTGTATCTCTCAAATCGTTGGACATCCCCAAGTCCGTCACCTTTCTTGGTGATTGTTGCTTTACGTCGTGTACATCCCTCAGAGAGATGACTATCCCGTCTCAAGTCTCTTCATTAGGAAATGGCTGTTTTGCGGACTGCCATTCCCTCAGTCGGTTAAGTCTTCCAAAGGCATTGAGTTACATCGGGAGTTGTTGCTTCAAGGGATGTATCTCCTTGACGACGCTTCAAGTTGCTCCATCAATCAAGTATGGGCATCTGTGTTTTGTCGATTGCTTCAATTTAAAAGTTCAGAAAGTCAACACGTTCCGGTGTTTCGGTGATGCGCAGAACAAGTTATGTATCACTCAATAATTGTTTTACTATTTCTTTTCTATTCACCTTTTATGACAACTGGAGATTGAGAATGGCACAACTTATAAGGGATGAAAAACGCAGATAAAATCAATCAAAATCTCGTGAATTAGAACCAGTCAGTGAACATTTGCATTGTCCCATCAGCTCCTACGGAATATATCCATGGCAATATGGGGTGGAACTGTAAGTCGATGCCACCAATCTTTCCTTTCATGTTATGTCCTTTCAACTTGACCAAAGGAATAATGACCGGGTCCAGTGTGATGTCGCTCGAGGCAGAAGCGTGCATGACTTGAATAAGTGCGTCGTCACCGATTGACGCGAACAATGGGTATGACTGATGGAATGCAAGTGATCGGCAAGGCGCGTTATGTAATCTCATGACCTTATATGGATCGACACCGGCTTGTAAATCATACCACACACACTTTCTATCGAACGTGGTAACAATCAGATGTTCACCACATGGATGGAAGGCTATATCGGAGATGGAAAGGGTTTTCACATTCAGTTTCTTTAATGTGGCACCCTTCTGCAAATCAAATAACACAACACGTCGTAACGAAGCAACAGCCAAAATGGGTTTGGATGGGTGGAAGATGGCTTTTTGGAGTAAGCCCTTCAACCCTTTAACGGGATTTTGTGACTTTTTGGAAGGAATGTGATGGATGACACAATACCCCATTGAAGAACTACCAAATATACAAGCTATGTAATGACCCTTTCGGTGCAATGAAAGATCTTTGACTACATAAGGATGGTGAATGACCATAGTGACACCCATATCTTTTAATTCGACATTTGGAGCATTGAATGAAGTTTTATTCGTGAACACCTCGGTCTTGTCTTCTTCAATTTGGTATGGCGACAAATCTCTTTCGATGTCTCTGACATTTAATGGCAAAACGTAGACATCTTCGTCACACGCAATGTACAATATATCATCTTTGGTTCCCAGCCATCGAACGAATATCCCCCTTTGAACTGGAATCTCTGCACCTCCATTTCAGTCAAAGCTTCTGCGATGATAACGAGACCTTCATCTCCAGCACACGCAACAAACTCTCCCAATGGGTCGACAGCAACACATCGCAGTATCTTTCCTGTTCGAAGAACAGTGTTTTTGTTTGACGGGAATGGTCTCAACTCTTCCAAAGGTGGGAGGATTGTTTCTTTCAGGTGATCTTTTCTGTCTTTTATGGTGACAGTTTTTCTTGGCGCTACGTACAATTCAAGGCATCTTGTATATCTGTCCTTTAAGATGTCGGAATATTGCGGGACGTCCATGAGTCGTTGGAAATCCTCTTGATCATCTTTTTTGAACTCAGGTGGTGGGTGGTATGAATCGGCGTCTGTTGGCATAGGAGGTGGTGGTAAAGGCATCATTGGCGAACGTTTCGATTTGGGTGGTGCGTAAGCCCACACGTCTCTAATTCGTGGTGTTTTCCGTTCGACCTTTTGTGGAAGGGAGACAAATTTCTTCGCGAGTTTCTTCGCCAATTTACTTATCAATTTGTTCTCTTTGTAATTTGGAATGAAACTCTTCTTTGATGGTGTTGGGTCTGATACGGGGATCATCCAGTCATCGTATGGGAATGTGACTGATGGGAATTCCTTTTCTAAGTCGCTTTGTGTTTTGTTCGACAAAATTGCGTTGACCAATCTAATGTCATCGGGATTCAACACCGTTGCATTACCGTTCTCGTCGTACACCGTTTTGTAATAATTTGGATCGTCGGTAAGGGCCAAAAACTTATCGATCGAGTCAATAGCGCCCTGTGTTGGTTTTGGTAAGGGTTTGCCATCAAGGCCATACCCTTGATGTTCGTAGTCATCGTACCACTCCAATGGGATGTTTCCTAACGTGTCCACTGAAACCTCATCGGACGTATTCATGTCATCATTCTCTTCGTCGTACACCTTTCGAGTCGACATCTTCTCTATCTTTGGGAGATTATTAGGGTTTTTTCATTAGTTTTTAGTGGCACTTAAATAACATTTTAAATCATATTTTTGTTATTATATAAAAACAACTCGTTAATTAATCCGAAATCAAAACTCAATAATTAATAAAATAGTATTGTTAATTAAAACTTTCTAATTGTCTTCTGGCAGTGGAAAACAAACTTATTTTTGGTGAATTATTGTTTAGAGTTCTTAACCACCATAACTCAATATATCATGTTGTTATCTGTGTTCTTATTCACAATTTTGTGTCGAAGCGAAGATGTCTATATTTCAAAACACTTTGCAACAGCCACGCCATATCCCCAATATTACAAACGCGATCCAACTATAGACCATTATGAAGTCATTTACTCAGAATTGGTGAGTCGTCATGGAGCAAGATACCCCACAGAGAAGAACACATTGGCTTCAATTGCTCTTTCGGAGCTTCTCAATTCGAAGTCTCACATTAAATGGGACAGTCCATTTACGTTAGAAAAGCAAGGCCAGTTATGTGAACGAGGCGAAGACGAGTTGTTGAGGTTAGGGACATATTACAAGACTATGTTAAACAGTCTTTATAAAGGGAAAGGTCTTTCACTGTTTAATGTGAGTGCTACAGCTGTTCCCCGTGCACAAGACAGTGCGGTGTATTGGATGAAAGGGTTTTCCTTTGACGAGCCCGAGAATTTGAAACTGATTGAAGAGAAGAAGATGAACATCACTGTCGCACAGATTGAAGACGACATGTTACTTTACTTTCACAAGTGTTGTCAGAAATATATAAAATACAAAAAACTGCCGTCGACGAAAGCGGAGAGTAAAAGTTTCATGGAAGCCGCGGCTCTTAAAATTTCAAAGCATTTTGTGAGTCAAACAGGACTGACTCAAATCACTCAAGAAGAAACTTTGGAAGCCACTGCGGCGGCTTTTAATTCAGCTGTGTATGAGTACATCGTCTTTAATAAGACAAATGGATTACTGAAATACTTCAGTGTTCAAGACGCGGAGGTCTTTGAATATGCTAAAGACCTCGAAACCTATTTTACTAAGAGCGTGTCGACGGCTTTGAATTATAAAATGGCTATTCCACTGTTACATACCATTTTGGAGGCTCTTAGGAATGCTATGGAAAACAATAAGGAAAAGCACAAACAAATTGTGTTGGGAAATTTCAGGTTCGCACACGCGGAAACAGTTACACCGTTGATGGTGTTATTGGGCATTAAATACGACAAATATCCCCTCACAGCAAAACTCCCATTGGACCTCAAAATTAATCGACAGTGGAAAATGTCGGAGCTATCGCCGTTTTCTACACATCTGATGTTCGTTGTACTCAAGGACAAAACAGGCAATTACTACGTGAGAACATATATGAATCAAAGACCAGTGGTCGTACCACCGTGTCCTTCATCGACTATATGTGAAGCGGAAACGTTTTTAAAGTATTATTATAACGTCACTCGTGGATTTGACTTTAATGCATTTTGTGAGAATTGAATTGTTTGTGTTATTATTGAAGTGTTGATAGTGATATAATACATGTAAAGGAGAGTATTATATATTTTAAAAATACATGAAAGAATAAATATGAATTATATTTGGGCAGATTTGATATACTGAATACATCTACATATTAAGTTGTTGTTCAATATATATAAAGTTAAATACATGTTATAATCTATATGTGTTGTATAACTAGAACAAACTGTAAACATCGAGTTTCATCAAGTGGAAATTGAAAAAATACATCATCAAGTATTTGGTATACATTACATTCTTCAAATTCTTTCTTTGTAATGGATATATCCAAATCTTCAATTTCCATTCTATTATTCGCTGCTAATAGCTATTAATAAGTGATTGAGTATTTTTTCAAAAAGTATGACAAACGGTATTGATATCAATGAACATGTTCAAAAGTGTATCAGCTTCATTCATATCATTTGATTTTAAACATAATTGAAAAGCATCGAAAATTGCAGTGATAATTTTATTTTTAAGTAAATAGTTAAATATATTCATGTTGTTAACATTTGTTGTCACTTTGATAAGAGTAGAAATAAACCAAACTGAGTTTAAAGAAACCAATTCTGAAGGGTTTATAAACTTTTTTACAAAGAATTTTAATACATGAGATTTGTTTTGAATTTGTTCTGTTAAACAGAGCGAGTAATTTGGTGTGTCCAACACATTGTATAAGATAGAAATCATCAAACAAAAGATTCTATTTGATAACGATTCATATCCGATTAAATTCAGAATGGTCATGTACACGTTTTGTATATATTTTGGAGTGTCTGGATATCTTTCTGTGCAATTGATAACAATTTGAAGCGCATTTAATTGGTATTTCACAAGTTGTAAATCCAACAATTGACAAATGAAAATTTGCACATTTGTATTTTTTATAAAGACTTGAATGAACTCCAAAGAATACTCCGAATAGTTTATATAACATGTTGTTAAAAATGATGTTCTTTCTTCAGAAAAAGGTTTAATATTAAGTGCGACTAAAATATTAAGAAGAGATTCTTCTACTTGGTTTTGACTTTGTGGATTGAATTTTGTGATTTCAGCCAAGACTTGTGTCACTTTATTGAAAAGTATTTCATCTTCTTGATGTAACAACAATTGGTTACACACATTCACAAAAATTTGAAAAAATCCTTCACACAAAAAAATTTGTTTGACACAATCCGATTTGTTCATAACATTTCCTATCAAACTCAGAGTTTTTTGTATAATACATTTATTGGCAATAGTGAGTGGTAAACACAACAATCGTATCAAATCTTGTGGAATATTATATTGTAAGAAGTCTTTTTGATACTCATCTATACTTAAATCAGTGATTGACTTCAATAACTTCAATGTATATATAAGAACACTATGTTTTGATCCTTTTAAAACAGTGCTGAGTTGTGGATAAAGATTATTACTTATAAGTTCATATAAAATGGTGTTATGATTTTTCAAATATGTTGTTATTGTTCTTATCGACTTAACTGCCATAACCTCATTTTCTTTTGTGAAATTTTGAATTTCCAAATTAATCTTCTTGTTAGTTTTTTTAAAATTATAAGACTACAGACAAACATTATCAAAATGATTAAACATCACTTGTATTTGCAAGTTTCTTTTTTCAGACACTTGGTTGTACCTTCTCTGTTGTCTCCAAGTCCGCAACATATCTTGCACAGTCCAATTCCGACCAACATCATATCTCCACATTGAAATAATAAGTAGTTATTTTGTATAAATAGTCCTCTCCTTATGATGTATATATATAATTTGTAAATAGAACTTATTATTAAATGAAATAACTCAAATTAAAAAAGAAGAGTATTTCATCCGACCTTTTGCGTTCTATTTAAGCATTTCACTTCACAACTCATGCAATACGAAACAAAAAAACAACAAAAACTACGAAAGAGTTAATTTAATTATATTTCATCCTTAAACTGACCTTCTTGATGTTCTTCTTGTTGATCGAAGTTGTCATCCTTTAAATCGTCGTCTTTAATGAAGTCTTGAGGGTTGAATTCATCTCCGGTATACCCTTCGTACCCATAGTAATCGCCGTATTCATTCACATCAAGTCCTCTTTTCACTCTGTATTGGAATTGATTATATTTCCGAACAAAGAACACTGCCACACCGATGACGAGTACAATGAAGATAGCGATGACTATAGTATCACAGATCGTTTTTCGTGTTTTTGTCTTCATCCAGAAAGGAGGGTCTTTCTCTCTTCGTTGGACATATTTCTGATGGATCTTTTCCGCTCGTTTCTGGTCTGCCTCTTGCATCTGTTGTTCGTGTTCGAGAACCTTGTAGTAGTCCGTTGTGTCTATCAAGAAGAAGACAATAGCCAACACGGCACATACGGCGAGCCACAAATAGAATCCAATTCGTTTGTATTTGTTCTCAAAGTGTTTATCGAAGTTTAAGAACCGATACAGACCCATCCCGATGATCGCTGCAATACATAACATCGACAAGAACGAGTCCCAATTGTGATTCTTCAAATAAAACAATTTCATGACTAAAAAAATGATCCCGTAGATCACCCACAACCCATAAAACCATTCAATATGTTCGGACACAAACGGCGCTATATTCGACAGCAACGTCGGGACAAAAAATAAGATCGGAACTACACTCACTGCAAACACAAACCACGTGATTTTCTTCGACATCGGCATCGGTTCGACTTCAGGCTTGTCATCAATATAATCTTTTTCCGTCTTCACGTATTTTCTCCTCGGCATTTGAGCTTTTTCAGTTTCCCTATTCTTGTATAGTTTTATTATAATTAAATATACCATCATATACTAAGTAAATTATAGTATATACATATTATAGTATATACTATATATATAGTACACCAATTGTATGAAAAAATTAACGAGGTATTTTTAGTGTTTATTTATATACCATATATAAAGTCTGATTTCTAATTAACGATATTCCAAAAATACAACAAGGAAATTTACTATATCTGTTTTTATATTATAATATATAGTATCGACCATCGCTGATTAAAAACCATAAATACATAGTAATTTTATTATTAATTTTTACCATTTGACATTTTTAAAAAAACGCTGGTTGTCAATCGTTTTCTTTGCTTGTCAAACCAATCGGTATGACCTATTAACCACCCTACAACAACGACACTTCTGTTGTTAACTATTGTAGATGGTCTTGTGTTAATATTACTCGGAAATTTGCCAGAGGAGAAATTACAAACTCCGAATTTCTTACATTCCTTTTTTTAGATTTTTAATATGGTTAAACAATAAAATAATTAAAAAATAAAACAAAATAATAATTATTTCGAAAAAAAAACATTGATTATAATTAAAAAACTATATGTATAGTTAGTTTTCTCCATCGTTAATTAAAAATCCGATTTTATTCTTTTTAATAAAGAGAGGACAGTATTAAAGAGTATTTAGCATAAAAAAGCCATGTTAACACTTTAAATAACATTGAACAAAATTCAAGTGGTCTAAAAATCGGGGAAATCTTGAGTTTATTAAATAAATTTCCGTTTTTTTAGAGTTTATAATATGTGCATAAACAATACACAAGCCAAAAAAAGGAAAATCATCAAAAATTTGATTAATATCCCTCTAAAAACAGGCAAAAACAAAAATAAGGGCGTTATTTTAAGTGCTAATAAAAAATGAGGAGAAGAAACAATCACAAAAATGATGTGTTTTATTTCAGCAACAGCCCTTTTTATCGGTAGTGTTTTGAGTCAAATTGGTAGTTTCATCTGGTTGTGGTGTTGGAGCTTTGTCGGACTTTGACATCATAGTCTCCGCCAAAGTATTGAATATGTCAGTCACCCCAGTCCCTTCCTTAGCTGAGCATGTGAACTCACGAATGCCTCCAAGCTTACTTACGACGTTTTTCACCATTTCCTTGTTAACTGTTGGGTTGGGAGTATCTGCCTTGTTTCCGACTAAAAAGACGACGGGCGGATTCGCACCAGTGCGCTCTTTAACTTCGTTGAACCAACTGTCAACCTTCTCTAAAGTTCCAACGTCATTCATGTCATACACGATAATCACACCTTGCGCATTGCGGTAATAACTCGCTGTTATGTTTCTGAAACGCTCTTGTCCCGCTAAACGTTAATTCCTCATTAAATGCTTTTCAAAGGATTGCATCCTTTTTTTTCATCAAAACAAAGACTCCCGTCTGTTTGATAACAATCATAGAAATCTAGAGAGTTGAAGTAAAACAAACCAGTATCCCCTAAAGCGTTAGTTTATATGGTTCTTATTAATATAGTGTTGAATTAATTTTAATAGAGTTTTAATATGGCTTTATTATAATTTTGATATAGTATTTCCACTCAACAAACAAATTTGCATCTTGACGGTTTTACCACGGATGGTCAATATCTACCGGTGAAATTATTCTTTATTATTAATTTATTATCAACTGATATACACACGAGTGCGGATAGATCGTCTTGTATATCAAATTTGTTATTAATAATATAATTAATAACAAACCTTCGGCTTGAAATCAACACCAACAGTACTTATATAGACATTGTCGTATGTGTCCTCGCATAGACGTTGCATGATAGCTGTCTACTCATTAATCATGTATTCACTTATATTAGTAATATAGAATAAACCTTCCCTACACCCGACTCGCCAATTATAAGAATTTTAAATAAGAAGTCATAATGAGCTCGGCTTGACATCTCGTAATACCTGCTTTCTAAGTTCTTAGTTGTTTCAAAAAATTAGAGAGACTTTTCCTTCTTCTTTTAAACCCTTTTTAGTTTTCTGTTATTCTTTTGTTATATTTTTTTATCCTTAATGATTTTATTAGGCATTATTCGTCACGTTGCTCTTCCCATTGAAAAATGTCGTAGATTCGTTCGACAAACCAAGTAAAGAAAGTTGAAAATAATTTATTAATTTTGTATTATTAATGTTTTATTGTTCTATAGTTTAATAATTATAATGTTATTCCAAAAAATTTATTGTTATTATAAAAAAATTGTTATTTAATGTTTTTTGTTTTTTAAGATAGTTTATTAATGGTAGTTTTTACTATTATTAATAATAATTAATATTTATAAATATTTTTTAAATTAATATAGTTTATTTATTATACTTTTGATATAATTGTTTAAACTATGTTAATTATTTTTCAGTATTGTAAATAATTAATTATTTTATGATACTAAAAAACATAAAAAAAGGTATAATAATTATTTAAGACAAAATAGTTTTGACTTTTTTATTTATGTTTATACTTTTTATAAACATAAATAGATACAACCTATAAATAGTTTTTATTTATTTATTATTAATGAATAAATTATTAACTTATGCAAAAATGGTATTTACTATTTATCACTTTTCTAAAGGGGTTAAACAAATCAATATTTATCTATTCAAAAACAAACTTAATAAAACCACCAAATAAATTAATTACTAATAACAAATTTAATTAAATTTTAATAAAAAAAAAGTGCAACGATATAACTTAATGAAATAACAAAATAGGAGAATCCATGACTTTCAGTTATAAGAAACCCTTAATAACTGATTGATGGAGAGATATAAACGAACTTGAGTAAATCACAACAATCCAATGGACTTGAGTGTATTGCAATACATGACAACAAACGAAGGGTTGAAACGCCAATTGAATGAGATTATTCCTCGATACGAAGCGATAGTCAGTGATATCAACACTGATTACATAGCTGGGTGTAAAGCCGTTTCGATGTTTGATGTTGACAAAGAGCCCCTCGACAAGTTGAAAACACGACTTGGTGAAATCTCTGCGTTAAAACAGCAGAAATTGAGTTCGATCACCGCGATCAGTCATTTATTGGATCGATTTGGTGCTTTTGAGAAGATGAAAAACAATGAAATTGAGCAGAAGCGGATATTAGATGGAATAGAAGCAAGAATCCGACAGAAATTGGATGGGGTTGGGCAGCGTTATCCGCCACCGATGTATGCGTATCAACAAGACAACAATTACAGTCCAAATCAATATGGTGATGCGTATCAACGACAACCAGATCGCTTCTATGACAAGAAGCCCCGTATCGAAGGGGACAATGACTATGACGGCCACCGTTCACCCAAACCCTTTTCGGAGCGACCCATAACAGAGGAATTGATTATCAATTCGATGCCAAAGATATTGACTCGTGTGAATCGAGGGAAAGCAGTGTGCATCTATGACACAAGTGTAGATGGGTGGGATAGAAATTACATGTGCGACGTTGTGACCCGATTCAAAGATGTGATGATCATAGTGTTTCCTGAAGAAGACCGCCCATTTGGGTGTTATTTGGAAGGGAGAGTATCCCCACATGGGTGGTATGGAAATGAAAAATGTTTTTTGTGCGCAATGCATGGAAACGACTTTTTTTGGGTCCATGGAGTGAATCGTCGTATCACTCGTTGCCTTGAATTTTTTAGGTTTGGAGAGAAGGACGAGGACGACATTTTCTTTTTCACACATTTCATTTCAATTGCTGGCAAAAAGACACAAAAAAAGAGTTACATCGACTCGAAGATTTTAGACGTCGTGCAACAAAAGACGGGAACTTTTATTGGAGAGGGTGCGTCACGTAGTTTTGACACTCGAAAAGTCATTGCTCTCCATTTCGAGTAGTTTTCTTTTTTTTGTATTTCCATTTTTTACAATTTTTTGATTTTCCTTTTTTTGTTTTTTGGGGTTTTTTGAATTTTTTCAATTTTTCTTAACGACTGAATTATTTTTTCCCTTCACAAAGGTCGTACATCTTTGAAAGACTTAATATCTCGTAACCTTGTGATCTCAAATACACAACTAAACTCTCGATATATCCAACGCTTTGGAGAATATCATGGCAGATGACTATATCACCACTTTTAATTCTCCCCATCAGCGCCATCATGTTATATCTCCCGTTTTGGATCTGCATATCAAAGGAATGCACACTTCCTAACACCATTTTATATCCATATTTCTCGACTATGGTATACATATAATCCTTTGCAAAAAATGAAGAAGGTCTAAACCATTTAAAATTGTTGTTGTTGTCCCAGTAGCCACGATTAAGCAAAAAGTCTGTTTTATTGAATTCTCCAAAAAAATCTGCTTGTGACAACTCAAATGCTCTATACTCATTGTACATGTGGTTTCCTATGTCATTTCCGTTTCTTAATATTTGCTGGTGTTTGCGTGTGATCCTTTTTGTGATGTTTGTGAGTTGATCAACTCGAAGGCCCATCAGGAAAAATGTTGCTGTTGCATTGTTCTGTTTTAAGATGTCGAGGAGGTATTTCGTTGCTTGCGATGGAGAGTCGTCAAATGTAAGAGCAACAGCTTTAATGGGGCACTTTTTGAATCGAATCAATGCCCGAGGATTGTAATATTCCAACACACTTATTGCCCACTCGGTTTGATAAAACGCAGATAGACACAGAAAAAGAAGAAATACGACAAGTAGAATCGACGAAATAAGTGCGTAAAGCTTGTATTTGTTATGCATTTAATAAACAATAAAGTGTGCATGATACGTTAAGTGGGTAGAGGAAAGTGAACATTTACGAGTGGAGTTTTAAGACAACAAAATACAATTAAACTACAATTAAAAGGAGAATTTATAAAAAAATCAAAAATGAATCTCTTTCTTTTCAAATAATCGTTTTTATTATACAGAAATTATTATTTTAAATAGATGAAAACTTAAAAAATTGACCAAAGTTGCTCATTTGCATAAGTTCTTTCTCCCACCGGCTGTCGAGCAGAACGAATAAGGGAATTGAGTAACGTTCTGGTATGGGCCAAGATCTGTATTCAAGTCACTTCCCCAGTAGTTTTGGAATGATTTGACTTGTTCACCAACAAAATATTCTATTGCTGGTAAATGCATTCGTACCACAGCCAAAAGTGCCCTCCAGTCATATCTGAATGATATTGTGTCTTTTTTCCTCATGCTGCTCAGGAATTGGTATGCTTGTTTGACATCTGTTCGTACTTGCGCCCAATCAACGTTGTCAAATGGGAAAGTTGTTTCCAAAATATCAACGAAATAATCGACGTCTTCCTTCTTCAGTTCGTAGTCATAGATCTCCTCGTTGGGTGCCGAGTCGACAACTTTGCACACTGTCCTGATGTCCGTTGTATGGCCACCATATCCGTCAAGTTTACAGTCGAGACACGGATCCATATCGGCGTCACAATTTCCCAACATCGCTATGAGTTGTGTATCAAAGACTCCTCTGTTATACGTGTACATCGCTGTTGCAAACTCAAGTGAGTCCCTTGCTTCTCTTGTTGTTCTTTTCTTCATTGCATCACCAAGCCCGATTTTTTTCATTTTCATCACAAGATTGTGCCTGAAATGGAAGTCAAGTGACGACAAAACAAATGCCCGTCCAACATTAAGAGTATAATAGTCATGATACTCTCTAAAGCCAGCGCTGGTCAGGACCTCGTTATCGAACATGTACAAAATCTTTCTCTTGTCTTTTGAGGTGTTGTTGTCACCCACATAAAATCTATTGGGCAAAATAGCCACATCAGTTGACATTCCCCCTGTCTCAACCTGGAAAGGTCCATCTAAATTTCCGTCTCTGCAAAGGCCTCGTTGTGAATTTGAATAACAATCATAATGTTCGTCTTCTTTTTCCACGATGAAGTAAGACCCGTCGTCCGTGGCGTCGAATCTTGTAAAACTGAAGGACTCCTTCGCGCCTAAACCAATAAGCATTCCAGGATTGAGCCCATAAGCGTCCATTGCATACCCCAAAAAGAGTCCATAGTACTTATCGGGCAACCGTACTGCAACACCTGGAGTGTAGGAGATCGTGACTGTCTCCGAGGGTCTTCCAATCCACATTTGTGTTGGGTTGTTGTCGTGGTTTTTTGGTGGGTGAAGGGCGCATTCGTAGTTCGAATCAACTGGAGTATAAAGCTTTTCATTGTAGTAATTTTCTCCCTTAACAACTTCTTTGATTTGTTCTTGCCAGTTGTCTTTGTCAAATTTCAGAACGAGTGGTAAGTGAGCCGATGGCTTCATAGAATAAACACCATCCTCTACATCCGGCCACTCAGGGTTGTAGCTGTCGCTCCCCTCTGGTTCTTCAGATGGAATATTTTCTGAAAAAGAGTCATCATTTCCTGAACTTTCTGGTTCTTTTGAAGGTTCTTCCGAAGGGATTTCAGGTTCTTCGTCCACAAAATAGTCTCCTGGTTTCCCAACACACATATTTCCCAAGTCCTGGTAGGACCAAGCACAGGGGTTCATTGTTGTAAACCCGCACTTGCACTCGAGTCCAGCGGGGCACGACGTGGAACGGTAAGCACTTTGACCAAAGCACCAATTGTACGTATTCTTGTCAACACAGTAGAACCCTATGTCCAGCCCGTTACAATTTGTTCGTGTTGCTGTCCTGGTGATATTTTTGAACCCGTTACGAAGTTCGCGGCTTAAAGCTGCGCAAATGAAAAGGAGTGTTATAATCGCTCTGTTCATTTTCTGAATGTTTTTCTCATCTTTTTTTGCGCCTTAACTGTATTGTCATTCCGCCACACTTCTCATTTTAACAATCTCGTTCTGCCATTGTTCATTATTATTACTGAAATGAAAAAAAAGTTTTGTATAATTTTATAATTTAAATGTACTACTAAAAACTATATTTTACATACCCCAACAGAACTTGAATTACATGAGCGAAGAAAACCTTTCGAGTCAAAGCTCCTCACAAAACACAAATTCTGACGATAGTTCGTCTTCTTCAAATGATTCTCAGATTTTGGAACAAGAAGAGAAAAAAGAAGATAGTAGTGACGGAACGAGCGAAAACAGTATTGACGAAAATGACGAAACAAACAAAAAATCTGCCGAAACGTCAACACCTCACGGCGATTCAAGCGATTCAGCTTCGGAAAACTCAACAGAGCGATCTCCCGAAAAATCAGCAGAAAAACCCGAAGATTCAAAAGAAATTAAAAAGTCGTCAACCCCTGAAGAAAGAGAAATAATAAAACAAGAGCGTAAGAAGAGGCAACTCCTACGGACTGCAGAACGTCAAAAGCAGATATATACCCCAGTCTACCCCAAATATTTAATATCAAAACTTGCAGAACACAAGGATGAGATCCTTGCTAAAGAAGCCAAACGTGCGGAGCTTAAGGCACAACGAGCCAGCGAGCGGAAGGAGCGAGACGATCTTGAAAAGAAACGAAAGAAAGTTCAACCCGAGGAAACCGAAACAGATGGCAAAAAGCCAAAATACGAGAAAGACGAGAGAGTCCCGAAAAAACCAACCAAGCGCGAAGACTACAAAAAATCTGACTTTAAACCTTCTTATAATGATAGGAAGAGTGACTTCAAAGAAAGAGGTGGTTACAAAGAAAAAGCTCCAAACAAAGAGCACTATGACACTAAGCCTAAAAAGGAGAGAAAGGTCATTAAATTTTGATTGAACTTTATTTTACTATTTATTATGGTTTGTTTTACTATATATATAGTTAAATGGTTGATTTGAAATTTGTTTGTATTATTAAAATAATTAAAATAATTACAAAATATAGTAAAACAATTATTTAATAAAAAGAACTATTTATTTACTTGCGTTTTATATTTAAATCAAAATGAATTAAAAAGTGATAAACAATTATATTAATTTTTTTAATTATTAACAATTTTAAATTTTATTTTAAATTTATCAGAACTTAATTGGAAAAACTATTAATTCAGACTATTCAACATTCATTTTTTTTAGTAATATAATTAATATTAATAATATTAATAATATAAATAATAATAGTAATACTATTAAATTTATTTAATACAAAGGTTTTAATAAAAATGTCGAAATAAAAAAAATCACTTTTTTTCATTTTGAAGAGATAATATATTAAAAACAATAGTTAATGTAATTATATACAACCAATCAAACTATAAAATAGCATCTACAATCTATGAAAATAGTTAATGCAGTGGATTAAGTCATTTTACAATGATGTAGTTTCGACTGAACTAGACGAAGGACCTCGTATTGAAGAAATGTTTACACTACTTCCCACCAGTGACGACAAAACAAGTATATTATATGATATTTATAACTGTTCCTTCACCAACCATTCCGTATTTTTACAACACTTAGACGTCCTAACAAAGACCTTTGCGTCTGCGAACTCTGAGAGTGATGCTGCTTTGATTAAAATAATATGCAAATTGTTCCAAGAGATCATACGAAAGCCAAAGAATAGTGATGGCTTTGAAGAGGATTTGATAGTCGAAGGGATATATAAAGAGATGCCCCAGTTTGACAAGGTGTTATGTGAGAAACTGAATGGGATGAAAGACATGTCGAGTATTCAGGCGATTTTATCGACAATTACTTTTCTGAGTAAAAATTATCGCGAAAAAGCGACGTTTGAGTGCTTCTTTGAGATGTCGCAATTGTACCCATTCTTCATCAAGAATTTGCCAAACGCGTTACTCCACAAGGACATCGTGTTGTTTCTCACAACTATTTCAAAGGACAATATGGAGATCCAAAAAGTGTTAGTGTTCAATGGCATCTTTGATGTCATCGCGACGTGTTGGGAAGATGGGCAGTACCTCAAGAACCCTCGGAAAGTTGTTGATTACTTTGAATTGGTCAAAGTGTTATTACTCAACAACACGCAGAACCAGAAGAATTTCACCGAGTTGGGATATGCCAAGAAAATGCTTCAGTTCATCGACAATAGTGGATTGGAGTTACAAGACGACCAAGTCCAGTGCATTTTACAAGTGTATTCAGTCCTTCATATCTTCTTAGAACAAACAAATCCAAATAGAAAAGCGTATCAACAAGAATTAGTTGAAGATCATATCTTTGTATCGCTTGGTGGAGTATGTTTGAGTGATATTCAATACACCCAGTCCTTTGCAACCTTTCTTAAAGAAGTTTGTTACTGAAATTGCCTCTCATGTGTTATAGAGTTTGACTAAGATAAAGTCACAGTCATGGAGTGGTATCAAATACTCACATTAAGTCCCTCAAGATAGTTTCCAGCCTTCTCGACAGTAATGAGTATTGTCAGAAACAATTTGCGACGACCAAAATCCCATTATATCATGCACAAAAGAAAGAGATCTATGCGTTAGATCGAGTCATTCCTATTGCTTTGGGGTCACCAAATGTCGAAGTTCAACTGTCTGCTTATGAGATCTTCTTATCTTACTTAAAGAATAACCCGGACGGCCAATTATCGATAGCGTCAACGTTACTTCCCCTCCACGGAGTTCACGAAGAAGTCACCATTGGCAATTATATCATGAACGCATTCTTTAAGAAAGAGAACGTGAAGACGTATATGATTGCTTCGATGCTTTTAAATGTCATCTTCATGAACCCGACCTCGCGATACGTCTTTTCTAAACCCGTCACAACTGACGATGATAAAACATTCTTAGACGTATTTATAGAGACTGTGGCAACTACGGAAGAACGGTCGAAAGCACTTTCACTGTTGAAGATCTTAATCACCGTGACGTATGAGGCGGACAACGATTTCTTAATCAAATTAATGAATGAAACGCTCTTCTCATATTTGTTATTGAAATCGAGTGATTCCGACATCTTCCACTCGTCTTTGGCGTGTTTGGTCCTTTTCAACGTCTTAAATGAATTGAAATTTAACTCAGCCCCACACTCTAACACCGAAATTATAGAGAAGATCTCAAAGGCAATTGAGTCGATTGGATACGACGTATTGAAGAGGAGATTGGAGGCAATCGCCCAATCAAAGGAATTCCAAGACGCAAAACAAGTCGGCATTTCTGAGGACTTCTTGTTCGATAGAGAAAGCGTCAAATTCATCGAAAAGGTTTCAGAGGAAATTAAATTGAAAAAGGAGAGCGGCGAAGCAAAGTTGAAAGTGCGAGAGACGGAAGTCCTGAAAGACACAATCGAAGACCTCACTAAAGAAAATGGGGAACTCAAAAAGAAACTCGGTGAACTTCAAATTCAAACAGAAGAACTACAAAATGCGTTGGAACTTGAAAAGAGTGTGAATGAAACTCAAGAAGTCGACGAATTGAAGAATGAGTGTGAGGAATTAAAGAAGAAGATTGCGATGATGGAATGTGAGAAGATTAAAGAAAGTGATTTAATTGAAGGAATGAAAGAAGATAGAAGCAAAGATTTTTCCCAGCGGAATGATCAACTTGAGAAAGAGAATGAAGAACTAAAAAGAGAGAATGAGAAGTTGTGTGGCGAAATAGAAACCCTGAAAGACGAGTTGTTTTTGAATAAAATGCAATTGGAGGAATATGTCAATGTCAACGACGAGTTAACGGAAACCCAAAAAACACTAGAAAAGAAAATAGAGGAACTTCTGAAGAACTCAAAGACCGAAATTCAAAGTCAAGAAAGTGATGTGAAACTCAAAACGGATGGAATAGAAGGTCATGAGATTGAAAGAAAGACACAAGAAATATCAGATGAAGTCAAATCAAATGTTAAAAATGTCGAAAGTAGACAAGAAGCTCATGAAGAACAAGACGATGTTCTCGACTCCTTTGGAGAAGTCGATACACAACAAAGTCTTATACCTCAACACTCAACAGAAAGTGATGGAAAGATTCTCAAAGTACCTCCCCCTCAACAAATTGATTCAACTAAAGAAGTTAATGAACAAAAAGAAACACAACAAAAAGTTCAGGACCAAACCACTGGTGGAGTTACTATGCCAAAGATCACAATCAACGAGTTATTTACTACGATCAATACCATATTTAAATAACTTCTTATTAATTCTTAATAGTTTACTGTCGGTATTAATTGAGTTATTAATACTTTATTATAAATTAGAAGTGTTTTTTATTTTTAACTAATTTTTAATTTAGTTATTAATACATTGTAATATAACAAAGAAATAATAAAAATATAATAAAAATATCACACAAATATAGAAAAGACATTACAAGAAACATAATGGTCGATGTGAGTTCTGATGGGTTTGAAGAGTCGTCTGTTGATCAAAATCCTTACTTACTCCCAATCACTTCGCAGATATTAATCAAGTCGTCAAATCAGGCGATCACGTCAATAGCAATTGAAAAGAGTGGTGCGAGATTTTTAGTTGGCGGAATGGAAGGGGTTATACGCTTCTATGATTTTGGAGGGATGGACGCGAGATTTTCTTCATTTCGGGAAATCACGCCGCAAGTGAATGTTGCGATTCATTCTGTCACGCAGAGTGCCAAAAGTGATTTATTTCTCGTTGTCACGAATTCTGTTCAAATGAAGATCTATGAGAGGAATGGTACCGAGAAAGTTTCAACGAAGAAGGGGGATATGTATATAGTTGATTTTAAACAAACGCACGGACACACTTCGACCGTCACGAGTGGGGAGTTTAGTCCGATATCTTCGCAGTCGTTTGTTTCGTCATCTTTAGATGGAACGCTTCGGGTCTGGGACGTCAACAGTTGCAGTCGAACACAAACGAATGTCATTAAGATGTGTAAAACCGCGCGCGCGAGTGTTTACACTGCCGGATATCAAACGGAAACGTCGATTTTCGGGTCGTACAACAATTGCATTCAAACGTATGATCTCCGCTCGTCATTCTATTCCCCGACGCTTTCTTTGACGTGCGACGAAAATGCAGTTGAAATCAATTCGGTGGTATTCAACGATTATTACGCCTTCTCTCGCTCAAAATGTGACGTCACACTCTTCGACATTCGCACACAAAAGCGTCTAAAAAGCATTCAAAGTCCTCGACGCAACGAGTTTTGTCGCATGGTTTTAAGTCCAGACCGGCGCTTTCTGTGTTATTCCGAAGGGGATTCCGTTGTTTTTATTGAAAGTGGGACTCTCTCTCAAATCGAAGAAGTCGAGTGTAGTCACCCCAATGACGTCTGTTGGAATGCGGTGAATAACCAAATCTTCGTTGGGACTGAAATGGGGGATGTTCTAGTACTCTTTGATGACCAATTGAGTACAAAAGGTGTTATGTTGTGCAAAGACAAAGTCCACGAAAACCGGAAGCGAGAGGAAGAAGACTTTTGGCTCAATCATTTAGGAAAAGGGTCTGACGAGCAAACACAGCAAAGGCAAAATGAAAAAGCACATCGAAAACAAGACAAAAAGCGGAAGAAAGAAGTCATCAAAACGGATGAAAAAGCCGACTATACCACTCAAGACCCGCGAACAGAATTATTCAAATATGTTGACAAGGAAGATTTAAAAGCGGTGGATGTCAAACAATTACAAGAGGCCCATGAAGACGTCTATGAAGTCATTCGCAAAGATCAGTAACACATTTCTTATTCTTTTAGTTCAAAGAAACCATAAAATGTCTTAACCCAAAATTTAAAACAAAGAACAAGTCATCTACCTTGATTTTGATCCAGAGGTTGGTTGTCCTTGAGCTCTCTTAACAGCAGACTGACCTTCAGAGACTGCGTGCTTGTTCAAATCACCCTTCAAGATCAGTTTGGTTGCAGTTTCAATTTCTTTAGTAGTCAAGGTAGATTTCTGATAGTTTCTCGTGAGAGATGATGCATCCATAGCTATTCTCTCGAAGATATCTCTGACAAACGAATCCATGACAGAGATTGATGGTAAGGTGATTCCAATGTCTGGGAATACGGATTTCAAAACACGCGAAATGTACAAGGCGTACGAATCAAAGTTCTTCTTCACTTCTCTCTTCTTGGCCTCTTCGTCTCCAACTTTCTTTGGCTTGGTCGCGTCCTTTGTTGCGCTCTTCTTTGGTGTTGATGCTTTGTCAGACATGAATTTAGAAATTCAATTTGACAGTATCAAGTTCCTCAGCTTTTTATACCAGTTTTCTCTTTTTTATCTTTTTGGAAAACCCTCCTCCCGATTGTTTTCTCTTTTTCCCACCATCCTTTTTTCTTTTCGTCTCTGCTTTCTGCGTCAATTTTATGTGTAATCATTCCTAAATGGCGGGGAAAAAAATCTGCTCTAAAAAGTGATAAACTATTCATTTATCAGTGCTAAACCTATTTATTTGTTTGGTTTTTCTCTTTTTAAGTTCAAAATCAATAACAGAATTGACAAATCCATCGTTTCTATCTTTTTGTTTTTTTTATTAGAAGAACATTATATTTGGTTTTAAATAAATTTAAAACAAAGAATAATAAAAATCTAATCACAAACTGAGTGTTTAATTTAATTTATTTTAAAACTAAATAATAATAATAAATTGTAGTTATAAAATAAACAACCTAAATTCAACTTTGAAAAAAAGATTAAAATGGTGATAAACAATGTTTAAAAATTAATGCCAGAACAATAACAAAATAAACAATTGTTGGACTCATGCCTTGAAAAGCTCAGAACCAAGAATCATTCTGGCTCTGACTTCGTGTGGGTATTGCGAACACTTTTCATACACATGCACTGGAGAAATTTCAATTCCTCTTCGTGTTGAACATCTCAAATTCTTCAGAACGTTTTTCAGAATTACAATCGCGTTTATGTCGTCCCCTCGATAAAACGTCCAGAGAAAGCCATAATTCGGCTGTCCATTGACACACTTTGTCACAATAGTTTTGACCATCGAATAGTCCTTTGTGTATATGACAAGTCGAATCAATTCAACATAGATATCGCCGTATTGTGGTGTAAAGACCATAGCATAGTGTAAAAAGACAAGCGCCAAATAGAAGTTACCTTTCTTTATTTCCATTCGAGCACCCTCGCACCAGACCTCCCCCGACTTTGGGGCATTTTTTAACGCAAGCTCAAACGCCTTTTTCTGCACTGCATCGCCTTTTTCGCCAGACAACATGACGTATAGTCCCCACACTCTCCCCGTCGACGGATACTCCTTCACTATCTTACAACACAGCGAATACGCATCGTCGACTCTCCCACACCTGACGTAGATCATAATCGCCTCGATTGAGTACTTCCAGTCGTCAATCACTTCGATGATGTTCTCCGCTACTTCGCACGCCTCTTTGAACTTCCCGCTGATCTCCGCTATATGAGCGCGTTCCATCAACGGAATCCCCCTCTGTTTGTCGTTTATTTGATTCTCTGTGTTTTTCAAAAACTGCGCAGACAACGCGACGTTTTTTGTGAATGCGTGTCGAGCAACAAGCACATTTGTCTTCCAGGTTGTGTTCGGCGTCGAGCATTCCAAACACCTCTGAAGGTAATTGTTTGCCATTTCACACCACTCGTAGTCAAAAGAGATCATCGCGGCTTCCAAGTAAGCTTTCCACTGAACGTCGTTGCTTAGTCCACCGACGTACTCCGTTATATAACCACTCACTTCCTTTTGGAGCGCTTCCTTGAGATCCTTCGACTTATTTGTCTTTTCGTCATAGATTCGGCAAGTTGACCTAATCAGTAAGACAAGAAGGTGGATGTACTTGGGTGCGTATTTCAGCCCAATTTTACAAATGAGTTTTGCCTCCTCATAGTTCATCATCTTATAATTCAAATTTGCATACTCGTAGTACAAGGGTGCGGTTGCTGTTCCTGTCGTTTTTTTGAGCGACACAAATTTCAGCGCTTCGATACCAAAGTACCACGCGCCGATTCTACTCTCAAAAGTAGCTCCTTCAAACATCAGTTTCCAGATGTTTGAAATGTTTTTGAATGTGTACTTCCCTTTGACTTTGTTCTCGAGCATTCTTCTGATTTTGTTGTACTTGCCGAGCTTCTCCCACCACGTGATTGCCTTTGTGATGATGTTCTCGTCGTCGCAGTGTGGCAAACACGCATCAAGCAACTCGCCTATTTCTTCAAATTGCCCTCGCTCCTCATAGAACGCGATGATTTTCAAAGTCAGTTGTTTGTCGAGTGGGTATGCCCTGAGTACTGCGTCAACCCACTTGTCTGTCGTTGCGTCGGACAAGTTCTCCATGCTGAAGGTTAACACCTTTTCCAAAGCATACCGCTTGATTTCTGGAAATTTCATGAGGAGTTCAGCCGCTTTTTTGTTGAACGATGTTGTGTCTGAGACCACTTGTTGTTGTGTCACCGTGTGGCATAGATTTTCAAATTCGGTGTCAAACTCGTGCTCGAGTTTGGACCTCCGCGAAGTGGAAATCGCTTCGTACTTTTTCATGTTATCGTAAATTCTTAAACTTCACATTATTTTCGTGCCCCAAATTTCTTATCGTTCTGCCATAACGATCTTTCAACTCTTTTTTTGTTTCCTTCTTATGCTGTATTATAATATATATTAAATTTTACTATATTATATAGTTTATCACTGCAAACTTTAACACCATTAAACAACTCATATCAATCAATCATCGTCATTCCCATCAATATCGTCGTACGGAACGAAGACAAACGATCCGCCTTCATCGTCTTGGTACACTCTTGGAGTTAAATCGACGAATGTTTCGTCCTGGAAAATGGAACCTCTTCTGAGTGCGTTCATAAATATTTCATAGTTCTTACTCACGAAACTAAACTGTCCGATTTGCACTATGTCTGGCTTGAACTTGTCACCATATTTATTCTCATACACAACGATTCCCCTCACCGAAACGTCTTGCATCAAACAAACCATTCCCTTTGAGATATCAAAATAGATGCCATACCCCATCGAACATTTCTGGAAGTGATCAACCGAACATCCAGGACACAAAATCTTCCCGCAAATCAAACAAACACGTTTCTCTAACACATCACCTATGTTCCGCTGACACTCCTCGCACACCTCTTTTGAATACTTCAGAACAACATCTTCGTAATTGTCGGGGATCTCTTCGAGTGTGAACGGCTTACTTCCCACCCCAAATTTGGTGCAACAAACGACATTTGGTTCTTCATTCTCATCAACACCTGTATTTTCGTTAAATACCCCCGACTTCATGATGTCTTCCAACAAATTTGTCACATCGAAAAAGACCTGCATCGCTTTCTTCCCGTTCTCATATAAAAAGGTCTTCATGTCCAATTCGACGGTTGTTGTATCAATCTCAGCAAGTTCCTTATTTAAAATCTCCTTTCCACATTTTTTGGCACATTCGATGGCTTTGGAAGTTGGTATACTGTTACATCTCAACAAAATGTATAAGAAGAAAGGGTCTTTCTCGGGCATATGTTCTTGGGCAACAGTAAGAAGGTCTTCACCATCTTTGCATTTCCCAAGTTTCTTCCCAAGTGCCATCAATGTGTTGACTATGTACTTATCATCTTCATCTATAACATAGTTCCCTGATCGTGTACATAATTCTAATGAAGACACCGTCGAATGGATCATCCATATAATCCCTTCATATAGAGTCCACTCCTCAAACTCCAGTTGAGAGAGTGAAAACAATAATTCATTGATTTCTTCTTCTCCTTTCGCATTTTCAATAACTAATAAGTCGGGGAGAAAGTACCCAAACTTTTTTAAACAGACGGGGCAACTGTCTCTGTCTTTCAAGATTTCTAAATAACACTCTTTGTGCACACGATGTTTGCACGTGTTCACATTAATCTGACAACTGGTAAGACCACCTTCTTTCAGTCGTTCTAACTCGACCGCACCATTGGGAAATATATCAATAAATCGTCCCGTAATGGAATTTTTATGACACTGACAAATGACACACTCGTCTTCATTTTTTTCTTCAATTTTCTCTTCTTTACATTCTGTAATGGGTTGAACAAGTTGTTGCTCTTTGGGGTGAGCTTTGGTGTATTTCATTTGTTCCGAAAATGTTCGCTGTTTGTTTTTCATTTTTTCAAGTAAATGTTTTCGTATGTTCTTGGCAGTGTTCTTCATTTTCGTCTCTTGGATTTTCTCTTCTGAAACTTCTTCGGAGTTTTTGCTCTTCACTGCAAGGGCGGACATGTACCCCTCGTAAAAGGGTCCCTTCACATAATCAAAAAACTCAGAAATGCCACAAACACTGAGGCCAGCAAACTCACAGCCGAGGTCATTCAATTTGTCTGCGAGATGGACATTACTAGCCACATTGTTATTTGTAGTGAAGCTATCAAATAAGAAGAGCAAAAACATTTGCGAGATGTCAACAACAACTTCATCACTTGCTTTGTATTGTTTAAAGGCTCCACAGAAAAAGTCGACAATCTCCTCACTCTGTAATAACAGTTTGACCCCTTCAATATTTTGCGACGATACAAAAACGTACTTGTAACGATTCGGTTTGATCGAGTTCTTCTCATAAAGTGTTGCCTTCATCAATGCCTCTCGGTGTATTTGTCCGAATAATGGGAAGACGGGATCTATTTGATCCAAATATTCCTTTCTAATGACACCCTTCTTTACACAAACTGCGTCAAAGTGCTTCTCCAATGGCAAATTCTCAAATGGGGTTTGGGACGCGATAGTCGCGGGGTTTGTGATTCCCGCTGCTGTGAATTGTGCGATAATAATTTGGAACCAATCGCCGTCTGTTACTTTGGTGTTGGTTATTTTCTGACACCGGCATATTTCAACAACAAATCGCATCATCTCATAGAAGTTAATTGGACTGAAATTAACGTCGGCGTATGTGTACAAAGTTTTGTCCGAGAAGTTGATGAGTTTAAACATCGTAACGCAAGTCGAAATGAAAAATTTCACCCCGACAATTGGAAGTAAAAATTGGACTAATGTCAAATCGAGTAAAAAGGTCTTCTCATAAAACAGTGAAACATACGTCGAAAATTGTTGCTCGGCGTCAGAACCGTTACGAACCCAATCGCGCTGAATAAACTGACTCACAAATACTCGTGACAAAATAACATGTTCAACCAACAACTCGGCGTCTGTTTTCTCAATTTTTGGTACGCAGCTGTCTTGATGTAATCTCAGTAAGACGTAGGTGTAAAACGACAATACATTTGATATCGGGGAAACAGGTTGATTCTCCCCACAAAGTCGTTTGTGAACTTTTACATTGTTAACTTCTATGACGGGAACATCCACCAAATACTTCCTCACCACTTTCATCACTTCGTCGTGGATATATTCAAAGTTGCGTTTCAAATTCTCTGTTGTTGCCAAATCTCGGATGACAAATGCAAAATCCAACGCATTTTCCATATAAAACGAAGTCATTTCAAAGAACATATTGTCGTACTCCACGTGATCTCCAGTTTTGATCATAATGGGAAGGACGTTAGATGTGATTTTGAGTACTGCAATGATTTTCTCAAAGACTTCTTTTGAAAATTCGATGTTATGTGTCACGGGATGTTCTTCAATAAACCAAACAACGAAGTCCACAAAGTTGTCGACTTGTTTCTCGTTCCACCCGACCTTTGGAGGTATTTCAATTACTTTTGTGTTTTTGTAAATCGACGTGTAAATGTCTTGTGAATGTTCAAGTAACTTAACAAAGAGATTTGTTTTGAAAAAGTCGTTCTATACTTCAGTGTTCTGATTCTTCAAGCCAAGATCTGCGTTGACAATAAACACCAAAAAAAATCAAAAACAAACGACCAAATCATTTGGATGTGTCGATATGAAACTAAACACGAAGTCTTGAAGAAGATTTTTAATTGGAAAATCGTTTTTCAAAAGATTCAATGTGAGGTGGAGGATAGTAAACGTTGGGAATTTGAATAAATCCATTCGAGAGATGTACTTGACAAGAAAGTCCCTCAAATAGTCTGTTTTAAGTTCTACTGTAAAGCACACTTCAAACAGAAGTTCAAAGTAGCACAAATCTCTCCCAAACTCTTTCGCCAACGGAGATCTTTCATTTTTCGTTGGTGTGTTGCACTTTTCCGCCACAAGCAAAAAGAAGAGATTTGACTTGATGAGATATTGAAGAGTGCACAACTCAACTTGGGTATCGTCGAGTGGATCTTTAGCAGAAACAATTTGGTTAAGAAAGTCAACAATGATGTCTCCTATTCTCTTGTACTTTTCTGGTATTTTCTCCTCCAAATCCCCGTTGAATGGGACGCCGTGACGTTTACAAAATCCCGACGACTTCCACGCCTCCGTATTTCCACAGTCGCACGTGAACGTCCCCGATGTCGCGTACGCATAGTAATCGTGTCCAACGTGATTTCCTTCCGAAAAGCATAACGAGCAGATACACGACGAGTTCGATTTCGCACACGTTTTGCATCGGTATATAATCTCTCTTCTTTTGTTGTCATTTTGTTTCGGGCATATCATAGGGGGGATAATGTCTTTTGTCTCATTGACGACGTCTTTCAATGGAATCGAAAATTTGGTTCTCCAAAACGCCTCGACTTCTCCAACTTCCATTATTCTTCTCAGGGTTTTCCAGTTATTAACAACTTCTTTCTTGCAAAATAATCATTATAAAACAAATTATATATTTATAGTTATTTTTACTACTAATAACTACCTCATAATTAACAATTAGGAGTTTTTTTTTGACGTTTTATTCTTGAAATTACTATTAATTATTATATCTTTATTATTATTAAAATTAAAAAAATCATTTCGTTATCAAATCAATTTTTAATTTTAAATATACTACAATTAAGCTATTAAATATATTAAAATTGATTTATAGAAAATCACAAAAAAAGAACAGAACGACAACATTCAAAAGGAGTTACTTTTCTTTGGAAATCAACAAAAAGACTTGGTCGTCCATGTTAATACCAGAAACAAGTGATTGGCTGGCGTATACCATAAATAATAAACCGCCAAAAGATGCTATGACAGAAACCTTATCGTTGCTCTTGTCCTCGACGAACTTGAAGACGATACCATGCATCACGTAATCATAGTTGTCCATTTTCGAGTTTACACCAAAGTCGGGTGTATACCCATCTTTAAAGTCCATTGGCGAGTTATCGAAGTTAAGACTCGTTGTGAGCTCGAGCTCGATGGTGTCTTTTCTTGACGTTAATTTGATGTACCACAATTAAAATGACATTATATAATTTAGTATATGGCATTAGCGCGACGAACAAACGTGTCGAGTGGAAATAAGTCCGTGTTGATATCCACAAAAATCTTATAATTTCCTTCTTTATCCTCACACTCAAAACGCGAGACATTCTCAAATACATTTCCACCCGCATCTTTGGACTTAATTGTGAACCGACCCTTCACAAGAGACATGAATTGTATTTTTTTGTACCCTCGTTATAAAAATTTAGGGTTGATTTTTAATGAGTTTTTTTTTTCAATTAAAGAAAAAATAATATTAATAGTTATAATTAAGTGTATTATTCATTTTAATACACCGTTGGATTGATAAAAACAAAATGTGAAAATTATAAACTTAATTTTCTACCTTTTTTTATTATTATTAATTTTGTTGTTTTATAGTTTATAATTATTAAATTACTAAACCTCGAATTAAACAAATTTGACTTTATTAATATTAAACTATAATGTATTATAAATAAACTATTATAATTTGGACTTTTTGTGATCGGCTTTTTTTACCATTTAAATTAATATTTATTATTTGCCGCTGTTGTTTTATTAAGAAAAATACTTTTTTAGCAACTGTTTGTGTTTTTATAATTTGAAATAAAAAATAAGTCAATTGTTAGGAATGGTAATAAAAGCCATTTTAATTATTACTAATTGAAATAGTAAAAAATACTAATATATTAATTATTATTTTTTAATTTTAAGAATTAAAATTAATTTTGTTGTTAGGTATGGAGACAAGTTAATTACTATTCTATATAATGAAGTAAACAACAAATTAATAATTAATTAGTTGTGATTGTCAGTATGATCTTTAAGTGTTATAATAAAAAGTCGAAAGTATCTCCGACATAGAACACACGAACACAAAAACGCGCAAAAGCAGTCGATAAAAGTGAATATAACGGAACAGCTATAATAAATCACATTTTCTTTGTTAAGTAGATCTTCACAATTTAATGAAGAGCTTGTCGAAAATTGCGACGAAATCACTCCTTCAAAATAACATAAATTCTTGTTGTCAAAATTTCAAAAATGTTTTACTCAACTGTCAACAAACGTTTTGTTCAATCATCAATTTTGAAGATTCACTCAGTAACGAGAAGTCGATACTTTTATTCCACCCCAATAATCCCAGAACGAAAATGACAATCAACATTATAAAATTGAAAATTAAATGTATTAAATTTGTCCAGTGTTTATAATAAATAGCAAGAATCGCAACACCAAAAGCAAAATGGTAAACAAATAGAATCGTTGATACAATAACAGCAGTCAGCCGTATTTTATATATTTCATCATTTATATATTCAGTTACAGTATAAAATAATATACAAAAGGTTAATACCGTTGATACAGACATCATTAGAGTTATCCTTAAGATCAGTTGCGTGATCATTCTACAATTATATGTTTCTAATTGATTTTTTAATTCTTTTCTTATTAGTATTTGAGATGCAATTCTTCTTCAGAATTTATAGAAAAATATAGTAACTTGTATAGTATTTATTATATTTATAAAATATAATTTAATAAACTATAACTAATCAACTATAATAAATGACTAGTAAATTATAATAATAATTAACTAGTAAGAATGCCATTTCACAAACATAACTCATCATTGATTACTATTACACTACTATAATTTCTAAATAAAAGAAAGAGAACTAGAAAAGTGTAATGGACGCTCAAAGCAAAATCCTTCAGCGCCAACGGAACGAAATGCAACTTATTCATGAGGAAGTTAAGCGAAAGCTTGACGTTCTTTCTTTAAATATGACAACACAAACCAAAGCCATTGAGGAATTGGTAGAACTAGAAAAGAAGAGTAGTTCCACGTCGATCTCGAAACTTGGAGACGAGCCCGACTTTTCCAAAGAAGTTTTGAGCATTTTGAGGAATTCGACTTTGACGCAAAACTCAAATTTAGAGAAGATCAGAACTTTAGTGAATATGACCGTTGCCGACTTTGAACGAATTCAACAAGAGATGTTAGTGTCTGTTGACATTTCCCTTCGTTCATTAGAGAAGCGCCTTAAAGTGTATGACGACAAGTTTGTTACAATTGAAAGATTTAAGAAACGTGTTGGACCTCAAACGTACGACCCGGTCACTTTGTCGTTCACCGACGGGGACGTTGTCGTTGACAAAAAAGTGTTGTCGTCACATCTCTTTTCAACTTCACTCTTGTCCGAGTTCATATCGGCAGCAGGCGACTCCGTCACGCCAATCCACATTGCTAGGAGTCAGCAATACTTCAAGTATATCTTAATGTACTTCACTGATGGGGAGATAGTATGTGGGGAGAGTTCTTTAGGGATGCTCCAAGCCGTTTCCAATGAGATGAGTGCCTATGGGATACCGACTTCTGAGATCTATAAAGCTTTGCGACAACTGCTTACAAGTTACTTAATCGAGCACAAAGACCCTTCGTTGGATGTCTTGTGTAAAACAGTGAACTTAGGGGAATACACCAAACTCTTTGCGTTGCATCGAGCATGTATGACGGTGAATGACAGTGAGAAGGACGTTGCGGAGCAATTAGAGAAGTGTGGGACGTATGAAGAAGCCACTCAAGTGATAACGACGATGATAACACAAAGAGAGTTAGACATTAGTAAGTTCAAGAACGTCGAGTTGGTAAAATTTGTGACGAGTTGTTTCATTCGGCGGGAGAGTATTGAGTTTAAAGTCTCGAATAGTAATGTTGTGTTTAGTACTACAACACTCTGCAATCGATTACATAAGCAATTTAATGTCGGGATGATCCCTGAAATAGTCTCTGCTTTCAATTTCCATATTGGGAACTTGGGAAGATCGGGAATAGGTAATGCAATGTACGTCGGATTCTCTTTTGCACCACTTGCAAGTCCACCAGCAGATCAGACGTGGGTGAAGTGTGGGTTTTACTTGTCAATATATAACGGAAATTTGTATTCAGAAAAGATCACACCAAATTCACAAGAACACAAGTACTATGATAAAAAGATCGGGAAGGATGACGACATCGTCTGTTGGTATTCTCGCAAAGACAAAGTCATTGGCTTTATTATTAATGGAATAAATTTGGGACCCGCTTTTGTGGGGATTGCACAAGTCAATTTGTTCCCCATATTTGTATTATATGAGGCAGAACAAACTTTTGTTGTTGACAGTGTGTTACCCATTCAGTAGTAAGTGAGTTGAAGTGGTATATGTTTAAACTTTTGAAAATACTAATCCAATAGTTTTTTTTACTTTAAATTCATTATACTGATAAATAATACTAATAAATAATTATAATAAATAATTATAATAAATAATTATAATAAATAATTATTTGATTTATCAAGTTAAATTGATTGGTACATGAAAAATTATTATTGGGTAATTCAATAATAATTTATTATACTAATACATACTAATTGATTACTATTAATAAGTAGTAATATTTATTAGCTCTTTTTAATTTATTTTTTAGTTATAAAAGAAGAATGCCAACAAGTGTTTAATATGTAACTTTTCATAGACTGTCATTACTACGTGACACTCAACATCTGAAGGTGTCAAACTGTCATCATACAAACTCAAAAAACAAAGCAGAACTTGGATGTCTAAACCCAAGAAACCCCAAACTGATGTAGATAATTGTTTATTAAATAAATACTATCAAATACTAGAATCTCTAGGGGAAGGGACGTACGGCCTTGTCTCAAAAGCAATTGACAAAAAGACAAAGAACTTTGTCGCAATCAAAAAGATCAAAATAGACGTCGAGAGTGAAGGACTTCCATGTTCTTCTCTTCGAGAAATTAGTGCTCTTTCTGATCTGAAACACCCCAATATAGTGACGTTTGTTACAACTTTGAGGTTTCCTCTGTACTATAATTTAATAGTAAAATAATAGTAAAATGTAACAACTAGTTTACTTAATATCTACAACACGGGAAAGACACTCTATTTAGTCTTCGAGTATTGTGATGATGACCTTCAGAAGTTCATCAAGCGGAGCCAAGGAGATATCCCTCTTGAGCTTATTAAAACCATATTAGTACAGCTCATAAAAGCATTATCATATTGCCATTCGCATCGTACCTTCCATAGGGATATCAAGCCCGGCAATATCTTTATGAACAAAGATGGGACTGTGAAGTTGGGGGATTTTGGACTTGCTAGGGTTTTCCGGTCAGAAGCAAAACACTATACTCCCGAAGTCATTTCATTGTGGTATAGAGCGCCAGAGATTCTCTTTAAAATGCCATCATATACATCAGCAGTTGATATGTGGAGTGTTGGTGCAATTTTTGGGGAATTAGTGTTAAAGAGGCCGATGTTTAAAGGGACGAGTGAGCGCGATCAAATCATTAAGATAGTTGAGGTGCTTGGAATACCTACACAACATGAGTGGGGGAATGGGTATTCCTATTTTAGTGATATTCATGTGCAACAAAGTGGAGAAGATCTGAACACAACGTTTCAACGAGTTGGTGTGAGTGGTATAGAGTTACTGAAAAGCATGTTAGTCTATAATCCAAACAATCGAGTTACTGCGGCTAATGCACTTACTCATCAGTTTTTACAAGTCAAGTGATGTGTACATATTATATTATTTTAATAACATAATAATATTATTATATGGTATTTATTTCTTTATGAAATGCATTTTATTAAAATTTAATTCTATTATTTAAAAATTTATTATTTAAATTTGGCCTTCATCGCGTCGTCTCCATTTTCTTGATAGTCGTCTCTAGTTATTGTCAAATTCGAAAAAGTTTCTATTGAAGATATGACTTTGAGTCCAAGCCAAGCAGAATTTATTCCGTGATGTGCTGAAGTAATTTTAATAGTTTCATTGGGTGCAAGTCTTTCTAATTCAAATTGAAGTCTCTCTTTAAATCCTTGAAATAAAGTATTTCCTCCAACTAATAGAATGTTAGTATACATCTCCTTTCGATCAGATTCTTTAACTTGGTTAATAGCTTTTAAAGCTAAAAGAGGAATGGAATCGGAAGACGACCCAATGAGTCGTGGTTGGAATAAGGCTTCAGGCGCTTGAAAGACCTCTTCACCGACATTCAAATACTTTCCATCAGGAAGGCGATATACATGTTCTTTTCCTTCATTTTTAGTTCTTTCTTTGTTGATGTCTAAAGTGATATAACACATCTCTTCTTTCATCCGTTGGACACTATTCTTCTTCTCAAAGAAGTCGAGAGTGGTATCTTCTACCGTGTCATATAACTTCATTAAATGTGTTGTGATATCACTCCCTCCAAAAGAACTACTTGTGACTGCATTTCTTATTATCTTGCCATCGACTATTGGAACACATTCAGTTATCCCATCACCAGAATCTATTACAAGTCCAGTCGACATGTTCTCTCCATACATCGCCATCAAAGGTGACGCTCCTAAGTAGAACGAATCGGCATAGACTTCGTGGAATACATGGTTGGCAGTTATTATTCGCTTTGCTTGAGTGTTTGTTGTTGACTCAGTCATAACCACTTGAATGTGATTATCATTGTTTTCTTGTAAAGGGTCAACAGCGGCATCCCATATAGAATCCATTAAATCAAAGTCTATAATAATTCCACGCTTAATGGGGTACTTCAGTGGAACAGTAAGACGACTTTCAAAAGCTTGAGTACCAAACAGTTGTGTAGTTGGACGACCAGTCTCTTCATTTCTCACTTCAAGAGTGCCACCAATCGTTGGTTCACATAGAGATGGAAATTCTTCGTCATAATTTCCTGCTTTGACAACACCAGATCCGTTATCAACTAATATTTTCTTTATCATTGAATTTGTAGAGTATGAAGATTATTATCTTTTTCATATAAAATAACTCGTTGTCATTCGTAAAAACAACATTTTCTATTTGAAATACTTATCAAAACATTTTCATGACAAGACTCAAAGTACTCCTATTTAGCATGTTTTATAAACTAGTATAATGATTATATTATAATAAATACTAATTTTTTTATCAACTTATTTAAAAGTTTAATAAAATTAATTAGTAGTTTTAAAAATAAACAACATCATCAATTGAAATTTTAATAAAAATAATAGTTATTTTAACCATAATATTCAAATTAAGTATAAAAATGTTAATGCGAAATAATTAAACAAAAAATTTACAACAATCACTATATTTTTTTTTACCATTATTTATTTGAAAACAACGAAAAGTTATCAAGAACATCATTATTTAGCACAAATCTGTGGTTGATATCCTTTGAACTTTGTTAGTCAACCTCTCGAATATAATAAATTATAGTTTACTCTAATTATAATTCATTTTTATTAAACTATAAATTTTTATTATAAAATTAATTATTAATAATTTTTCATATTTTCGAAAACTTAACAAAAAGTTTTCAATAACAAATTTGTCCATTTAAATTATTTATTATAAGTTTATTTGAAACCAATATTATTATTATTATTATTATTATTATTATTATTATTCTTTCAATACAGTAACAAAACATTAAGTGTTAAGTCACTGCTTATCATTAAGCTAAAGAAGGTAATTTGATTGTTGAAGTCCACTCAGAGATGAAGACGTATGTATTTATCATGGTTGATCACACTAAATTCTCATCATTGTGGCGATTAGATGAAAAAATTTTTTGTTTTTATACCCAAACTTTGTTTTTAACAAAAATATTTTTAATTATTTTAATACTTTTTAAACTATAAAAATTTTAAAAATACCAACCAAAAACGAACTAGATAAATCTAAAAACAACAAATCAGTATTTTTTCCTATTTTTTTCTATTTCTATTTCAAAAAAAAACAATTCTATATATTATAATAATTTTATTATAAAACAACCACAGTATAAAATGTATATTTGTGGAACAATTTATAAATAACTGGTTTGTACTACATTAAAAATATATTCTTGAATTTTTTGTTTAATTAAAACTTAGTTTTTAATTTCAAATAACTTTCAATATTAAAAAAACAATTATTCATTATATAAATAGATGCGTATTTTTTGATTGATTATTGACAAAGAGACACTTTTGACTGGTATTGTTGATTTAAAAAAATGATAATGATCATAACCATTAAAAAATAGTTACGATCCATTATCATTTCATTGTATTATAATTAATTAGTTATTTTATTATTAAAGGTGACCTGAGAGATTGTCTCGACCCAAAAGACCTTAAGATCTTTTAAGCAGAATTAATTGTTTTTATAAAAATTTGCACATTGTTGAATTGATTAAATATAATTATCATTAACCTTAACAGATCATGTTAACAATTTATATAACAAAGGTTTCAACACAATTAAACGTTCAAATAAACAAAAAAAACAAATATACAACAGTGTTGATACAAAGGTAATTCTCAAATTAAATTTCTACTTAAATAATAATTGTGTATTACATTGATTTTATTGATTGTAAATAATAACTTTTGTGCAATGACTATGATATACATTAAAACAAAAATAAACGATTATCATCAAGTTCATTGTGTAATACGTCGATGTACACAATTTTTATTAAACAACTTTTTGTTGATAATTACATATAAGAGAGTTGTTATATACGATTATTTTTTTATAACTATCGTTTTCTTGTTATTCATGTAAAAACACATAATTAAATATATATATTTTAGTAACATCACAACATTTAATATTATCTAAAATAGAACCTTAAATTAATTGTTAATTTGAATAATGTAATAACAACAGATTGTGTATTAGGTTTCACTGTTAATCACAACATTTTCATTTTTATAAAATGTCAAAAAATAAACTTGATAAATTTTTAATGTGAAAACATGTAACATCAAACCTAAACTTAAAAACACTAAAATTACAATAATAACACAGTTCAAAATATTTTTGCTTGTAACTTGTTGCTCTTTCACATATGTACATAAGATATAAAAATAAACATTTTATCAACAAAGAGTAAAAGCAGACGATAAACAAATTATAAAATTGATTCGAGTTCTTCGTTGTGGTACATTAACTTTGTCATTTCAACAAAATGAATACACTTTTCATGATTATTTTAAAATTCAATTCCATACATATTTTTCTATTTTATTGTAGTTATTTCTTTAGATCATACATAAAAGTGTATTAAAACATAAATGTTTGTCTTTTTGGATTTAAAAATGATTCTTATGTTATCTCAGTAATACACAAACATTTAATATCAATTCAATTGCTTTCAAAATGAATTATATTAATATTGTATAAATTAAATATTTTTAATTAAAATAATAACATATATTTAATTGTATCTAAAAGACAACACCAATGTAATTAAAAATACAAATTCGTTTATTAACAACATTTGTAATTTGTTCATATGTATATTTAATTATTTATCATAAACAAAATTAATGTAATTGTCAGTTATTTTAACCAGTAAATATATTTTATTTAAACTTAACATGTACAAATGGGTTGTGAACCACACGTAGTAAAAAGATTTATTTACATTCTTTTCATTATATAATATTTATGTATTTGTTTAGTTTGAAATTATATGTTTACACACTCAAAAAGTTTTCATGTTTGATAAATTAATTCATTTTTCAATGAACATGTAAAGCATATCAGTGAATCCTTTTATATTAATTATTATAATAAAATCATTTATAAGTAACTGTAAAATCATGTTATTATTTTACTGTTCAGTAACAGTTGTGTTGTCATATTATAATTGTGTTATTTATGTGTGAGGTTAGACAGAATAAACTAAAAGGATAATATATATTAAATAACAATATTTCCATGTTATAGTCAACAATGAGTTATTAAAATAATTTTTTGATGTAGTTACACAATGAAAATGGTCACACCTGTTTTAAATATAAAAAATATATTCAATTATCAAAAATGTGTCATAAATAATTGTTCTCTTTAGTTTATGTTTACATCAACAAATACATTTAAACATGATTGTTAATTATTTATTTATCATTCCATGTCTTGTCATATTGATAACTAATGTGTGATTATCAAAAACTACATTTTTAATATGAAATTCATTTGTTTGAATATGAATATTTTTAAAGAAATACAATTATTTTTTTTGTTTACCAAATATTTTTTTTGTAATCTTTTTTTTACTTAAATAATAATTAATTATTTATTTTTCTATGTTTATAATGATTTGACACGCATTTCAAATTTTTTGTTACTATTTTTTAATTATTTTACGAATGTTTTTGACTTCAAATAAATATTGTCAGCCCAAGCATTTTGATGAATTTTCAAGGTCACCTTAAATGGTATATATTTGACAATTTAAATAAATTTCTCAATTACTTTCGCCAGGAATGTCTGGAGGTCTTTGTGATGCTGGTGTTCTTCTACCAACAAACGCTCTCCTTCTTTCCTGTGATGGAGAAGGGGGTGGTAACGGGTGTTGGGTTGATTGAAGGGTTGGTGAAGTTGGTTGTTGTGGTGGTTGAGGTGTATTGGTTGGAGTTTGTGGTTTGTTTTTGTCGACAGCATCTCTCAAAAAAGTAGTTCTTCTATTCCCATTACCTGCCAAATAATTTGGACTTTCTTGTGAATGTGGACTTGTGCCATTTGGCGTTTTACTCGAGCTGAATGTAATACCACCATAAATTGATCCTCCCATGAAGTTGTTTTGAAGTGGCAACTTCGCTGTATCCGACGCTTTGCTCACGTTCGTTGGACTCGAATTGTCAGAAATAAACTGTGGTGATGCATTTTGTTTCATATCTGGAGTCAGCGAATTTACTGCAACTGGACTACGTGAAGTAAAAAACTCAGTTTTGATTGGTTCTCTTCTTTCTTCGGGGCTGATTGATTTTGCTGTTGCGGCGTCCATTGTTGTTGGTCTTGTGCCTTGTTCTCCAAACTTCTTTCTATAAAGGCCCATTGTGACTCTTTGGTTTGGAGAGGGGGACAGCGTTGGTGATGTGGATTCCGCTCCACAAGGTGGTGAAGTTTTGTCCAAAATACCAACAACGGTTTTAAATCCTCTTGATGATGATGGAGAAGGTGATCTCAGTAAATTGTTTTTGCAAGTATTCGGACTTTTTGCTTTTGTGAACGTGATGTTTGACGGGTGTTTAGTTTTCTTTGTGATTTGTTGAGGGAACGCGAAGACTGTGACGTTTTTGAAATCGACAGGTTTTGTTAGTTTTAAGTGATTGTTACTGAACAAACTATGTGTAGCAACACATGTATATTTGGTGTCTAAAAATGACGCAACACTGAGTAAAATGTTATTTCGTTCCGTAAATGCCGAACGTTTAGTTTCACTCTCATTAGCTCTTGCCAACACCACTCCTTTGATGAGTGAAGACATCACCTCAAAACTACACAATTGATTTTCTAAGCACAATCCCACTTTACTATTTAAACTCACCATATACAATTCCGATGTCGTCGGCGTAATGGTGATAGTAAGCCCACACTCCAGACTATTGTCTTGGCTTTGGTCTGAACACTTGTCGGAACTACACCCCCATGATATCAAAACATCAGTTTCTCTCATATCTCTGAATCTGTTGTTATTGGTATTGAGGATATCAACATGGTAATTCACTAAAACGCCATCAGAAAGATACCTCAATTCAGTGCGTTGTGTGTCGTTCTCTTTGACAGTCTCCAACACACCCAAATTCCCTACAAATTCCAAGTACTCATGTGTTGCTTGTTCCGCCTTCACAATCACATCAAACTCTCTCAGGCAACTCGTTCCGTCCAACCTCCCAAGTTCTTTAAATAATTCCTCATTCGAAACAAGTTCCTCAACCGGCGAATTAGTCATGTGATTGTAATTCAAAACTGACGACAAAATTCGTTGTCTAAAACACGGATTTAACACGTCACAATTCATCTCTTTCCACGTTTTTTCACATACCACAAACGGCAGTTGGAGTTTCCCATTTCCCATTCCTCCATATTGCGTTTTGTTATTCTCATTTCTCATTTTTTCAATCTCGTCAACTTCGTTTTCGCCACTTTTTATCCACTTTGGTGAAATCGTTTTCAAAGCTTTCCTAAAATGTTATTCGTTTTCTACTCATAAAAATGTTATTCTAACAAACACTTCCCTCTCTTCGCCAACAGGAATATTTCCCATCTTCCACTCTTCGTTTTCGTCGTCCATCAAGAAAGAATACACGGCCTTGCCGTATCTGTTTCTCAAAATGACAATAACTTTTTCGTACCAGGGTACCTCGATGATGGAAATCACAGAATTTTCAAATACGTAGTACACATGTATGAAATCGTTTCCTGTAAATCCTCTCTTCTCAAGTTCCTTTGTAACGAACGTTTCGGTGATCTGATTATCCAAAAACGATTTTTGGTTCGTTTCGTACAAAATGTTTTGGAGCTTGATATCAAAATCAAACTCTGCCAGAGTTGAATCGTTTTGGATAGTTTTGATCACTTTGTCAAGTATAGCATTTGTGAATAAAAGTTGTTCGTGTGACAACTGTGGGAGACAGACAGAGTAAAACAATGAAAAAACGCTCAGCAGATTTTCGACTTTCTGCGGCTCCTCGCTGTTTTCCATCACTCTTTTTTGCATAATAGTAAATATATCTTTCAGTATAGTAAAGTCGACACTTTCTTTATACGCCAAAATGTTTTTCAAAAATTCACACAGTGGATTTCCCATTTGACTAATTTGGAGAAGCCACGTCCCTGAGTTGTTGTCAAATTCTTTAACAAATAAATTCAAGAACTTATTCACGTTCATTCCTTTATTATCAAGTGAAACTATCGAAACCAAAATTCTATTCATTGTAACAAAAACGTCGTCACAATGTTCCGGGTCAATTTTAATAATAGAGAACACAACATCGATAGCCTGTTGTAACAAGGAGACTGTATTTTGTTGAAGTGAATCACGGCGTGGTGTAAAAATCATTTGAATTTGTTGTAGTAATGTCAATATATTCTTTTTGTTCTGTGGTGTTGGTGCAGCCTCCTTTGCTATTCGACAGAGTGAAAACATGATATCTCCGCTCAGCATCGAAGATAACTCTGGTCGGACATTGAACAAATTCTATTTTATTAATTCCAATTACTTCCAAAATACTTTGCTTTTTAAATTAAAGAACAACTAAAGAACAAACTATAAGGTGTTCGACAGTCCCAATGTTAATATCCAAATTAATTGAAGTGAGACATTTCGACAGAGCGCTTTGAGTTTTATACAAATAGTTCATATCATAGCTTTCTTTTTTAGTTAAAAATATAGTAACGAAAATAGATATAGAGTCAAGCACTGATTCAGTGAATGTTCGATGGTCTTTATACACAACTGTTTGATACAAAATGTCACAAAATATTCTCATGATATCATTTCCACTTAAAACAGTCTTAAGAAGTCCGTCAACTAATTTTCCAATTCCCAAAATGAGGCGATGATGGACGTCTGCATTTTCTACGTTACACAAATTTCCTGTGATATCTATATTGTTAGTATTTACTATAATAACTATAGTATGTACTATAATTATAATTCATTTTAGTATAGTAAATCATATATTTAGTATACTAAACAAACGAAGAAATTTGAGGTAAAATGTGAGTAAATACGTTGAAGTGAATGTCACCGTATAATCGACTTGATTGATTTGTGTAGTGATGACGTGTTCATCGCTTTGGGATGTCAATACTTCGACTAATGAATTTTGTAGAGAGATCATAGTGTCTTTCCAAATGAGTGCAACAGTTTTGTTTGTGATCCAGTTGACGTAGCACTTTTTGAGAATGTCCCATAATTCGTTTTCTTTCGAAGAAAAACAGGTCCAGACCACATTGAGAAATTTAAAAGTTTCATTCAGAATAATTGTGTTTTTCGAGCAAAAAACATTTTCTGCCACCGCAATAAGTGCTCGCACAAAGACATTTTCTATTTTTGTCGTGCGAATGGATGGGTACAAAAACTCAAAAATTTTCAACGTTTTCATACACAACGTTTCATAAATGGGGTATTCAGCTACTTTTGGTTCATGAGAGAAAATAAGTGTCAGTTGCAAGAGGCATTCTTCAAGATAAGCGGCACGGTTCGTGTTGATCGTGTCGGGCACGTTTTCGTTCTTTACAAACCATTTTCTATTGTATTAATTCATTTTACTATATATCTATGGTTTTAAATAATTCCATACAATGCTATGTAAATATAATAGTATATTTATAAGAATAGAACTATAATAGATACCATGCGAAGAATAGTGACAAACTCGTAGAGATCTATGCATTGAGTGATGATGGTGCTATCGGAAAGATTCAGTTGTAGACCAGCGCCGATGACTTCGAGTAGCCAAGTGGTGTGACTTTTTGATAAGAAAAATTTGTTGAGGTTTTCCTTGTTTTTGAGGATGTCAGCGCAAACAAGTCCAACGATCCCACTCTGTGTTTTACTTTCAAAAATAGACAACACGTCGGTTTCATTTGATGGAGTCAACAACCCAAGTTCTTGTGCTTTGCTTGTAAACATTTAGGTTTTTAGAGTTTGGTCGACGCCTTTTTAATTTCTTTTCCACACCAATTGAATTTGACTGTTCGCATTTTTTCGTATTCCAAGATTATTCCCGTTTATTCACTGATATAATTTCCTATTTCTTTGTCAATTTTACTTCGCATAAAAACAGGCATTTTTATTGAAATGTTCTATCAAAAATTCAAATTAAGAAAAAAACAAATGTTATATTTATAATTAATTAAATTATAAAAATGATATTTGTTATATAAATCTTTTCATATAAGTTATCATAAAAATTTTTAATCACTTATTTTGAATGATAGTAGATAATAATCAAACATGATTTTTAAAAGTATATTATAGTATTTATTATTATAATTAAATAATAATAATTGTATAATAAATTGTGATAATGTTATATTTTATAATAAATTTACTATTAAAAAGTAGTAATTACTTACGATTTGAGAATGAAGATCTTGACGAATTCATCGAATGTCAATTTTCCAGTTCTAGATTTATTAGCATATTGGAAGTGTGTTTTTCTTGATTTTTCGTCTCTATTTTCATACAACCTAGCAAACTCATTTTCTTCAATAAAGCCATCTTTGTTTTCATCAATCAAGTTGAAAAAAATTCGTATCAAAGTTCGTTGTGGTGTTGATTCAAATTTCTTTGGAATAGCGTCTAAAATATATTTGAATTCGCGTTTATTTAAAAGCTTGTCTTTTGCACAGAAAATTCCTTTACCGTCAGCGTAATTCAAAATGAGTAATAAGACGTCTCTTTCTATAGTGTATCCATTCTTCTTTGATACCTCTCCATTGACGTGTTTTAACATTCCAGCCATGAATTCGTCTTCATCAATTCGACCCGAGTCATCACGATCAAATTTTATGAAGAGGTCTTCTAAGTCACTCAATCGTTCAATAGTAAGGCACTTTTTTCAGTTTCTGTATTGAATTACAGCT